AGTTAGCATATATTTTAGTTGAAGCTCATATCAACCAGTTTGCACATGGAGGTACTCAGAATAATGATGGTCATGTATGATAAAAAATCATGAAAAGAAACAGACATACTGAAATATCACATCACTTGATATTTAGAAAATAAAAAAATAGAATTTGTAGACATGACATGCATGATCATAGCAAATATGCATCACACTCTTGAAAGTCGAGCATTATTTTCTACCTCTATTACAATTTCAAAGAAGACATTTATAACCTGTTAACATGACAAAATGTCACCACCTACCAGTAGTTGCTCACAATATTATGATTTCAATCAAAGTCAGATTTAAACTTCTGAGAAATTGTAGATGATTTTGAAAAAAATGGTCAATTTGAAGCAAGTTGAATAAATACCTTTTTGACTTTATTTCCCTTGAGAAGGTCATTCTGAGAACTTGTGAATAGTTTGAAAAAATGGTCAATTTGAGACCTTTTGACCTTCTTTGACCTTGAGAAGGACACTGATGGTCAAATCTCATGACAGATTTGAACTTCTGAGAACTTGTAGATGATTTTTAAAAAATTGGTCAATTTGAAGCAAGGTGACAAAAGGACTTTTTGACCTTTGACTTTGAGAAGGTCAAATCTCAAATCTAAAGTCAGATTTGATCTTCTGAGAACTTGCAGATAATTTTGAAAAAACATTCGTCAATTTGAAGCAAGTTGAAAAAATACCATTTTGACCTTTTATGAACTTGAGCAGATATTTAAAGGTCAAATCTAAAGTCAAATTTGGACTTTGGAGAACTTTTGAAAAAACAATTGGTCATTTTGAAAAAATACCTTTTTAACCCTGAGAAAGTCAAATTTCAAATCTAAAGTAAGATTTGAACTTCTGAGCATTTGCAGATGATTTTGTAAAAAAAATGGTCAATTTGAAGCAAGGTTACCTTTTTGACCTTTTTTGACCATGAGAAGATTTGAACTTCTGTACGTAGATAATATGAAAAAAATTGAAGTCAGCCTAAACAGTTTTTGGAAGTTGTAAGGATTTGTTACAGACGCTGGACGCTGAAATCCATCTGTTCAAAACACAATATTCCAAAACGTAATACTCCAAAAATTAGGCTATATAAACCACAAATATTGCCCAAAAAATCTGATCGCTGCCCCAAACATAATAACCTTATAAACATAATGACAGTAACATTACTTGATCTTAATCCTATTTAACACATCTCGATCAGGTATTTCATTAAACCTATATTACTCACAATCCAGGCATATCTTATTCACCAGATTCATATTCAGATATTACAGTTAAATATAGTATCTTGTTATAACCCCCAAGTCACACTGTCCTACACTACTACAGCTATCCAATTGTAAAACGGGATGTTGTTGGAGTGAAATGTCCCAAAATATGATGCTATAAGTAAGTTCAGGAACAGACTTCAATTCACAAACCAACTTAAAGGAATATTCCTTGCCAAACCATCTCTCTCCTAATATGGTAGCTATAACCATATATATGCTTGCCATGTTTAGCAAAACACACAAAAATGTTTTGATATGGTCAAATTTGATCACTTAGAAATGTGATGCTCAATTCCAGTAAGCTGCCATCTTTTAAAATTTCACACAGGAAGTGATGTCATCGACTCTCAACTTTGCATATAGCATTAGATGAGGAGCTATTAAGAATTACAAAACCAGCTAAATATTCTTTTTCAACTTTGTATCTTATTTAATCCTTCTGAAAATCTCTTCTTTTATTCTAAGTTGACAAGCCCTGAAAATATTTTTGCACAGAAAGTAATGATCACTTGTGTAGTAGTGATTTTGTGCTACTTTCCTATACTGTTATGGGCAAGGTTATAGAAGTTGAGAGTTGATGACATCACTTCCTGCAAGAAATCTTAAAAGATGGCAGCTCACTGGAAATAAGCACTAGATTTTTAAATGATCAATATTGACCATATTAAAACATTTTCCCATGTTTTGCTAAATATGGAAACTATATATATGATTATAGCTACCATATCAAGAGAGAAAGGGTCTGGCAAGGAATATTCCTTTAAATAAGTAGAATTTCATAAGAAACAATCAAACTTTTAATCGATTCAATACATTCAGACAGAGTTTTTTCAGATTTGAACAATGTGGAAATATGCGATTGTCGCCATAATCTAACTAAGCAAGTTAATTGGAAATTCATGAAAAAATAAAAACATGTCTTTAGTTTTCTGCTTTTACCTTTGTTTTACTATAATTTACATTTTTATGTGTGAAAAAATAATAATTATTCATGTCAACATTAGCATAAACAACGTCTGCACAATGCATCCTGGTTTCGATCTAATAATACCATTATCTCTGATAAACGCACAGTGAGGCTCCCATATTCTCCCGGAGGATATGTCTCGAATGACAAAATGCCCAGGGATATTTGAAAGATTTTCCTCTTTAAAAGTGGACTCACTCAGACTAGATAACATAATGTCATACCTCAATGTTTTCCTCATGCATTTATCATTCTAATGACGCACTGCGAGTGTCAAATGGTTACCGTTATGCTTCGGTCAGATTTAATGTTTATTATAGCTTTTAACTTATCACTAGGGTTATCATGAACATTATACTGTATAGGCCTAGTTCTAAAGATTCTGGAGAAATTATGTATAGAAATGGCTGAATCGATAGCGGTAAGTGAATCAATAGAATTTAACCTGTTATTGCTCAATTATTTTTTTTCTTGATTTTTGTTCCTCAAGTTGCCAGTCTTTTATGAAAAAGTTGGGTGTGCGTTTATTGGAGTATGTGCGCCTATTAGATAGAATACGGTATCTAAAGTAACATGCCAATGATTTACAAATTACAATGACACAATTACTCAGATGCGAGTAGGACACTTAGTAGGTAGTTACCAGTTTCGCCACCAGGTGGCTGATTCGGGGGAAATAACATGGCAGGGTATTACAAATTTCCCTTAAACTTGAATATTCATCATGTATCTGATAGTTATACAAATTAAAATATGTCTAGTAAAGGAAAATGTTATCTGCCCAACACAAGAAAAGAAATTAAATTTTCAAAGTTGATAAACTCTTTTCAAAACCACATTTTTAGATGTAATTTTCCATGTGTATATTCCAAATATGACATCAGTTTGACTGAATTTTTAAAGACGTAAATCAAGATTATTTCTACTCGCACCTAGTCTATTAAAGATATATCTGACTCTTCAGTATGGTGTCATACCAACCCATACCTGCATTAGAGAAATACAAATATGTCTGTAAGCATGTTTTAATAATAAAAAATTCTTTAATTAGAATTTTTTATTTTTTGTCACAATAATTGTGATGTGGGCAAACATCATAAATAATATGTATGTGCAAATTTTATTACTGTAGCCCCCGTTAACATAATTTTAAGATTATTGTCATGAACGTATATCACCACTCCTTTCAAACCTTTTAATTGATTTAAAATGTTCTTACTTATGAAAATAAATACACAAAATCAACTACCCAAATTAGATTCGGACCAATGGGATTTGGATGATTGAGATTCAGACCATTTGGATTTGGACCAATGTGATTCAGACTGTGGTTGGGATTCAGACCAATGGAGTATCCTGAAGATTGTCTGGTCATACCCCTATTGCTCATAAGTCAGTGATTTAAGTGCTGAGAATTAGTGTTCACTAGACACAAGTGTTCATCAGACACAGGTTTTCACTAGACACAGGTGTTCACATGAGAAAGGTGCTCACTAGATACAGGTTTTACAGCATTGCAATAAGTTCATTATGTGCTGACAATTGGAATTCTGGAATTCACAAGACAAACTAGACACAGGTGTTCAGTAGACATGTATTCACTACAACTAGACACGGGTGTTCAGTAGAATGTATTCACTACAACTGGACACAGGTGTTCAGTAGACATGTATTCACTACAACTAGACATAGGTGTTCAGTAGAATGTATTCACTACAACTAGACACAGGTGTTCAGTAGACATATATACTCTGGGGCACGCCCTCCGACCCGCTAGATTGCACATTCTAAAGAGTCAAAAATGCAAGTTGAGATTTACTTGTGACATCACTGCTTTATGAACATCAACAAAATAGCAACAGATACATTTTGCGGCCGGCATCCATGCGCATTGTAAAGAGGGGGAAAGTCCCAGAGTGCAAAGTCCCAGAGTGCAAAGTCCCAGTCACCCGCTCACTTAAGATATCAATTATATTCCTGCATGTTATTTACATAAAATAACATTGACAATTCGGTGTCACATCGTATACTATTTTTCGGTACAATGCGCTTCGGTACAATGCGTGTCGATATAATGCGCGTCGGTGTAATGGGTTTCGCGTGTTGGTATAATGGGTTTCAGTATAATGCGCTTCGGTATAATGAGGTGATCCCCTATACTAGTCATTGGATTCCCAGTTTTAGTTTTAGTTTCTTCTAATTTTGCATCTTTTCATCTTTATGTAAAAGACTGACAGCCGACCATGTGTACCTAACTGTGGAGAATGACTGGTCGGTGGTCGGCCATCAGTGTTTTTCGTAAACCCTTTATTTTTAGCTACTGATATGGTAGGATTTGGTAGATTCTCCTCCCAAGGCTGATCTTCAACTGGGAGTCTCACAAAAGAATATTGTTCAACATTTGAAATTGAAGTCTGAAACTAGAATTCCAAGGTCAAGAATGGAGAGATATAATGTCACTGCCTGACTCCGATCGAGAACTGTATACAATAGCTCAGTCTCTTTACAAGTAGACCTATACAAGTGTCGCTAAAACTTGCAAGACGAGAAAAATCTTAGTTTTTCAACATTTCAATCGTCATTGTTGCTTGTTTCTTCAAGATTCAGCAGGATAATTGCATGCAAAATAAATAAAGTACATGTAAACAACAAAAGGACACATGTATCAACACCAGAAATGGAATATATTATGATAAGCCGAAGTTATGAATATGTAAAACGTCTATTATTTACCTGGATTTTCATTCGGGGACGACGCTTCATCCTCCATTTTGAATAATAAAATCAAGTAATTAAATTCCGTAAGAATCCGGCAAACAACGGAGCTGTGTTACGAACATGGCAAGCACACAAAGGACCATGTTCGGTAAGAGATTATTTTTGCAGTCAAATTACTCTCAAATCTCAATGAGCACGTGACTATATAATCCAATAGGTAATATGCACAGAGATGAATTAAAGACAGAAGCAGATCTACTCTGTCATCTAACAAGATCATGTTCAAAGAGTAATCAAATATCCATGGATGGATTGTAAGTTTGTTTCAATTGTACTATTTCGGGCTCATGATATTATTCCTTAGTCATGTCTACTTTCTAAAAATCCCCGAAAGTGTATGCTGTAATTGATGAAAACTAAAGATTTTTAAAATAATGCATTCATTTTTCCATAAATTTGTTTTTATTTTTGGGAGAATTTACACTAACACCTCCCCCCATTTTGGCACTTTGAATCCTTGATAATTTCACATACCATAACATTGATCTTTTTGATATATTTGAGATTGTAATATTGGTAGGTTGAAAATAGTTTAAATTCGGAAATAACCGAAGCACTCATTATCTTTACGCTCCAAAGATTTACAGCGCCAATATCAATAATGGATATCATGCAACCATTCAAACTAATACACAAAGAAGAGATTACAGGGTAAATATTGATCAATCAATGTCTGACAGATGGAAAAAATAAAGGTCAGTACAAGGGTCATATTTTTGGGTGGACATTTTTTTGATGTGACATTTTTGGCTTGTGTCTTATCTCCCCATTTATCCTTTGAGTCTACTACCAATAGAGGCTGGACCTGGCTCCGGATCTGTGTAAAGACATGGTAAAAGTTTTGAGTGATATAAATCAAGAAATGGAATTGCGTAAAATGATCGGGGAGAGCATCTTATATATTCAATCGAGGTTGGGCCATGCCCGGGGGGCTATGCAGCCGAAGGTAAGCCATACAGCCGAATTTGCCGATTCAATCTGATAAACAATGCCGAGCCTCTTTTTTTGACCAATTAGAGACGTCCTCGTCACATTCGTGGTACACTCGGCCAAGTTTGTTTGCAAAGAAAATCTTCGGCAGTCTCCGGCTTTTCTTGAGGTATCTTCGGTTGCAAGCCAAAAGTCGACACCCAAAATGATCGTGGTCCTTTAATTCTTATTAATCCCGCGAGATTACACGAGAAGTAGATATTTGAAGACCTCTTCTCTACATAACTATAACTAAGTGACAGTCAATTTTAAACAAAATGATGGCATATTTAAATGCATAAAACAATAAAATACATACGACTGTCATTTATTTTAGGTATAGATAATATGAAGACTATATTTCCCTTTTTATTTTACACACCTAGGGGTCTTCATTTGCAAGGATACAAAAATGGCGGAAGCTGCTGTTGAACAGCCTCAAATACGTTTTTACTGTCATCAATGCTCTACTGAAATTCGACCAAACTTACCAGTAGGTACAATTTAGGTTGAAATATTTTCCTTCAAATGTGTATAGTCTCCCTCTTCAGAGCTTTTATGATAACGTATAAATACTAGTTTTCAAATGGCAATTTGACGGGTTGGCAAATAAATTTTTGGCCAAACTTCAATCTGAGATTGAATCTCCAAAAATGTGCAAACTGTCCATTTACGGTGTCTGAACTTGATCGAGATAACAGCGAATGAAATCTATGTCAAGTAGACAGTCCAGTTTCACTTTTCCCTCCATCACAAATCTCAAAAATAATTTTGAAAATGAATGCGACCGTCACTTACAGCCCCTTTTTCTGCTTTATTGCGTCAGTAGACTAGAACCCCAAAAATCAGGAGACGATTGTGCAATGCAGTAACATATGGCAAAGTATAGTCTGTTCATGTTGTACATAAATGACATATGTTTATTTCAGATTATTTAGTTTTTTGTGCAATAAGCCTGTTTGTTTGTTTGTATCCTTTATAGCGTTATAATGCCGCTTGTAATGAATTTCAGCCATGTTGAGGTGTGGTGGTATTTAACAGGAAATGACAAAAAAAGACAAAACCATGCTGGATTTTCAAAATTTTTTGAACCAAGATACACTAGTGATCCACTCGATTACGCTGGTTACCAAAATGAACCGTTTTGGTAACAAAATGTCGGAGCGTCGAAGGCACGATTTTTCTTTTTTCCTTATTTCACGCATTTTAGGCAGAATCCCCACGACGTTTTTTCTCACAATGTACATCAGTATCATATGTTTTAGAAAATGTACATGTTTGCGAAAAAATAGCTCAGAGGACAACAGAATCGTCGATTTACATCCTCACTTAAGTTACATAAACGGTTTTTTCGAAAAACAGTTAAGATCTGCACTTTTAACCCAAACCATTTATGTAACTTAAGTGAGGAAGTAAATCGACGATTCTGTTGTCTTCTGAACTATTTGTTCGCAAATATGTACTCTTTCCTAAACATGATACTGATACACGTTTGTGTTAAAAAATGTCGTGGGAATTCTGCCTGCAACGTGTAAAATAAGGAAACAAGAAAAATCGTACCTTCCGGATGTTCTGACATTTTGTTACCAAAACGGTTCGTTTTGGTAACCAGCGTAATCGAGTGGATCACCAGTGAAGATAACAGAGTTCTGTTTTGACCTCCAGTCAGTTTAACTAGTTCCACATATCATTTACATGAGGGAACACAATGGAAATGGTCAAAATGACCCTAAACATGATATGATAACCTTTTCAGCGCTCTGAAATTGTGATTGAAAAATAGCTAGAAGTAGGTGCTCAGGAAACGTCACTGAACAGGATATTTTGATTTTTTCAGAAAATGTGCCCAATATATTGCTCTTGCTCTTAATTTAATGCAGGAATTATCGATTATCAGCTAAGACATTGATAATTCATGACTATAAACTGCGTTTGTATGAAAGGGACCAAAGTCACCACCAAAAACTTTGGCAAAATCTAAACTCAGTCACAGAAATGAACGAATTTGTGAACGTAGACCCAAAATCACGGTATTCGGTAATGGTAAGGTATTGAATTGCGGTAATACCGGCACCAGTTTTCACTACCATTTGGAACACTGTTTCAGAGGGCTGAAAAGGCTATTTCATCATGTTTAGGGTCATTCTGACTATTTCCATTGTGTTCCCCATCATGTAAATGATATGTGGAACTAGTTAAACTGACTGGAGGTCAAAACAGAACTCTGTTATCTTTGTTGAAATAATTTTTAAAATCCAGCATGGTTTTGTCACTTTTTGTTTTGTCCTGTTAACTACCACCGCACCTTAACCTTTTTGAAAATACTATGGCAGAGAAGCATCAAAATATAACATACATACATCATAGAGCATAAGATCCAAGAGAAAATAAATTAATGTAAAAACTGATTATTTCCTGGTGGTTAAATTCTGGAAGTTATAACAAGAAAAATCATTGTACATTTGTGAAAGCTCGATTGGTTTGTTGATATTACATTTTATGGTTAGGTGTTATCTTTTTTTGATATATTGGTCTGAATATTAGAGCATTATTAACTGGTCTTCCAGAATCAGTAGACTAGTCTACTAGTTTTACTACAGCAGATGACTCATTAATTTGGGGATTTGCTAAGTAGATGCATGTTCCTCCATTCCTCTACCCCCTCGTCACCAGACCCTTCATAATGCACTACACAGTCTTTTAAACCAATTCCTGTATACTGTAGTTTACTACTGTAGATTGCTTTTGTTGTTAAAATATTCAGAATCATGTAATCTATTTATGATTAGGATTCCCATTCAGGATTCCTTTTTTACTTCATCAGAGGGTACAATTTTTGACAATTGTAAACATTAGCAATTGTGGTCAAACAGAAAAAAGTCTGTTTCTGCTCCTTCTGGGGAATTGTTTCATTTTAAAAATTGCACTCATAATTTTGTAGGCTAGGTTACTAAATACTAGTCAGAACATTTAGATCTATACTAGAACTATATAAAATATGATATAAACATATTGTTATAACTGCTAGATTATGTAGTACCACGCTCCAAGCTTTTATTATCCCAACGAACAGGGCTTTCTGCACAGTATGATTCACTGTTGAACATTTCTGGCGCCTGCTTGAAACATTTCTTCAGCCTTAATGATTGATAATTAATGTTGATCGGGCAGTCTTACAATTGTCACTTTTGGGACCTGATTTCAAGTCTAAAAATTCACGTTATACAATAAGATTATGTTCGGAACTCAACAAATATAGCAATCGCTACCTCATCTAATTACACTTCGATTTATTCAAATAGAAACCAGGAAGTGTTTTGTTATATTGAGACTTCTTAATCAATTAATGTTGATCAATATAATAAAATCTTGATTCGATAAAATGAAGGGCTGGCTAACCTCTCCAACGACATCTCAGGTGCTGCAGACAATACTACAATTAATAAAGATCTTAATAATATCAACTGAAACCCACATTCAAGTGTAATACATGCATTAACTACAAAAATAGCTTTTGATTGAAAAATAAAAAAATTGATGTTCAATGATTAGTAAGAAAAAAGAAAGAATAAGTATTGCTATTGATTGAGATGATTTGATTTCAGATGGTGTTATTAGTATCAAAGGGATATTTTGTTAATGTTTATATTTTGATGCCTTATACTACTGTACTGTTTAAGTCCGCATGTTTATAGGTGGTAATATTGCGAGTAAAGTGAGTGGCAAATTTTTAGGCCAACAAAATTTTGCACCCAGTTGGGAAAAAATCCTGGGGAGAACCCTGGATAGAGTGAAGCCCTCTGCAAGTCCGTCCATCCATCCGTCTGTCTGTCCAGAAGATAACTCAAATACTAGTTGACCCATTTTCTTCATATTTAATAGAAAGATGTATATTAGTAAATAATTTTCACTGGCGGATACGGGGGGGGGCAGAAAAAAAATTGGGCCCTAGAAAAATGTTGGGCCAAAAAAAGCCCCAAAAGTGGGCCTTTTTGGTCATTACATAACCAATTGCTGTTACTTAGTTTACCATACCCTGAACTTAATCATTTAGTGATATTAAAAAACTCTTTAATGAGAGATAAATCTTGGGGATTTGTTGAATTTGCTTGCAAAAATTGCATGTCCCCTCATTTTAAAGGTTTTTACTGTGCAGTGCCTTATTAACATGTGTTATATCTATTTTCAGGATTATACATGTCCAAACTGCCAAAGTGGTTTCATTGAAGAAATAGCATCGAGGTAAGTTTAAAAATACATTCTAATTCCAATGATTGGCTTCGTACTAAAGAGGTACTGTTAGTTAGACTTTGGTACCCACCCATTTGACAATTTGATTGATTCCCTTTAATATCTGAAAGGGGAAAGCTTAAACAGTAGATATGATAACAGTCAAGTCAAAACTTGATTTATTTATAAAAACAAAGGGGCTCTTATTTTTGCAGTCAAAACTGTAGATGGCTTTTAATAAAAACAGGGTCTTGAACAACATATCAGAGCAATAGATGGCGCTGTTTAGTGTGAAAAGGAGTTAAAACAAAATCTTAACTTGGTTAGCAGCTACATTATTTTGACTGCCCCAGCTATATACTACAAAGTATATTGTTGTATTGCTATAAGTGTATTGTATTAAGTATGCTGAATGTGTTTTAGGGAGACTGGTCCTGTGCTATATGTTACAAAGTATATTGTTGTATTGCCATTAGCAGGCCCGTAAGACACTTTTCTCCAAGGGGGGTGCGGTTTTTAGCTTACTAAAGAGAATAAAAAATTGTCAATTTTTTTGCCGCGTAAATCAAATCGCGTAAGACAGAGGGGGGGGGTCAGTTACTCCCTATATTGGTTTGGAATTAACAAATGCAACTTCCAAACGTTCCAATTGTTTTGTGGGGGGTGTGAGGAGTGGTCCACTTCCCCCTAGAAAATTTTACAGTTTTGAGATGCTATTTGGTGCGATCTGGGCACTTTCAAAGTGTAAGTTTCTAAGTTAGTAGTACGCCACCACCACAAGAATAAGAGTTGAGTGAATAAAAAAGTGAGCATTCAGGGGGGTCTGGGGGTTCTCCCCCAGTAAAATTTAGAAATTTGCTTGTATTTGGAGCGAATTTGGAACCATCTGGTACGCCTGTGCGTTATGAGTCAATAAGAAAAATGTGAATTTTTTTCAAATTCTTTTGGGGGTGTCAAAGAGGATGAGAGGGTGAAGTTGGGTGGGGTGCCAGTAGGGGAGCAAGGGGTTGTCCCCCAGAAACATTGACCATATCAAGGTGCTATTTGATGATGTCTGGGCACTTAAAAAATGTCTGAGACAATACATGAAATTCAGAATATTTATTTTGTTTTGTGGGGGAAGTGAGGGATAGCTAACTCTCCTAGAAAATTTTACAATTTAAAGATGATATTTGGTGCTTCTTGGCACTTTTAAAGGTATAAAAAGTCAATAAAAACATTGAAAAACAATATCAATTTTTTTCAAATTTTTGGGGTGTCAAAGAGGGGGGAGAGGGGTGCCAGAGGGGGAGGTGGGGCTGGGGTGCCAGAGGGGGAGCAAGTGTTTGTCCCCCATATCAAAACTTACAATATCAAGGTGCTTAATTCCATTAGAAGTTTGGGCACTTTAAAAGTGTATGTGCCTAAAAGCGCATATTTCCCAAGAAAATTTTACAATTTTAAGATGCTATTTGGTGCTTTCTGGGCACTTTCACTTTGGGGGGGGGGTGTTAAGGGGAGGGGGCTGCCAAAGGGGGAGGTGGAGTCGGGATGCAAGAGGGCGAGTAGGTGTTAGTCTTCCAGAATCATTAACTTTATCAAGGAGCTATTTGATGATGTCTGGGCAATTTAAAAGTGTCTGAGACAATACATAAAACAAATTCAGAACTTTTCCATTGTTTTGTTTGGGGGGTGAGGGGTGGCCCACTCCCCCTAGAAAATTTTACAATTTTACGACGCTATTTGGTGCTTTCTGGGCATTTTCAAATTGTATGAGTCAATTAAAGAATTTGAGAAAATCACAATTTTTTTTTTTGGGGGGGGGGGTCAAGAGGGGGGGGGGGGGCGCCAGAGGGGGGGGGGGTCAAGGGGGGGGGGGGGCGCCAGAGGGGGGGTTATGCAAGTGCAAGAGGAGGGCAAGTCCCCCAGAAACACAAACTATATCAAGGAGCTATTTGATGATGTCTGGGCACTTTAAAAGTGTCTGAGACAAAACACTAAAATAAAGGACGATTCTCGGTTTGGAGAACGAAGTTCATCAATCTAAATGAGCATTATCCCTGCTTCGGACAAATTTGATTTTTTTACATAATAAAGATTTGAATGTCTTCTTTTGAATAGTCATAATTTAATTTGGGTAATATTTCTAGATTTTTCGCAAACAAATATTTGCTCAGTACACTGATGGACTTCTTTCCCCGAATCGAGACTTGTATTTATATTGAATCGGTCTATTTGAGCATTATCCCTGCTTCAGACCAATTTGTTATCTTTACATCTTGTAGATTTAAATGTCCTCTTTTGAATATTCAAAGTTTAATTTGGGTAATATTTCTATATTTTTCATGAAAAAAATTATTAGCCCAGGAGACTGTTCTCCAAACCGAGAATCGTCCTTTAGAACTTTTCCATTGTTTTGTGGGGGGTGTGAGGGGTGGCCAATACCCCTAGAAAATTTTACAATTTTAAGATGCTATTTGGTGCTTTCTGGGTACTTTCAAAGTGTATGAGTCAATGAAAAAAAATTACAAAAAAATATTTTTCAAAAAAAAAAATTTTTCAAATTTTTTTTTTTCAAATTTATTTTGGGGGGTAACAAAGGGGGGTGCGGTCGCACCCATCGCACCCCCCCATCTGACGGCCCTGATTAGGGTATTGTTGTGTTGCCATAAATGTATTTATTATGATGAATATTTTGTAAGGAAGCTGTAGTATTGCCATGAATGTATTTAATATGATGATTATGTTGTAGGGAGACTGGTACAGAGGAAAGCCAGGAAGAGTCCATTGATCCAGCTGCACAGTTTGCTGAGGTACTTTTCAATTAGTCTCAAAATGCTTTGAATAATAGAATATCAGTTAATAATAGAATATCAGTTTCCACAAGGAGAATCATTCTATTTAGCTTTCAATTCTTGAATGCTATATTTGTTTTAAATCACACTGCGTCATGTTGAAAGAAATAACATAAACTGCACTGGAATTTAAATTAAAATAAACCACTTTTCACAAACCATTTTTCATCCAGTCCAGTATCGTCTACTTTTTGGGATGGATAAATCGAGACATGTATTCCATGTACTATCATTTGGACATTTATTTCAGCTGTGGGGTAGAACATTTTTAGAAAGTTTTCGCCTACATTCTGGTCAAGAATCAGGGGGAGGGAGTGCAGACAACAGAACAGCAGAGGATGGTCCAGAGGAAAGTAACGGCCCAAGTAGTAACACAAGGAATGCTCAGTCAAGGCAAGTAATGTTCCCCCCTGCCAGAGTCCAGTTGCGCAGGACCAGAGGACATATGGACAGGCAACCACCTGGCATTGAAAAGTAAGTAACAATTTTAGTTTTTTTTTTTTTTTAGTTAGTTACATACCATTTGTACTTTATTGTCAAACTATGATACATAAATTATACATCAACTGACACTTTAACAAGTGTATGAAGTTGTTTTAGTGACAAAAAAGAGAATTCAATAATAACTATACATATTGGTTGCATATGTATGCATCTAACTTATGGCTAGTGGTGGTGGGTTAATTTGATTATGTCTTAAATACACTGAATATGACACATGGAATGATCCCTTGGGGATGTACTGGGGTCAAGAAAATATGAATGGAAAGTGTGCTTAACCCTTATCCTCCTTGACGTGCTTAAAAACGCGGCTCTATAAATCCCTATAGAGATATACTGATTATTTGGTGATACCATTATGGCAGTGTTAATATACAAACTGGATATTTCATCAAATCGAAAAGAATTATATTAAAACTACAGGGTAGGCCAATAAAAATTGGAACATTTTTCTATTTATTCAATTGCCTTCACTTCAATCCACAAAAATTCAGATTATGGTAAATTGATAATCTGTGAAAATGTTAAAGTTAAAAATATGTTCGTTTTCTCTTCTTGAGACATTACTGCTGAAAATACAGTATTTTTCCTAACAAACAATGTACCCTTCAAATGGTCTCAAAACAATTTCCATCAATAAAAACATATGTAGTTATCTCTAGGAGAGAACCAAGACATGCCTCCCTTGGATAATATAGCTTACTGACTTCAGCTTTTTTCAAAACTGGTATAATATGTCTCAAAACCCATCATTCAAGCCATGTATGACTGTCAAATACAGCTGAGACTGATTGTTCAGGGGGTTGGAGGACATGTTAAGGAAACCCTTGTGTTGAGTAATTAAATGATGAACTTGTATATGCATATTGAAGTTGACTAACAAAAAAGTTACAATGGATGGAAAAATGTTCCAATTTTTTTTGTTCACCCTGTATACCACAAATATCAAGAAAAATGGTGAACTAGAAGAATTATTAGCATCATTGCAGATTCTGATAGCGAAGAAGAAAGGTGAAATTTAAGTTTATGTTAGTCTTCTCAATCAATATTACTTTTCAAAAATAGTTATTTTATTCCTGATTTTATGCCGTCAGATAGTAGTGGTTGGAAGACTGACTCGTGTACTCGAGTTTTACTCTCATTTGTCCTAAAAATCAATTGATCGAGTTGAAAACTTGAACTCGCGATTTGAAATGTTTACCAAAAATTATTATTCACTCGTTTTCACCTTACCTTGACTCGCGATTCGTCTCTCCTATTCGCAATTTCCATGCTTATAGTTGTAATGTTCTGCTTATAATCTGTATAGAAAACAACTTATTTTCTATTTAATGCCATGTGCGGAAGACAAACATACTCGGATTTTATTCTGCGTTCGTTATTTTTATGCAAAAGTTTCATTTCCGGTTTGATGCATTCTGGGAATATCCAACAGCCGGGAATTTTAAAATATTTGTCTACCGCGGTGCATCCTGGAACTTTCTGGATTGACGAAGTTTGTTTTCACTATTTATTCTGTAAGTTTTACTATCTATAGGGGACTAGGGGTGAACTTTAGCGATCTATAGGGATGTGCAATACGATTTAGACAATAAAAAGTATAGAGGCACTTGAAAGACTTGATCAAATTGATGAATTCTGCCGCTACTTCGGAAACTGAAACCGGAAGTAACTCAACTAAGTCAAATCGCGATTATAATCGTGGTTTTTCATGGCCCACTCGAGTGGAGATTTTCAGGCGAGTCCGACCACTATCAGATAGTCATAAAACTGAACTTTTCCGCCATTTTAAATCAGGAGAATAAGGAAGAGGATAATAGTAAATTGAAAACGCCTCTGAAAATATTAAATGATCAACTCAAGGTAGTGGGGTTTTGCATTGATGTTGAAATGATATCATTATACTTGTAGTACTTATTAAAGCAATTTGAGAGTACTGTAGATTGCACATATTCTTCCCTCTATATGATTTCTGTCTTGAGGAAAAATGATCAAAATTGGCCACCTGAATGTAAGAATCTCTTCAAAGTGAACTTTTGTCCTAAATAAATATATTTTGAAATAGCTTACAATTATTTTTCATCTTTTAGATTCAATAAAATTCAATTGAGGGAAATCATAATTTGTTTGTTGGTATTTGTTTCATTGTGGAGTAGCTGTTTTCTAGTTGCTCATGAACATCATTGTCATGTTATACCCATTGGACATGATTTGTATATTTCAGTATAATCCAGCAATTACTAGGGGGCCTGGCGCAAGGGGCTGTATTCCATACAGTGCCAAGTGGTTTCCCTGGGGGTGGATTTGGAATGTGAGTACTGTTTATACATACATACAAGATATCCCATATTAAAAGTGCAAGTGATATGTTTTTTGTATCAACCATTTTTTTTATTTCACCTGAATTCAGATTTTAGTTTAGATAGATAGTCAGTGTTCAGAGTAATTTTTATAACCAATTAACTTACCAGGTGCTGACATTTGTATTGTTAATGCCTCGTTTTACACCTGTCAAAACTTGGTGAATTTGAATTACAATCAGAAATATTTGCTTTGTTTGATTGAATCTTTGTAAAATTTTGAGTAGTGTAAAACCTAACCCTTATATACATGTATTAGTCTCTTTACATCTCTGTTAATTATCAGTGATTTGTAGTAAAATACTCGAGACACTTTTATAGACTATTGCTTGGTTTTGCCCCGACCACTTTTACTTTACCTTTACTCATTGGGTTCATTGTCCATATTATTTTGAAATCACTGTAGGTAGGTAGCTCACACATATTTTTACAATATGTCCAATGTCTACTATCAACTTGAAATCACCAGGTAGCTCACACATATTTTTACAATATGTCCAATGTCTACTATCAACTTGAAATCACCAGGTAGCTCACACATATTTTTACAATATGTCCAATGTCTACTATCAACTTGAAATCACCAGGTAGCTCACACATATTTTTACAATATGTCCAATGTCTACTATCAACTTGAAATCACCAAGTAGCTCACACATATTTTTACAATATGTCCAATGTCTACTATCAACTTGAAATCACCAGGTAGCTCACACATATTTTTACAATATGTCCAATGTCTACTATCAACTTGAAATCACCAGGTAGCTCACACATATTTTTACAATATGTCCAATGTCTACTATCAACTTGAAATCACCAGGTAGCTCACACATATTTTTACAATATGTCCAATGTCTACTATCAACTTGAAATCACCAGGTAGCTCACACATATTTTTACAATATGTCCAATGTCTACTATCAACTTGAAATCACCAGGTAGCTCACACATATTTTTACAATATGTCCAATGTCTACTATCAACTTGAAATCACCAGGTAGCTCACACATATTTTTACAATATGTCCAATGTCTACTATCAACTTGAAATCACCAGGTAGCTCACACATATTTTTACAATATGTCCAATGTCTACTATCAACTTGAAATCACCAGGTAGCTCACACATATTTTTACAATATGTCCAATGTCTACTATCAACTTGAAATCACCAGGTAGCTCACACATATTTTTACAATATGTCCAATGTCTACTATCAACTTGAAATCACCAAGTAGCTCACACACATTTTTACAATATGTCCAATGTCTACTATCAACTTGAAATCACCAGGTAGCTCACACATATTTTTACAATATGTCCAATGTCTACTATCAACTTGAAATCACCAAGTAGCTCACACACATTTTTACAATATGTCCAATGTCTACTATCAACTTGAAATCACCAGGTAGCTCACACATATTTTTACAATATGTCCAATGTCTACTATCAACTTGAAATCACCAGGTAGCTCACACATATTTTTACAATATGTCCAATGTCTACTATCAACTTGAAATCACCAAGTAGCTCACACACATTTTTACAATATGTCCAATGTCTACTATCAACTTGAAATCACCAAGTAGCTCACACATATTTTTACAATATGTCCAATGTCTACTATCAACTTGAAATCACCAGGTAGCTCACACATATTTTTACAATATGTCCAATGTCTACTATCAACTTGAAATCACCAGGTAGCTCACACACATTTTTACAATATGTCCAATGTCTACTATCAACTTGAAATCACTAAGTAGCTTACACACATTTTTACAATATGTCCAATGTCTACTATCAACTTGAAATCACTAAGTAGCTTACACACATTTTTACAATATGTCCAATGTCTACTATCAACTTGAAATCACTAAGTAGCTCACACATATTTTTACAATATGTCCAATGTCTACTATCAACTTGAAATCACTAAGTAGCTCACACATATTTTTACAATATGTCCAATGTCTACTATCAACTTGAAATCACTAAGTAGCTCAAACACATTTTTACAATATGTCCAATGTCTACTATCAACTTGAAATCACTAAGTAGCTCAAACACATTTTTACAATATGTCCAATGTCAACTATCAGCTGAAATTCTAGCCCAAAATGAGTGAATCCAACAGCGCATCACCTGCGTCGGAGTTCCATTTAGGAGGCTGCAGTTTCTCATGATCCATATCTAAGTTGCTCACACATATTGTACTGATGTTCATTTGCAGGCCTACTATGTTCAACCTTCATGGAAACCCAGGAGACTATGCCTGGGGGGCAGGAGGTCTAGATGCCATCATAACACAGGTAAGTGAAGGTTAATTGACATTTTACTACAATTTATAAACACTAAGATATGATTGCAGTTTTAAAAGATTTCTCTTTGAATTTTGAATTAATCTTAAAATAATATGGATGTATTTCAGCTCCTCAACCAACTAGATGGCTCTGGGGCGCCACCTGCTGACAAAGAGAAAATAGACAGCTTACCAACCATAGAGATTTCTAATAAAGATATAGGTAAGGATTATTGTAATTTTTAGAAGAGATGCAAAGTTGAATATAAAACACATATGGGATATCAATTGACATAAACACACTGTCCAAAACCATGGGATAACGTATATGAACCTGGATTGGACTTTTAATCAGGTACAACATTACATTTACATAAAACAGGAGATGGTGTACTATGCAAGCCTCCAATTTAGATTTGATTGACTTATAAATGCAAAAATATAATAAATGGTACATAATTGTATTTCTATTCCAGACAATAGAGTAGAATGTTCAGTGTGTATGGAAGAATTCCATCTTTCTGAGAAAGTCAGGGTTCTACCTTGTCAGCATAAATATCACACTGACTGCATAGTTCCCTGGTTAGAATTGGTGAGTAAATTGCCCAGTTGCAACATAAATATTCTCCTATTTCCCCCATTTCTTGTAAGCTTACTTACTAAATTGTTCTTGTACTTATCTATAATTATGATGATCTGCTTTACCCTTTAACTGAGACTTAAGGGGTGTTTACACTGGCAGGCAAAATGCTTGAAATGGAGCGAAAAGGCCGAACTGCTTGAATTGTTTAAAACGAAAATGAAAGTAGATTAGTTGAAATGATTGAAATGCTTGAAATGAATCTAGCATTGAAACGGAGGAAATGATGCATGTATTGATGCGATTGAACTGATTGATACAATTTTCAGTGTATACACTTATACATACAGAGCTTTAAGATAACTAATTGCAACCATATCCCTCTATGAATTGAATGCAAATAAGATCCTACTACACTTATTCAAAAATGGACTTTAAAATGGTCCTCATGGTAAAATACATACTCCTTAGTTCTGAAGAATGATAACGACAATTGATTTGATTTCTCTAGTATTATAAATTCTTCTCTCCAAAATTATTTACGAATTAGATAAGAACAAACCATGCAATTAAAAGTAAATTAATTGTTTATTTCTAGCATGGCACATGCCCTGTGTGCAGGAAGGACCTCAATGGGGAGGACACTAGTACAGATGAATTTATTCCTGAAATGGACTTAAATGACATGGACACTTCAGCCACCAATTCAGACTCTACCTCTAATAGACCGCCAAACTATGAGGATTATGAGCATGATTAGGCCTGAGTGAGGAATGTGGCAGTGTATTTTGGATTCCTGTAAGCTTGATGATGCTATATACATTGGGCCCAGGAGACAATTTCAGAATTTTACAGAATGTTCATCAATTTATTTGAATGACAATTTTTGAGATCTCAGTCTTGGTTTACAGTTTACACCCAAGAGCGATCCTGATAACTGTAACTGTGTAATGAAATAATTGATTGTATGCTGTATTATTGCCAAGCTGGTTCTTTAGCTCTTTATTTGTCAACATAAAATGTCAAGAATTTAAAATATTGACCTAACTTTCGATTTTGCCATTTTTTGACAAATCCAATGTATTTTATAGCTTAACAATTCTAAATTCTTTTCTCTCTACTGTATCAGCAAACAATTTTTCAAAGATATTTGTTATTAATTGGACTATTGAATTTATTGCTCCAGTTTGAATGCAAAAATCCACAAATCAATATAGTCAAAGATCAAATAATCCCATGGTTTTAAAGAGCTGTTCATAAGTCGCGTGTGAAAATTTGGAGCTTTCTATCTTTGGCATATTTCGAATGATTCTGAAATATTTTTTTGAAATTATCATCGGGGTCTTATTGTATATAAAACGTTTGTAAATAGACTAAGTCTGATTTGTTTAAAATCATCACCAACATCAGTGCAGTTACAATGCCCTTTATATTCCATGGGCTTTATATATATTGGGAGCAGAAAAGAAGTTCATATATGCAAGTTCATTTATGCAGATCATTCTTGCTTCAAATATATACTCCTGTATCACATAAAGGAAAGCATAGGACAGAAGAAAAACTTTTAGTTGTCAGTGTCCTAATTTTTCTCAAATAAAAAGAAGATATCTGCATACAAAATGAGTGGAGGTTATTAGTTTCACATTTCACACAATATTTTAAACATTACATGAATGATAAGACTTTCTGGAAGGTAACTCAACATTCACAACTATACATTGCATATGCTTATTCTGTCCAGTCAATATATACTAAGCTGAGTTTAACAAATCACATGTTTTGAGTGAATAAGTGGTTGTGGTATTTGGCACTAGGGCTGATTGTCTCAAGAATGTAATCTTATTTTTGCTTGCTTTGAAAATTGAAATTGCCAAGAAATAACTTCGATTTTGTTATATTTACTTTAATGCATACTTTTTAGAATTGTCAGAACTCTATTCTTCCCAGTAGATATCAGTGCACCAAAAAGTCTCTAGGTAGGCAGAGTAAGATGAATTTTGAAGTTGTTGTTAGAGCTTAAATCAGTGTGACCTACCCTAAAATAGTAACATCAATTTCATGAAACAGATAATAATGCATACAGTAATGGATGTTTTAGATTAAGGGATTTGTGTCTGCTAACAAGAACAAGGTATACATTAACAATACACTTGCTTTTACTACTTTAAGAATGAGGTATTCTGAGGGTTAGGCCTGTTTAAGTGGAATGTCTTTTTAGAGTCAAGTCTCTTGAGAATTTTGAATTATAGAGAATGGGGAATTGGTCCCCTTCCTTCAAAATATCCTGTTCACTAGGCAATTAGCCTAAACAAATGCATCTAACTCTTTATGTCATAAGAGAGATTGTATTGGTAACTAGTTTACAGCAATCGTTGAAAACTGTCATATAAGTTTACATGGAAGTCTCTTTAATGAGTGAGATATAGCACTTATAGGATATCAGAAAAACAGACTAATGAACTATTCAATAGTACATGTACACATATTCTGTCTTTATATACTTGCTTAGGACTTGGGACACATTAAACACAAATATACAGAAATCTAAGAGCAAACGTATGTTCATGTATACATAAAATTTGAACAACAAACATTTTATGAGAGAGGTATAAAGAACATGAGTCGTCACAGTATGGGAAAGGTACCACAAATACTATTGTGGTATTAAGATGTACTTCGGCCATGAGCAATTGTATTCCTATCCTGGGATGGGAGATATCTAAGTATGGCATGAAATATTACCTAAAGTTTATGTCATGTAAATGAAATAGTAATAAATCTTTTTGTAATAAATAAAACACAAAAAGTGACTTATTATTTCAACAATGTTTATTATTTAATAAATAATTTATACAAAATTTTTGTACAGTTTCTTAGTTATATTTCATAAAGTGGATATAATATGGTTTACTGCAAGTTTTCATTTAACAAATATCAAGAAGACAATGATGTTTATGAACATCATCCAGTGGGATTCTGGCATTTTGTCTAATTTAAACTTCCATTGGCAGTGTAATTCAAATGAAGGTATTCTGCAATTTTAAAAGCTCTACTATAACTTAAAAATAACCTCAGCTTCAAAGAGATTGCAACTTATGGCACTCTTTATTAGTGTTTGTTTTCATTGGAAGTTGAATTTGAAGTTCAAAGAGGGAAAAACTCGTTAACTTGTCTTGGGCGTGACTAGAATAGAATATAACAAAATGTGAATGAATTTAAAATTAAATAGTAATTAAACATCAGATACATTCACATTCCCATTGTGTTACTTGATATCCCATCAAAAACAGACATCATTTGGTAAAATTGTACATACAGTAAAACCTGTGATTGAACATTTTTTGTCAAGAAGAACTTTCAGTGTTGGTAGGTGTTCGCTACAGAGAGATTAATTTATGCATAAGTCAGTAGGGTATGTGTGGAGGAAGAGTGTCCACTAGACACAGGTGCTCACTAGAAAGGTGTTCACTAAGACAGGTTTTACTGTATACGAGTATCCAATATCTATACAATTATTATTCACTACTGACACCAATACAGTGTTCCATTAATGAATTATTGAAAGCTTCATATTCAAATACAAACTAAAACAAGACAACAGCAATATAGCACTTTCATAAAAACTGAATGTAGACTCATAGCTGGCATAATACTGTACCAAAATAAGTATCAAAACCTTTACATCTTCCTTCATACTGTTATAAAGATGATAATATAGTACATGAATGTCCGATACTGCATCCTATGAGCAAAATATTTGTACAATGAACCCCTAAAAGGTCTGAAGGTGAACACTTTATTACGGGGTACATAACCCCTAAAGAATATCAGTGTACTAGTATACTACTGTGGGAGTCAATGAAGATTTACCAGATATATCTTGAAAGTTGTTCAGTATAGAAACTGATTCGATTATACTATGGAGAAATTTTGAAATAATATTTATGTCTAGCTTGATAAAGGTGGTGTTCATAGATACAAGTGTTTGATGATACAAGAGTTTGATGATACAAGTTGATCATATTTATGGCAAGTATTCATCATCAGATTCAACTCCTGTCTCAATGTTCCTTGTAAGCATATAATTGTCCATGTCAATTGAGCGGCAGTTATTGATGGCATAGCGCATACGGTCAGCCATCTTGGATTTACTGGAATATGGAGGGAGACGGAGCTGGAAGAAGCAGGTCTGTGATGTAGGGAGACTGTCTATTGCCTGGAAATATCAATGGAACTATGGTTATTTGTTAATATAATTCATATATTGTTCATTATTCAGTTATTTGCACAGCTGAGACAATGTAATGAGCAATCTACTGTACAATGTGAAGTATGAAACACATGTTATTATAGTTGTTATATTATTGTTAACCAAGTGACAGAGTGGGACAAATGTCCTCCACCATGAAGTATTCTTCCACTTCATAATATCATAAAGTTTTATCATGGAAATTCAACCATTCATAGTGCCCAACTTGAAAATGGGATTTGGGTGAATTCTGGACACCACTGGATCTATTGGGAAGTACAGTTCCACTTTGTTCCACTCATACAGTTCCACTTTGTGCTGGTTTGTGTGCCCCAATGCTTCATCCCTTATGCAAGTAATAACTACCTTATCAACTCTCATGATCTGGAATCTCTGGGCTATATCTGATGGGTTGACAGGAAGGCGAGATCTCCCAGAAACAAAGCGCATGAAGAGAACCTTCTCCTCTGAGGTGAATGCCTCTAGATTCTCCCAGAACCACTGTATCAATGGGTGGCCCTCATCCACCTCACGGTATCTACAATCATTAGAGGAATTCTATACTATTTCAATATATATATTCAAATTCTGTTATTCTACCAAAGCCTGCGCCATATGTTTTAATATCAACGACATTTAATGTGTGCTACCAAATGCCACCATCATCCATTATATCACAAGAGCCCATTTTTGAAGCTTGACATAGAACGACAATGGAACCAACCTTAGTACCTTCTGTAAGTTCCTACCATGGAATATTTTTAGTTCAATTATTAAATACAAAACACTGAATTGTGGAGGATCAACCTAGAGGATAAAAGCATTATTAAGACTCCCTCAAATGTGTTAAGAATGTACCTGACAACTTTCTTGAGTATGTGTGTTTGTATCTCAGGTATGCCACAGACCAGCTGTTCTAAATACCTAGCAGTGAGAAGAGATAACAGAGGCACTGGAATAACACATGCCATACCCTCCCTTATAGCAGCAACCTGAAAAAACAATAGTTGTATCATATTATAAAGGAGTCATTAGGGGTTTCATTAGCAGCAGCACTAGCAGATCTAGATGGTTATGGATTGTCAATAACGCATTGCATATACTGAAATCAGATGTGAATCGAATCTATGCCCTGAAATTGGTCAGAATGCACCAAATGATGTTCAATTATCATCTAATTTACAATTAACTGAATGTATTATTTGTCTAGGTAATACCCACCTGCAAATCTGTTTCATGGGCTCGACAATAGATGGCTCTCTCAACATAAACATGTCTATTACTGAAGGTCAGTGGGATACTGTTCCCTCCGGGCACAATAGGTATGGTCCTTCCATCTGCACTGTGGCCCTCAAATGTGTCAAGTGGGATCATCTCATTGAAACTGCACTCATTTATCCCACTCAGGTGGATGTCATTGATGCCTTGTAAGCTTTGGATGTACAGGAGGTCCACCTGCAATTGGTATAAATTATCATCATGCTTAGAATTCCATGTAATTGCAATTCTGATATGAAATTATTTAAAGCTCAGTGTTTTCATACTGTTTTCATACCTAAAACCCAGTACTCATAATTTATCCATAACCCAAAATGAAAGTTTGTAGATGAGATGAATCCTTACCTCCTCCAAATCCTCCTTGTTAAGTGGCATTCCAGCCAGTTGTTTCCAGACTACTGGGGCAAGGTGCAGATGTAGAGGTTTCTTAGTTCTTATAGCAACAGCAAATAGGATCCCTAGGAACTTTAACATGGACAGATGCTCATCTGATGTCATTGCAGGGTTTAGTATAAACCTGGAATAAAATAAGTTTAATTCTAAAAATTAAGTTAAGAAATCAACAAAGTACATCTAGTGGATAATATAAGGGGCTTTATAGGCAATATCTGAGGATGGTATGGATATCTATTTTTAGATCTCCATACTGGTATGGTAATTCATTTTGAAAGCAAGATGCTTCATACCTGACCTTGTGCCTGGTTTGACAAATATCTTATATGGATCAACATTACCATTACAGGAGTAAAACAATGATTAATTTAGCAAAAATGAATGAAGCTGATTAAACATAGGCTGTGAATTATATCTGCACCTGTCTCTGTTGTAGCCAGTCTCATTCTGTCCATTGGGAGTAGGAATCAGCAATGGCACTACTCCAGTCTCTAACTCCTAAAATATGAGAATTCAAAAATGAAACAATAAATACATACAAACCACATATGAATTTTCTAATATTCTGGTCATAAGGGTTTCACTGTAATTTCTGAACAATTGTCTGAATAAATAAATGCAAAAATTACATGGTTACAACTTACAATGTACAAGTACAGCCAACTGTTTTTACATTTTATGGATTCAATTATAGGCTTATCAAACCGGGAGGGCTTTCATAATCCAATGGGTGAGTTACTTAAAAACATAGCTTGGCAGACAAACCTGACACATTTCAGTGATAGTATCATCAAAGACTCCCCCTGCGTCATCGGCCCCCTCTCCTATAAGCTTCACCTTCCAGGCTCTAGCTGGGAGTCGCAGCTCTGCAGGCTTCAACTTCACAACCTGTCGCGCAATCTGAGTAAATATTGGCTTGCATTTCTTTCCCCTGAAATAAGACAATTCACATACATTATATGGTCATGTCTTGCATGTTTCTTCCTTCTAGTTTGTTTAAGTTTTAATTTGATGACATTTCAAAGTACATTGTGTGTCCTCCATCATTAAATGGTTTTGATAGTATTCATTGTGACCCTCTTAAAACACTTTGCCCTTTGTGCTGGAATTTGAAATTGATCTTTATGACCTCATTACAAGTTTCCCAAGAGCTCCCACAGGCAGACCAAAAATGCTTTCAAAGATGAAAGATAAATTCCAGAGGCTAGTTTAAATACAATATATAATTGCACTGATACTGTGATACATCCATTAACATTCCAGAATATTTATTGAAATAAATAAGCATAAGTTATATATGAGGAGTTAGATCAATATATGTGATATATATATATTAAGCAATGGTAGACATTAACCATCTGAACTTGCACTTTATATTGAGAAACTCACCTTGTAGAGAGCCTCTTGACTGTAATCTGGGGACCATAGTTCTTCCCCTGCACCATTGTCTTTCCTATTGACCTCACCATGGCCAATGTGTAAACCCGTGGTGCTAAGATATTGCGTATCCGTCCGTTAATCAACCCCTCAGTGCCTGAATTTTTCATTAGGAGATCATCTTGATTGGGTGCGAGATTCAGAAGCCTCCAAGATGAGTAGATGAGATCAGAGAAATGATGCAACACACGAAGCCTTGATTTTATTGCCTCAATGTTACAGCTTTGGAGGTGGGAATACTGGGCAGGGATCTCTGAGGGTGTGCCTAGCTGGGACCAGGCTGAGGACACCCTGGATCTGTTTGGTAAGGGAGGTGCACTCCAGGCTGCAGAGTGGGTCCTCCCAGCACTGATCTGACGCACATTCTCTCCGGAGAGGCTGGGGATAAGAGTGGGTTCCCTCACAGCACCTAAACAATATGAATGAAGTTATATCAATCCAAGTCCACCTGCTCTAACCGAAATTACTCAATTTTGGAACTGTTGCCATATTAATTTTTGTGCCGAAATCTGCTGGCTCAGATATACAGACTCAAGGTGTCTGGGCCACAATTATGTTGCACCCTGTAGGTTGTACTGACCTGTATGGGAGAGGCCAAGCTGACCATCACCATTACTGCCCCAAGCCCATACATCTCCAGAGCTGGTTAGGGCCAGGGTGTGTTCAGAGCCCACTGCAATGTCCTCTATGAAATAACCAGACAGTGCTGCCACCTCCTGGGGCCGACTGAAGTTATGAGCAGATGGCTCAGTCTGCCCAATCAGTCGATCTACAGAAGAATAGATACACATGCTGAATAATCAACAAAGTGTCATTTATTCGTAAAAGTGGATATAATCTAACCAAGTCACCTAGCATTGGGTCTCAAAATTTTCTCAATGGGCCTTTTAGCAAAAATGAAAAATTGGCATCAATTTAGTTTAAATGGTGATTTCCCATCTCCTCTTTTTTAGAATTTGCTTGAAAGTCAAATCATCATTCAAATATCCAATATTTCTATTCCTCATGATCATTCAAAAGAAGAACTTGGAAAACACATAAAAGAAAGCAATCCTATTTCAACTACATGTATATGTAAATATATGTAAACTATACGACATACCTTGTCCCCAAGTGAGCACCCTTCCATCTTTAGTCAAAGCTACACTGAACTGTGTACCACATGCTACTTTTTTAATCCCAATACCACTCAAGCTCTCAATCTTGGTTGGCATAGCTTTAGATGTGGAGTTACCATGCCCCAGTTTGCTATAATCACCATCCCCGAATGACCAGACTGTGTTCCCATCTGTGGACACACACAGAGTGTGGTTGAGACCACAGGCAACCTGGAAACATTTGAGATATTTCTTTGACTAAACTGTACATGAAATTTTAGAGTACATTTAGAGATAACATCAAAGCATGAATAGTGAATACAAATCATGGATTAATTTAATATGTCCTTTGAAAATTAGCAGATGAGGTTTATCTGACTGGTTTAAGTTACGAGTACAAATCAGAAAAGTTCAACTACATAATATAAAGGAACTATGTTTTAACATACAGTGGTTATATTTACACGCATTCCATAGTAACTTCAGAGAACAAAGCAGGCTATAATGGTTAAAGCCTAAACCCTCCAAAATTAATGAATTGATATAAATGAGTTACAGGCCCATAGCCAGGATTTGCCAAGGGGGGTTCACTTTTTGAACCCCCAACCCCCCCTGGCTACAGGCCTGAGTTATGCAAATAAAAACCATAGCCTATTCAAAAAACATTGAAAACAGCTCACCATTCTAATCTGATACGATTCAAGGCCTGTGACCCTCTCAGGCACTTTCTTGTTGGATGTAGACCCCAGGCCAAGTCTACCATAATCACCATTACCAAAGGTATACAGCTTGCCATCTGCTGATACTACTGCACTGTGCTTGAACCCACAAGCAAGCTGCAACATAATGAGGGGATGAATATTGAAAATCAAGTTGTTCTACTTGTATTTTACAATTCTACTGTAAACCAATTCACTTCATTTTATGGAATGCTTTGATCAATTTTTCAAATATGAGTTAACATTTACCTTTAAATGTTTCACGACTAATAATTTTTGAAAAATAACAATGGAAATGTTTATGTTTTTTGCAAATACACTTGCATAACATACATGTATAATGTCCTCTCCTTGTAAAGCTTCGATTTGTCTTGGACGTCTCTGACGGTCACTGTTGCCGTGTCCCAGCTTACCATAGTCCCCGTCCCCCCAGCTGAACACCTCCCCGCTTTCTGTCAAAGCGAGGCTGTGGCCATCTGAGCCAACAGATGTCACTAGCTGAGTCACGATAAACCCTGATGAGTAAAGAAAGCACAAATAGTAATAGGATGCATTAGAAAAAATAAAAAAATAGGCTCGTTGTATGAGCCAAACAACTCAATCTAGTCGCCAGCTAAATACCACCCATTTGAAATTTACAGAAAACACTAATCCCATATACAATACATACCATTTTCTTCCTATTTCGAAGAGCGTGACACATATAAGTTCTTTGAGCCTTAAGATTAGAATATTTTTACCCCATGAATGTTGTTCTGTATTTTAACTGAAGTAATGCTGCCTGTTAAGATCAGACATGTAATCAATATAACTTTTCCCTAAAAAGCATAGGAAAGTTGCATATATCATTATCATCCAGCTATATACCTTGAAGGGCTGAGACAATGGTTAGAGAGTGGAGGTCATCTGAGTTGCCTTGCCCTAGCCTGCCATAACTGCCCTCCCCACATCCTAGCACACTCCCATTTGACTGGATCACAAATGTGCAGTTCTGGCCACATATAATCTGAAATGGCAGGGAAAAGTTAGAAAAAATAATGCTTTATCAAACACAATAATATAAAGATAGTATTCACACTACCCAGCACTTCTGCAACCTTGTAATAATCAGATGGATGATTTCTCAACTCACTACTTCAACAATAAAACATGAACCATCTTTCTTCTCAATTATACAAATTTGAACACATTAGCATTAACATATCCTACCTAAAATATTACCATCTGGTAAATAATTGTAAATGGTTACAATGGTGTCACAGTTTGTTACAAATGTCCATTCTTGATGATATTGACATAAATAATTTGAATTCAAATATTGTAGTATAATATAACAGCATTGTGAAAAATATACAGTGCATACACTATTAAGTTTCAATCAAAAATAGTTAAGGAAACAGACACACGATTGATGGAATCAAGGAAGATCACACAAAACTTGCCTGTTGAGCAGAAGAGAAAGAAGCAGCCCGGGTTGGAACCACAGCATTACGTCCAAGTTCACATAACTGACCATGTCTCCCTCCTCCCCAAAGGAAGGCATCACACTTGCCACCAAGCTGCCAGTCCTCTGGTCTTTGTGTTGCCCAGCTCATTATTTGTTCATCATGGTTCCAGTCCCACTTGGTGTTGTCCTGTCAGAAATATTTATCTATTTAATTGTTTTTTGGAACAGAGTCCTAAGAAAAATGCATAATACCAAGATTTTGAAGTGTGATAAACTTGAGGACTTCAGTTTCTGTTTTTTTCCTTTGACTTCCTAGTATAACCAAGCTCTTATTCTTTAAAGAGAAAATCTGTTATCAACTTTGTTTAACTAGCAATGATTAAACAAGCAGTGATACAAAATAAAGATGGCATTATGGTCATTCCTCCTATTAAAATGTAAATAACCATAGAACTGGGCAACAACCTACCAAAGCAATCACATCAGATTTCTTCACTCCATCAGATCCCGTGACAGCATTGATGAATGCACTGGGGAATGTTCTCTTCCTGTATATAGCATCTGATGCCTTTATGGCACTACAATAGTTGTATAACCACATCCATTCTGATATCATAGACTGGGACACTGAAATCAACATGAAGTGTATATAGCATCTGATGCCTTTGTGGCACTACAATACAGTAAAACCTGTCCGATGGAATACCTCTCTGTAGGGAAAACCTATGAACAAGGAATGCTTTTCAAAAGAACCGAATATTTTTCCATTGACTTACATGTTAACGGACCCTCTCTGTAGGGAAAACCTGTGAACAGGGAATAAGGAACACTATTTTGGGGCAAATTATGAAAATTCACCTGTGAACAAGGAATATTGGTGACACTGTTTATTCCATTATTTTTCAGAGGTGTGAAAGTCTTAAGCCAATATCTGAATATAAAAAGCTTGGATTAATATGATTGAGATAAAGATATGCCAATTGTTTACATGATGGAGCATCCCACCCACTGTTAATTAACCTGATTTATTTTAAAACTAATACTAATCTGTTTGTTACTTAATATCATGACACTAATTCTTCCTTTCAAAAACCTAATTGCATCAAATCAGTTGTGATAATCTTGGGACTGACACAATTGTTTTATGGAGATAACAGATAGTAAGTAAATGGACATGTTGAGCCAAATCTCTTTAAATCTTTTACTGATCCAACTTCTAGATGAAACTTGAAATTCAGTTCTTAGCAATATATCTCTACACATCATATCAATAATTACATCAACTAGACATCATCAGACGCTAGCAGCAGCTAAAATCAAAATGGGGAGAATGTAACCAAGTATGGAGCCAGCATTTGTAAAATCAGTCAATATATATACAAATATGCTTATTCGGCAAGTTTGAGTTTGCTGAAAGTGCGGCCCCTCTCTATAGGGAAAACCTCTGAACAAGGAAACTTTCCCCCAGTCCCAAGAGCATTCCCTGTTCGCAGGTTTTACTGTAGTTCTATAACCACATCCATTCTGATATCATAGACTGGGACACTGAAATCAACATGAAGTGTACGTATATAGCATCTGATGCCTTTATGGCACTACAATAGTTGTATAGCCACATCCATTCTGATATCATAGACTGGGACACTGAAATCAACATGAAGTGTACGTATATAGCATCTGATGCTTTTATGGCACTACAATAGTTGTATAGCCACATCCATTCTGATATCATAGACTGGGACACTGAAATCAACATGAAGTGTATATAGCATCTGATGCCTTTATGGCACTACAATAGTTGTATAGCCACATCCATTCAGATATCATAGACTGTGACACTGAAATCAACATGAAGTCAAGTTGGTTATGATGTATTATCATCGTGAAACATGCAAAACAAGTATGTTTTTAAGACTGGCAAAACGCTTTCAGCATTCAATATATCCATATAGTTCCAAAGAGGTAACAAGGTATAATGATGAATTTAGGTGACTTTTTGAAAAATTGCCACGCTTTTACAACATTTTTTGTTCGCAGCACTTTTTTCTGAAGAATCCAATAGTAAAATAATATCAATTGGACAATTATGCATCTTATATCATTAAAGACCTCATGATTAGATATTTCAAATTGGAAAAGTTTCTTTTGTTGCAACCTATTACAAGAGAATAACAAAAATTGTGAATCATTTGCAGAAAATTGACTGTATTGTGTTCTAAGTTGAGATGGAAACATTGTCCATTCATTAAATCTAAACTTTCAGCAGTAAAATAATTCATGAGTCCTACCATCCTGAGCTTTCATATGAGGCGGACAGGGCATAAAGCAGAGAACCTCATCTAAGCGTAGGCCTACAGTGAGAGAGGCCAGGCATTGCAGATAGCTGCTGTGTGTCAGTTGGTCCCCACTGTGAACAAGACTCTGTAAAGCAACAGCAAAATAATACACTACAAAGGAGCAATAAAGAAAGAGCTTGTATGCAAGAAATTGATGCAAACAACCAATACAAGTTTACACCTGGTCTAGTACAATGTTTCCAAACAGTACTATTATCTATAAATGTATCATCGTTTTTTATTTGATAATCACAAAACAAGCATTTCTTGTTTTATTTACATGTTATCCAAGACACAGGAACTAGAAGATTTGATCTGCCCTCTATAAAGTCATTGAGTGCATTATTCTAAATTTATAGAACACATATTATATGATACCATAATTCAATTAAAAATATGTAAGTGCTAACCTTTTCATAGAGATATTGTTCCATTAGTATGAGTGGGAGACGATGGAGTAAGTTCTTAAGACAAGACGCTTGGCTTAATCCTACAATTCCTTGCAGTTTAAGTGACTTCCTGCACAAAGCTAGTACTTTATACCTACTATAGATGTCAGGACTGTAGTGAATAACCATCACATCCTGAAAAAGATGAGTTAAGAATGTGAATGTTCCAACATACTCATTTCCAGAGGTGTACGAGTACATGTTTTGTTATATAAACAGGTGCTTATTTATATTCAGAGTTTTCTTACATGTATATTTTTTCATTTGATAAACATGAACAATGTTCAACAAAGCCCAAATGTCCAATATAAGTCGTATCCTGCTTATGTCAAGGTTGTTCTAAAAATGCATAAGAGAATACGATTAAAGGGTCTTGTCACTCTTAAACTGTTTTTGCATTGAAAATGGGACCCTTTCAATATTTCTAAAATATGACATAATGGGTAAGCCAATTCTTCAGGCAAAACAATCAAGACTCCTAAATCCCAAAATTTAAAAGAAACACTACTATTCACACACTACAAAGAGATGATATTGTACCTTAGATCTACTGTAGCATGCTGCTAGACCATGGTCACCATACCAACACAGACTCTGGACTCCTCCATCACCTGTCACAGTTTGCAGTAAGGCACTTTCCTGATCATAACAAAACACACATATACAATATAGTACCCCACACACAATTTTGTCGCCTACTTTGATGTATTGTAGAAAAATATCCAAAAAGAGTTTGCTTATAAAATTTGGCACACTTAAACTTGAAACATTTTGTGACACTCAAATTTTTTTATTTGGAAATTTAAGTAATATTGACGAAAAACAACCAATTTTAAAATATTCATGTTTTAACAAAATTCGACGAAAATTTCCAGTTTTGCAGTTTTAGAGAGAGTTTAAATCATTTTGATAACATTTTGATTACAAACTTATTGCATTACATATGGTTTGTCTGTTCTCTTAAGATATTGTTACTATGTGTTGGAGATGTTTAACTCCTAAACAGAAATATTGTAAGTGTGGTTTTATCATTGTTTAAGAGTGAAGACCCCTTTTAATACTTTCAATACATGGACAGGTGCATGTATCATATGATTTGTTGGCTTAAAGTCTAAAAAGGTTTATCAGGGCACCAAAACACATCCCTGCTTGGATTTCTATCCCATCCTACCACTACAGCATTTCCTACTGTCTCACTCGATTAAAGAGTAGCTCGCATCTCATAAAATCTCAAGAAAATTGTTGTATTTTGTTTAAGACAATTAAGGCATTATTAACAGTGAGCTTGCACTCAATTTTTCATTGGCCTACGATCGGGAGGCCTTATTCACCCAATACCTCATATGTGGCCACCGACGGCTTACCTTTTGTTGGAAATGATTCACTTGGATTTAACATGTGAACTTTCAGGGGTAACATCATAACATTGTAACATTATAACAGTCACTCCTGCTTGGTTCAGTTTTGCTTTTACCAGTGGATTATAATGGTGTTTAATAGGAAAGGATTGACCAGAATATTCAAATTGTTTTGTAATCAATTTGTTACAAATTGTTTCAAAATCTACCTTAATTTAGGTCAAATCTGTAAATGCGTAGCAATTTAGAAACCGAAGTCAAATTGTGGTGAAGTCATATTACCCCAAATAAAAAAATTCGAGTGTCACAAATTGTTTCAATTTAGTGTATGCCAAATTTCATGAGAAAACTCTTATTGGATATTTTTCTACAACACATCAAAGTAGGCGACAAAATTGTGTGTGGGGTACTAAGCATGTAACACAGTGGCGTAGTGTGGATATTTTGTTAGTGTACGCCACGAGTGAGTGCATCGAACTAGCTTTGAGGGTTGGGCTTGGGGGTTCTCCCCCAAGAAAATTTGAAAATGATATTGCATTTAAGGCATTCCGGGGCGTTTTAAAACACGAAAGTCCAACTAATGGGGACTAATAACATGCAAATTATTAGCTGTTTTATCCATTTTTAAAGTGTAGCACAATTCAATATAAAAAAACAACCTTTCTCTTAATTTTGAGAGTAGGGTAGAGTCACATGGCTTTTAATGCGTATATGACGCTACACACCATGTATTTTAATCATGACTACACTGGATTTAAACATAATATGTGAGTGCAATTCTTCATGGAAGAAGAATTTAGGTCAATGGTAAAATGCTAAGAATCAGAGACTGACATGATTTTAAGTTCCTTTTTGAGATGGCATAATTGAAGAATATTTGTTGGTTCCTTGTGAATATTTCTTGCAATTATATTACTCTTCTATGACAGATTCTACATTTTTATTATATTTCCTCTAAGTTCATGGAATTGATGTTTGGTTTTTGTGATGAAATATTATAGATATCCATTTTATCAACTTCTTAAAATACAATATTGATGTATTCACACTACTATACCTAACCCCTAGAAATGAATAAGATACTTTGTTTGTCTAATTGTATTGTTTAGTATATTTTTGAAAGTGCCTTATTAACATCTAACATTCAACCGATAAACCATTAATAAGGAACAGACAAATAAAAACAAATACATAATCATTACTAATAAGCCAAATGGGTTGCTCATGAACACCAAATGCAAGGTATAGTTGAGTGGTATTACCTGAAGTGAGAATATATTGGTCCACCCTTTGGTACAGCCAGTGGCCAGTAGCAGGGCATTAGGGCTGAACTTAAGGCTGGTAATGGGGGTCATGTGACCAAGTAAGACACAGATGTTCCTATATTGCACTGAGGCTTCGGGGGTGGAAGCTGGACTTGGACTAGTGCCACTCCTTGGGGAGTTGGTGTCCTGGAATATATGAAAGGTTGTCAATGTTGGTATGTATTGTATCAATAGACTGTAAAAAATTTAAGTTTTTAAAATTTCATTTTACTCATCAAAAAGTAAATACAATTATTATATCATTCTGGTGCTGGCACAATAAAAAAATGTTCCAGTATCCGTATTCTACATTTCTATGTAATTGACAATAAACTTACCTGTGTGTGGATCTGGCTTGTCTCACTAATGGGTGAGGTGTCTCTTGTAGACATGAGAGACTGGGGGGTAGACACATGAGCCCCTGGCTGTGGAATAGTCCAAACATGTACCCTACCATCTGTGCAACCACTGGAATATAAACGTACATGTATATATGTAAGAAACATGAGCCCCTGGCTGGGGAATAGTCCAAACATGTACCCTACCATCTGTGCAACCACTGGAATATAAACGTACATGTATATGTAAGAAACATGTACCCCTGGCTGTGGAATAGTCCAAACATGTACCCTACCATCTGTGCAACCACTGGAATATACACATTTATTATATCATTGAAATGTTTCTTGCTTTCTCATTGGATAAGAACAGATGATTAAAAATATTAGGGTGTATTTCATTGTTTCCTGCAGTCTCCAGCTGCAGCCTCGTTTTCAACTGTATATACCACGGTGTACCAGGGAGTATATACCACGGTAGTAGGTCCCGTATGTTATGACGTCACAACAATATAATAGAAAATTCTTGGACACGCATGGCAACCAAGCTTCATTGTTATGACGTCAAAGCTTATATTTTTAGTATGAGCATTGGTACTCATAGTAATTGTGCATCCATTGCCATGTTCTTGATGTTTATAAACCAGTGATGTCACAAGACATCTTGCACGTGCGACTTTTGAGGGTGAAAGATGGCAATATCTTGCATCAGATTAAGAGTGATTGTATCTTGGTTATTAATATGTGACACATGTATTCAAATCTAATAATGTATAATAATGTATTAAATGGTTTAAAGACGCCTAATTTGTAGAAGATTCAAATGATATAATAAATCAAATATTCCATTCTATTCTATGTTCATCTTTCCCTCAGTATATTTCCCGCAGCCCGAAAGGCAAGGTATATATATCATGTAAGAAACATGTCCACTGTATTTGTATTTGCAGACTAGCAGTAAGTCTGTTGTGTATTATATACAGTACAGTATAATGGACATTCTAAATAGGGTGCACCCAAAATAATGACAAGCAAATCCATCACATTGGTTGGAAAACTTATTGTTTGAAAAAAATTTCCATCATTTTCAATGTTTCAATTTTTCACCAATATAGATCATTCCATCAAATATGAACAAAATTATTCTATTGGTACTTGGATCATTTGCCAGACAGACAGACTGATGGACAAAAAATGTGTATATAACTATGTATTGTACTCAGCAAGTGTATTAAATCATGGAACAAATTACGTAAGAAATAAACTTTAAATAAACTTAAAAAAGAATTATTTTAAGTAACCAGAAAGGGTTATTCTACACCCACAAATAAAAGATATATTCAGTTCTTTCATTATAAAAGGTCATGATGTCCTTTAACACAGCGAGTCAATACTCTCTATACAGGCCTCTACATCTGTTATTCAAGTGGTTTCTGATAACAATGTGTTTAATATTTAAACGAGTTCTGAGAACTGTTTAACATAAAGTATACATTATTGATTCATAGTTAATAAGGGAAGGCGTAACATTCAAGATAAGTTTTAAAAAGAAACAAGACGATATTCTACCAAATGAACCATTGGAATTTATCATAGCTTCACTTTTAAGGACATAAACAGTAGACAATACTTGTATATATCAGGGTTAAAGCCTTGAAGAACAGTTCAAGACAGTATTATTACAGTATTATTAAGTTTTGTGTCACAATTTTACACTTAGTTGGAATATGGCAACCCTTAAAGATGATCTTAATAAAGCTGCTCTTACTTGTGGAATATGCAAAGATATTCTGACAGATCCAAGGACATTGCCATGTATGCACATATATTGCCTCAATTGTCTAGAAAGTCTTACAGAAAAGAGCAAACCTCAAGAAGGTACGTTCAACTGTCCAGAATGCAGACAGGTGTGCACCGTGCCACATGAAGGGGCGGGAGAGTTCAAGGTGAGCCCTACAGTTGCATTTTTGGTTGATGCCTTTAAGGACAGTCAGCAGACCAAAGCGCCAGAATGTGATTCATGTAGTGAATCATTTGAAAATCATACCCCAGCTAGAATTCGTTGCTTGGACTGCAATAAGAAGTTCTGCACTTCATGCTGCAAGATTCATGACACACTGTTGAAGGACCACAAACTGCTTGAAATTACGGGTGATGGTGCACAAGATTTGAAAACAGCGGTCAAGTCTATTAAAGAACGCATGGTCTACTGCCAGGAACATCCCACCAAACCTATAGAATTGTACTGTAAGGTTGATAAGGCAGTGATTTGTCAGTTGTGTTACCCCATTAGCCACTCTGGCCATGCTTGTGAGGACATTAAATCTATGTTTCCTAAAAGCTTGAAACCCATTGGTGCAGTTATAACTCAGGGCAATGAACTCATGCAGATCTATAAACAGGCCATTCAAGACACACAAGCCTATAAAAATGAGCTGGAGCAGAATGCTGACAACCTAGCAGCTGAAATAAACAATGATATGAACACTTTGATCCAAACTGTTCGCAAGGAATACAAGTCTCTCACAGAGAATGTGATGAAGGAAAAGGAATCCAATGTGAAGCAAGTCATGTCCCACCTGGGCCACCTAGAGCTACAAAACGCCATCATTGAGGGTCAAGTGAACAAGTTCTGTACCTTGGTAGAGCATGGCCATCCTGTAGAAATAGCTGGGCTTGAGGAGCAAGTGAATAGGAAGTCTGAGGAATGGTCCAAGAAACCAAATACAACCTTCAATGATAAGATTGAAATTGGATTCACTGAAGGGAAATACGATGATGGTGGGGTTCAGTTTGGAACAATTGAGGTGAAGAAAATGCCAAATGCAGAGAGTAACATCCTCACACCATTATGTGATCCTACTGTTACTAGCATGACGCTGCATCATGGTTGCATAGAAGATCTGGCTGTCACATCAGCAGGTGATTATGTTGCAACAGGGTACACCTCTAGTACTACATGTATATACGATAGCAGCCACAATCTTAAAAAGGATTTGAAACAAGCATTCAATAATGTAACACAAATGAATGATGGCGATCTAGCATTCACTGATCGTAAGTCCAACAGAATCAGCATATATAATGAAAATGGTAGTCACAAACGTGATGTTGTATGTACAAGATTAATAACACTGGAAGGCATCACCATGAACACAGAAGGTGAACTAATGGTGACTGATACAAAGAGTAAACAGGTGTACCATGTTGATGTAATCACTGGGGATGTCACTGAGCAACCTGGCAAATTTCAGTATCCACATTATATCACAAGTAACAGTAAACAAGTCAACATAATAAGTGACCATTCAGGACACTGTATTAAGGGAGTAGCAAGGGATGGCACAGAAGTCTTTACATATGGAAGCAAAGGCTCTGTTGATGGACAACTCTATAATCCCTATGGTGTCTGCACAGACAAAGGAGATTACATATTTGTAGCAGACCACATCAATCATAGGGTTGTTCTCCTAACACCTGAAGGTAAATTCCTCAGAAATGTACTCACAAAGGCAGATGGTGTTTACTATCCAAATGCAGTTGCAATCAGCCATGATGGCAAGCTTCTTGTAGGAGACGGTAATGGAAACCTATTCAGCATCAAGTACAGGGAATAAGGTAAAATAAACCTACTTTTATTTGACAACATTTTACAAATGTCAATGTAGTTTAAAACACAATCTCATTTAATGTACAATGCACAATTAATGTTTTATGGAAATCCTCATAATAGTTTATTGACTTTTATTGACTACAAGCTCTTCTCTTCACTATTATACTTTCATATAAAGAAGTTAATCTTTTATTTTGAGTAGTATAGTAAGTGGTAATTATGTTGACAATACACGTATGTTTGCTATGTGCTATATAATGTCAAATGATTCAATCTGACAGACCAGCACTGGGTTAATTAAGCATAACTAGAATTTACTGTAATAATGGGTTATTCTATACAGAGTTCTCCACAGGATTTTTTCTGAAGTGGGTACAAAATTCTCATTTTCACAATTCAGTTCAATTCAGTTTTTTTCACGATTTTTCTCAATTTCAAGTGGGTCTAAATGGATTATCAGGTGAGTGCAAGCCTATTTTCAAAATCCCAGGTGGGTGCTTCACCTACTTACTTTAATGCAGGGGAGATCACTGCTATATGTAAAAATGAAAAATAAATATAAGAGAAATATTATGAGGACTTTATGATCAACCCTTGTATCATAACATATGAATGTTTTATATTGCAGCCCACCAGTTCCATGCTGCAAAGGACCAATGTCATGACAACATACTATATGCTGTCTACAATATAAGCTGATGAGAAAACTGGGACTTCAGCCAAAAACTCAGATATGCTCATCTCAAACATTCTGCTGATATAGTATGCACTGTGTATACTGTATACAATGTATAGACATACTGATAAATGAATGCAATACATTTCCTATCATGAAAAAAAAGATACTGAACATAACATTAATTGGACCCTGGACTCATATAAATTTCAATTCATCATAAATATTCTAATCACAGAATGAGTAACATAAGAGTGAGATAAAAAAAAATGCTAATATATACCTATACAGTACTTAGTCTATTTAGTTACAGTTTGTTAGTAGTTATGAATAATGAAACCATGTACTATAGTTATCCAAGGACTTTAGAAAGAAACTGGATGACCAGAATGAGCTAAAACCAATAGAAAGCATGAGTAATATGTAACATTTGTAGCATTAATCTTTAATGTATTCAACTTCCCTTTAAAAACAAATTGATACATCAAAATAAAATATAGTCAGACATATAACTTTCTAAAAATGATTGCCTTTAAAGTGAAAATGAAGTTATGTTATGGGAAAGGAATGATGGTGGGTTAATTAATTATCAGAGAGTCCTCTTTATTTATTCATCATCATATACATATTTCCTGACCGGAGATAATAAATGCATGAAATGGCTTATTCTTTGGGTCTCTAGAAAAGTTATATGCTAAGTGTATTTGTGAAAGTTGTAAATACCTCAAAAATCATGTTAGAAAAGAATATGAGATTACCTGGCTAGCATAATAAGCGCATCATCCATCTTTCCCAGTACATTGCACCACTCCATAACAGTCACCTGGCCTGGGTGTTGTATCTTGTGGAGGCAGTACCACACCTGTTCTCTGCTACCCCAGATCTTTAACACATCTTCTGTAGCACATGTGCCCAGTAGATAACCTGTACTGTCCCATTGTAGACATGTGATTGAATGCTGAAATTGAAAATATAAATATATTTCATTGTAGACATGTGATTGAATGCTGAAATTGAAAATATATTTCATTGTAGACATGTGATTGAATGCTGAAATTGAAAATATATTTCATTGTAGACATGTGATTGAATGCTGAAATTGAAAATATATTTCATTGTAGACATGTGATTGAATGCTGAAATTGAAAATATATTTCATTGTAGACATGTAATTGAATGCTGAAATTGAAAATATATTTCTTATTGAATATGTGCTTAATCCTGCAATATTGTTCACTTGGTATTTGGTGTTTAATCATTCAGCACCTTAAAAACACACAAGGGGTTATTCAAAGAAATGGACCTAAAAATGAATGAATTCACTTTGCCTATAAAATGCTGTCCATTACTTTTGAATCACCACTCATATTTGAAGAATACGTATTTAATAAATAAAAAATGTGATGAGAAACAACAAAATGAAACAACATCAATGAAATAAACAAATTTGATTGAAGACTAACCTCATGAGCATCTATCATCTGTGGTTCTCCGAATGCAGACTTGTTGCTGAGGCACAGAATACCATCAGAGAATCCAATAGCAAACTTCTTATCCTCGTCAAACCATGCAATATGGCAGACAGACACTGAAACATATGCACATCATAGGGTATACATGTAACACTCTGCTTTTTTTCCAAATTGATATGACATTAAGTGAATTAATCAATGTTTTCATTATAATCATGACTTTATTTTCTGGAAAATGAAATTGACATAGTTGATCAAATACAGAAATGTTGGAATTTTTAGAAACTAGGACATGGAATGAATGAGCAAAAAATATTGGAAAAGTGTGACTTTTTTCAAAACTCACTCTCGGCTCACCTCTAGCCCATCGTCTCTTTATCCTTTTAACTACCTAATGTAATATTGATCTCTTTGACCCTTGACCTTCAGTGTGTGATTAACCTGAACAAAAGATAAATAAAACTTACCATCTGGTCTACTACAGTGTTCCAGTTCATGCCTTGTAAAGGATGTATTATCTAGGACCTCTATAATAGCCACTGAGCCATCTAGTCTCCCCACTAGGAGACTGTCTGTAGAAAGACCCATTCTGCCTTCAAACATCCCTTTGTTTTGAGGCCAAGCAAGGGCTGTCACATAGTGAGGCTGAATATCTAAGTGACCTCGACCACCTTGAAAGCATAACATGAAACTTCATACTTGGTCTCTCAATAGATCCTGTCAATCATTACCATCTTGGGCAAAACATATTTATTAAGATCATACCAATTGCTACTGAATTTCTGGAAAAGTTTTTCTATTTTAATTTTGGTAATACATAGTTAGTTCCTAAAACATTGTTTCAAGATAAAGGGAGTTATTTTCCTAATTGTGCAGGAAACAAATGATTTAATTTAACATTTTGTTCAAATAAATGCAATTTCTTCTGTGGACTTATTGTGATGATATTATTCCTTCAAGTTATTAAATAATATTGCTTCAAAATGTAGTAATAAATTGACAACTTTACTCTGGCCTAGTATGTTAACATACCTGCCAAAGCCCAGATATTGACCATGTTATCTATTGATCCACAGATAAGTTTTCCAGAGGAGTTCCACATAACATTAGCCAATAGGAGGCCATCTAGGTCTTCAGCCCCAGAATTCTGTCCCTTATTGAAGACACACGTCTGCTGAAGAAACTGGTGAGTTCTGTTAGGGAGGGACCAGATGCGTATCGTGCCATCATGGGCGCTGGAATAGTGTGAATTAAACAATTTGAGACATGTACTGGTCTCTCTGCAGTCATTGGTTAGTCTCTGGAGAAAAGTTATGATTTTATTAATTTCCCAGTGAATTTTATGTTAAACTATACTCGGCTATTGATATTTGACTATGTTCAGTTAATAGACCCACCATGGAAAAGATTTTGCTGTTAAGAGATACCTAGTAGTCATCTTTAAATGTAAAACCAAAATCAAGATTTATAATTCTCAGAGTACCTAAATTGTTTTTCTACAATAATGTACTGTACTGGATTGTATTGTGTTGTACTGAATGTACTGTACTACTGTACCTTGTAGCTAAGAGATTTTTCTTGTTGTTATATGTACACCCAGCCATTCTGTTCTGGTGAGCCTCAAGTTTTGAGACTGCACACTCAGGCATGTCTCCTGATAGATCCACCTGTATACTGCTGATTGATGTGCTGGAAACACAGAGAATTGAATATAATTGGTGGTTAAGTTAAATCAACTCCAAAATAAGTGAAGAGAAGTTCAATTTCTATCAAATATTTATACAGGTCTCAAAGTGTTTATTATTTCTAAATTGTTGACTTAATGAATGAAACAAATGAAAAACAGAGAGATGCCGACTCATAGCAGGATGGCAAAGATATTTCCCCCTTTGAGCCTTTTTTAATTCAACTTTCACAAACAGATAATGGATGAGAAAATTAGCAGTTTCAAATATCTGTGTCCCTCAATTAAATCAAATCATTAAATCTTTCTAATAATTTACATTAGGATGCAAATGTCCTTGGTTGGGAAGGACAATCATCAAACCTGTTCTTGGCCTGAGCTGCCAGGGTGCGTACTAGCTGTTGGGCTGCCCACTGTCTGTGTGAGGGCAAGAGACGACATGACATCACACAGGCAGCTAGGGAGTTAGCCAAGTGAAGGGGGCCTACAGGAGTCATCTCTTTTGCTGTGGCTGAACTTGGCGAATGCAGATCTTAAAAAAAATAAATAAAAGCATGACAATAACAACATACCCTTAGGATCCTATCCATGATGTCTCTCTAAGTTCAATTCATAACCAGACAATTTACCACATCCTCCTAAGCAGGTGTCCAGAATCCGTACCTCCTTCTTCTTCTGCTGCTTATGGCAGGAAAAAGAAAGAAGATATTCTGGATTTTGGAGCCCTCCACTTGGAGGATGATTTATCAAAGGCCTTAGGAATGTTAAAATGTATGAAGCATCTGCTGGAGTGAATTCTATTTAAAACTGCTGAAGACAACTTACTTTTTAGAAGATCCTGTCCATTACGCTGGCCAAGCTGTCTCCCAGTGCCATTCTTAGCTAATAAACTGACCAGGGCTTTGGTAACAGTGAAGCTAGGAGTGGCCAATGTTGAATCTCCTAAGTCAGCCTGCTTGCTGGGTCGTTTCTTCACCTTGGGATCATCTATTGCTGACATGTTTACTCCCATGGCTGCCGACATCAACTCCTGGAGTGAATTAATAGTATTGTATACCACTGAATCTGTTATTTTTGTTATTAGACTAGCAAGTCAATATTTGTACACCCAATACTGTTCATGTCCCTCCAATAAAATTTCAGGATCATGCCAATTAACAATTTGGTGGCCAAAGGAGTAACTATTCATAACATCTAAATGATATGTCTGAGGACCTATGACATCAAAATATATAATAAATAAAAATAGTGTGAATTTAACTGGTTGAATAAGAATCAATCAATCCATCAACCAATTAATCATATTAATCTAAAATAACCTATTATTACCTGTGTGCAAAGTTTGACCAGCAGCTGGGACGCGGCATAATTATCCTGGACCAGCGATCCAATGGCAGTGCACAGATAAGTCAAACTATTTCCCATAGATCCAGCATTTTCAAAATGGCTATCTTCTGATGAGAAATGGTTTATAGGTGGCACTTCAATTCTCCCAGATGAACAGAGACACATTAGTCGCACAATGATCCGGATGTCTGAGAGGCCTATAGATTCCAATCCTGCTGACAGGCTGCATGTTGATCCACTGTAAATGCAAAGTAAATATAGATTTATCTGTAAGATCATTTCAGGTTATATAAGTTCATGTAGTTTTCTTTATTGACAACAACATTTCTAGAGTAAATAAGTTTCTAGAGAAATAAGTAGTTCTATATTTTAATCTTATTTTACAACATGAAAAATATTGTGATATGTTTTTCAGCATTGCCAAAGTTGTGATTTTTATTCTTAATTTTTAAACAGGGTCGAAATTACTTTAATGAAGGCCCAGCCCTACCCCTCTTCCTCATGATACATCTTACCCAGAACTGCGAAACCTGTGTTTTTGGAATACTACTTGTACATACAGGTGCTCCTAACAGAGATATTTAATTTGAATGTAAGTAAATTGGGCTTTTCTTTTGAAAACCGTTCCATATATAGAGGTGTTCCTTACATAAAAGTGTCTAATCTGACAGGTTTTACTTTTGTGTTTGCAAAAAAGTCCCTCACCTAACAGCCATTAGAGAGATGATTTTCATCACAATAGTTCTAGCCAGGAGTATCTGCATTGAGGCTGTACTGCGCTTCAGACCAACTAAACGATCAAATGGTGTCTGTAGTAACATTGCTTGCTCACCAAGGAGACGCCTTTTAGAATCTCTCAATCGCTTGTTGGCCCCACCTTAAATAGGCAAAATATTGATATACCCGATATATGAGTATGTATATAATTCACAAAATAAACATATTATTTACACTAGATGCTACTCCATTTAATAAGGAAATATCAAAGAAAAATTTTCCTTTTGGAGCATCCTGAATTTACATAAATATTTTCCCTTAGATTGTGATTTCATCAATATTAACTGAATACATATTCTCATGATAATACCAATCTGCATTTTTCCCCTTAAGGAGAGTCATCATTTATATACTGCTTCATTGCTTTGACTTAATTACAATAGAGATCTTCATTAGAATTACCGAATGAATGTCTCCTTAAGGTAGATACATGGGCTAAATCATTTTTTACTTCAAAATTTAAGGAAAGTACATAAAAATTAAATCCTGTTGCGTAAAATTGTAAAAACATTCCGAAACAGTCATTACATCTCATTCAAAAGGTTCTGTATTAATGTACACAGTACATACCCAAGGTGGTTACAATATCATCAGAGTTGTCATAATTGACCATGTTTGACCCTAGGGGATCAGATTCCTGGAAAGTAACAGCATCAGGGATTGGTTTACGCTCACTCAGACCCAGTGTTGTCATAATAGCGTCAAAACATTGGAAGTCCCCCTGCGATTTACTCTCCATGTCAACTGGTAGGAAGTCAGTCTCATCTGTGAAAAACAAATAAAGTTAAATTTTTCTGATGGAACATATTTTCTGAGATTAAACATGAAATAAAATGTAAAAAATGTGCATATTTGCACATATTGGTTTGCTAAGCTATGCACTTTGAACTACATGTACATAGAAATTAATGCTTCAGCAATGCATCCAATATTGTTAGAAATCATACTGAAACTGCTGCTTTTAAAGTTTCAGTTCATTCAAAAGAGTTAAATACTCTATTAATACCTGAGTTACAAACATCTCCTCCAAGAAGATCTGGAGCATATGACATCATCCTAGGGTCAGATCTATCCCCACCGTCAATATCAGATGAAAACCTCTGTGGCTTCTTGTTCTTACACAGGTATTTCTCTCTACATTCACTACACAGCAAATAATAGGGATTGCCTAAAATGGTGTAATCTTGGAGATATTAACCATGAAAAAAAGAATTTGTTTTACTTTTCTTGATTTAGATATCTGACCACACAAAAAAGGATCTTGTATCAAATTGACCAAAGTAAAATATCATTGAACTAAATAGCATCAAAGTACATGTATGGCATATCAAAACTCAGAAATTATAATGGATTAAGAATTTATAATGAAGTCTATGGGGACAAACCTGTGCCACATGCTCCTCCAAACCATCCATCCACATAAGACCCATTGCTTCTGTATCCCTGCTTCCCACTGCTTCCCCCGCACCCAGGGTGATTCAGCCTCATATGGCGGTTAAAGTTGGATGTATGGGTCTGGCATAAGTCACATGCAACGAGACGATCCTCTTCCATATCTGGCCACTGAAATACATGGGATCCAATACATTCAATAAATGCCTGAATGACAAATTGAAAATACAAGTAAATACGGCCACAAGATTTGTTTAAAATTTCTAGGTATTGACTTGTTTTTTGATTAGCATGTTAAATGTTAAAAATTTAGAAAACATGGAATAAATGTACATAAATTAGAGGAATGGAGGCTATCTTATTCTCTCTAATGAGTGCACAGTGCAGTTTTTCAAAATTTGTATTTCTTTCTCTGTATTAAATATAATCAATCAATATCTTGTTGGGTAAATAATCAAAACTAATACATTAAACTTTTTCTGGAGATCATGTTCCACATGAAAGTTGCATGTAGGCTGATTGGAACCGAGCACTCATTAGAGAGAATATGGTATATGTTAAAATGAACAAAACATATTAACTCTCTTACGCTAGAGTAAATAAATAAAATGTTGAGCATATTCTCACACTATATATTACTGAATAATTGAGGCCCACAATAAAATGGAAACAAAACCCTGATTCCAGCGTATTTCATGTACTTAGACATAAATCTGATTTTTTTAACTGGACATGCGTATAATTAGGCAAACTTTTGAAGATACAAAAGAAGTCTAATCCTTTACAAAAACCAAGTAATGATCAACATAGAATTTAATTACTCTAGCCCCATATGTCTTACATATGGATCAAATAATCCAACCATTTCTCTCTCTGGAGGATCCACACCAAATATGTCCTCTTCCATGCCAACATCATCCAGGAGGTCATCTTCAAGGTCAATGAGGTCATCATATAGAGGGCGTGCCTCACCACGCTGGTCTGAGCCTCTATCTCGAATCTCCTCATTTCGTGTGTTAAACCCTAAAAATGTGAGCAATTATAAAAGGGGCAGCCCGTCTATGACATTATTTGGAAAATGGATACAATTAAGCCATGGCCATTTTCTTATATAACAAGTGGAAAGTTTTTGCTTTTTACTTAGCAATAGTAATGGCCAACGAGGACAAAAATGGGTTATATTAACAATATCTGCTATAGAGGTCTGAATGTAACATTTATCTAATACTGAACAAATATTTCACTCTATTGAGGTGAATACCTGTACATCTTTCACAAGTGATATTCCACGAAGCCCGAAGGGCAAGTGGAATATCACCTTGTGAAAGTGCTACAGGTATTCACCGAAAATAGAGTGAAATATTTGTTTTATTATATCACTCTCTAGCTTAACATCCCTTATATTATTAATTCATTAAGTCTTCAGATATTTTTACGAATCCACTCGGTTCGTCTGCCATTTTGACTTACACTGAACTAAATTATTTACACTGAAAGAAAACAAATTCTTTGAAAATTCCCGGGAGCGTGGGATATCGCTAGATATCTCACGGTTGTCTTATCTGATTAGCATTGCCATTGAATATCGCCAGATATCCCACGACATGTGACACGGTTTTGACCAATCATACTGTCGCTAGCTAGATAGTGATATAATAATATCAGTTATTACACATTTCAGCATGTGATACGGGAAATATTCCACGAAAGTAAAAATAGTATCACCACGAAAGCGCAGCTTTCACTGAGTGGAATATTTCCCGTATCACATACGCTGAAACATGTGATGACGATTTTAACACATACTATGTAGAAGAAATCTAGTGATTTGATTGGAGCTTTCTTTGACGTTCTAACTTCTAGTTCCCCAAATGACGAATTCATAATTTCTAAGAAATAATAACATAGCCTATATGTGACGTCACTTTGAATTAGGAAAAAATAGAATGAAGTTGTATGATGTCATTTGTTACCATAGACAACGTGTGGTATGTGTGCTCGTATCATATGAAATTTATGTGATACGGGAAATACGTCATAGAAAGCAACCAATCAAATCAGTAGATTTCTACATAGTATGTGATAATTATACATATTGTATAAGTAGACTAAACCATACCAAGACTTGGTCTCCCAACACTGACAAAGTTGCGTATGTCGCCAAGACGGAACCTTTCACCACGTCTGCTAGGGGGTCTGTTGCTTGTCTCCTGTAACCTGGTGATCATCTCAGACTCTCTGAACTCTGCCTCCTCTGGATTCACCATGGTTTCTGGCTGCTCAGGTCTGCTGGGTGTAAAATAGTGCTTTATCTTTCAAAGACAATTAATAGGGTGTCTGTCTGTTTCAATATACTACTAGTATGTTCTAGTACTTTGTTGAAATATAATATTGAATTAAAATGTTCATAAAGCAGTCGAGGTTTGGTCATATTAGTCTGAGTATACTGAAAGTGTATACAGTTTATATGTAATAATGTATGCGATTTGCAAGCTTTCTGTATTCTCTCTTGTATGGTCTATTCTGTCTATCCTGGAATAAATGGCATTCTCATCTGGTCTAGTCTCTGAGGGGTGATAAACAGAGCTAAACACATTAAGAACCTCACTTACCTTTCTCGATCTAACATGGTATGGTCCATTCTGTCTATCCTGGGATAAAGGGCAGCCTCATCTGGGCTCTGAGGGGTGATTGATTCACTGACAACCTCCTCCTCAGCCAACTCTGGTTCCTCAGAAGGGTTCTCCAACATCCATGTGGCCAAGTTGTTGATTGAGGCAGCTCGAATTTCCCCAGAGTTACCTATAATGAGTGAAGGATATGATGTTACGATTTTAGCCAAATAAATACTACTACCCTATCTCAAATGTAACATGTTACATGAAATGTAACATGTTACATGAAATGCAAGATGTGAACAAAATATTTAAATTTTTGAAGAGTAAATGATATAATACTATTATATATATATTACCTGTAGCCTCAATGGCCCTCTGCACCTGTTTCAGTGTGAAGCCCATCTCTAGGAGAGGTCCAGCAACTGGGGGTGGGGGTCTCTCTGGGGATATAGCCCTGATCGGTCTTGGGGCAACTGAATATCATACAAGTGCAAGTTTATACATGTAATTAATTATTGCAATAAAGGCCCCTTGCAAAGGTTAATAACAAAAAATATTGTCAAATCAGCCATCTGATAATTATTACATTTCACATAAACTAAATCTGAATTTGAGTAATTTATGTAAATGCGTTATGAACTGAAGGACATAGATAAATACTTTTTAAGATGATATACTGAAAGTCAGGGGTTTTCAACCGACCTGGTGGCTTCGCTGCCTTTTGGCTGGGCTCAGCCTCGGCTTGGGTAGGGGTGGAGGCCATGGGGCTGGTGCTACGTGACATCCTGTCTCTATTGAACAGGGAGAGAAACCTACGTGCTGCAGCCTCATTCCTAAATAGCGAATCAAGGCATGAATATCATGTATAGTACACATTGTATACAGCAGTCAGTACAACTCTCAATGGGTATTTGTTGACTAAAGTTATTATTTTAATTAACATTGTCCAGATTGGTATGAAACTTTGAAGTGGATGTAATTTTATTTTCAAATCCTTTTGGCACATTTTAAAACCCATGTACAAACTTGACAAAACTGATCACAATACTATAGCACTCCAGGGTACGATAACAAGGGTGTCTTTACAAGCCTCAAAATGCTCATATAAGGAAATGTATGTAACCATATGAGGAAAACAACAGTACCTGCTGACACCAGCGTGTCTAATCTGAGGGACCGGAGGAATAAGATGGTGTAATATAGATTCTCTCTGGTGACGCCTACGCCGTGGTAGCTCAAAATCATCCTCCAACAAACATTGAGGTCGTTCCAAGCGTCGTTGTTCCATATCTAAAACTGGTTGGTTGCGCTCTTGCTGCCCTCTGGTGAGTTCCTCAAGTGACATTGCCGACTCAGTTTTTGAGACTTCATTGGATGTGTTACTTGCACTGCTTGTAGGTTTATGCTGCATATATAGTTCTTCCAATTTGTCTGTAATACAATGATAGAAACATCAATAACAAGGCATTGACATGCAAAATGTCTTCACCTGCCATTTGTTACAGATGCCAAACTCCTAACACCGAACATCAACCACCCAACACCGTTCACAAAAAAATTGGGAGCAAATGTCACCACTTGTGGTGGTGACATAATAATTATAAGAAAGGATACAATGTACATTGTTATCAAAACATCAAAAATTGTACAAATACTGATATGATTTATACGAATGAATTGTTACATTTTGTTTTTTGGAAAGTCAAAATTTTGCCCATTTACTGAGTAATCACCTCTGATAGTATGTAGCTCCATGTTTTCCTCAGCACTGGCCTTTAATAACAAGTTATGCAGAACACTGTGTGCTCTTTCTATCTCTGCAGCAGTCACTATACTCTTTATGGGAGATGGCAGCACTGCATGCACTACTAACTGTTTCATGATACCCTTCAGTGTATCTTTAAGCTCATTGGCTGATGCAGACACTCCATCAGAAACTGCTTCATCAAGTTTACTTTGATTGGTCAATGATGATTTAGGAACAAGAAGCATTTCAGCATATTTACTGCAACTCATTATGGTAGAGATGCATTTAAGGCCACTCAGTTTTAAAGCTGTTACACAAAATGAGTCCATTTCTGGTACTTGCTTGCCTTTATCGAATGATTTATTTTGAGCACCTCGGAATGATTCTTTCATATTTTTAGCTTTAGTTTTCTTTTCAGTAGCTTCCTTTTTCACAGTATCTTTAATGATTTTAGCAGTAGAGGCAAGAGTGGGTTCAGACTGGGAGCCAATTACTGGGGTATGTTCACCGGAACTACTTTCAAATATGGTAGATGTGATTGGTTGATCAGATGTAGTGATATGGTCTTGATGAAGCTGGGAAGAAGCTGTTTCCATGCCAGAAGTGATGATATCTGAGACCATTTGGCTGGTAAGACACTGGACTGTTTGCACTTCTGCCTCCACCTGGTCAAAAATTCCCTAGAAAGTCAAGCAAATAGCAAATGCAAAAATGATATGGATTTTGTAGTTTCAAAGGAAGATATCATTTTCCATCCATTTCTATTTGCATTGTACTATATTTTCTACTCATCTTAATAACCATTTCCTACACGAATCAATATCTAATCTTACAAGTACACAGCCAAATTACATAGTTTAAGTTGTCAAAGTGAAAATTAAGATGCTTTTCAGCATATTTGAAAATATCAATGAATATGTCGGTATTGTGTTAAGACTGAACCATTACCTCTAGTTGATCTTGTATCCCCTGGGAGATCTGCCTGGTCTCCGTACTTCCTACAGAAAACATACTGTCCATGCTGTTCCCACTTGCATCTAGTGACATGTTACTGTTCATACTAGACCCTAGAGAGGGCTCACTATTCATACTTGATTGCAATGACATTGCACTATGTACACTAGGCGTCGCTAGCTGTGATTGTGATGTCATAATGGGTTGCTGGGATGTCGTTGTGGACTCCTGTTGGGATGTTGTGGAAGTAAGATTTAAGGGAGAACTAGCTCGATCTATTTTCTTATCAGCATTATGATCTACAGTCTGAGGAATTTCCTCCCCTAATGCAGCAGCAATGTCTGCATCGAGACTCTTTTCTAAACTCGAAGCCTGAAAAGAAAAAAATTGGGAATCAAAAATCTAGACATGCTCTGATATATTTTTTAAAAAATAATCACAATATAACAAAAGCTTAACTTGAAATATTTAATCAGTAATTCGAAATTGTGATTAAAGATTACGATTATATTTTTGGGATAAATAAATTAAAACCACTATCTAAAACCTCATTTTATATATATTTCTCAAAATATACCTCATCTTTTGCATCTTTGACATCAGATTTCGTGTCTGATTTTGGCTGCTTATTGCTCTGTGTTTGTTTTTCTTCAGTTATAAATGTAAGTTTCATGAGGTCTTGTAGCATATTGGCAGTTAGCCCTGTTAGTTTGGAGGCAGCAAAGGGCAATGGGTCTACAGGGAGCAGAGTAGAGATTGGAGCATCACTGAAAATATAAGTCTACACATGGTCATTCTCATTCTAGAATTGACAAAAGATATGGAAAAATGCAAAAGGAAAATCTGAAACAAGTTGAAGAAAGAAAAATTAATGTGAATGGGTTCATAAATTTTAATTTGAAAAGTTAACTTCATATATATGCCGTATACATATATTAATTCAACATATAAATGACACATTTGAAGATTTTATGCTGTCTTCCTACCTCACAGCAGCCTCATTGTCGTCCCATTGAACCTTAGCACAGACAGCGCCCTCTTTCAGTACACCTAGGACAGTAGCACGTCGTGAGCTTGGCTTGTGGATACATGTTCCACCAACCCTAAGGCCTCGGTCAACACCACCTATTACTGCTAATGTAGGCCACACCTGATGTACAAAAATGATAATCAAATACATTTGGTATGGGAGAAGGCTTACATGTGGGGACACATATTGTAGCAACACATATTGAGGGCCACCTGAAACATTAGGGAGAAGAACTTATTGACTCGAAAGAGATATGGAATAGACAATCTGAAAGATAAATCTAGGCAACTCTGTATATCGAAAGTAAATTTTGAAGAAGTTTACCAAGAATCCCATTATAACAAAAAAGAACCACACCACAGTCACAATCACCTATGTCCATGGGTGACCAGAAACAAGAATATTATTTCACTAGCTTTAGCCATTAATGCAAATACCTGGCTGCACAGATCTCTAAGATTAGGTTTGGAACATGTAGCTTCCAGTAGGACATCTTTCCCATCCAGATCTTCCAACTTGATCTCCTCACTGTTAACATCAACATCTTTCTGGGCACCTGCAGTAACACCATCCTCTTTTTCTTTAATAATAGACTCTGCATCAGTTTCACTGGGGAATGTTGGGTTTTCATGATCTATGAGGAACTTAGCAAGTTTGCCTACATTCTGGAGCCTGAAAAATGGATTTTAAGAAGTGATTTGTACTGCTAAATACAACACATTTCTGTTATACTTATGTTATTTAAAACTAAACAAAAATTACATCTTATTTGAAAGATTCCCACTGGGGTGGACTGACTTTTTCGCATCAGCACTTAGCACAGGGTTTCATTCTGTGTTTTTACTAACTAAGTACTTCATCAAGAAAACACTTATGCTTTGCATGTCATCTTTATGTGCTTCACATGGTGTATCACATGCTATTAGGAATCAACAATTTAATGTCTTCTCAGGAATGTTAATGCAGTCAGATATTGTACCTTTCTAGAATGGCAGTATTGATGTATGAAGTCCATTCTTCTTTCCTATGTAGTGAGCGTATGAGGTGTACAAATGACTCCACCATCACTGTGGATGATGGTGCTAACAAGGGGTCCCCAGGAAGGAGGTCCCTTGAAATACCTTTAACTTGCATATCTGTGATCTTTACCTAAAAATCATAACGATGTAAATGAAGTGATTTTTACCTTGCACCATTTTTACCTTTCCCCTAAGATAGTCAAAGATATACCAGTTTTTGCTTGTTGAATTTAGCATCCACTTGATTCATACTTGGGATATTACTAGATCCTTTGATATATTGTTTCATATAAAATTGCTTTAAAAAATCCTAATGAGAAACAGTACATTTGCATGTTTAATGTTAAATATACATGACTTTCTTAACGGCCCTGATTGCGTATAAAATAATGAGGGAAAGAGTTGTATTTAGGTCACCATATAAATCAACGGAGAGTAGGACCATAATTTGATAGGACCTTCTACCCTTTACACCGGACCAGTCAAAACAGTGGGTGTTTGCATTTCAAGGTTTCTTAAGTTAAAAATATAAGTCAATGGAAGATAACAAAATTGGAACCAAGAAAAAGTGTTCACAATGAGAGGTGTTTGGATTAGAGAGGTGTTCAGAAATACAGGTTTTACTATACTGTATACATACCTTCTCCCCAGGGTTGCTACTGTAGAACATGACACAGGGATAGAGTTCTGTGGCGTCCACATCCTCAAATGCTACCTTTGGCTCCTAAAATAAACATACAGTAAATTTTGATGTACATAATTATTTCATTCAAAACTCCTTAAGGCAATGGTTGAAAAACATTTCTAAATAGGCAGAATACAAAAAGTCTCTAAAATGTTGGATGAGAAATATGTAAACGTTACAATAATTCAATTCAATAGGTCAAAGAAATGATATCAGAGATTACTCTGTGATGTTCTGATGTTCTGTGAAAGTTGTATACATGATTCATTCCTACCTCTCCATTCTTGCCAAATGCTATTGTCCTGGTGTCCATATCCAGTACACATGTGACATAGTCTCCCTGTGTAAAACCCCCTAGGGCTAAACTCTGTTCTCCATTATGGTACAGGTTACCACTATATGCCCTACAATGAGAGAACAATCCAGTAGAAATATATGAATACTCATGGCATTGGTTAAAAGCCATTGAGGTGTTCCCATTAAGTGATTAAATGATAAAATGTAAGGTGATGTGAAATCAAAAGAGGTTAATATATTTAAAAAAATGTATTCTCATTGTTTATAGTTAGTTTTTAGTTAGATTAGTTTCTTAGTTTGTACATAGACTAATGTGTCATGCTTTGACACTTTTGTCAATAAAAGAAATATATATTGTATGCACTTGTATGGGTCCAATATGACTTTGCTCTGCAATACTATAAGCATATTATTATGTAACCTCTCTCATTTATGATTCTTACCTGTATAACCACATGTCGGCAGTTGTTCTATGACTGTAGTCACCCACTGGCCATTTAGACACCCCTACACATGTACCCTCATTGCCACGGTTCTCTTTCACAATCAAAAACTAAAATAAATAAAAACAACTTTTTTATTTCGTGTTTTATACTCAACAGTACCACCACTCATTATTTCATGAGTCTGGATATATGAATATGCCCTTTTGGTCCCTCAATTAAATGTATGTGAACTATGATTTTTATAATATGTGTGATTGAGTTGGTTTTTCAGACATTACAATTTTCAATATCTTCTAAGTCGATATCCGGACTCATCCTTTGTGTGATTTCACAATTTTCACAATAAACATTGAAATAATATGTACCTTCCACTGGTAGCACCCAGATGATATGGCAGTGCTGCCAAGACCATAGCCCCTACCCCCTGTGCCATGGACCAGTGTATAGCTGTTCTCTACATTACAGTTCAAGAGCCTGTCAGGATCAAATGAAGCTTCCTGAGAGGCCAGCTTCTCAGAATCTTTACCATCTTGCCCTAAAGAGATACATAGCAGTTTAGAGTGTTATTATCATTGGATAAATGAGGTATTCTAATGAGATAACATAGAGTCGTAGCTCATTGGTAGAGCAGATTATCTCTGGCCCCAGGTTCAATCCCATGTTCACACAATGCCACTTTTTTGTTTCATTAGTAATTCCTTCAAGGAGTGGTTCCTGGGTTTGTCTTTTGCAGTTGCAGACATAAAATTATGACATAAAATGCGAGACAAATACCTAAGAATTGCTTACATTGATTGGTGCTAAACAAATATGAATTTTTCTCATCAGGTTCATAACCTCTATTTCAGGTTTGGTATTACATACAAGGATACCAAAAGTGAAGTACATGATAGGGATTAAAAGACTAGGTTCAAGAAATCCGGAGACCTCTGATAATTTGATAAGCCCATCTCCATGACACCTATGACAGAAGCACAGCAAAACAAAAAATAAAATATGACAGGAGACTTGAACCCGTCTCTTGTTAATTGGTTATAAATTTAACACCCAAAAGCATAATATTTTCAAAAAATTAAGTTATTTCATACCTTCTCCAGAATCTGGGGAGCCTTTACTGTATTTGGCAAGTTGGCACTGGAGTTTTTTATGTGTCTCTTTAGCTTTGTATGTGGCTATCAGTTCTGGTGTCTTCCACATACTGTCTGAAAGGTGGCTGAATAACAGATCTACAACCTACAATACAATGCATGGCAAAGTTATAATATGATTAATAAACAATGCATATATGACCTGTGAAGTATTTAAATTAATCATTGTGTATTTATCCGAAATATTTTTTCATGTAAGTCAAGTAGCAACAAGACATCAACATGACAAAATGTGTACCACCAATTGAAAAAATGACGAAAATTCACCATTTTCTACAGAAGTCGAACACTGAATGCTGATCGGAAAAAATAGTGGTAATAAAATAATACGAAAGCTTACATTTTGTCTTTCTGTTTTCTGACTAGATGTATCAATAGATGGCAGTATTGTCTGCAAAAGTTGTATCGCACATAGCCTCGTCCTCAAACCCATCACTGATTGGCTATTAGAAGAGAGCTTCACCCCTGTGATGGTCAGCAATAAATCTGTCCACTTCCGCTGGGCCATCTTTGACTGGATGATCTTAGATGAAGCAACACGACGTAGAAATACAATGAAGTCGCCAAGAGCAGACTCAGTGGCACTGTTGTTGATGCTGCTGATATCTTTAACTGTTAATAATATCAATTACATAAATGATGAGTTAGAAATTCATAAAAAGTGGAAATGTACAATTTGCACCGTATGCAGAAGATCATATCTCTTCAAAGATAAAATTGATATTCCAAATATATATTCTAAATCAATAAAATATGAAGGAGTTCATCTAAAATTGTTGTGATTCTGATTGAACTCTTCTAAAACTCTTTTTCAACATTGCATACATGGCATCCCCTTACCTTCAATGATTTCTTCAATTTCCTCTTTATCCTTGAGGTCAAGCTGAGCCTCAGGTGTTGAGCTGTCAGACTTGGCCTGCTGCGTTGACATGTTCAGACTTGATAGCAGCTTGTTGAGCTGTTCCCATAGCAGGTCAACCAGATTGTGGAGAACACCGCTACTCAGTTTGTCTGCATAAACCCTGGTTACAAATGAAGGGCATTTAAAAATACTGAACTTTAAATGATCCTGAATTAAATGTTTTAAAATTCTTGAAACTGGTTTGCTAATAGGTGAATTCATAAATTCATAAAAATGTGATGATTTCAAAGATCGTTTTTCCTGGAGAGATCACTGCACAGAACTGTATTCTGGCTTTCTAAAATAAAAATATTGACAACCATTTACTAGCACCAGAGGAGCTGTTAGTTTGAGGGATATGAACAAAATAAAATTAGAAAAATTCTAACCCTGCAGTAATGGCAAGAGTCTGTAACAGCCTCAGACTGGCTGTGTGTAACATGGTTGACATGTGTGTAGTCTCCCCTTCTGGTACTGCACCGTGTGGCCCTACTGGCCCAGCTACACTACTGTCACATAGACTAGATAATATAGGCAGCATGCGAGATGACACTGCCAGAGAAATGTCCATAGCTTGGTACTTGACACTCAAGGCAAATATGTTCACCAGTAGGAGTCTTTCTCTTGTTCCTGTTAAGAATAAAACAGAATGTGGTACCACAGTAGCCAAACCCAATTATCTTAATAGTGAGGCTTGTGTTCAAAGGGAGTAGAAGGGACAGGGACGAGTTGGGAGTAATTTTGAAAGCACTGTCACAATTTTACAATACATATTGCTCATCATTCTATCTGGACGTTACTTTCTTCAATTGTAATGAATTAAGACAATTTTAAATCTTAATAACTTCTATATTTCATCAGATATCTCCATTCTTTTCTAGAAAATATCAAAGCACTGTATTGCTTCCAACATTTTACACTTTATATCCTTTCTACGTTCTTCATAATAGAATGAATAACTCACTGTTCATTTAATGCTACAAAGATTTCTAAGCATCTTTTTAAAAAACATACCCACACACAGTGCCATTTATTTTATGATTCAATATATTGGTATATATGTACATGTCAATAATTTACCTTTCCCAAGTGTAGTAGATTTATGCCTGAGCTCTAGAGCAGCTACCAAGTGTTCATAGCTCCTGTGTACCACGAGTTGAGTCTCCCTCTGTGTGCGCCAGTTGGCGGCACGAATACCGTCCTAGAATGTCAATGTTATACATGACAAATCTGTGCACATAATAGAAAATACCCAATTTACATACCTACCTAATAAGGGAAAGTCATTCAATCAAGTCGTCAAAACTAAAAGGTTGGACAGAGTAACAGATTTATCAACAGACAAGACATTAATGTACAAAATATCACCACCTGCCATTTGTTAAAAACAACAAACACTGAATTCTAACCGACAACTGCCAAACACTGAGTACCATCCACAAAAAAAACAAAATAATAAGAATCTACCTGATAATGGTGAGTCTGTGCATCAGCAAAGGCATCAGAGTTCAGCACACCTAGACCAAAACACCCTGCTAGGAACTGTAGATGCACTGAGTTCAGCAGCAGTGGGCCAGGTCCATGTGTACTCTCACCCAGTACATTTGTACTATCATTAGGTGCATGTGTACTCTCATTGAGTACATCCACACTTTCATCTACCGTTATGGATTCTGATTTTCCTTCATCGAATGACAACATCTCTAAGATTTGGCTTAATGCTTCAAGCCTTGACTACAATAGAAGATTATTTATATTTAAGTTGCAAAAAAACTTAACAACATGATACGAAATCACAGTTTAATTAAAATAAAAATGAAATGAACAGTGAACATATTATTTGATATATTTCACAAGATTTTTAAAAGAAACAAAACATTTTCATAATATTCCAATTTTCAATATCCTACTTTTACTCACATCAGATTTCTCTACCTAAAATCCACATCACTATTTTAATAGGCCCCCATTTAAAGCAATCTAAAGTTGCACATCTACTTACATCTGCCCTTGTCTGTTGGTGCTCCATTGCAGTTGCCACCATAGATGGCTCTGTCACCATTCCTGGTTCTTCATCTGCCACCAGGGGGAGTAGTGAGCTCCCATCGTCCGTGACATAATTCATTACTTCTACAGCTAGTTGTTTGGTAATGGAGGTCTGGCTTGAAGTGCGCTTTATATGATGTGCATGGGTATGACGTTGGGTCTTCCATCTCAGTCGACGTAGAGTTTCTTTCACTGATTGTAAAGACTGACTCCCTGAGTGTTCACCTGGACAATGCATATTCATTATATTATTTATGTTATGATATTCACTATCATAAAAATACAGGTATCATGTGGTGTTGAATTTAGATTGGTGTAAAATCAAATTAGTTAAAGGAAACACAGAATGAAATCCTGTGCTATATTTTTTAATTTCATAAGTGTAGTATGCACTGGGAGGTATGGGTGCTATATAAGTATGCTACCTTGATGTGGCTCTTGATGAGGACCTCTAGAGGCCAGGGTATGTTTCCTATGTGAATGGAGATCCTCAGACTGTGAGGCCCCTACCGAGTTCATTTCTGGGTGGCTGCCACTCAGTCGTTGTGGATCCAACCTACCGCTTCTTTTCCTTTTAAACTTGGGGCTCTGGTCAGGGGTCACTGAGAAAGTTAAAATCAATAGAGTCATGTAACTAAGGATTCAAACTGGGATGGAAATTTGGAGCTTTTTTAATTTCTTGAGTAAATCTATACATTGTATGATATATACATATACTTTCCTGGTATATTATATATGACTTACTTGACTGTGTGGTCCGATTCGCCAGATCCTCAGATCTCTGTTGTCTTGGCAACATATGTGTGACATCATCGTTACTGTTCACTTGATTAATCATGGGATCATCATCATGCTCAGCTATACAAAAAAATATTAACCCATTAAAGAGAATAAAAAGTAGAAGAGAATTGACCACGAAATCTAAGAGATAGATGCAATTTTACAATCTGAAGATATCTGAAAAAAGGCATTAATTTGACAAAATGTCACCAACTTGCTGCAATTAAAAATATGTAACCATTTGTTATAGACATGGATGCCAAACGCTGGTGAGATAATGGGTTACCACTTCCCATTGGTGACATAATAAAACACTTTCGTTTATTTAGTTCCACCTCTATGATAATTTATACCTCAAGTAAACCAATCATTATTTTCATCAATCAAGTTCAACCAAGTGTTTAAAAATGGAGTTCAATTTCATCTTAAATTTTTTATTCATCTTAGCCTACTCAAAGTCAAAGACTATGTCATCAAATCAATGTCTTTTCTCAGACTGGCTCACCAGAAAATGCTGACTTGACTCCAAGCAGTAGAAAGACACATCTACGTATAATGGACTTGCACTTGACTTCATAGACATCTTCACATTGCACAGGTTCGGGGCTCTCTGTCACTTCTAAAAGTACAAGTACATTTTCATGTTAAATGCTTACGCAAATTACAAGTCAATAATATGGTTGTATCTGCACTTAAAATGAAACAAATGAAATGTCATCAGGAGCAGGATTTGCATAAGTCATTTACAATGTAGTCTTGATAAAATCATATTCCTAAACAACAATAGCAAGACATTAACATGCAAAATGTCACAAACTGTCATTTGTTACAGAAGCCAAACTCCGACAACCAAACACTGACCACTGAACACCATCCACAAAAAAATAATTGGAGACTATACCAACATCGTATCAATTCTGTTGGTGACATAATAAGCTTATATTGCTTTACCTTCATCACTTTCATCTGTATCACTTTCTCTACTCCTTGTATCAGTATCCTCTCTCCTCTCCTCTGCATCTCCTCTTCTCTCCTCCACATTTTCTCTCCTCCCTTCAGCAACTCCTCTGCTCTCTTGCAGCCTGCCTTGTTGTGATGGTGATGTAGGTCTCACCTCAGAAACATCACCTTTTGATGTGATGAGGCGACGTCGCACCTTATATACACACCTGTATACTTCAACGAGGTTCTTGTTAGTGTAACATCTGCAAAAATTGAGTAAAAAGTGTAAATGTTCATTTAATAATCTTCAATCAGTAAACACGAAAGTAAAAAGGGGAGATTGCTATTAAACAAATGAGCCAAAAATCATTGACTATCTGGCCATAGGGTCAAAGGGGAACATTTCCCAAAAAATTCAGACAAGTTTTGCTGTGTTGTGGAAGAAACTGTTTCAAAAATTTTTGAAACATTTCTTTCATTTTTGGGAGTTTTTCATGTTTTTATCCATTTCAACATAGTTTGTTGATATTATTGTGACATCACAAAGCCAATTACTTACTCTAGTCCCTGTTTGACTACTGCCAGCAAGCCACAGTGTTTCAGTAAAGCAGCCAGTAAGAATCTAGAGACAGTCTCCAACAGGGGGTCATCAGTTACATCGCATGTGTCCCAATCTTATAATAAACAAATTAATACAATCTTACACCAGCTGATTCTAAATAATTAAATGTTTGATGATAAAATCACGATTAAAGCATATCAAAAGCAAAACATTGCATATAATATTTAACAAAAATCAGTCTCTAAATCTACATTAGAATATGGCATCAATAATCCTACATGCTATAATCAATTGCACTGCGAGGCTTTTTGTTCTTTTTCTTGATTTCGAATTAACCATTGGAAAGTCCATTCCAAAAATAGTTAACAAATGTTCCAAGTATTTCAAACTCAAATTTTAAATGGCTGATGGCTAATCCTGATTTCATTCTAAATATATATTTGAATAGAACCAAAACATAACTTTTATTTTCTTAAATTAAGGGTAAAATTTCTTTTTTTTTTCGTACCTCTGCATTTTGCATACTCCTGCATATCATTGAGCACTCCATCACCTGGCTCTGTTATACAACCCATAGCAATGTCCAATAGGATCTTCTCACCAGGTGGCAGCTTGAAGTTCACTTCATACATTTCACTCTCATCTTGACGAGACATAGCACTACTCACCAGCTCAGATACTGACTTTTCTAAAACAAGTAATAAACAATGAAATGTAAATGTATTTGTTTCATTTATTTATTCTAAAACATCCCCTTCTTGGACCACGATTCACCAATCCATGTAAGATAAATATTTATTAATGCTTAGCTGGCTATAAACCTGAGGCCCTTTCTTGTACCGTTCGTAGTAACGAACATTCGCAAATCGTAAATTTATCAATATTCGTAAATAATTAATGGATTGACGTAGTATCCAAACGTTGTCAGGACAGATTGATAATAACTTGTGAATCGTTCATAACTTTTTTAATGGTACGGAAATGCAACAACAATAGACTTACGAACGTTCGTTACTACGAATGGTACAAGAACGGCCCCCTAGATAACATTTACTGGGTTCTGCGGCCTTTAAAATCTGCATGTCTCAATTCAATCAATACAGATTTGACTTGACTTCCTTTCTCCTCACCACAAAATGAATGAACAAAGAGATTCAGTGTATCCCAGAGGTACGTACTTACCTAATTTTGTAGTTGTACCCTTCAAGCCATTACTAAAACAAAGAGATTCAGTGAATCCCAGAAGTACTTACCTAATTCTGTAGTTGTACCCTCCAAGCCATTACTGAAGAGATGAGTGTTCAACCAAAGATTTGTTTCTCTCTCTTCATGTGACATAACAGAACCAATAAGCATACCACCAAGGCAACGACCAATCAGCAAGCTGGTAGCACGCTCCATATCAACCAACCATACCCAGGATTTTGTGGGTGAGGGCAAGGGAAGAGAAGCTGGGTCAATACACTCAGGGATATCTGAAATAAATCAAACAAGGCGTTAATTAACAAGTGAAATGTCACGACCTGCCATTTGTTACAGACATTGAATACAGACACAAAACTTGTGGTGTGGTGGAGACAAAAAAATCATACATGGGTCATGGGAATACATGACAAGGCATCATATGTAAACTCTAATGTGCTTTTGTTGTGTATGTTCTTTCAAAATTGGATTTAATTCAATGGCTGGTTTTGAATTTCTTGTTATCAACAATCATGTCATAGTGAAATAACAACTCACATTTTGATTTTGCTTATTTCTACTGCTATACATGTTCTCATTAACTTACTGTGTACTGGCCATTCTAGCTCCTGTTCCTCCAAGATGCTAGCTGCAGGTAATAAGCGATTCAACTTGTCCATATATGGCAATAACGAGAGCAGTTCATAGAGCAATGGGCGTATGTAGTGTACAGGTAATAATAGTAATGCATGGAGGGTATGTGATAACATGGCACCTGCTGGCGACTTGAACAGAATCTCTGCAAAAAAAGAAGATATGAGGTTAGAGTAATGCCTATATGCTATGTATTTTACTTTATACATGTATATCATAAAGTCATGCTAAAAATCATTCAAATACTTGATATGAACTAAACAAGACACATAACGAGTGATAAATATTAGCAATAAATATCACACTTTCAAGAGCAAAATGGCCACCATATAATTTACCAATAATATGACCAAAACCTAATCAGATTTCAAACTGAATGGATAAGTAGTTTTTCTGGAATTTAGATGACACACACTCCCATCAGCACTTTTCAAAGTGCTATAAAATATAAACATACATGTACATATAACTTACTTTTGATCCTATCACGGACAGTGACTGCCCTTGTGCTAGATGTGATCAGATCTATACATCTCTTCAGTGTCTCGCCAGCCAAGGGTAATAGCAAAGATAAATGTTGGTGGAGCAAAGTTACAGCTGGCAACACCTAAACATACAATGAAATACAGATTCAACAATCCTATACAAGAAGCCCATTACTGATAATAGGGAGTTTAAGCTTGCAATGTTTTTCACAACCTTAACTGCACATAAACCTGAATCATTGGTTGAAGGTTTATTTAATAAAATGATATTGAAAAACATGTCATAATGGATTACATGAAATCTAAACTCACCAGTTCATCATCTGCGCTATTAACATGGCAGTATGCTAGAAGGTGTTTCTGCAGTGAGGCCAAGAGCTCATGAAGGTGACTGGGGGGTGCACCATCACACAGTGACCCCCAATCCTGCCCCTTGTCACTGTTCTTCTCTATCTCATTGAATAACTGCTCCTATAACATCATACACAAATTTTCTGTAAAGTTCCAATATAAACATTTTACACATGCCATTCCTCGGAGATATTACATTCATGAATTCATATATTCAATGTTGAAATATTATACCCCTATTGATTGTTTTTACATACATGTATATATATTTTTTACTATTACACCTTTATTGGATAATGCCCCAATGATTTTGAGGTACTTTCAAAAATGTATGAAACAATCCAACAGACCGATTGGGTTGGTGATGCAATGCATTTCTCAGCATTATACAATATACATTGTACAATATACATTGTATATTGTATAATATACATTGTATATTGTAGCGTGACTTCTCAGCATTATACAATATACATTGTATATTGTAGCGTGACTTACTGAATGAAAGCCAAGGTTCCTTAGGATGGTTTTCATAAGGACCTCTGCCAGATAGGTTTCAGGGAAGGATTCCTGTGTCTCCTGTGTGTGGCCAAGTCCCAGCAGTGATGCCACGTGACTGTTATCCTGTAAGCTGGTCAGGATTATACTCAACTGCATCCGCTGCAATAATTAATCAATTTCTCAGTAACAACAAATGGACAACCTGCGTATTGCATGCAAACATTGTAAAGTCAGGTCATGTCAAAATGTGAACATTTGTTAATTAATTCGTTATTAAGTTTCCAGTAATGAACATTACTTCTAAACCTCTAAATGTGAACAAATTTCAATGGGCACAATTTTAACAAGATCCATCACAGTTCTCTTTTAACAGATTTTACTAATTTTGTAAGCTACCTACCTGCCCCCGAGATAGACTGTCCCATCTGTCAGGTCCCTGAGGTAAGAGATCATGTAGTAGCTCCATTCTCTGTCTAAGGGGTGGTAGCAACAAGGAGGCACCAACTGACAGAGTCTCACTTACAGCCTGTAAGGACATACACATTGTAAACATGCAGAATATAACATCAAAAGAATAGTATATATATATGAATGAGAAGCAGCATGCAGTCTACAAATAATGAATACTGCAAAACTATTTTACATGTGCATACATGTTTAAATTTTTAAATTCACAAAAAGTCTGACTCATGACTTTTACATGTACCAAATATTTTAGCGTGGATATTCATGGGTGGGCTTGAAATTGTGAAATACAGATTTAATAGAAGTTATATGCAAATTAAACAATGGTTTTGCTTTATCCATAAGGCAAGAAAACAAATTAAAAAAAACACAACTTTAATAGACATTCTCTAAGTAGTTCAATCTGTATGAGTTCATATCTCCAAAATTTGTGAAATATTCTAATCTGTAAGAGCTGACCTGCTGTATGGAGTCTGGTGTGTTGGTGTCCATAAGGCGGAACAGAAGGTTCCTGAAAGGTTGAGCCTGATTGCCTAGCACTGTGCTCCCAACTCCTCCCACCATAGCTAGAGATAGGTGTGTACATAGCAGTCTCAAACACAACAAGACAAAGTTCATGTGTTCTCTGTAAAATAAGAAAATATCAATTTGTTATTGATATAGATGACATGTGCGAGGAATAAAACAAGACATAAGCATGACAGAACATCACCACCTGTGAAAGGATACAAAAGTGTTTAGTTTGAAGTCTACAATCCTAATACATGTACTTCTTTTTTGTTAGTACACTGTATGTGTGGACATGGTCTTTGAAAGGATCATTTGTAGCCATGAAAAGGGCTGCTGGGTTTAAAGTCAAAACCAAAGGAGTTGCTGCTGAGATTGAGATTAGAAATTCTGCAGGGAAAGTCGATTATTTATAACACATTCTCTTGCAATATGCACATTACACACAAATTGAACAAAACAAATTCATAACCAATTTCTCTTTTGTAAATATATGGTGGTCCTGAAAAGGACCGTTTGTAGCACTGAAAAGGGCTGTTTTCTTTCAATTGGGCCATAAGAGCCATAGAGGCAATCAAGGCTGTTAATGTTCCAGCTGAAGATATCTGCTTCTTCATTCAAACCATAAAGTGCTCTTCTTCATCATCAATGAATGAATACTCAGATTCATCATCAGAATATTGGACTTCCATCTGTTGAACTTTAGTCTTCAGTTCTTGGACAACTTCAGCCATCTCTTGAGCGTAGTAGTAGAACATCATCTTCATGTTGCTGAGTGTGGAGAGTTGTAGACGGAGGGAGTAGCGATGAGCCTCTCTGTGGTTCTCTTTGGCTCGCTTGTAGCGTATCTCTACCATCTTGGTTCGGTCATCAATCAGCAGCAGTTGGTCACAGGCCTTGGTGAACTTTCTGTAAGCAACATCCAGTTGCTCAATGGTTTGTTCCCGACCAAGGGTCTGTTCCCTCTCTGGTACGCCATAAGCCTCAGATTCTTGCATAGAGTAGGAATCCATTGTGAATTGATGTAATGTTGTGATGTGATTGCTAGGCAAGTCAGATCAGTAATGACTTGGTATGTCAGGGATGGGGTATATATAGTTTTCTTGACAGGAAAAGGAAACCATGCCAGATTATTGTTTATTCAAATTATTGACAATAATTTCATTTATGGCAATGTGAGAGTCGGTTAAGGTTTAGGTATGAACAAGCCCTGAGAAGACCATTCCCCGGTTATCCCAGGTAAATGTTTCTGGTAAGTTACACTGAACGAAACATCAAGCTTCAGATCTCGAGAGTACGAGATGAGACTTCAGACGAGATATCGATAGGATTGAAGTTGGAGGGTCTTCTCCCTAGGTCCTTAAAAAATCCTTAAACATCAATGTAAGTTATACATTTCGATTCTTTTTATCGACATTTATCTCTTGTATATACATTTATCTATCGCTGAATCGTTTTGTGAAAATTTTATCGTAATATTTCACACAAAAAACGTCAGTTTAAAAATGTTCAAAAAAATTTCAAACACGTTTCATCTTTTGTCTTTTATGCCTTTGTAGTTGTTTTTATTGTTTGAAATATTCAATTGATATCTTGAACATATAATTTTAAAACTTGAATTTATACAAAATGATTAATTTATTGATGAAGATGGACACGTCACGTACATGTCCTCAAACTACGTTCTATTACCCGCATAATGTGGGGTCGAATTGGCGTTTTTTCTTATCATTCTTGTGCCAATTTCGATAGACTCCATCCAATCTAACGATAGATATTTCATTTATTTACGAGTGTAAGTTACCTTGTAGGCTTTTAAATAAATATACCTATTCTATTTATTATCCCATTCCAGAGATTTCTGGTTGATATCGGGATTATTCATAGTACCATAAAGGTACAGATATCATTTTATTACTTGATATGTAGTTATCTCTTGAGAGAGCTATAATATTATTCCTTTTCTTTCTATATTTCAGACACCTTATTGCACATAATAGACTTTACTCTGAGGATAAGACAGGAGTCAAAAATATCCTTTCCTTTTCTTCTCCCATTATACAAGAAATTAGATATGCCTAAGAATATTAGGGTCAACATTATAGGCCACAGTTTTGTCCGGAAAATAGAGGAAACTAACCAATTTGACTTTAAATTAAAGGAAGACATAGTTAATCATAAAACCTCCATTGTATATACAATTAAACAATTCCAAGATGGTGTAAAATATGAAAATCCCTATCCAGATATGGCTATATTACAGCTAGGAGAAAATGATCTGGTTCACAGATCATCTACCTTTGTTGCAGAAAATCTCATCACCTTGGCTGAACAATATTTAGACATACATCCTTCATTGAAAGCCTTTTATATTGGAGAACTATTTCAGCGTTCATGGCATCCTTTCAAATCCTCAATCAATACTACTTCAGACTGCATTCAGTATAATTCAAAAATCCTATCTACCAATTTCAAATTGTTAAATGATATTCACCATCATAAGGACAATAGACTTTTCTTCCTCCATCACCCACATACCACCCAATATAAAAATCAATGGTCGAATTTAATAGATGACACCCACGATCCCATACATCTCAATGCAAAAGGGGAAAAGCGTTTGGTCAAGTCCTGGAAAGGCGCAGTCCTGAGATTTCTTGATTACATTTATTAGGTAAGAATAAGTAGACTTAACATTAGAAGAGACGGCTACTCTTCTCTAACCGAACATAAGCCAGAGAGTCGTTAACCATTCACAATAGTTTATTCACTTATTTATCCTTCATAAGTACTATACTTACTTTAGGAAATTTAGTTTCCTCCTTACTTATATATTATCATATTTATATTATGATAATATCTATTATTTTATATATCATCTGCATTTATTCATGCAGTGTATACTATACCTTTAGACTTAGATGTTATCATATTTATATTATGATAAAAATTCATATTATTTATATATCATATGCATTTATTCATGCATTGTATACTTTACCTTTATTCTTAGAGGTTATCATATTTATATTATGATATTCCATATTTTTTATACATCATATGCATTTATTTATGCAGTGTATTCTAAATCATATTTATTATGATTAGCCTTATGGGCATTTATTATGATTAGCCTTAAGCTATGGGCAGCATATTTATATACATCTTAGCAAAGGAGCATGTGCTTCTATTTATATTTATCTAAAATATTATTATGTCTTGAAGTTGCTTACCCTCTATATAAATACTACTTATTTCATTCCAGATGTCTGAAACTGAAGGATCTGATCCTAGCCCAAGTATTACTATAGAAGAGTATCACACTTCTAATACCCTGACTGCAGCCAAGTCTATGCCCACTTTAATAAGAGGCAACTTTACAACAACTTGTCCCGGTATACCTTCCTATTCCACGACATCTTCCATTCCATCCCAACCCAACATGTCATTCTCTCTAAATAGACCCACATCATCTATTACTCGCCCTATTCCATCTTTTGCATCAAGCGGTAATATCCAACCCTACCCTTTTATCCCTCCCACCCCTTTTATCCCTCCCACCCCTTTTATCCCTCCCACCCCTTCTAACCTTTCAGCTTTTCCTAATTTCCAACCTGTCTCTACAGCTTATGGCTTAATTCCCAACCCAAATGCCATGCTACAAGGACAGGTGTCCGTAGCCTCTATGAATCCCATTCCCAATCAAATGCCCTTTCCAAATCAAGGACAAACACAAGGTGGTTTTACACTCCCTCCTACTACTCAACCGAGTTTTGCTTCAACTTTTCCACAAAACTTCAATCCTATCGATTATCAACTCTCTCTATCCATGCAGTCTGCTCCCCTTCATAACCTCATTCCCCAAAAGCTTAAAGATAAAATTTGGGCTGACGAATATATTGCCCTTTCATCCCTTGTCAAAGGCCCTGAAGAAGACAAAAACAATGATTATGTCCTCTGTGAAATGAAATCTGATGGTTCTTTTGAATCAAAACATTTGAATTTAAACCCTTCAAAGAAAGGAAAAATCCTTTCATTTCCAGAATGGATCCGAGCATTCAGTATATTTATTGCTGTCTATACCCAAAGATTTCCTGATCAAACCCCACACCTCTTGAAATATATGGTTTCTGTTACGGAACTTTTTCAAAGACATCAAGGTTGGAGGGTGTATGACGAAAAATTTAGAGATGAAAGGGCAAAGACAAAATTTCCGTGGGGAATGCTACATTTTGAATACTGGTTAAAAGCCAAAGAACTTAATGCAAATGCTTCAACTCTTTGGATCTCTAAACATGAGCAAAACATGTTTGGTTTTACTGACAACAAGATGTATTATCCCCCCAAAAATTCACAAAAAACCACCCAGTCCAAATCTGAGATTCCATTAGGGTATTGTTTTCCCTTCCATCAAGGACTCACTTGTGACAAATCCCCTTGTCCCTTTAACCACACCTGCCCAACCTGCAATCGTTCCAAACACTCCATGTCAAAATGTTACTCCCGCAACAACAACAGGCAAGCCCAATTCCCCAACAAAAAGCGTTCAAGTACTGGAGACTCCAAAAAACCCTTCGAGTGAACTTATGTCAACACAAGTTGTTACTCCAGTTAAACCTGAAAGACTCAGATATTGGCTCGAAGGTTATGAACATCAAGAAGAAATAGTTCAAGGTTTCACGTATGGATTTAAATTTCCTCACTCTGATATGCCAGAACATTACAACATTACTCATGATAATTTGTCATCCGTATCTAAGAACCCAGAAGCTCTCGATAAAAAATTAAACAAAGAGCTTAAAGCTGGTAGAATACTGGGACCTTTTGACCAGCCACCATTTGATAACTATGTTATTTCACCCTTATTTCTCGTTCCTAAAAAATCTCCAGGCGAATTCCGTGTTATTCACAACTTATCACATCCCAGAGGCCAATCCATAAATGATACTATCCCAGATGAAACTTCTACAGTTAAATATGCAACTGTACAGCAAGCCATAGATATTATAAAACATTTAGGAAAAGGTTGCTTCTTGTGTAAGACCGATATCGAAGCTGCCTTCCGTATCATACCTATGCATCAATCCACCCATAATCTTCTGGGTATGAAATGGAATAACAAATTTTATTTCGACAGATGTCTGCCAATGGGACTTTCTTCATCATGTGCAATTTTTGAACTTTTCAGTACTTCACTGGAGTGGATCGCTAAGAATAAACTGAACATCCCTTACATGATACATATCCTTGACGATTTTCTAATTCTGTCAGCAAATGAAGAACAATGTTCTGGCGATTTAAACAAATTCTTGAGTATGTGTGCAGATATCGGAGTGCCTTTGTCTCCAGAGAAAACTTTTCTACCTAACACTACTTTAACTTTCGCTGGAATAGAGTTAGACACTTTATTATTAGAAGCTCGTTTGCCTGTGGAAAAAATAGTCAAAGGCAAAACAATCATTGACACTTTATGTAACATTAACCCCATTACCAATAAGCCAAAACCAAAGAAAGTCTCAAAAAGAGAACTTTTATCTGCTATAGGATTCCTTAGCTACTGTTGTTGTGTGATTCCTTTCGGTAGATCATTTATTTCAAGACTTATTCATCTATCTAAAAAAGTGAAGGAGCTACACTATAAAATCTTAATCAACACTCCAGCTATGCAGGATTTATTAATGTGGAAAGAGTTCCTAATACACTTTAATGGGAAATCTATTTTCCTTACAGAAGAACAAGAGACAAGAGAACAATTGCATCTATTTACCGATGCTTCTACTACGATAGGTTATGGAGCCGTTTGCAATAATCTTTGGTTTAAAGGGGAATGGCCAGCAGAATGGAAAGAATTGGACATCAATATTCTTGAATTATATCCCATTGTTACTGCTATACTTACATGGGCTAATTTTATGTCTGGACACACAGTTATCCTACATTCTGACAATGAAGCAGTAGTGAACATTCTAAATAAATTTTCCACCAGCAATCAAACGTCCATGCAACTCTTACGTCCCATGATATTAAAATGTCTCTTAAACAATATCATGTTCAAAAGCGAACACATTGCTGGTATTCATAATTCTGCAGCTGACGCTTTATCTAGAAACAATTTATCTTACTTTCAGAAGCTTATTCCGACAGCATCTAAAGATCCGTCATGTGTACCAGATCAGTATTTACCTCACAATTGGACACTATCGTTTTAGAAGCACTTCAAGCTGCCCAAGCCCCGTCTACCAGAAAGTCATATGAAAGAGCATGGGATTTATTAGTACAGTTCAACTCCCAGACAGGTATAGGTGAATTTCCTCTAACCCCAGCCTCTGCTAGCCTTTTCGCAGCACATCTTCGTTTAAAAAAGTATGCCCCTAATTCAATCAAGTCAATTCTGTCAGGTATATCATATTTTCACAAAATTAACAATTTCAAGGATCCCACTACTTCTTATGTAGTCTCTCAAATAGTTTCCGGTTTTTGTAAACAAAATCCTACCATAGACACTAGATTGCCAATCAACATAGCCTTGTTAGAAAAAATGATTTCTAAAACTTCTGAAGTAGAGTTTGACCCTTTTGCTCAAGTCTTGTACAGAGCTATGTTATCTACAGCCTTTTTTGGCTTACTAAGAAGTAGTGAGATGACAAGTACTTCCGCTGGACACAACTTACAGTTAGAAAGTATTAAATTCTCTCCTGATGAAGCCTTTTTCACCATTACCTTTCCGCATTTTAAACATAGCTCATCTCCTGCTACGATATCAATTAATTCTCAATTACCTTCTTGTTGTCCAGTATTACATATGAAGTTGTACCTGAACTTAAGATCTTTTAAACCAGGTCCTCTGTTCATTTATAGAGATGCTCCAGTGAAGACTTCTGTTTTTAACAATTTTCTTCACAAACTCTTTGTTCAATGTCAGGTAGATCCTACCTTCTACAAATGCCACAGTTTGCGGATAGGCGGGGCTACATGGGCAGCAAATCTCGGACTTGATGACTATACTATCAAAAAGATTGGGAGATGGAAATCTTTAGCCTTTAGAAAATATATTAGGTAGACATTTAAAAACTCAGACAGGTGTCGAGTATGCATTTTCATGTAAGCCCCAAAGTTGCTCAGACAGGTGTCGAGTATGCATTTTCATGTTAGCCCCAAAGTTGCTCAGACAGGTGTCGAGTATGCATTTTCATGTTAGCCCCAAAGTTGCTCAGACAGGTGTCGAGCATACAAATTTCAAGTAGCTAATTTTTCTCTTCAGGAAGATGTACTAGAAACTTAATTGAGATAAACCCGCATTTTCTGAATTCAAAATTTTCATACAATTCTAATTCCTTTATCTTACCTGAGAATGATAGTTTATTACACTACATTACATTAATTTGCCCTTATTTCAGAATTTGCGGATTTACTTTAATTCATTTCTATGATGTTCTTATATTTTGGTATTCATGTATTGATTTATGTGTATCAATAAATGATTTAACTACTTTGTAATTAATCTTCTTTTCTTTTGGGCTCTCGCGAGAGATCGCGCATGGCCTTATTTTCGCCCAAGAAGATGAGTTGGAGATGGTATTATAATATATCCAATTGAGCTAATTAACAGTTATGTCAAATTCTAAACTCTTGTAGCTAATTAACTTAAATTAGCCATTAATTTCTTAGGTATTGTGTTTTGTGTTAATTGGCTCAATATTTATTTATATTAATTTTATATTAATAATTTTACATGTACGACTCTCACAGCCATATTTATACTCTACATGAACATAAATTCAAATTATTGACAATAATTTCATTTATGGCAATGTGAGAGTCGGTTAAGGTTTAGGTATGAACAAGCCCTGAGAAGACCATTCCCCGGTTATCCCAGGTAAATGTTTCTGGTAAGTTACACTGAACGAAACATCAAGCTTCAGATCTCGAGAGTACGAGATGAGACTTCAGACGAGATATCGATAGGATTGAAGTTGGAGGGTCTTCTCCCTAGGTCCTTAAAAAATCCTTAAACATCAATGTAAGTTATACATTTCGATTCTTTTCCCTCACCTCCTTCCCCAGCTTACACCACCAGTTGGGGCCTTATTTTCGCCCAAGAAGATGAGTTGGAGATGGTATTATAATATATCCAATTGAGCTAATTAACAGTTATGTCAAATTCTAAACTCTTGTAGCTAATTAACTTAAATTAGCCATTAATTTCTTAGGTATTGTGTTTTGTGTTAATTGGCTCAATATTTATTTATATTAATTTTATATTAATAATTTTACATGTACGACTCTCACAGCCATATTTATACTCTACATGAACATAAATACACGGATTGCATGCAAACTTCAAAGCCACCTGGTATTAAAACATGTACATCAAACAATGGCTTGTTTTCATAGGGACACCTAACTCTCACACTAAAAGCCAATCAAGCTAATCTCTATGATTAAAACTTGGACTTCAAACACAATGCCAGAGGAAACAAACATATGAAAGGAGATTGTTTATATTTACTTAACACAACTGCAAAAATAACAGGATGTGTTTACAATACATTCTAAAATGCATTCTTATTCTTATAATTTCATGTATTATTCATCAATTTGAATAAATATTATTTTTTACTTTCGTTATATTTGTTTATTTGAGCATCTGTGGTTTTACCTTATAATATTACCATAATATTTTCAGATAAAAATAGATCCAATATTGATGTTTGTAACTATATAAAAAAAACTTGTTTCTGAACTGTTTAAAGAGACAATAGGGCCATTTATATTGATGTACCCATCTATATACAATAGTCAAGATTTTGTGTTAATTTTCGGGAAAAATTACACAAACGCATTTTGTTATTTTCATTTAATGTTATAATTATGTTAAGAAAAAATTCCTTTACAGTGAGAAAGAATGGAAAACAAGAGGTACTTTAGTTAATAAATCAACAGTATCTTAGATTTGTAGTCAATTTTCATATTAATTAACCATTCCATTTAATAATCCATGGTTTAACACACACTTCAATTTGATTGTATGCTGTCATATCTGATCCTTAAAAATAACCTTTGGATTTATACACATGTTTTTTAATCCCTTTGATTAGTGACAATTATAGATTATTTGTGTTTGAAGTCATTATTTTAATCTTAAGGATAATATGTGTCTTTAGTGTTTTTATGTACTTTAATCCTGAAACCATCAGACACTGTGGTTTCAAACTGAAACCACCAGACACTATAGTTTCAAACTGATTATTGAGTGTACTAGTATATAATGTTTGAAGTGATTGTTTTAATCCTAGGGATAATAGGTGTCTTTGGTGTTTTTATAAACTTTAATCCTGAAACCACTAGGCACTATAGTTTCAAACTGATTATTGAGTGTATACATGTATAGTGTTTGAAGTGATTATTTCAATCCTAGGGATTATAGGTGTCTTTGGTGTTTATATATACTTTAATCCTGAAACCACCAGACACTGTAGTTTCAAACTGATTATTGAGTGTATATAGTGTTTGAAGTGATTGTTTTAATCCTAGGGATAATAGGTGTCTTTGGTGTTTTTATATTCTTTAAACCTGAAATCACTAGACACTGTAGTTTCAAACTGATTATTGAGTGTATATAGTGTTTGAACTGATTGTTTTAATCCTAGGGATAATAGGTGTCTTTGGTGTTTTTATATACTTTAATCCTGGAAGCACCAGACACTATAGTTTCAAACTGATTTATGGTGTTTGAAGTGATTTTTTTAATCCTAGGGATAAAACGTGTATTTGGTGTTTTTATTGAAGTCATTGTTTTAATCCTAGAGATAATAGGTGTCTTTGGTGTTTTTATAAACTTTAATCCTGAAACAACTAGACACCATGGTTTAAAACTGATAAGTGAGTGTATATAAATACCCAGCACTTACAGTTCCAACTTATTATTGATCTGACTTGCTTAGCAATCACATCACAACATTACATCAATTCACAATGGATTCCTACTCTATGCAAGAATCTGAGGCTTATGGCGTACCAGAGAGGGAACAGACCCTTGATTTGGAGCAAACCATTGAACAGCTAGATGTTGCTTACAGAAAGTTCACCAAGGCCTGTGACCAGCTACTGGTGATTGATGACCGAACCAAAATGGTAGAGGTGCGCTACAAGCGAGCCAAGGAGAACCAGAGAGAGGCTCATCGCTACTCCCTACGTCTACAGCTATCCACACTCAGCAACATGAAGATGATGTTCTACTACTATGCTCAAGAGATGGCTGAAGTAGTCCAAGAATTGAAGACCAAGGTTCAACAGATGGAAGTCCAATATTCAGATGATGAATCTGAGTATTCATTCAGTGAAGATGAAGAAGATGAAGATATTGATGAATGAATCCAACCAGAACTTCAACTTCCTTGATACAGCGGCTCCAATGGTTCAAAGAAAACAGCCCTTTTCAGGGCTACAAACGGTCCTTCTCAGGACCATCAAATACTTAGAAAAGAGAAATTGGTGATGAATTCTATTTGTTCAGTTATAAAGTAAAAAGTGTTCTAGATAATGAATTTTCCCCATTTAAACCTTGTACAGCAGCACTCATTACAACTTGAGCATTTCAGCTTCAGCTTCATGTATTTTCAATTCAATCGAACATTTTCTTCAGCATTATATCTAACTTCTGGTGGTGACATAACAATATCAGATATCGATAAAATATTACTCACAATTGCGTAGGGAATGGTGATGGGGGCACTTGACTGTCAAATCCTTGACAATACCTCTCTAGGAATCCCCTTAGTAGACTAAAGGTCTCCTCCTGTAGGTCCACACAAAATGGTTTATGCCATGATATCACTTGCCTGAAAACACAAATTGGTGATGATGTACACACAAGGCATTTATTTCTCAACTAACATCCCTTTATAATCCTGTTAATAATGAGAAAGGACACCATGAAACAATTGGAGAAGAAATGACAAATGAAGCCCTTAGCCTAGGAGACGAGTCGTTCTGTTGAGCAGAACTAAGAAAGCAAGAGACTAATGACTTTAGGATGACTGGTTAAATATGGCTAAATAGAGATTAATTCATGAGGGTCTAAACAAGGAATGCAAATAGAGAAAAATTAACACATGCCTGTCAGTTGGTAAGGCAGTCCAGGCAAGGCTGTGTGAAGTCCCTGCAGAGATCTGCTGCACACTAACTCCTTCAAGGCCAGGCACTTTACGTGGCCTGGTAATAGGGCTCTGGGAGTGCCCCTGGCCACATTGTCCCATTGCATTGGTTCCCCATGCATAAACAGCATTTTCTAGAATGTAAGAGTAAATTTTTTTTTGGTTATTCTTGTAAATATATTGTACATTCTGTAGGATTTAGTATTTAATAATGAGGATTTTGAAATATGCATGGCAAGTTCGAATTCCATGAAATCAGACCAAATAAACTGATAAAAGATATATGCTGAACTGACAGAGTACATGTATTTGAATTTGTTTGAAAATGTTGGACAGGCAACTCTTTCACTGCCTCATGCCTTATGTAATTCATTTTAATGTTGATCAATGGATAAGTATCTTAAAATTTACCATGAGTTAGGGCAAGACAATGCCCCTCCCCACAGGCAATATCTACCACCCTAGTGCACTGTAGATCCTCTATGAGCCGGGGCCTCAGCGATGTGGCATCTGCTGACCCTATACCTAGACATGCTCCATGTCCCCAAGAGTAGACCTGCACAATAATATTACAGTTATACAAGGCATTTACATGCAAAATCTCACCACTTGCCATTTGTTACAGAGACTGAACATAAACCACTGGATGCCTTCAAAAAGAAATTTGGAGACTATGACTATGACTATGTGTCACTACTTGATAATTATATTTCCAAAGTTCAAAGAGAGATTGAATAACTGAGTCCATCAATTCTTGTTTTGGTAATTAATTCAACATACATGTAACTTTAGAATACACAAAAGTGAAAATTTCACTACTCTAGCTGTACATTATTATCTATTCTACAGATAGAGAAATTATACCAAGGTTAGTATGATTGAGAACATACCTGACCAGTTGAAGTGAGAGCTAGTGATGACTGTCCAGTACAGGCCACCTTACGTATATAGAGTCCAGTGAGAGCCTCAATGACCTTAGGCTTGTACACTCTGGTGGTATCCCCATGGCCAAGTTTACCTAAGGAAGAAAAGAACAAGCCATGTGATTACATGTCAAAAGTAAAACAGGTGTTTATGAGAATTAAGTGTAAGATTTCACATTATACATGGATTTCTCCACAGTTTTGATATTGCTCTCCTGTTACCGACTATTAACATAAGGCAAATTATATCGACCACTACAAATGTTTATATGAAGCTAAAAACTAGTCAGTACAGGCATGTTACATATAAAGGTTGTTCAGAGCCTGTTAAGTCATAGGGGCTCAAATAGCCTTGTACAGGCCCGATAAAATTTGCCCGAGTAAACTATCAGGAAGAATTTACCATTGTCTCCACCACCGAAGGACCAGACTGTACGTGAATCTTTGCACACAGCGAGTGTATGGGCGCTTCCACATGCTACCTGGCCAACATTGGTCATATCCTTCAGCATACAAGGGAGGTTTTTACTGTTACTATCCCCATGTCCTAACATAAAAGAACACAAGTAAAGTAATGGGTTATAATGTTATACAATGAGAGGTTTTAGAAGGAATTATGTTTACCTCAGCAGTACTCCTACAACATTTTATTACCCATTTCCACGACTACAAATGACCAGATTATGTTTGATTTGTTATTTATAAGAAATTTGGTTCCATTGCCACAAGAGACAGAGTTCACTTTAACCCCAAGGATCTTGGTTGGCATATGGACACTCTTTGTAAACAACCCAAGATTTAACAAGCTATGTAAGCAAATGATTGAATTTGAGTGTTTTTGTCATGACACCTTTGAGTAGCCTTAAGTTATTTCATATATTCTATAACATCCCTTACTTGCCAGATTATGCGTGGCATGTCATTTACGAAATTCCTAAACAATTACAGTATATTAGTACACATAAATTGTTCTTATCAATAAATATTCATCATTTACACTCTTACCTCATCAGAAAAACATCCAAACAACTTAATAAAATCTACAATAGTGTAGTGTTGTCGCGATGTGCCATAATCGTACATCGATGCATCGGCAATTTTCAGTAGTAAACATCGATGCACATCGCGATGAACATCGAGAAAAAGTTCGAGAAAAGTGCACTGAAATACTGAACGCTAATGCACTAAAATACCGAATGCTAATGCACTAAAATATCGAACAGAACAAATTAATAAGAGTACGCTGGTACATCCGGGAACATAGTGACGGTGAAATGAAAGTAAAGTAATTTTTTTAGATTAATGGTTCATTTCGACTAGCTAAAACAGTTTTAAAGCGAAAGAATATCAGAAAACTTTTGAAAATGAAATAAGACATGAAAAAAGGTAAGCAATTTGCGTCAAAATAAGATAAGAAAGAGCGATTTTTAGCAAATTAAAATTTTTTAAAAACATCGATGTTTTGTTTCTGAAACAAAACATCGATGCATCACCAGAACCAGCTTTGGCGATGTATATCGCGATGTATCGATTAATCGCGACAACACTACAATAGTGTAATAAAAATATTACTTTGGAAAAATGTTTACATTACAGTTTTGCCTCTTTTCATCTACAGTGAAACAAGTGCAATGTGAACACATTTGGAAATGACTTATCACTAAATTGAGGTTTTCACAAAGAAGGTATTCATCAAGGCAGGCTCTACATTATCCCTGCCAGTATAAAAAGTGATCTCCCCAGCATTAAAGCAAGTGGGCGCAGCAACCAACTGAGATTATATAAACAGATTTGCACCCACTTGAACAATGGAAAAATCATGGATATTTTGACCAATTTCAGTGTGAATTGTAAAAATGAGAATTTCTGCACCCACTTGAGAAAAAATTCTGGGGAGATCACTGATAAAGATAACTATAAATATGGCAGTGTTACCTACCTAGTCTCCCATAGTCTCCCTCTCCCCATGTGTACAGTTCCCCATCTACAGTGACAGCAGCACTGTGTCTACAAATAAATATTAACATCATCTATAATTCAAAACATTCAGTGCAATATTACATGTACAGAGCACTATGAAATTGAAAACTGATTCACACAATACAATTACAGCAGCACTATGTCTACGAAAATTCAATATTTACCTTGATGTAGCACTATTAAATTGAAAGCTAATGATTCATGCACAATATTTCAACTCTTTAAAAAGACAATCTGTTAAGTCTCTGGCGTAACCAGGATGAGACAGACAAGGTGCTTGCCTAATCGCTTTTTTAACATCTTTTGAGATATATTCCTCGAGCAATGACGAAATGTAAATTAATTGTAGAACTTTTATCATTGTGTTCTACTAGCAAGGTTTGGAAATATATTTTTTGCCTCATCGCTTTTTTCTTCACTAAATGTTTTTTCTAACGGTTGATCGAAGAGAATTAGTTCGAAAATATTTTAAAGCTTCAAGGGAATGTAGACAGCTTTTTGAATTTAGCGGTACTTGTTTGATACTGAGGCTGAGAATTTGTTTGTCAGTGACGTATTATTTAGCTGGGCTATTATTGGTTCTGGTATGGCCAAGGTGTTTTTGATCACTTCGGCTTTATCTGCGGACCTACACACAGTTCACTAAATTTGCCAGATAAAATGATTAAGTTTTCTCAAGAATAGTATAAACGTAGTTCAATCCTATCATTTTATTTGAAGTTAGATTAGTAAGTTAGTTTCAGTCAGATGTTCTAACTTTTGTAAAGCGCTAGTTTTATATTGTTTCTTTACAGTTTATGAACTCTGAAGCCTACATCAAGTCAGTTTCAGCTTAGGATGTAGGTAGACCTCCTATTTGTTTTCAAAGAAGAAACATTTAGGTACTTCTTCACATTCTGTGAGAGGGGTCTCCGAGAAACTGGCACGAGTTCAAGGTTATAATACAACATCATGTAAACAGTTAGTCAAGTTTCACACTACTATACCCCCATACTGTATCCTGTATTCCTTTAAAAGAAGTACAGGCTACAGGGAAGTTGCAAATGGAGGACGTTTGTTTATTTCCATAGTTCTGAATGTATACTAGATTTTACACATATTCTAAGTGTTCTACTATACATTGTATAGATTCATCGAGCAGTTTGCAACGTATTATTACCAGAAAAGCCCAATGGACAAAGATAGAGAATACCCGCTCCATTTGCAACTTAACCGTACCCTGTATCATTTTTAAATGTGGTCACGTGGTAGGGTAGTGTGAGTTTAGAGAATTCATTCTATCTACATACTAGACATTGTCCATATTGTACAAAACCTAGAGGGTTTCTGGCATACGTATTGTGTCATGTCATCAGACATATTGTTTCCCATGTAATGTATAAATTGTTGACTCTCAAGTCACGACAATTGCAAGATGCATTTGGTCGAGAATCTCTGATAGAGATTAGTTAAAGAGTGTTGTGTTTTGTGATGTATAGTTTTCTGTATTTTTGCAATAAACGGGTCGCGCACAAGCCATCCAATTGTAATTCAGGTGTTATGTAAGGTCTGGTGAATGGAGTTGCATTGGTTTAACAGTATTTAAATATGATAAACACTAATCTTGGAGAGAATATCTTATTTTGAGGCAAATATATCATACAAGAATGTGCACTAAGCAAAAGGCTTCAAAGTTGTTTTGTACAGTGTATATTGTTTATTTGAAGATTGATGCAATCCAAGTGAGTTCTCGATGATATCCTACCTGTAACCAGCAGACATAGTTTTCACCACTTTCCCTGCCAGAGCTCCTTGTATGAGTTTGGGGTATTTCTGTGTTGAGCTATTGCCATGGCCAAGTTTGCCATAATCACCTATAATACATCGCAAAGGAGGTTATAATTGCAAAATAACGGGTATATAACAATCTGTACTCCAAGTAATTTCAATCAGGGGATGTGAGCTCATACGATGCGTGATCTGATCCGGATATATTTCGTCATGGTAATGATACATTTTGGAATTGATCTTCGAATTTACCAGAACATTGGTGAATTTGTACAATCTTTAGGATAAATTTTATCCAAATTTTAATCCACCTATGTAGGTGGACTGATTTTTCAGATCAATTTTATGTGAATTCCAATGTAATCTTAGGGATTCCCCAAAATCCTAGAATCGTACGAATTCACCAATTATTAATCCGGATCAATAACCCAAAAAGATCAAATTTATCCGGATAAATTTTTGGATTGTACAAATTCATGGCCCCAGTACTATCCATCCACAGATCTGAGTTGGAGCTCAAGAAAAGAGAACAGACAATCTAAACTGGGAAGTCTCAATACAACATAGAAAAAAGAAGCAAGTGCTTTTTTGAATTTTCATTATCTTGATTTTTGTTGAAATTGATCAATCTAATTGAAAGATTCAAATAATTCATAGAAAGTATATAATAGAGGTTCAACTGACCATCTCCCCAGCTATATATCTCCCCCTCTGTGGTAAGGGCAAGAGTGTGTCCATCAGAGCCTTTGGATGAGGACAGCTTCTTTATGGGGGCATTAATACCAAAGTTGATCTTCTTAGGTAGTGTCTGATTGTTAGAGTCTCCGAGACCTAGACGACCATAACTCCCTAAATAGAAAAAAGACACATGGTGCTCAATATAATATGGCAATTCCCCCGTAATTTTTTTAAAATCTACATTGTATATGGTCATTCCAAGCATTTTAAACTATAACTAGTGATTGTTTTTTCAACAAATTTTACAAAATTGCTTATTTCTTTTTTGAGGGGTGGAGGTAGGGGGGGGGGGGGTTCTTAATAACATACCTTTTCCACAGGCCATAACAGATCCATCTGATGTTATAGTAAAACTGCAGTATTGTCCTGCTTCCATCTGAAATTACAAACACAATATACATGTATGAAATGCAGCATGAGACCCAGGCCGTGAGCGTCATAATAGTACTCACTACTCCAGGGGTAGATCTGGGAACCAACAAGGGGAGCCCAAAATTCCAGGTGAGACAAAAATAACTCCACGCCTGCACGGAAAAATCTTTTGAGCCCCTTGAACCAAAAAGTAAACCCAAGTTATGAAAATTTGAGGTCCATTTGCTTCAAAATCTGACCTAAAATTAGAATATAAGGTCTAATAAGGTCTAATTATGGCCAAGAAGGCCCATTTTTTTTTGGGGGGGGGTCTTAAGGCCTGTCCAGGCTGCACCCCCCCCCCAGATCGTAAATCCACCAGTGTACTCAGACAGGGGTCTCTCAGATAAAAAGGGATCATGAGGGCAAGGGATGAAGATAACACTGACTGGCTAGAATTATTCAGGATCTTCTCATTATACTGTAATGTTCAGATTAGATAATCATTTGATTATTCTGGAGACAATATGATTAATAAAGTGCAAATATTTACTACTGAAGAATTTTATTCTTAAAGTCCTTTTATATATTTGTACTAAATCTTTAGAAACAGATGTGTTCACTAAATGCTTTTTTATTTATTTACTCATATTTAATATTTCTAAATACATCCCAGATAGATAAGTTTTGCTGTACTACTAAATGTGTTCACAGTAAACAGGGTTCACTGTAATACCATGACAAACAGTCTCATAATAAACACCAGGCTTCAATTAGAACTGAATTTCAATGACAGTATTTGACAGCTGTGAATAGGAGGTGAAGAGTTAGACATAATATGCTTAACACTTCAATAGTCATAAACAATACAGACACAGTAGAGCCTGACATGTGGACATTAGTTGTCTAAGACATATTTGGAAAGTTAGAGATATCCAGCCTACTTTGGTAAGAAACTTTGAAATTTTAGCTGATTTTGTGTTGTTCTGTAACAATACCTCTAAAGTAAGAATGTCAAGTATATGCCAATAATTCTTCATCGAAGATATGTAGGAATGACATGCATGGATTTACTCGAGTCTCTAGCTTACAGCTAGACGAAACTTCATTGATTTCGTATGTACTGTGCTACACGCAACTACACGCACCTAGAACTCATTTTTAATAAATTTTATAAATATTTTTAAGAATATTAATCATATTTAGAATGAAGCGTTGCTTGTCTGGATTTAGATATTTCAAAATTTCATTTCGGAGTTTTGACACATGGTGAAATTTTCTCGCTGTAGCTAAAAATGGCTTCCGGTTCTGGACGTGAATAACATTTGAAATTATTCTCGCTTAAGGTGCTATGGAAGTTAACAGGAAATGACAAAACAGGAAGTGATAATTTTTTTTGCATTTTTAGATATTTTTTGAATAAAGATAACAGAGTTCTGGTTTGACCTCCAGTCAATTTAACTATTTCCACATATCATTTACATGACCAGGATCACAATGTGCATGGTCAGAATGACCCTAAACATGATGAAATAACATTTTTAGCCCTTTGAAAGTGTGACTGAAAAAAAGCTAAAAGTAGGGGCGTAGGGATAGTCACTGAACGGAATCTTTTGAATTTTTCAGAAAATGTGCCCAATATAATGCTCTAACTAGTACAATCTTTGAAATTTTAGAAAATTGTCTTAAACAAAAATGGCGGTCATAAAAAGGAAAATAGATCGCTTTTTAAATCAGTTTTTTCATTTTTTTTCTTTTTCTATGAATGATATCAAATTTTCAAAGATTGTATCATTTAGAGCAATATATTGGACACATTTTCTGAAAAATTCAAAAGATTCTGTTCAGTGACCTTCCCTACGCTCCTACTTTTAGCTTTTTTTCAGTCACACTTTCAAATGGCTAAAAAGGTTATTTCATCATGTTTAGGGTCATTCTGACCATGCACATTGTGATTCTGGTCATGTAAATGATATGTGGAAATAGTTAAATTGACTGGAGGTCAAACCAGAACTCTGTTATCTTTATTCCAAAAATATATAAAAATGCAAAAAAAATTGTCACTTCCTGTTTTGTCATTTCCTGTTAACTTCCATAGCACCTTAAAGAAATCAAATATAACAATAGATTCAGACGGGGATGTGAGCTGATGTTCTTCAAATCTATACATAAAGGTATATTTCATATTATTATGCCATATTTACTGTGCGTGTGACACAATGATTTACAATATTTATAATACTAAGGCAGCTCAATCTTCCTCCTCAAAGCCGGAATATAGAGAAGGCTTTGGACCGAAGTAAGCATGGATGACATATTGCCTTTATATATTCTAGATAACCACCTTTGGAATAAACCTCTTCTGCATATAAAATGGATAAGCCAACAAGCAAGAGCATACAACAAGATGTTAGTTGTGAGAGTCCAACCAATGGCTTATTCCTAGACTTCTGTGTTTCTACAATCACAGGTATGCCAGGTAATTTCAAGACAAAATGCAATGGATTACGACTCATCGTCCATTCCTGCCCTGTCAACCCTCACGCATTAGGCGTGATTGTCACGCATTTGCTGGAAAAATAGAAATCACGCATCAATTTAGCATGTATGATCAAATATCACGCAAATCATGCATTTTGTTGATATTTTTAAAAATCTTTTTTTTGTGAAATGCCGACACGGTAAAAAAACTAATAGACAGTTGGGCAGCCAAACACGGAAACCTATTATGTCTTTATTTTATGTCACTGCCAAGTATAAACATGCAAAAATTGTCTAACATTTTACAGGATTAGTATATCTTTTCTGGACTTGGGAATTTTTCACACCAAAAAGATTTTTGAATCACATGTTCAATGATGGAACTTCTGTTCACATATCCCTGATGGACTGAAGCATTTTAACAATGAACTTTTGTTTGCAGTTGATCCTACAAGTACCATTACTGAGACCAACACCTGTGATGACAAAGTGCCAGAGCCTGCTATCAAGCTAGATGAAGAACTTATATGCGAGCAACTCAAAGATGAAAATAATCTTAATACAGCAAGCTGTGACACTGACTCGGGCATTGGTAATGATCAGTTTAATACTTTCGAGTAGTAACATTAATTATCCCATCGAAGTTCAGAGGGATATAGGGAACGCCTCTGTCCGTCCGTTTGGGCAATAACTCATATACAGTTGCCCCGATTTTGTTCATATTTTGTACACATATACCCTATGGGGCTAGAAGTTCTGCTTGAAAGCCGATTTTCAAAATGGCCGCTCATTTAAAAATGGCGGCTATTTTTACTCGAAAAGTAGTGGAGCGATTTTGTTCATATTTGGTATGTGAATACTATAAACATGGCACACTGTCTTTTGACACTTTTGATAAAAGGCGGACATTTTCAAAAATGGCCACCATTTTGAAAAATGGCTGCCATTTTAACGTATTTTACAATAACTCGAAAAGTAGTGGAGCCATTTTGTTCATATTTGGTATATGAATACATGTATAGTACATGCTGAGCATGGCACACTGTCTTATGATACTTTTGGTAGAAGGCAGCCATTTTTCAAAATGGCTACCATTTTTCAAAATGGCCACCATTTTAACGTATTTTACTATAACTCGAAAAGTAGAGGAGCGATTTTGTTCATATTTGGTATGTGAATACTATAAGCATGGCACACTGTCTAATGACACTTTTGGTAGAAGGCGGCCAGTTTGAAAAATTGCCGCCATTTTAACATATTTTACTATAACTCGAAAAGTAGTAGAGCAATTTTGTTCATATTTGGTATGTGAATACTATAAGCATGGCACACTGTCTAATAACACTTTTGGTAGAAGGCGGCCATGTGGAGCGATTTTGTTCATATTAACGTATTTTACTATAACTCGAAAAGTAGTGGAGCGATTTTGTTCATATTTGGTATGTGAATACTATAAGCATGGCACACTGTCTAATGACACTTTTGGTAGAAGGCGGCCAGTTTGAAAAATTGCCGCCATTTTAACATATTTTACTATAACTCAAAAAGTAGTGGAGCGATTTTGTTCATATTTGGTATGTGAATACTATAAGCATGGCACACTGTCTAATAACACTTTTGGTAGAAGGCGGCCATGTGGAGCGATTTTGTTCATATTAATGTATTTTACTATAACTCGAAAAGTAGTGGAGCGATTTTGTTCATATTTGGTATGTGAATACTATAAGCATGGCACACTGTCTAATGACACTTTTGGTAGAAGGTGGCCATTTTCAAAAATGGCTGCCATTTTTGCTACATACTTTGTTTGTAAATATGCCAGCTGTGGCTGTTCGATGGGATTCGCTACACTTTGGGTTGCTGTTGTCTAGTTTTCAATAATAACTAGAAAAACAGCAACTCCACGGAGTAGCAAATCCCACCGAACAAAACATGTTTTAATAAAAAAATTGAGCCAAATTCATCCACTGGTATTTGAATTATCAACGATTATGTCTTTATGAAACATGGTTGCCATTTTGAAATTCAGCTGTCATCTTTAGATTTCTTCTTTAGCAGAGAATGTCCATCCAATGGTATCTGGGTTATCAAAGATTACTTTTTTAATGAAAAATGGGAGCCATTTTGAAATTCAGCTATCGCCTTTGAAATTTCTTCTGAAGCAGATCTCCTTTTTCCCTAAACATCAGCATATAAAATTGGAACCAAATCCATCCACTAGTATTTGAGTTATCATTAATTACATTTTTCACGAAAAATGGCGGCCATTTTGAAATTTTGTGGCCATCTTGAAAATTTATATTTGAGCAGAACTTCTTTGTCTCTAGGCATCAGCATATAGAATTTGAACCAAATCCGTCAACTGGTATTTGAGTTATCAAAGGTTACGTCCTTTATGAAAAATGGCGGCCACTTTGAAATTTAGCTACCACCTTGAAAATCCCTTCTTGAGCAGAGCTCCTATATCCCTAGGCATCAGCATCCAAAATTTAAACCAAATCCATTCAATGGTATTTGAGTTATCAAAGATAACGTTTTTTTTACGAAAAATGGCTGCCATTTTGAAATTTAGCTGCCATCTTGTAAATCCTTTCTCGAGCAGAGCTCCTATGTCCCTAGGCATCAGCATCTAAAATTTGAACCAAATCCATTCAATGGTCTTTGAGTTATCAAAGATAATGTTTTTTTACGGAAAATGGCCGCCATTTTGAAATTTGGCAGCCATCTTGAAAATGTCTTCTTGAGCAAGGCTCCTTTGTACCAAGGCAACAGCATATAAAATTTGAACCAAATCCATCCACTAATATTTGAGTTATTAAAGATTATATTTTTTCCGAAAAATGGCCGCCATTTTGAATTAAGCAGCCATATTGAAAATTCCTTCTCGAGCAGAGGTCCTACACCCATAAGGCATAAGCCTATAAAATTTGAATGAAATCCGTCAACCGGTATTTGAGTTATTGCCCGGACACACGAACGGACGGACAAATGGACGGACGGACGAACGGACGGACGAACGGACGGACGGACGGACGAACGGACGGACGGACGGACGGCTTTTCTATATCCCCCTCGAACTTCGTTCGGTGGGATAACTACAAATCTGTAAAGTGAAACACGTCCTGTATAAATATATTTTTCAATGTCCATTACCAATTAACCTCTTGAATCCCAGGCTTTAAAATCGGCTTAAAACCTGAGAATTTTTCATTTTTGCAAGCTTTTGACATTTAAAAACAGGTGATGCTCAATTTGGTGAAATTAAATTTTAATTATTTTGCAGTTGATACTACAAGGATGGACAAGTCGATATCAGAGCTTGAGCTTGAGGCCAATGAGTCTCTAATATGTAACAAGAAAGAGCTACAAGTTGATGGGGACCTTTCAAAGACAACCAGCAAAGACACCAACTCAGATTATAATCAAAACACGCTTGGATTCAAACATGAATCTGACATTAACAGAGAAAACAAGATCACTGAATCTGACTATCCAAAGGTACATAACAAAGAACCAATATGTAATGAGATTGACGGTTCACTTCAAAGTGTTAGTGATGATGAAAACCATGAATTGATAGCCCATCAACAGACTGATACAGAAGAGCTGGTGAAGGTTACAAGTCCTGGCCCAAAACCACTCATGCAAGAGAAAAACAATATAGCACATGCAAACAGTGACCAACATGGATTAATGAAAAATCAGAATAACAATGAAAATTCTTGTTTAACAGGTGATGTGGTTATTCCTGAAAGCTGCAGGGATATCAAAATCAAGAAATCTGCTGTATCACTATGTCGACTACCCATGGGGAATGGAATGGTATGCACTGAGAAAGTACTCAAGATGACATGCAAATCGATAAAAAGGCAAAATTGTAAACCTAAAATAAAAACACATTCATACTCTGAACTTTCTAAAATATCAATAAATAGTGATACTCTGAAACATAAGAATAAGAATTTGAATGGGAGGAGGAAGCCTTTCAAATGCAAAGTTTGCTCCAAATCGTATGTTAAAAAAGCATATCTTACAAGACATATGGGTATTCATTCTAATGAAAAAAGTACAAGACATATGGGCATTCATTCTAATGAAAAAAGTACACGACATATGGGCATTCATTCTAATGAAAAAAGAAGATTCAAATGTGATGTGTGTCCAAAAACATTTAAAGCAAAAAATAACCTCGTTACACACAGGCGTATTCACACTGGTGAGAAGCCATTCAAATGTTCAATATGTGATAAGTCATTTAGTCAAAGTCCTGCCCTTCAGACACACATCCGTATCCACACTGGGGAAACACCATTCAAATGTAAATTCTGCCCTAAGGCATTTGGAAACAAAGCTAATTTCGACACTCATTGCCGAATTCATACTGGTGAAAAACCTCATAAATGTGAATTTTGTTCTAAAGCATTCACTGATAGGTCTAGCTATATGAGGCATTATCGTATCCATACTGGAGTGAAATACAAGTGTGAAATCTGTTTGAAACTATTCAGTGATACTTCAAGTCTTTGGAGACATAAGAAAATCCACACTGGATTAAAGCCATATAAATGTGCGTTCTGTTCCAAAACATTTTTTGAAAGGGGAGGTCTAGGATCACATTTACGAACCCATACTGGAGAAAAACCTTTCAAATGTTTTATTTGCTCCAAGGCATTCCATAGTCTTGGACCACTTCAGGGGCATATTCAAACACACACTAGAGAGAAACCATTTAAATGTGATGTATGTTCCAAAACATATACAACTAAACACATTCTTGCATCTCATAAGCTTGTTCATAGTAGAAAGTAAATCGGATGGAAAGAATTCCCTCAATATTCAAGTCAAGTAACACAAGAATGTATCAAGACTTTTTGTTCTTCAATATAACATATTTTTATATTCAAGTTGAATTAAATGGACAACATTATCTTGCTTTGGATTTATCCCGTTCAGTACTATCCTTTAATTGAGTTATTTAGTACAATACTTAAGTACTATGCTTGTTTTTGAGTTATGTAGTATAATGTTAAGAATACTTACTTAGTATTATGTCTTTACTTAGTTTTTACTAAATAGTTAGTATTATAGTATTTAGTAATTTACTTATATTTTATAATAACAGTTAGTTAAAAGTTGTCTTATAACACAGGCTGGTATCGAAAAAATTGTCCGCTGTGACGGAGCGTGCTATTTTGCATAGAAACACTAGGAAATCCACACAATTTATTTTTTTACTCATATGTTTTGCTATATCAAAGAAAATTACTGACTCCATGCAATGAATATATCATTTGCGGGTAACTTTAACTTCTGTTTGAAGTCCAACAACGCTAAGAGTAAAATCTATTGAAAACGGCGTAGGAGTATCATACTCCAAAATTTACCATTTCTTTTATTTCTTTTTAATGGTACAATATAGCGACACGATAATATTTACATATGTTTTCAGCATAACTCTAAAGGTATTAATGAGATCTTTATGTATTGGGTATTTTTAATTTTTTTTTATAAAAAATAATGTTTACATTTTTTGTCTGCTGTGACGGAGCAGTTTCAAATCTGAAATACGTTAAGAATTTAAATTTATAATATATCTCTTTATAACTACACGTTAGAGGAGGGAGCGTATCAAATCTCTTTCGTAAAGTATTCTGAAAAATAAAACGGAATAAAAGTACACAATTCAAATTCTGAGATGTATATACGACCACTCTTTAAGCTTCTTTTCTCAGTTTGTACTGTAATCCAAGTTATGCATGGTAACTCATGAAAATGATAGTCAACTTTATTTCAGTATAGGGTATTTGCCTTTCGTTGTGCCTACTGTGGATCCATCACCTGACATGGTCATTTTTTATGGTAACTTATATACAGTAATATTATGTGGTAAAAGGTTATACATCTGTCGGAATGCAGGATGTCTGTGCGCTATTTCGAATAAATTCATATTATCCCTATTTCTGTTACGCGGTAAACACGATACAAAAATATGCCATATTCCGCAACGAATATGCCATATTCACTTGCGGTGTATGACAGATTCACCTGCGGTATATGGCATACAAACTAACCAATGAGAACGTGAAACGGAAGTATGTAATTGTCAATTGCATCGATTGAACGAACAAGTAAAACTTTATAAATCATTATAATGATTACTGAATCAACAGTACAGTTTATCGAATACATCAACGTATGCAGAAGTATCACTCACCAATCTCACATAATAAACTTACCCAATCAATCCAGGATTCATATATTAGTACTCGACGCACTGACAGTAATGGTAATCCAGCGTAGTTTTACATTCAGAGTCGATTCTCGCAACCAATCAAACCAAGTCTTTCTGTATCACGTTTTTTCACCTGCGGAATATGTCATATTCACCTTCTGTATATGGCATATTCCGCAAGTGAGTATGACATATTCTGAAGGTGAGTATCGGGTATTCACTGAATTCAATGCATCACATATTCACTGCGGAATTTCGCATACTCACCTGCAGAATATGCCATATACCGCAGGTGAGTATGGCATATTCACCCGTATCACAAATACCGCGCAACCATGAATGTATGACATATTCCGCGTAACAATTTACACTACACGTGATATTCTAAGACGTCTTGGCGAAACGTATTAGAAATATTATGTTGAGTTTACACCATGTTGATTCATGTTGATTTCAGTACAAACCTCCGAAAAATGCTAAGAGTGGTCGTTTTTATATCTCAGATTTACATTACCCCAGATCTCTCAGAGGCTACTTCTCATAATTTAGGAAAGTGATTTGTGACGTTCTCTCTTCTAAGGGTACTTTTAAAAGGTATAATTTGAATCTTAAATTCTTAACGTAGTTCACAGTTAAAACTGCTCCGTCACAGCTGACAAAAAATGTAAACATTATTTTTTATAAAAAATATTAAAAATACCCAATACATCAAGATATCATTAATACCTTCAGAGTTATGCTGAAAACATATGTAAATATTATCGTGTCACTATATTGTACCATTAAAAAAGAAATAAAAGAAATGGTACATTTTGGAGTATGATACTCCGACGCCGTTTTCAATAGCTTTTACTCTTAGCGTTGTTGGACTTCAAACAAAAGTTAAAGTTACCCGCAAATGATATACCCATTGCATGGAGTGAGAAACTTTCTTTGGTATAGCGAAACATATGAGTAAAAAAATAAATTGTGTGGGTTTCTTAGTGTTTCTATACAAAATAGTACGCTCCGTCACAGCGGACAAATTTTTCGATACCAGCCTGTGTATAAGCATCTAAATATATAATAGAGTATCATCATTAGTGAACATGTATAATGAAACTATGTGTAAATGCTCTTGAGATGTATTTTAAGAAAAATAAAAGTTATTTTACTAATGCATTGTGTTATTCAAATGTGATTTCAATGTACCGATGCAATGAGCAGCCATATTGAAAATGACGGATGGACGCACCTAGGCCGACAATATGGCCCCACACTAAGCATCTAAATATATAATAGAGTATCATCATTAGTGAACATGTATAATGAAACGATGTGTAAATGCTCTTGAGATGTATTTTAAGAAAAATAAAAGTTATTTTACTAATGCATTGTGTTATTCAAAGGTGATTTCAATGTACTGATGAAATGAGCGGCCATATTGAAAATGCCTTCTTGCAGTCTTGAGCAGATGTCCTCTGTCCATAAGACATTTAGCCTATAATGATCAAATTTTAGAAATGACAATTTAGTTTACATTTCTTAAAAAGGTGGCCATTTTAAAATTCAGTGGCTATCTTGAAAATTCCTTCTTGAGAAGGACTCCTCGGGCACCAGAATAATAAAAATTTAAGCATTGCTAGACATTCAGACGGACTGACTTTTCAATATCCCTGACAGACTTCTGTGGGATAATTATATTTTAGTAACATACCCCTAAAGCTGATAAGATTTGCAGAACATTGAATAAATTGTGGGTCAACATGCACCATAATTTATCATTTGTGACCTTTTTCACAATAACATTGCTAAAAAAATAACAAAAACAAAGAACGGTTTAGATTACAGATACAAATGCACATATCCCAACATGATCAATCCTCTCATTTGTATCTTTCTATTCTAATTAGTCAAAGAGCAATTCAGTTGATTATTTTGTGAATCCTGAATTCTGGATAAATAGCTTCAACCAATTTACTTAGTAAAGTTGCTATTCTTTAATCCAAATGTGATTTGATCCCTTTTGGGTTATCAAGTTTCTTGTTTCAATCATGATATCCCTGGCACTGAAATATTACACATTGTTTTGGCTGAGAAGTATAAATATTTTGTCTAGAAATATCACTATGTTTACCTACTGGCATTCATTCAAATAGTGATAAGGGTACCAACACATATAATATAAGATGCAGAGCATTGTGCTGATCTGTATCCTGCTTCTGATACACAGAGGTAAGTACTTTTAAAGAGGTGATCTTGAAATCCATAAGGGGTGGGCATGCAAAATATCACTACCTGTCATTTGTAACAGATGCCTTAACACCAAACACCAACCGCCAAACACCATCCACAAAAAAAAGTTGAGACTATACTTCTGGTGGTGACATAAATAATCTAATTGAATTATTGACACTTTTGGGCAGTTTAGGACATACAGTAGACATAGGAAATAGACAATTAGCCAAGATACCTTCATGATCAGTGAGAAAAGAATGAAAATGAGTGGACAATTCTTTTGACTCGCCAAGTGAGCTAAAAAAGAGATCAAACTTATGAACACTGTCAAGGTATCAAATGTGTTAATAAAATCTGCACACCCTTATATCTGTATGTATTTGTTTGTAACATGATTGCATGATTGAAACCTGCACATCATGTTAGATGATCCACTGAAATTAAAACATGTCCGCATTGCTTCTAAAATAGGTGCTGGTAGAAAAAAGCAGAAATCTGCCCATTTGGCTGATTCAAATCAACATGTCACAAAGGATGCTTTCAAATTAACACATAAAGAAGTGCAGGCATTAAAGTACATCCCTGATGGGAAATTCAACTCTAAAGATTGCTTGGAGGTCTTAACAAGTATTGACAATAACTTCATGGATAAGGGTAAGGAACTGAGAGATGGTGTCAAAATGTTGAAAAACAAGTTGATTCCTGATTCCATTATGGTTCTAACACCCCCCCCCACCCCCTCTGTATCATGACCTTTGAATTCATTTAATTTACTTTCAAATAAATTGTTACTAGATAGAATCTACAATTCCCACCTACATGAAATAAACAGTTTTCTTCCTTACTACTGTAGATTGGGTTAATTTGGCGATTTTGCCATTTTTGGCATATTGGCGGCTATTTAATTTGGCCAACACTTGACACCACAACTTACATATACACTGGAAGAAAATGCATAGTGTTACACCTATTCTTTCAATTCAGCTACTATATCTTGTAATTCATTGTTCAAGCAACTCCCCTGAGCCAATTTAGAAGTGATATGTTCTGATTATCCCCCTTGTCCTTTTTAGAATTTGAAAAACTAAACCAGAAATGACTTAAATACACCTGAGGAAATCCCCAGGGATCCTTTTTAAACTTTGGCGAAGATGTAAATAGGCATTTTTTTCAATTTTACCAAATTTGTGAATGCCAAATTAACCCAACTTACAGTATCTCTGAAAATGCAGTTAAAATCTTCGTGACAATTTAGCTGATAATTTTGTTGAACCCTGATTCCTTTTTAATAGGATGGTATATCATTGCACCACGTATGAACAATACCAAAAGGAAAATCAAAGTTTATTGTGACCAACCAGACCTAGATGGCAACTTTGGAGGTTGGACAGTAATTCAAAGAAATGATGGAACAAAATCAATGAATCACAACTGGAAAAAGTACAAAACTGGTTTCAAAGATGGTGAAAGCTTCTGGTTAGGAAACGACAACATATATGACATATTTGAAAACCAAACAACACCAATGATGATGATGATTGAGGGATGGTCCAAGATGTACGGCAATAACAATCATCGAAGTGCAATTTATAATGGTGTTACTATCAAGAATGAAGCTAACAAATATGAACTTTGTGCAAATAGCATCACTGGCTTTGATCCTTTGGGCCTGAGTAAATTTGATCCCCCATGTGTAAGATTCAGTACTAATGATGAAGATAACGACAATGCTGTGAATGCAAACTGTGCTGAAATGTTTGGAGGAGGGATGTGGTACACAAACTGTACAGATTTGAATGTAAATGGTCATAATGGAGTAACTGATACAAAGACGAGAAAACGGAAGACTCGAAATAATGACTATTCTTTCACCAAAGGTAATACATATTTGTATATTGATCAGGCAGAAAAAAATTGCAAATATTATAGCACTTTAATACACGGACTTGACTCAAACAGGCATTCCTTTCAAGAACAGATTTACTTTACATGTTTATCTAAACTTGATCTTATAAAATGTTGTTCTAATGATTTTGATTTGATTGAGTTAACCCTTTCCCGACGTGAATATAAGAGGAAAATGTTGGCCCTGGTGACGGGTAAGTAAGAGCAGTTTTTAGGGGAAAACTGAAAATTACCTGTGCCCAGGGACCTATACCTTGAATTTTATCACTGAAATACATTTTTTAGTAAGGACTATCATATTAGAACAAATTTGGTGTAAAATACTGAATAGAACTGGAGATACTATCATTTCATCGATGTATATAAATAAAAATTATGGTGCCAAAAGGAGCCTATCGTCCTGAAAGGTATTACATAATAGGGCTCCATATGGAGCCAATCGTCGTGAAAGGGTTAAAGCTGGACTTCCCTCCGAAACGCAATCTTGGGTTGTTTCGGGGGTGAACTTTATCATTTTGAGTTTAATGAAAGATTATAGAATGATGAACAAATGGGGCAAATCTTGTGTAGAAATACTTACGATAAATGTGTCATTTCAAAGATTTTTCATTGAATTTGCTTCGATCGGTGCCGGCGATATGATTTTGGAAAGGTTTCTAAATGAAGAACGTGACGTCACTTCCGAATCATAGCATTCAAAATAAGTAGCGTTTAATTACTCCCATTTTCACAGGAACACGGTGGTGTAGGGGTAGAGTCCTCGCTTGGCACGCGGGAGGCCCGGGTTCGAATCCCGCATTGCCTTTTTATTTTTTTAACTAAATGATTGTTCTTTGATATTACGCAGAAAAAAACAATTTTTATTTACATAAACTTTATATCAGAGCTTGAAAATGTAAAAACAATATATGTCAACATATTGCGTTTTGGAGCGATGTGCAGGTTTAAACAAGACACATGGTGATAAATATCACACTTAGGAGAGCAAAATTGTCACCACATAATTTACTCAGCATACCTTACTCACTTCGAGAGCCATGTTAGATTTTGAAACTTATGGCTCTCAAACGCAAAAGTGGACAGCTCATCGATTGTGACCTTTGAAATCGAATTAAGTCGATCAGCGGCCTACTTTTGTTCTCTAACTATGCTATACATCATTATCATCCTTCTGTGCAAGTATTGGAGTGCTGAGGTACTTCCTTTTCGATCAAGACTTGTAATTGTTAGTCGAGTGAATGTTTTTACTGCCGAATTTCAATATGGCGTTTTCTGCTCGGACATTTTCGTACATTTCCGGAGGTTGTCCGAACCTAACTCATTCTCAAAATTCATTTCGTTCGTTGCGTATCTCGCGCCTAGCAAACCGCCATATTGGAAATAGGTCTGAAAAAACATTCACTCGATGAACAATTTACAAGTCTTGATCGAAAAAGAAGTATTTCAGCGGTCTAATACTTACACGGATTGATGATACTGATGTAAGACACAGTTAGAGACCAAAAGTAAGCCGCTGATCGACTTAATTCGATTTCAAAGGTCACAATCATGGAGCTGTCCAAATGCTCAGTGGGAAAGCTATTATATCAAAATCCAAATAGCTTTCGCAGGAAGTAAAGCATACCCAGATCTAGGCACTAGTCTGTTCTTGCACACATAAAATCAAGTTGAACATGTTATATAATAGGTTTTTCTGGAATTTTGATGACAAGAGATGATTTGTAGTCTCAAACTTTGAGAAACTTAGATACCATATCCTGATTAGTAGTGTTAGGTAACATTGTTTGTGACCTAGGTTAATAATGTCGAATTAAGGCCTTGAAAATTTCACTTTTTCACACCTTGTAATTAAGCTGACCTAAATCTGAATCCATATAATCAATTTAAAAAAATGTTGACTTTTGAAGGTCAACCAAAGGTCAAATCTCAAATGTAAGGTCAGATTTGAACTCATAAGAACTTTTGGGTGATTTACAAATAATTGGTCAATTTGAAGCAAGGTCAAAAATTCAAAATGGCTGACTTATCAAAAAATTCAAAATGGCTACCATGTAGTTATCGCAGCACACCCACAACCTAATCAGATTTTGGCACAAGTCTGCTCTTCCAACTGTAAAGATTTCAGGTGGAACAGAATAGGTGGTTTTCCTAGCATTTTTATGACAGGTTTGATTTATGGGGCACCCACATGTCCGCCTGCCAGCACACCCATCAGCACAAGACGATGGCAATAAAGCACTTATTCAAAGTACAATGAAAACATAACAAAATGACCACGTTATATTTGGAAGGTATCTGGTGGTACAGCTGGAAAAGGCAAATGATGTTGACACTTGTGAAGGTGGAAATAAAGGTGCGTCCCATACAAAAGAGCTGCACAGCAGTAAGACAAGCACTGAAGATACCACGCAATACAAAACATGAAGGTGATCACCTATGTAATAGCCTGATTCAATACTAACTAAATAGATGTTCAATGACTATAATAAAGTTGATTGGACTATTTTGATGAAATCTAAAATGTCTCATTTTCTATGCGACAATTTGCAAACTATTTCTTTGGACAGGCATCTAACTTTGTATTGTTTTAGGTGTTTATAACATTCAACTTGACCCAAAGTTTCCTGCTGTAAAGATGCGCTGTTATTTTGATGCTGAAGGAGATTGGACAGTTATTCAAACTCGCACTGATGGATCATTAGACTTTGATCGACCATGGAGAGACTACTCAAAAGGCTTTGGAGATCTGGATGGAGAATTCTGGTGGGGACTGGAAAATATCTGGGCCAACATGGATGTAGCTGTATTGAGAATTGAGGTAACAAATATGTTAGTAATACTAGTAGTACAAGGAGCCTGGCTATAGCAACTGACTATAACATTCTTTAAAGACCTGTTGAAAAAGGTTATCTTAAACTTACAATTTTTTAGATGGATTTTTGGCAAGCTGCAATTTAATTGTCAAAGATAAATATCAAATTATATGCTGAATTGGCTGAGTTTTTGTTGTTTTTAGTATGAAGTGTCTCAAAAAGAATTATTTATGAAACATAGATAGAGTCAATTATGCTATGAGGGTCACAGCTCAGTATGCCCCTGTCTCATATTTGTATTAATATAAGAGCTGTACATATAAAGGAAGCTAAATTAATAAGGTCATTTGACGTATAACTTTGCACTTTGAGTAAATAATAAGCATTGATGAGACATAAAATAATAAATAATATATAATAATTACAATAAAGAATAAATAACATTTGGTAAATATTCATTAATTTCTTCAATTTCAGATTTGGAACAAGACAGGAGGCTATGAATTCATCAACTTCAGAAATTTTCAAATTCGCCTGTATCGCTTTTACAGAAAAAAGACAAGCAAGCATGACTTTTTGCGGATAACGCCTTTCCACATGAGAGAGAAAGAGTTGAGAACATACGATAATCATCTTTACGATTCACCTAGTATTAGAATTGGCGAAAAAATCAAAGGCAATGCAAGTGAATGTTATGGTTTTCATCCTTCCCAGGAATATGAAGAGATGCAGTTTTCAACAAATGATCGTGGTACATATTCAGACAAGGCAAAGGTTTGCAAAGGTGGTTGGTGGTATGAGAAACGCAAACCTTCTTTTGATAACTGTAACTGTGTACTCAATGGAATTAGCATCATGAATGATGCGAAGTCTGAATCAGAGAGTTCAACTGGCCCCTCAAAGCAACATACTAAATACAGAACACGGATGATGTTGAAAGTGAAGGTGTGAAAGAAAAATAGGGTCCTAAAATGAAATAACAATATTTGATGGAACTAATAAGTATATCTAAGTTTCAGGTTTGGGATCAAAAAGGAAGCACTCAGTTCAGGACTACAAACACTTCAATGTTTTACTACTAAAGAGACATGTACCTCAACAGAAACATCATTATTTCAACACAACTCATTTCCATGTTACGTAGAAAGAAATAATCGGGCGATGATCTGATGAATCTGTCAGGGATAGACCAATTTGCCTGCGAAGAAAAGTGATGGTATCGCAATAGAATGTTACAGACTTTTCAGTGGCCAATTTAAATCATTTTAAGAAAAAAACAAAAACCGAGGAGTTAATTTTACCATCAATATCAAAGGACAAATTTGATGAAATTATTAAGTACATTCTGGCCTGCATGTTCTCAGGCATGAAGAAGGGAATTTAAAATTCACGAAAATTGCATGCATAATTACATTTGTTACAGTATATTGCACCAATAATCAGTAAATACTATATTCTGTATGTTACACAAATAGACTCATTTCAAATAATTTGATATTTTCTGTAAAATAACTAGATAACAGTGACGCCAAGGTGTAGCGAGTCCCATCGAACAGCCATAAAAATTGCAAAACTTAACCTTTACACTGTACTTTGTAATTCTTATTTTCCTTTACACTGTTTTTCAAAACTTGAGATCATTAAGATTAAACATATGCATCTAAACAAATCTTACAAAAGGCATCCTAAAACTGATTTAACTTCACTACATTATTACAAGAATAATACATTCTCTATATAGTCAGTGTAATGTTGCAGCTATTTGGATATTGTGATGCAAATATTGATAATACCAAAATCTTTAAATACATTACAATCAAGGGTTTCCTTTAAAAAGTAAAATCAGTTACAGTCTCCATAATTTGAAGCATACTTACAGTTATGAAAATTATGAGTGATTGCTTCCAACCACAAATTTAAAAATTACAAAACCCAAGAAGCCAAACCATCGTGAATGGATTATGCACTTGTCAAGAGGGTTTTCTAGCAATAAGCATAAAGGGTTTTTTAGCACAAAGGGTAAATCTAATTGGTCCATGAGAGATATTATATACTTATGAATGTTTTAAAGAGCATGTATGTGGATCAACAAGGCGAACCAACTAACATTTCATTTGGATAAATCGAAGCTTGTATAAAGACAGGCCTGTAGCAAGGGGGGTTTCATGGGGTGCAGATGAACCACCTCCCACTGGTCAAAAAATCATTTAAAATCATGCAGTTTTTCACCATTCTGAGGACTCTACTAGTGATTTTGGTCAAATATGAATCCAATCTGGAATTTTTAAAAAGTGACCCCCCTTGGCAAAAGCTGGATATGGGCCTGTTCAAAAGAAAATTAAAACTTACCTGTTCGACACCAACAAAACTAGGTGCAAGCTTAGGGGCAAGGATTTTCTCCTGGCTGCCTTCAGCTAGCTGATGACTACTGTTACTCCCCCATACATAGCAATCTGAGTTATTGGGTGGGTTGTTACTGTTGACAGTGGCTTCACCAGGCCCTGGGGTGCTGCTGTTGTTGTTTCTATTTTCCTCAGGATTACTTGAGCAACTCTTTGAATAATCAGAGGCCAGGTGACAAACCTAGAATAATGCAACATAATCATTAATCAGTGCATAATTCTGACTTTTTTGCTTTTAATAAAAATGCAGGCAAATATTCAATTCCTTGGCTTGGTGTTAACTCTCTATTTTAATTCATCCATTGATAAAATGCATGAAGTTAAAGCATTTTCAAATCAAGCCAAGATCTAAATAAAAAAATATCAGAAATATTTTTCATACCTCCTCCATAAGACACACAGCAGCCTGGTATAGAGGTGTTTGGCCTTCAGAGTCTACACTTAGCGAGGACTGAACATTGCTACTCTTCTGACAGCTCTACAATTATATCAAACATACCGAATCATATACATAAGGTTTGAGGTTCTGGATAAAGGATGGAGGTTCTGGATAAAGGTTGGAGGTTCTGGATAAAGGTTGGAGGTTCTGGATAAAGGTTGGAGGTTCTGGATAAAGGTTTCGGGTTCTGGATTAAGGTTGAATGTTCTGGATAAAAGTCGGAGGTTCTGGATAAAGATTTGGGGTTCTGGATTAAGGTTGAATGTTCTGGATAAAAGTTGGAGGTTCTGGATAAAGGTTTGAGGTTCTGGATTAAAGTTGAATGTTCTGGATAAAGGTTGGAGGTCCTGGATAAAGGTTGGAGGTTCTGGATAAAGGTTGGAGGTTCTGGATTAAGGTTGAATGTTCTGGATAAAGGTTGGAGGTCCTGGATTAAGGTTGGAGGTTCTGGATAAAGGTTTGAGGTTCTGGATTAAGGTTGAATGTTCTGGATAAAGGTTTGAGGTTCTGGATTAAGGTTGAATGTTCTGGATAAAGGTTGGAGGTTCTGGATAAAGGTTAGAGGTTCTAGATAAAAGTTGGAGGTTCTGGATAAAGGTTTGAGGTTCTGGATAAAGGTTGAATGTTCTGGATAAAGGTTGGAGGTTCTGGATAAAGGTTGGAGGTTCTGGATAAAGGTTGGAGGTTCTGGATAAAGGTTTGAGGTTCTGGATAAAGGTTGGACGTTTTGGATAAAGGTTTGAGGTTCTGGATTAAGGTTGAATGTTCTGGATAAAGGTTGAATATTCTGGATAAAGGTTGGAGGTTCTGGATAAAGGTTGGAGGTTCTGGATAAAGGTTGGAGGTTCTGGATAAAGGTTGGAGGTTCTGGATAAAGGTTGAATGTTCTGGATAAAGGTTGGAGGTTCTGGATAAAGGTTGGAGGTTCTGGATAAAGGTTGGAGGTTCTGGATAAAGGTTTGAGGTTCTGGATAAAGATTGGAGGTTCTGGATAAAGGTTGAAGGTTCCGGAGAAAGGTTTGAGGTTCTGGATAAAAGTTGGAGGTTCTGGATAAAGGTTGGAGGTTCTGGATAAAGGTTGGAGTTTCTGGATAAAGGTTGGAGGTTCTGGATGAAGGTTGGAGGTTCTGGATAAGGGGTTTACACGAGACTAACAGCCTTTTAATCATAACATACATTTACAGAGAGGTATGCTGAGGTTACTACACAAATCTAACCTGCCATGATGTTTAATTGGCATTTGGCAACACTAGAAAAGTTGTAATTTTATGTTCAATTTCTGAACGCAATTATTAAACAAGTTATTCAAAATCTGGAAAAACTTACCGAAGTTTCTTTGATTTGATGGAGTATTTGGTTAAAATAAACTTGTCTGATTGATCCAGTGGTAACATCTTTAAATGGTATAGAAGCTGAGAGAGCCATCTCTATCCATTCTAAAAGGTACCTGGAAGTATAAAATACAACATTTGAGGAAGAATTGAATTACTTCTGAACATTTAAGTATATTATTTATTCAATCCCACCTCATATTTATCCTTTAGAAATACAATACAGTGCATTTATCAGATATTCTCCTGAACATTTAAGTATTCGATAAATGTGCTCATTGTCTATTTCAGATTCTAAAACATACAAAATTGAAAAAGTCAGAGAATAACCTGAAGTTTGAACCATCAGTAAGACTTTTTCATGAACATCAAAGGCTGAGTTAGGCACTAAGTTACTTTAAATCTATGTTTTAAAATTAAATTAAATTCTATATTAATTTATCTGACAGTAAATTTCTGTAAAGCAAGGGAATTAAATCTATTTCCACTATAATCATGGAAATAGGTGGACATTTCAACTCATTTTGTGATATAAAGAAAATAATCACAATTTTGCATACCTCAATGATCCTCTTTGTGTATATATTGCCAGCAGCAACTCGGAACTTAATGTTCTCCCAGCGATATCAGCTGTTGAATTTGGAAGTGTGGAGCTCTTCAAAAAGGAGGTGATCTGGTTCAATGTATCAAGTCCAAGGTGTGGAATTTTGCTTTCATTAGATAAAGACAATGGAGGAAGGGTATGGATGACATCACAGGCTGTTTGCAAAACATCATTACATAGATTTATGCCACCCATTTGTTTAGTTTGGATCCAGTTCTGCCGCAACAGGGAAAATAGCAAACTCAACCCAGTTCTCACTCCCATTTCAACGAGAGCATCGGTACCAGTGCGCATTGAACCACTGTTGTTTTGACCCTCCTCTAGATTGAGCGAGTTGTCCGCTAGTTTCTGCTTGTGCCTAAGCTTTTCTTTATCATGATATTTATTGACTACAGCGTAAAATATTCGCTGTAATACCACAAGGCGTTTTTGAAGAATTGCAGCAAAGGGGGACTCTGAACACACAGATCTGCAATGCAAATATATTTTTGTGTAAGCTTGACTTACAATGGCTTTGTAAGATAATGTGATCCTTGGACAATATTGACAATATTTTATAAAATTGAAATTTATTTTCCAATAGCTATATTTCAAAAATGGCTTGTTTTTTGTTGGAGAGAATAAAAGTAAAATATCTTAAGACAGCAAATTGAGCACATAGAAAACTTCAAACTTTGGAAACAGTCAAAGACAATTTTGGTGCATAAATAGGCACTGTACCAGACAATAATATATTGTATTGCCATATATAATACCTTGCCAGTCCAAGTTGACTGCTGAGCATGCCATCTAGATAATGCTCTTGCTCTTCTATAGAGGGCACCTCCTGTTCAAAGTCGGGCAATAAAGGTCCCTTGAGTGGAACTACAGGCTGTGGCATTGTTATCACCTCCTATGTAGACACAAAAATGTATACAATATGAGATTAAAGAGAAATCGGAAACAATATACAAATCAGATATAGTATCATCATAAAAGATACAATACAATAAGATGATACATGTATTACAATATGAAATCAAGAGAAATGGAACAATATACAAATGAGTCATATTATCAGCATTAGATGGTATTACAATTAACATTCACTTTGCTTACACTTATTTGATTTCTTTCTTTCTAGACTACCAAAATTCCTTGATTTTCTAGCAATCCTTTTGCTACGGCATCGGCATCTCAAACCTTATTTAACTTTCATAATTTCTTTTCACAAAACATGACATGATATTCACCTTATTTGATACAAGTCTGTTGTAAAGGGCAATGGTATCATCCCAGGTTGCTATGGACTCACAATCCTCTATCACCCATTGTGTATTCAGGTGCTCGAGCCATTTCAGCTTCACAGGGGGATTCAGCGCCATCTTTATAATCAGGGTAGGTCTTTGCTCCCTGTCTGAAACAAAGGTAGAAATAAATTAAAACTTTGTGATATTATATGAAAGAAATATATTTCCTTTATTGTTAATGAAATAAAACAAGTCAAGGGTACAGTGCGAATTAGCGAATTAGTCAATGAGGCTACAGTTTACTGACCAATCAGAAATGTAGAAGTCATCGTTCTAAATCAACGAATTGAATATGGCATTCATAGCATAGATAGAAAGATACATGTGTCTATGGTAAAAACAATTAAGGGAAAAAAATTATGCTTTGGTATATTAAACTTTCATACATTCATACCTACATAAATGCATACCACTCATACTCATTTGTGCACATTCATTCTTACTCAATAAAAAAATACATCATCTATTAATCTATGAGTTATCTATGAAAATCACCAGATAACGTCCTGCTTGCTCAAGTGAGAAGTTCTCACTTGATTATTGGAGCAGCTTGATATATTTGCTAGGGACTAACCAGCTTTTCAGTAACCGGATGTTACTATTAACACACAGGTAAAATATTTCGATACAAATCCTAACATCTTTATAACCAGGTGGGGACCAGTGAAGTAGTCATGCTACAAATTTTGTCTGTAAATGAACGACATTACATGCAATTTTACTATTTCTGAGTCCCCTATCCCCATTGGAAGATAGCAATGAACAGTTTGATTTCAAATATTTTACTATTTATCCTGGATATAATATTACAGTTTGGTTTATAAATATAAATGTCTGTTTGATCCATAATTATTAATCATCACATCTTAAGTTAATCCTTATAACTTGCACATGGTGATACTTATTCCGGGGTTTCGCTAGAATTTTTCACAACACGAACAGGCTAAATAAATGAAAACAACAGGCAAAATTAATGGAAATCATGAATTTAGCATGGAAAAGTTTCTCAGTTGGTATTACAATGATTTTAGGAGTTTACACTAAACATGATTTTATGCAATGGTATTTCACTAAAAAATGTTGTTTTTATAAAATCATGATGAAATTCATTTCATTCATTTATATCCCCCATGGACATTATCAGGGGGTAGTTACAGGTGTTGATTCACCCCTTGAGTTTTGCACCATCGCTTTTTGAAAAATTCAACTCATTGCTATATATAAGTAGCCTCAAAAAACATGAATATCATTGCATCAAGCTGTTTTTAACTACTTCTGCTTGGCATTCAGTTCACTTAAATGTATATGAACAGCTCAAGTGTTAGTTAGAGGTGTCATATATACCTGATTTTTTCCGACCCACGGAATAATGCCCTCGGAACGGAACACAGAACAAAAATTAGGAATTTTGGTTTGGTTCTGGTACAAGAAAATTTTACCCTTTTGCAACTTGTGGCCCTCAAATTGCCACAAAACAGCATTTTTCTTTCAATATTTTGTACAAAAAGAGGTTCATTCTGTCAAACTTTTCCTGCCATTTACACCATGAACACACCCTTGTTCAATTATCACCTGCCACAACCAAACCCAATTTAATTCCAAACTAGAACTAAACTAAATGTGTATTGGAAAAGTTAGCAGCTGTAAATTATGGCATACAAATGATTTCAAGATGTAATTCAGGGAGTTCATTAGAAAGACTTCGCAACGCATCATAACATGTTTATAAATCCCATGTTTATGACTTAAAGTGTGGGTACCATGCCAGCATCATTTGTTGAGTAGGTCTATCCATTCATAAGGAATAAATAAAAGCATAGGGGTGCATTAAACTTCCATAAACTGAGATTGAATAATCCTTTAAATTTTTTTAAATTGAACTCTTCAAAGACTGTGTCATGACCCACATGCATGTGGGTACAAGGTTTTTATACAAAGCCCCTTTTCATTGGTAAGTAGATACATGGACTTGAGTCAACATTTATTCTAGAATTTGCTTCTTTTTTAATAAGTGAGAATTAGTAACAAGATCCAAGATGGCCGAACAGGTCAATTGAGAATTTTGTCACCGATGGGGTCACGTGATTAACTGTTAATTAATAAGCAGGCATTGTTTACCATTAAAAGTGATCTCACAATGTTCGCCATTTATTTCAGAATATTCTCTTAAAGTTAAGTTTGTGTAACCTAAATAGTTTTACCATTATTTACAATTCATGGTGCTTAACTGAAATGTAATTAACATTTTCGGCTCTTGGAAAATGTGTACTTGTGATTGATCATGTGAACATATCCTGCTATTTGATTGGACATCATGATGTGCATAATACTGTTTACGTCATCCATCTTGCCAAAGCCCTGGTGGGATCTTACCAGTCGACAAAAAACAATGAAATCACGTTTAAAAATACAATTACACTTTACAATTGAAGCTGATGGTATACTATAGCTAAAAGGACTCTATTTAATACAGCTGTGCAAGTTACAGTGACCAAGAAGAGCTTATTTATGCGAGATTTGGGAAGTGCAAAAGGTTACTTCTTTTTTTTCATATGTGATTTCCATCTTTCGCCAGAACATTCTCTTCAGTGAAAATGTGGTACGTGAGACACTCTTTAGTCATAGTTTTCCGACTGTATACTGTAGCCTAGCTGTCTAGGCCAGCTCTAGTCTTAGCCTAGTCCAACAACATTAGACCTAGCCTGGGCCTCGTTTCTTATCTGACATGTCTTATGGCCCCGGCTAGGTCTAACCTCCATGATCATTTTGCCTTTGATGCATTAATTTAATCGTTCCGCAGGTTTCGACAAGCGGAACTAATTAAACCCTGAAAACATGGTAATACTGCACAAAGAATGTGATTCAAGCATGTATACATACCTTATGAATACATACACACCATCCCGTATCCCCCTTAGACCCTATTGATGCATAATTACGAAAATATTGGAGACAGGTTTGGAATATAACGAAAATGTCAGTCAGTTTCGGTAACATCGAAATTGCAAATCATATCAGAAATTAACCGTCATCGCGGCACTGCAGTACAAACAGTAGGTTTGCAATTAATAACTATTTTGCGTTTATACACGCGCTATATAAATCAATCAAAGATACCTGTTATCCTCAAAATTGATCTTTTTATCCCGATTAATCGCGATAATAAATATATATCTATTTGACAACAATTTTGCTTTGCTAATAGTTCAATTTTACGACCCGGGACACTCGGACGAACAGACACAATGACTGACATGCGGAAATGTCATTTTAGAAATTGGTAAGTGTAGCCTCATTTTCCTGGTATAAATGAACATTTAACACAATAAATGTTATGTGTTTTTATATTATTGTCCAGTATCAGTTGCATGTTATCGCAGAAAAATGGTTTCGATGGATCCAGAACTTGCATCAAGGGAAAGAATAGTAAGGAGGTTAAACTCAATAACGGCCCAAAGAAAATTCCTAATTGTAAAGAACGCCGTTATTGAGTTTAACAACATTGAACTAGGCCTAGAGTAGTCTTAACCTAGAGTCCATTTCACTGCTTCATTTCGTCAGTAGAACGGCAAAAATAAGAAATTGTGCAATAATATATGGAAAAGTATATTCATAATGTACATGAATGACATTTGTATATCTTGGATTGCTTCTAGTTTGGCTTATAAAGTGTGTGGCCTCTTATATTTGGATGTTTCTCTGCCATGTTATTTTCAATAAGATTAACATGGCTGAAATTCTTCAAATTACAAGACGACACAGGCTTATTGCACAAAAAACTAAAAAATCTGAAATATACAAATGTCATTCATGTACATTATGAATATACTTTTCCATATATTATTGCACAATGGTCTCCCAATTTCTTATTTTTGCCGTTCTACTGACGAAATGAAGCAGTGAAATGGACTCTAGTGGGCTCAAGCTACTGTCAGTAGCCTAGACATGTAGGGGGTGGCATTGTGGGACGATCTTCAACAATTCTTTGTTTTATAGATCTATGGTTTCTTTATTGAAACTTCATATTAGACACATCATATTATAGATGTGGTGCTATATATTGTGAGAATGTCCCTATCTACTCTACTCAAGGCCTAGAAAATTTATAAAAATAATTTAATTTTTCTAGTTTTTTTTCAGCGTTCGTATATAATCAGAACATTGCAAAATCTATGAACTCTCATACCTTAAATGGGTTCCTGGAGATATCAAGTATTAATGTTCATCATATAACTGTAAAGAACCTCACAGCAATGACAGAAATCTTTGTTTTTATGCAAGTTGTTACTTCCAAAAACTTTTCAGCAGATAATTTTTGGCGCATGCGCTGTTTAGACTAGCCTACTTCCGGCGAGTGAAAGTGAAAATCTTTTTTGAAGTTATTCGATCATTTTGAAAACACTACACACAATTGAAAGTTATTTTGGTAATGTTGTTAACTAACTGTGCATACTTTCTATTTCATGGTATTCGATATGGCGGGTAAGTTCCAAGATTGAGAAATAAATCGATGAATGTCGATACCTCTTTTTACGTGGGTGATAATGGATCATTGACAAAAATAAATGACAGGTCGATTTTCGATCACCATTTCCTAATTATGGTGGTCTGAAAGCCCATAATTTCAAATATTGTCTAGATATATATCCCTTAAAATTTGTATATTTTACATTTTGTATAATCTCATCCACTGATGTATGGCCTCTTGTAAATTCTCTTATTTTTAACATGGGAAATCCTCACTTCAGCAAATCCACCTGTCATTTATTTATGTCCCCAACTGTATGTATCTTTGGTCAGGTACTACCACAGGATCTTGTAGCACGTTTATGATGACTGATATGGGGCTGCCTGATATGGGAGACTGATATGCTTTATACTATAGGGCCTATCATAGTGCTCATTTCATATCATAGTGCTACATGTCTCTGTGGGTACTACTAGAATAGTATTATAAATTAGATAGATATGATCATGGGCTTTCAATTAGTTGAAAGTCCATGATATGATGTACGTCTACAATATATTTGGAATTCTTTAGTTTTAAAACCAATCTATACCTACATTGTAAATGCACGATCAGATGACAAGATCATAACATTGCAGATTGTTTTATGATTTAGATCTACAGTGCTGGTATATATTAATTGATCAGTCGTTTAATTGGCATATTTTCTTGAATTTTAACATTTAATGTCCCAAACTCCCACAAACTGCAGAGAAGTATACACCATAAATCATATTTACCAAAATGAGTGTCTCCAAGGCTTCACACCAGCGTATGCATAATGCATTTGTCACAAGTTTGAGCTGAAATTTCGCCAAAATGAAGTAGGCAAAGGGTAGTCTCTGCCAGGTTTGTTTATTGTGGCAAGCTTGTTAGTGCTCAGAACCAAATAATTCATGTGCGCAAACTAATCAAATAATCTGATTGGTCTAAACTTTGCTGCACATGCGCACAATGTGTGCTATGTTTTTTCTAGTGATTTCGTTTCGTTTCATGCAGTTTGCGTTTCAGTGTAACTTCCGTAAAAATGGCGGACCATGGACAGAATTAACAGGTAAAATCACTTCGAAATTTCAAGAGAACTTTTTACCTATATAGCAAAACTTTTGTTTTATTTGAGCATTCTATCTATCAGATAAGAGTTTCAGGGGTATGTTGGCAAATTCATTTTGGTGGGAACACTCTGTTTAGTTTGAAAACGCACCCTTTATTATTATATATCAGCACTGTACAAAAATACATGTGTAGTTCATTCTGGCGGATCTAGGTGGGGGGGGGGAGGAGGCAGAAAAGAATTTTAGGGCCCAAAAATTTTTTAGTGGCTCAAATAATGGAATTTTGTCATAATTTGGCCTTTTAGTTTTTAGGCCTTTTTGTGGGCCTTTTTGCACACACTTTCTGTATCAAGCCTCACGGACCAATCTTATAGAACAGACATAGTGAAAAGGTGTAGCTCTGATCATGTCTTTATGCTTTGTCTTTACTTACGTTGTCTACTTTAATTTCAGGTTTCAGGCTCAAAGGACCGAGAATGGTAGTTTGGGCATTTGCTACAGAATAATCAGATTCATCAAATAATAATAATCAGATTATAAATTCGACAAAAAGAATGAAATGACAAACATGAGGTTAACATATGCATTGACGAAATGTATCCAACAAACAGTATTACTGATGCCATATACAAGACAATACAGTAGTAGCATACCAGCACTGCCAAAACTGACACTATACACCAAAGAAGAATGTTCATTATGTGATATTGCTAAAGACACACTGCAGCCTTATAAACACATGGTAGGAAAATATTTTCACGCTGCAAATCTCAATAACAATCATAATTTTTCCAAAAAGTAAGGTATATCAGATAATTAACTGGTGTTATCAGTCAACGAAACATTGTTTTCTGACAATGATAAATCAGAAATTATGAATCTCGACCAATTCTGTCATATATTATAATAAAAATATTGACTGGTTCCCCAAATCTAAGGCCTTTTTCCATCCCTAGATGCCCCCCTTTGAAAGTAGTTGATCATTCCTGGACCCGTACCCCCTCATAGAAATTTAAAACAAAGTTTCTACAATTCCACATGTTTGTTTATCCTTTGTATTATTTCTTATTTCAGTATATATTTGAGGAGGTGGACATCACAGCAGCTGGAAATGAAGAGTGGTTCGAAAAGTATAAACATGAGATTCCGGTGTTTCACTTGAATGGACAGTTTCTTATGAAACATAAAGTGAACACTAAACTATTGCTAAGGAAGTTACAAGAAATTGAGGGATACATTGAAGATCCATAGTCTTAGGGCATGAAGGGTATTTTATTGCTATCTATGTGGTAGTAGCAAAGTCCGGATTTGAAGGATGGCAAATAGAATGATTAACCAGGCCCATAGCCAGGATTTGCAAAGGGGGGATCAGTTTTCAAAATTTTCCAGGGGGGTTACATTTGACAATTTTGGCCCAAAAAAATCACTTGAGAAATGCTCAAAATGGTGAAAAACTGCATGATTTTGAAAGAAGTTTTGGCCAGGGGGGGGGGGGGCTGTTAACCATGTTGACAGTAAAGTAACTACTGAGGAAGCTATGATAAATTGCCGCATACTTCTCAACTTAAAAAAACTTGAAAAGTTGGGGATGATTTTTCTAAAATATTTGGTTTGCTGGCCTGTAGAAATAATTGCCGAACCTGATTTGCAAATTGATGATCTTTACCTGATATACTTTCACAAAAGCATATCTTGGCAAGGAAATATTGGAGCAGAAACAAGGCACCAATGAGAAAATATTAATTTTTTTTAATTTAATAAATAGTGTTATCCCTGAAATATCCTACATGTGTGGCATGGAAGTGTCTGAATGATTTAAGCCTAGAACTCAATGAATTGTAGGATGATTTAATAATGTAGGTGTTTTTTCCAGACTTGAATGAGTGTGGCAGCAAGAATTCAAAGTCTAGGAAACAACACATGAGTGAGTCATGTGCTTAAATTTTCACACATTGCAAAAGATTTTGTGCAGTAGCACTTAAAACAATGAACTTTTTGCAAGGAAACTTTTTTGCAAGGGTTAAGTAGGTCAAATGTTAAAACTTCGTCAACACTTACCATTTGACATTTGACCTGCATAAGCACCTTTCTTGTTATTCTCCATGTTACTGTTTACATTTTACAAAATACATAGCTAATGATGGCAATTACTATGCATACAATAATTGTGCAATAAAATGTTCATGATTTTGATAAAAAAAATCTTTCTATTAAAACAAATAATTTAATGTTTGTTAAACATCTGTGTCAAGTTTCAAGAGGATTGGTCCTGTAGTATTGAAATGGGTACACATTTGACATAACTTCTGGATCACCCTGTAGTGTACACATTTAGTTTCGAGTGTGACTTTGCTAAGATCTTTCTTATTTAACCATCTCTGATCTGGCAATATCTTATTAATTTGATTTTATATTATGTTTAAAATATTCCAATATCGATTTTCATTTTATATACTTATATTCTCTTTAATATATGACTACATTGTATGTTATTTAATAGGCACACATAGGCACAATATAATAGGTACAATAATTTTGGCACAAATATTGGTTCTTTACGCGTTACTTTTTCAAAATTGAGTTAAATCACGCTCCAATTAAAAATCTATATGCCTATATAACATTTTTAGTACTTGTAAAGGTTGCCAATAATTTGTTATCCCATAGAACAAAGTTCTGAGGGATATAGGGAACGCTTCCATCTGTCTGTACGTACTTACCTACACATATGCCCTATGGGAGTAGAAGTTCTGCTCCAAACCCAATTTTCAAAATGTCTGCTCGTCTAAAAGTTGTGGCCATTTTAGTGCCGATTTTATAGTGATTTAGGTACAATATATATAGCTGTAAGAGCAATATGTTTTGAATGTAAGAAACTTATGTAGGACATTAATAAAACAAGAAATGTAGATATTTAAGAAACACATGGCAGCCATTTTGAAAATGGCCGCCATTTTAAAGTGTGTTATTTTAAATTTTTTACTATAACTCAAAAATAATAGAGGATTTTGTTCATATGTGAATACCCAAATTGCATCCCGCAATGTCTTAGGACACTTAAGCTAGGAGGCGCGCCATTTACATGTACGTGTGTGCAATTTTGTTGAAAATTTATATGTGCCTACTTAGAAACATATTACACTTTCTTATCACAATTTGGCCAGTGACCAACCATTTTGAAAATGGTGGCCATTTTGATGTGCGTTATTTTACGATTTTTGGCTGTTCGATCGGATTTGCTACGCTTTGGCGCTGTTGTTGATCAGTTTACCTCATGTACTAGTACCTTATAATAAGGTGTTAGAATGTTGTTTTGGTTGTATAATTCTCTATCAATCTATAACTATATTCTGAAACACTCTTGAGGCACCATGTTTATATAACATTTAAAAAATACATTGACATGAACATGACAGATCGAATATATTTTTGATAACTTGTACAGGGTGTCAAAAAATGTTCCCCTTAGCTTAAACATCCACATAGTATTGCATAACTTTTTTTTCTACATGATCTGAATTGGTCTTTAGCACATCAAAACTAAGTTTCACGGAGCAACTCCACAAGAATTTAGATGACTAGCTCAACTAGATGTACTTTTATGCACAAGTTCATTCTCTTGAAATTAAGGGGAGAACATACTTATTTGACACCCTGTAGTAAGCTGCTTGAGCTCCCTTTGTTGTCACGTTAAAGTATGTAAGGTAACTCCGTCCAGTTAATTCCCAGTCACACCAATTTTCTAACAATTTTCTAATGGACCATAAATCAGATAAATGATATGTAGCTGTCAGGAATATGATAAGATAATGTTGTAATAGTATGAACTCTGTCAGTTTATCTATGGTTAATCACTAAGTATCCAATAGTTGTCCCGGGGATAGATGTTTAGCCTAATTCGAAGATAAATTTTTAATACATCGCGCATTCTATAGTTTTGAAGGATGGATGATATTACTCAAGATGACGAGATGCTACAAAATACAACTATAGTAGACATGCAAGAACGATTGACTGTAAATACGTATATAACACCAGAAGAGCAAATAGGATACGGTGTGGTTTGCGGCACTGGCGTTTTTGGAAATTTAATTGTTGCGTTTGTGTTTTTAAAATCCGAGAAACTCCGACATAGAACACACAATATGCTTATAATTCATCAAAGCATTATAGACATGCTTGCGGCCATGTTCATTTTTCTGAATAAAACGTTCATCAGCATGGACTGGATTGCTGGACCCGGACCGCTCGCCACATTTGTATGTAGAGTATGGTTGTCGGAGTATCTCCCATGGGCACTGATGAACGTATCAACATGGAATCTTGTCACATTAACGCTTGAGAGATACATTGCTTTAATTCACCCATTGATTTATAAAACGCGAATCACCAAGACACGAATACGGATCGTGATGTCAATAGTTTGGATACTGGCCTTAATAAATGAGACATATGAGATAGGAACAACTGTTTTGAGGGGACATGAATGCCTACTATGGTCACAATGGATAAACGTAACTTTCCATATGGGTTTTGGTGTCTATACATATGCCATAAAATATCTCATACCAATTTGCGTACTTATATTTTGCTATGGCGGAATTCTAGTAAAACTTAACAAAGAAACAGTCTCTGGCTTAGGATCGGAAAAGAGAAATTTGCAAATAGTTAAATCCAGGAATGCCGTCATACGTTCCCTTATTTTAGTCGCCATTGCATTCTTTACATGCTATACAGGGGTTTCTACATATTTCGTCTTAAAACGTCTGCGAATAATACAAGTGAGTTACTCTGGATTCATATTTCAAATGGGGGTCTACCTTTTGTATTTCAATTGTAGCATCAATCCATTCATCTATTCGTTTAGTCACATTGGGTTTCGCAACGCCGTGAAGAAGATGTTTAACGATTGCAAATGCAGAAGTGCTACACTAACACAGTTAAGTGTCACGGATGGTGCTACGTTGAGAACAGCGGCTTCAAATGTAACGTTAGTTTCAGAGATAACGTCAGTTTCAAAATTGTAAATGTCTTGACATTCAATATCATGGAGACTTGAGTCTTTTCCATTTTTGCAATTGTTCACATCTTGTCTTGATATGTGATGTTCAATTTACTATATGCGTTGTAAATATGTTTTTATAATTTGGATAGGTAAGAAATTAGGGGAGCTATATTCCAGTTAATTCAAATCGTCTAATGAATATAAAGTATATAAAGTCTACAATCTGTAAATATTGAGAGGTTGAGAGGATGAATTATTTAAAGGATGGATGGACCACCAATATAACTCCTGGAGGCAAAAACGCTTAGTTTCCTTATATAGGACATTTCATAAGACGATGCTTTTTACTTGATAGGTAAATCAATTAGATATCAATTTTTCCCTTTAAAAACAAACAGAAGATCCTGCAACTTCACAAATAAAGGGTGAAATTGATTTTATCCAAATAAAAATTTACTTTTTATAAATGCACAAATATAAATGCTTTTAGAAATACTTAATCTGATAGACTGAAGGGGCGTTAGAGTAAGCACTCCTCTCGAATGCTGGCGGAGTAAAAAGCACTGGTGGTCCACTCGATTACGCTGGTTACCGAAACGGTTCGTTTTGGTAACAAAATGTCGGAACGTCGAAGGTACGATTTTTCTCTTTTCCTATCACACGTTGTAGGCAGAATTCCCACGACATTTTTAACACAAACGTGTATCAGTATCATATGTTTAACAAAATGTACATATGTGCGAACACATAGTTCAGAAGACAACAGAATCGTCGATTTAATTCTTCACTTAAGTTATATAAACGGTTTTTCAGAAAACAGTTAAGATCTGCACTTTTAACCCAAATCGTTTATGTAACTTAAGTGAGGAATTAAATCTACGATTCTGTTGTCTTCTGAGCTATTTGTTCGCAAACATGGGGATTCAACGCGTGAAATAAGGAAAAAAGAAAAATCGTACCTTCGACGTTCCGTCATTTTGTTACCAAAACGAACCGTTTCGGTAACCAGCGTAATCGAGTGGATCACCAGTGAAAAAGGGTATTTGTTCAAAGGTATGAATGCATATCGTTGAGCAAATCGAACGCTCGTTTCTTGTGTTTCTACCCGTTTAATCTAAAAGGCACGCCCCTGGATCCATTGACTGCATGAATATTATATGCACATTTATTCTCCGAACCATTAAGTTTCGTTCTGAGGAAAACGCAGTTTTGTTTTTGTGTTGTATCAGTAACGAGTTGATAAAGCTCAAAGGATTTATCGAATACTTTAGAGTTAATGACGTTACACCTGAATACCCAAGGCTATTTGGAAATTGAGCAGTGATATTCCATTATTCCGAACTGATAAATAGACGCTAAATAATTTTGTATGACAATAGAGAATTTTCGTTATAAGCTTCCCTGGATTCATTTTGCGTTCATAATCTGTCACCCTACCCTCCAAATGCTTACCTGCACATTTCCCCAATGAAATGACCCAATTAACATTAAATAAGTTCATAGTCTGGTAATATTAAATCCATTTATTAGTGTTCATTGTCACATACTTTATTACAATAAATTGTGTTGTTAGCTTAAAGTACGTTTCGAAATTGTAAAAATGTTTTTTTTTCATGAATGCAAGGATTTTGAAGGAGAGCAAAAATACTTCAGGGAAAGTCACTTTCAAATCATAATCATATCAATGTCTACTACCTATTTTCGAGATTTAGATTACAGCCCGACGATTCAAGCCCAATGTTATATTAAATCAAAACACATGATGTCCATATGGAATTATTTTATTCAACAAAAACGGTAATACAGCAAATAAACGTGAGATTTTGAATATGACGTTTAGTTTTTCACAATCAATTGAGAGACCATGCAGAATGCTTTGCATCTGCAGCGTTGTTAAAGTCATGATACAAATGAACAGATTTTGCAATGCTCCTATATCAAGGATATGCAAAACAAGTGTAACTGACGCTTGTTGTATGTCCATGTATTTCACACTTGAGACACAACATTTTCAATGCGACATGACTAAGATACGCCTCTATATGGAGCTAGATTTACTGTGGCGAGAGTACCCGTGGTGGGATCCATATCGGGCCAATCAGCTGTGTTGGGCTGAAAAATTAAATTCCAGTATAATATTTACATTTTAGAGTTGGTTCAAATTATCAACAGCATGATCATCAAACGAGAAAAAAGTTGGTTCAATATTTTGAATTTCTGAGCACAGTGAGAACCATGTACTAGCAATCCCTTCCATACCAGGAGAGTCCTTTATATGGAAATTAATGAATATTGGACTCTTGAAATCTGTCCAAACGAGGGGACATTTTACAGAAAGGTGTTTCATCGAAACGATTAACTACGTCCTCACTCCTATAAGAAGTGAAGTCAAACGAATGCAAAGAGTATACAATTAGTGAAATTCTTAATGAATGATATTCTTACCAAGGCATCTGCAATAGTGTAGAGCACAATATCCCTAGTGACAGTCGGGTCCATACCCTCAGCTATCATAATCAGAACACTAAGTGGAATTTGATTTTTTGCTTGTGTAGGACTTTGCACAAACTGTGTGATGAACTTTATCATGTCAACTCTACTATATACGGCTTTGAGCTCATCAACACGGGTCGTCAAGTAATCAATATATCTGAAGTATGTGTAAAGTATTCATGGAAAGAATGGTGAAATATAGAAATTGCACACAATAATAAAATAAATGTAATAAAAAATTTAAAAAATGCAAAAGGTTTAAACTGAATTTTTGTTTGCAAATCTGAGGCCCAACCTCAGCATATTTAGTGCAACTTTGTTCGAATGTAATGTAGCTCAATTTTGTTGAAATGTATACATATCTGGATCAATTTGAAATGATAAATGGAAGACCTAAAAGATACATGAATCTGTAATCATTAGAATAGACCCCGACGTATAATGTTCAACTTAGATTTTAGAATATGGCTAGGTATGATTAGATTTTTTGGAAATTGTTAACAGTTTTCTGTTTTATAATCATTGGACTTACATATTTTGATTGTCAATGATGTTGTCTTTGTTAACACTACTTGCTGTAAATAGAGGGACATTCAGCAGCTCTGCATCCTGACTTGATGATCTGGACGAACGGAGAATATCCAAATATTCAGTATTTTGAAGGAATGTCTGAAAATAGAGGATATGAATAAAAAATATCAATTCAGCTAATTACTGATGATCTGATTTTGATAGTTATAATTCTGCTGTTTATATCACAAATGATTTACGATCTCTGTTCAAGAGAGAACATCCAAAAGTCTAAATGGTCGCTACTTAAAATATATTACATTCTAAGAAATGCTCATTATGTTATATGATAGCCACAGTCATAAAGTAGCTATCACTGTAAATGTTGTAAGCATAAGAACCTCTTCAACATTTCCTAACTCTGCCTCGCCATCAGACTGGACATTTCGTTGATCTTGTAGAAGCGTATCTAGTCTTGCCCTGTTCGTCTCATAGTCCGCGATGATACTCTCCAGATCAGCCTGGATCTGTGATAGTTTTTCTCGATACCGTCTAGCATTTTTCACATCCAAAGCTATACCAATCCCTTTAAAAACAGACGTATTTATACAAGGTATTCGGTTGTAAGGACATAGGTACTAGTCTATAGAGTACATAGTACTCGTTTACGCATGCACAAGTTTCGTTGCACCATACCTTAGTTTGCTATTCCCGTGTGTGCACCTATTCGTAGACAAATGGAGAGTTCTACATGTTCTATGATGCACCACCATAGACACAGCCAGTCATGTGGGCGAAGCCATAGTTTTTCAGAAATTATCATATTTGTTCCGGTTTCTTAAAGTTGGCAATGTGGACATTATTAACTTAGGAACACCAGCACCAGGATGGGTAGTGTCTTGGCTACTTTTGCAGACACGATATTAAAAATGTTCTTAATATTGGAAGTCATTAATGCATACTTACCTGCCATCAGAACCTTTGTACCAAAAACTGCCGCGTTTACAGCATTTGAAAATCTCGGATAGTTAGCCATGTACTTTGTCATTGAATTGATCCTTTGCTTTAATCCAGTGGCAGTATTTAAGGAAAGCTTGGTTTTTAACTCCCTTGCCGGTGCAGGACTAACGGGACTAACGGGACTACAATTCAGGGATTATAGTATATTTATTCTGCTTCATTCAAATATTACTATTTTTGGCGAAAGGAGTCTGCAAAGGTGCCGCAAAAGCAATGAATGAAGAAATATAATCGGATTAGCTAATTAAGCAAATCCACCTAATTAAGCTAATTAGGCAACTTTAATTAGCCTATAATAGCTTATTTCTTAAAGTAAGGTTGAAATAACTCATTTAAATGGTAAATGCTTAACATACTTACATAAATTGCTGGTCAGTTGTAATTTCATACTAAACCTGATGAGGTGATAGGGGCTGGGTAGGTGGGTTTTTGCAATGCTGCTTGACGGTTTGCTGGCTCTAGCTAGTCTAACTGAAGTTCTAACATGTGCCTATGTTCTGATGCCTTCATCTCAAATTACCTATATAACTACATATTAGCTAATTGGTATACTGCAACTTGTATACTGTATACTTGAACCAAAGAAAACATTTTTGAACTGAAATTCTTCCATTTCAATTCCACTTTTCCTTTGTTCAGCTTAGATCTAGTAAGTTGTAGTTGTTCTATATATAGTGTTAGATACTCACATAGTTGCTGCAAATCGTAATTAATTATTTTAAATAGCAATAATATTTTTATATTATTTTTGCAATGCTGCTTGACGGTTTGCTGGCTCTAGCTAGTCTAACTGAAGTTCTAACATGTGCCTATGTTCTGATGCCTTCATCTCAAATTACCTATATAACTACATATTAGCTAATTGGTATACTGCAAGTAAATTCAAGCATGAATAAAACTATGCTATTGTAAGCTTAATTAACTAAAGGTCAGCATTGGGCACTGGCCTAAGAGAGATTAATAAAACTTAAAGGACCTGTCCAATTTTATATGCCATTTTAGGCAAAACAAGCTTAAGCTTTACGGCACCAATTTCAAACTCCTTTTCAATGCTTTTAACTTCATTCAGTTCATAAATCAAATTATTTCATGATTTTCATTTATTCTGCTTCATTCAAATATTACTATTTTTGGCGAAAGGAGTCTGCAAAGGTGCCGCAAAAGCAATGAATGAAGAAATATAATCGGATTAGCTAATTAAGCAAATCTCAAATTACCTATATAACTACATATTAGCTAATTGGTATACTGCAAGTAAATTCAAGCATGAATAAAACTATGCTATTGTAAGCTTAATTAACTAAAGGTCAGCATTGGGCACTGGCCTAAGAGAGATTAATAAAACTTAAAGGACCTGTCCAATTTTATATGCCATTTTAGGCAAAACAAGCTTAAGCTTTACGGCACCAATTTCAAACTCCTTTTCAATGCTTTTAACTTCATTCAGTTCATAAATCAAATTATTTCATAATTTTCATTTAGTGGGACTGAACAGACTTAATAAAGACAATGTGCTTGAAATATATAACATTAGGATATATCACGATAGCTGCTGTATCATTTTATATATACAATTCTGCTAAAATATCTTGTCATCTACATGCAGATTCTATAGTTTCAACCATTTCAATTTCTTTTTAAAACCTCTACATATCGGAATAAAATAACTTACCCAGGATTGAAATAATTATACGCTATATTGCCGTACATAATTCCTGTTCCCGTCAACGCTCTAAATCGTTTGAGCCCGTCACGAATCTTTTTCCTATTGGCTGCCTTTTCAACAGTTTCAATTTGATTTGCTATTCTGTTAAACTCCTGTTTGGTTTTCTCTACATCACCCGGAGTAAGATCCATGGCCGGGATGTCTACATTCGCGATGTATACGAGATTCTACATAAAAAATTAATGATAAATTTAGTATTTATACAATGAATTGCACACTTAATTGCATATCTCTACATACAACCAATTGTTCGCATGAATCTGCCCTGTAACATACTCCTTTGAAAACTACCAGATAAAATGTGTAGGTACAATGTGTGTCACATTAAATAAAGGAAAAAATATTTTCGTCTTCGTGGGTTCAAGTGATCAGCTCTAACTCGAGGTAATCTAAAATTTATTTTCACGAAAGAATCTTAACATGCAACAAGGCTTACCTTCAGAATGCCATGCGAGTACTTTTCGATAGCTTTCAGGCTACCAATGATTCGCTCATTTTTTATAGTGGCAGAGTAAATTAGATTGTAGAGATCAACATTGGATTCATAAAGTGCTTTTAAGGCGTTTGCATCTGCTGAAAGTGATTGTGTATAGCCCTTGGCCCTATTCTCAAGTTCAGGGATACTCTCCTGAAAATACATTGTCAATTTCACACACAGCCCACCATATACAAGGTGTTAAGTGACCAAATTGCCTATTTTGAATCTATATTCTCATGGTCGGCTTGCCAGGTAACGCCTCATTAGCCAGTTGAGGCTCTTTACCACACCCAGGTAGATCTGAATGAACTTCAGCAAAAAATAATAAAGTCATTTGGGTATGACAAGAACGGGAGCTCATCAGATTTTGAAGGGAATGCATGGATAGGCACAGTGACCACATGGAAGAGAGATATGGAAATTGTGGAATGAATCGGTAAGACGATATCAATCTTCAACCGTAAATAAAAAGGAATGTTTCGATCCTGCCATTTCTTTGTTCTATTAAATCACTCAAAAATTGGCACAAGTCAGATTTCGCACGAGTCAATAAAATCTGCCCCGTGCAGTCAACCACCATGGAACGTTATTTTGAATCTGCTGGTATGAAGTCAGTTAGGAGAGCTTGTCCTTCAAGAACTCAAGTACATGTACATAATAATAATAATAGGTAAATGCCAAAATTAAAAAGTACTTGACCATTTTGTACTTGATACATTTTTATTTAGCCACTCTGTAGTGTGAAGAGTGAAATGAGATGAAACAAAAAGTTTCTCTAGCACATCCGTATCTTTACTTCGATAGCTTTTCCTCCCAGCGTTATTGGACTTCAAACAGAAGTGAAAGTTACCCGCAAATGATATTTCCATTCAATGGAGTAAGCGATTTTTGAAGTGAAAATCTGAGCAAATTTGACCATGGCATTACACATACCTTAAATGCACATATTTCTTGGAAGTAGAGACATCCCTCAGACGCCCATGATGCTATCGACAGGGTGCTTGTTACACCGGCAAACAAAACCTTACCCAAGGCTGCCCAGTTGCCTGTAAGAAAACATTGGTCGTGTATACATTCCTCATGGGTTACACGCACCAGTTACGTTTGAAACATAGGCTAAGGTCGATAGAAATAATTTTTAAATAAAGATGGCATGGTAATCGATCTGTGTTTATGAGAAAAAGATGATATTGGATTCTGCTGGTGCTGCCATCTTTATATCGGCCCAGAACCTATGGTTTGAAGATATGAAGGTGAACTTATATTTGAGGTTATTGCACATATGTCTATATACAAATTGATTTAATACATCGTCCATTATGAATAACAATGCCATTGTACAAACAACTGTTTTTGAATATCAAATTCTACTACATATATGGGCTTTGTATAAAACCCCCTACCTCGTACCCACGTACCGACGTACGCGGGGCATGATACAGTCTTTGAAGGGTTCAATTTTAGAATGTTAAGACTATTAAATCTCCGTCTATGCTGAACTGTAGATGCATTAATGCAATCGTAGGCCAACATTTGTCTACACATAAAATACACGTCAGGCCAGTGCTAAAGTGTTTATCTTATTTATCTCCATCAAAATTGCGCAATTAAAATGCTCTTTCACTAAACAAGCAATCTATGTACTAAAATCGTTTTTTATTTGCTGGGGAATTCAAGAAAGTCGTGAATTACAACATTGTCTTTATGGGTACGTGTAGATCTACTACTCTCCCCATCATTCAATTTGGAACAATTACAGTGTCGTGTGTTGGGCTGAATTTACGATCGCTGACACTAAAATCATCATTACTGCTGTGATTAAAAAAATGATTGGCAGAATTCCATTTATCAAATCTCCAATACATGTAAGGTCTCTGAGTAGTTATCAGAAATCTACACCAAACAGAAAATGAAAAAGCATGTGGATTTTAGAATTTTTTATTTTTGAAGTAAGATAACAGAGCCATGCTTTGATCTTTAGTCAGTTGAAGAACACTTGAACAGAATATTTTGAAGAAAAAAATGTGCCCAATATATTAAGGTATAGCTGGAAAATAACATTTTGGTAAAAAATTGCTATACCTGCACATGTTATTTTCTGGTACAAAATAAAGTATGAAGGCATGTGTTAATTTCCTTGCTTTTTTCAGGAAAGTATTATTACATTGTATACTTTTAGAAAATCCGGTAAGAGTTCAATGGGAACTCCAGGAAATTTTGATATTTCACACTTTCTATTTTTCCAAATTTTCTTTAAAAGCAAGGAAAAATACATATGCCTTCATACTTAATTTTGTACCAGAAAATAACATGTGCAGGTATAGCAATTTTTACCAAATGATGTTACTTTCCAGCTGAACCTTAAGGTCAGGGTGCATGTTGGGAAATTTTCTGCATCCCTCAATTGAGTGACATGTTATTTTTCAAACAAGAATCACTCCTTCCCCAAATTGTCTATATCTTCCAGTTTTGCACAATGAGTGCACTAATGTGACTAGAAAAGACTTGTGAGAAGAATGTTATGATAAAGTGTATGAAAAACGAGAAAATTCCGTGAAAAAATTCAGAAAACTTTTTCCCTGAATTTTCTTTTTTTTCTAAGAATAATATCAATTTTTTTGAAATTGTATCATTTAGAGCAATATATTGGGCATATTTTCTTAAAAAGTCAAAAGATTCTGTTCAGTAACCTTTCCTGCGCACCTACTCTTAGCTATTTTTCAGTCACATTTTCAGAGGGCTGAAAAGGTTATTTCATCATGTTTGTGGTCATTCTGACCATTTCCAATTGTGTTCCCGGTCATGTAAAGGACATGTGGAACTCACGCCCGGTGATCGTACAAAAATGATGGAGGGGGGATTAGGCGATTTCTGCCAGAAAACTCAACAAATTTGGAAGATTTATTTTTTCAAGAGAAAATTTACAACTGAATTGCCAAATGAATAGGCGCAGTGCATGGCAAAATATGTTAGGTCATCTAGTATTTTTTTGAACTGATACCCTTCTAAGATATGAGATCTATTAAGCTGCTATGGAAGCTAACAGGGAATGACAAAACAAAAATTGTCAAAACAATGCTGGATTTTGAAAAATTTTTGAACCAAGATAACAAAGTTCTGTTTGGACATCCAGTCAGTTTAACTAGTTCCACATATCATTTACATGACTGGGAACACAATGGAAATGGTCAGTATGACCATAATCATGATGTAATAACCTTTTCAGCCCTCTGAAAATGTGACTGGAAAATAGCTAAGAGTACGTGCTCAGGAGAGGTCACTGAACAGAATCTTTTGACTTTTTCAGAAAACGTGCCCAATATATTGCTCTAAATGATACAATTTTAAAAAAATTCATATCATTCTAAGAAAAGGAAAAAAATGAAAAAAATGAATTTAAAATCGATCTATTTTCCTTTTAACTACAGCCATTATTGTTTCAGACAATTTTTTTTTAATTTCAAAGATTGTATCATTTAGAGCAATATATTAGACACATTTTCTGAAAAAACCAAAAGATTCTGTTCATTGACCTTTCCTGAGCACCTACTTTTAGCTATTTTTCAGTCACATTTTCAGAGGGCTGAAAAGGTTATTTCATTATGTTTATGCATTCTGATACTCCTAGCATCTTTCTGTTTCACCTTTCTGTTTCAGCGCTGAGAAGAAATGAGATGTCATGGTATATCATGATGATGTTTATGGTCATTCTGACCATTTTCATTGTGTTCCCGGTCATGTAAATAATAGAGAGATTTCGCACATAAGTGAAAGTACAACTTATACGTATACGTATACTTTAAAGGGTCATGTTGAACTATTATATTTACTAAAATCAATTTCAAATTGTACTTAATGGAACATAACTATTCCCGATATAGAAAAGCTCCATCAACTAGAGACTGTGAATGCACTGTCATTTGCACGTGTAGATAATGCACATTATAATTAAATGCTTGCTTCCGTGTTCTAGTAGTTGTAGCGTATTATAAACACGATCCTTTAAAGTGAGTCATGATCCTTTAAAGTGAGTCATTACATAAACAAGTTGATTATTTCAAAGTTTTCATGCTCAGTATAAGTTCAATGAACTTACAAAACGGTATAAATACGAGTAGATGATAAACGTATACATAGTTGGATCTCCGTATAAAGCTTTACCTACATGTGCGTGGAACAATTGACCGCAAATATTTTTAAAAATAATTGGCTGAGTAGGAACAGTATCCAATCAAACATGTTAACGAGCATCTCCAAAAAGTCAATTTGAGAAGAGATAATGTAACGGAATTTTGAAATGTAAAATTTTTGATTTTTGATAAAGTGCTGTATTTTTGTACATTAGGTAATTATTACACTTGGAAAGTAATTTCCCATTGAGATTATTAAGATTTATAAATGTAGTATCATTTGCAGCACTTAGGTTGTACTTACAGAGGTGAAATAGTTCACATGTTTTTATTTATTTGATCACGATTTTGTTTATGTTGATCGGGCAGTCTTATCTGGCAGTCTAATTTGTAGTTGATCGGTAGTCTAACATGACACCTTTATTATTTTACTTCCTGCTTTTGATTCGATTGAATCGAAGTAAAATTAGACTAGATAGTGATTAATTACTGTTATATTTCTTGAGTCAATATTATAATCTTGCTGTATGGTCAATATTGAAGCGAAATATGGCGTAAGTAAGCTGTAATTCACAGTTGAAATCTTGTACGAAAATCGATGACGTCATCGGGCCTATATAACTATCTCGCTGTTGAAGGCTAGTCAGTGCGATGCCAGATGTTGTCGAGGAAGGACCTCCAGAGCGGAATTTCGGGAAACAGCTAAAATCTTCTAAGTTTTATAGAACTTAGTCGATTTTGTGGCGTTGAGGCTATACGTTTGCAGTATACACATGAAGATAGAAGCTGTACCTCAGTAGAATACATCTGATGAGCCAAGCTATACGTTTGCAGTATACAAGGGCAGATTGAGGAAACTAAGTGTGCGAAACTTAGTTTATTTTGGAGATTGGATTTTTGGAAAACTTTGATGCAACTAAGTGTGTGAAACTTAGTTTATTTATCGCACTGGAAGTAAGGGAGATCTACAAGACTGGACAAAACTTCAACAGGGTGAAGCTATCCCCAGCGCAAAGCATTAGACGTATTGTCCAGCCTTCATAGACTGAGAGGAAATGCTGACATAACTTGTGTTTGAGAAACAAGCTATTTTGATCATCAAGGAACTTAGACGATTTACAACATTATTGGACTTAGTCAGTATTTGGTGAAACATTATTTTGGACTTTGTTGTTTTTGGAGAAAGAAATATTTAACTCAGAATATTTCAACATCAGTATAACTTAGCATGAAATTAACTTAGTCAATATTTGATGAAACATTATTTTGGACTTTGTTGTTTTTGGAAAGAGAAATATTGCACTTAGAATATTTCAAAATCAGTATCACTTAACATTAAATGAACTTAGTCATTTTAGAGGTCAAATATTTTCACATGTTATATTTTTGCATATGTCGTTGTGTGCATGCTATATTTGTAGGTAGCCTTATTATTTAATTGTGAAGGAAGAAGGCTACATGGACTTAGCAGTTGATGCCGTGTTTTAGATGTCCTTGGACTTGGTAGTTTGAAGATTGTGATAGTTTGACTTATACATCTATAGAGATAGACGTTCTGGGACTTAGCAGTTTATTCAACGAGATATTTTGACTTTGATGATTTTGGGTCATTGAAGTTAGAATATACATCTACATTGAAGAGGTTCCAGGATTTAGCAGATTATTCAACGAGATATTTTGACTTTGATGATTTTTGGTCATTGAAGTTAGAATATACATCTACAGAGAGGACGTTCCAGGACTTAGCAGATTATCAAGCGAGATATTTTGACTTTGGTGATTTCGCATCATTAAAGTTAGGAAGATACATCTATAGAGAGACGTTATAGGACTTAGCAGATTATCCAGCGAGATATTTTGACTTTGATGATCTTGTGTCATTGAAGTTAGAATATACATCTACATTGAGGAGGATCCAGGTGATAGCCGTTCACAGAGCTGATAGTTTGACTTGGATTATTTCATATAATCAAAGTTGAATTATACTACAACACAGAGAGGAGGATCCAGGAGATAACCGTTCACAGAGCTGATAGTTTGACTTAGATTATTTCACATAATCAAAGTTAAATTATACTACAACACAGAGAGAAGGATCCAGGAGATATTCGATTACAGACTTGATAGTTTGACTTAGATTATTTCATATAATCAAAGTTGAATTATACTACAACACATTGAGGAGGATCCAGGACTTAGGAGTTTACACAACTGATAGTTTGACTTAGATTATTTTACATAATCAAAGTTGAATTATACTACAACACAGAGAGGAGGATCCAGGAGATAGCCGTTTACACAACTGATAGTTTGACTTAGATTATTTCACATAATCAAAGTTGAATTATACTACAACACATTTGAGGAGGATCCAGGAGATAGCCATTTACCGAGCCGATACTTGACTTGATGATTTTACATTATCAAAGCTGAATTATACTACAATACAGTGAAGAGGATCCAGGAGATTTACGTTTACGGAGCAATAGTTTGACTTAGGATCCAGGAGATAGACATTTACTGAGCCGAGAGTTGACTTGGATGATTTCACATCATATACTACAACACCTTGGAAAGGATCCAGGACTTAGGAGTTTACACAACAGATATTTGGACTTAGATGGTTTTGTGTCCGCTTACTATTCCAGGTTCAAGTTACAAGTACAATACAAGACTTACAAGGGTTACAACATATATGGACTTTTAATATTGGAGATACAACAGTGTATATAGTGACCATTAACTTTAGTTATATGGACTCTGGATATTGTGTTATTAGTGATTATTATTAGCTTATATGGACTCTGGATATTGTTTTATTAGTGATAAATATTAGCTTATATGGACTTTTGAGTTGTGAGTTTTGAGAGAGATATTAAAATCGTAACACTCTTACAATTAGACTTGAAATTTAATGTACATCTTTATTTGGGCTTATAAACGCCACAATATACTGTTTTATATTTTATATTTAATTGTATGTCTGTTTAATTCTTTAGGGACAATCGCACATTTAACGTGTGCCGTGTAACTCACCAAGTAAACACCGTTTACTAAACAGTGGGCCTATTATTAGCCACGCTACCACGTATATCCACAAAAATAGGCCAAACTGTTACAATAAGTATAAGTATACGTTATAAGTTGTACTTTATGTATGTGCGAAATCTCTCTAATAAGTGGTACTAGTTAAACTGACTGGAGGTCCAAACAGAACTCTGTTATTTTGGCCAAATTTTCAAAATCCAGCATGGTTTTGACATTTTTGTTTTGTCATCTCCTGTTAACTTCCATAGCACCTTAAAAAAGGCGCATCATCACCAACGTGCAAATGTCAATGTTTTTGCTATAAATCGGGCAACAATGGTCTACACGACCTGTAATAAATAGGTATAAGGGACGTTATTATCACAATACTTATGACATTGCTCACTTTTTAAAGTTAGTTTCCATGCGTTATACAAAAAATAATCGAAATAAATTAATTTGGGATGGAGGGGGGATCGGATGGAGGGGGGGGGAATTTATATATCTTTACGATGGAACAAATTCACAAGAACTCGTGTATTTGAAAAAACTAAACTCAGTACCCCAGTAAGAAACTGGATATTATATTTCTGGAGAATGAAAAATTGGAAATTTTGGAGTCATAAGAATAAATTCAAGTAGCATGTCTTATCATGTCTTAAGGTCAGGGTGCATGATGGGAAATTTTCTGCATTCCCTAATTGAGTCACGTGTTATTTTTCAAACAAGAATCACTCCTTCCCCACATTGTCTATATCTTCCAGTTTTGCACAAAGAGTGCATTTATGTGCCTAGAAAAGACTTGTGAGAAGAATGATTTTATAAAGTGTATAAAAAACGAGAAAATTCAGTGAAAAAAAATTCTGAAAATTTTCTGAATTTCTTCACTGAATTTTCTTGTTTCTTCTTGCAGAAATCGCCTAATCCCCCCCCCCCCCCCCCTCCATCATTTATGTACGATCACCGGGCGTGGAACTAGTTAAACTGACTCACGGGAACTGACTGGAGGTCCAAACAGAACCGTTATCTTGGTTCAAAAAAAATTCAAAATCCAGCATTGTTTTGTCACTTTTTGTTTTGTCATTTCCTGTTAACTTTCATGGCCTTAACTGATATTGAATAATATTTTAAAACTTTAAAATCTGAAACCTTCAAAGACTGTATCACGACCCATGTACGTGGGAACGAGGTAGGTTTTTTTATACAAAGCCCATATAACGTATAATCTGACATTTTCAATATTTTTCAAAAACTTCAAAACTATTTGATGTAGTCTACCTTGGACCTCCTGAATGTTGTGATGAAGGGAGATACACATCAATGTCAGGGCTAGACTACAAGTTAACCGTGGAAGTCTCATCTTGAACAGTCTACGTGCGTGCTTCTGGTAACGCTCTGGTGTTAGACCTGCTCGCGTTGTCCAAATGATTGCCTGTCCCAACGTGGCACAAAGTGATATCTGCATTGTGCACTATGCAGTCGTATTCACTCAATCACTCAAACACTTAAAATCAATAGAGCGTAGTGATTTTGTTTCATGAACGGTGAAGTGAAGTCAGACATTATATTATGTTCGAGTTTAGTAACACTTATTGAAAATTTCTTATCTCCTCTATTCCTGTCACTGAATGTAATAGGTTATGGGTTAGCCCTTAAATTGCGGTATGGAGGTAGAATTTTGGAGACCATGTTACTTACATACTATTTTATAATTTTCACCAGATTTTGGCAATAATTAAGTAAAGTTTTGCAACGTTTAGGAAAAAATCAATATTTATACCCCCCCCCCCCCCCCGCGTGACAAAAGTAGGTGGTCCATAGAAAATAATTAATAATTTTACAATAACAGTATGAATAACCACAATGTTTTCAGAATATATGCACATATATGTCATTGATAAATTGGTGACTATAGGTATGATGGTTGCTATAGAAATAGAATTTGATTGTCAAAATTTGTTAATTTGTGTCTATTTTGGGGGGCTAGTTAACGAAAAAAATCCTATGTTATGCTGCAATAAAGCATTGTTTTAAGGTTTAGAAAATTGCATGATGGTTCTACAGAAACAGGATTTGATTGTTAAAATTTGTGGATTTGTGTAGATTGGGGGGGGGGGTAGTTCATAAAGAATCATATGCAAGTAAATTACGCTGCAAAATAGCTTTAGGAACTACATGTATACATTCTGATACTCAGACCATCTCTGCTATGTACAAGAATGTATAGTTCTACATATATTAAAACTAAAATAATGATAGGGTGTCATTCACAAATAATTTGTTTGATAGATTAGGGTTAATAGGCATGGGCTTTCAATAGATATTGAATGCCCATGTAATAGGTGACGTTAACAACCTTTGATTCAGCGGCAGAAAATGAGGTTTACAATATTTTCTGTTGCTTTAATGTTTCACTACAATGCTTTCATTAGATTTGGGATACTCTAACCCTTTTGGCTTACCTTAATTGTGCTGTGGGAAAATATATGAGATTAAGGGTTCGAGGACATACTTATAGAATCTTAGATATATGCGGTTCAACAAATTTTAACAAATTCTTGATAAGCAATAGCTCCTAACACTGTGTGGACCTTTTTGACTTGAGTAAGTGCTGGAAGTCCTGATGATATGCAGAGGACTCTTGATTCTGTGATATCAAATGGCTTGATAAACACCACCAATATGCACTATGAAATGATGGTACATTAAGAGTATCGTACAGTACCATTCGATGATGGTGCTCTATAGTGTCCACGTTATCTTGTTCCAAGCCCATCCTCTTCGTTTCTAGTCTTGGAACGAGATAATGTCCATGGTATCGTACAGTACTATTTTAGTCTATGGTACCATATATTACAGTATCATACAGTACTATAGCCCAAATAGTACCATACGATACTGTTGGAGATACACAAGTCTATGTAATTTTACAGAACTGTTGCCTGTGAAGCTGTCAAGCGGACATGAAATAATGTGTCCTTTGTTCAATCTTTGCATTGGTGTTAAAAAGATCATATTTTTGAAATGTATGGAGGAAATATTTGAGGATTAAAATATTTCAGTTTTTTTTGAAAATTGGCGGGAAATTTGAATATTTGAGAAATGAAAAGTTGACAAGTTCAACAATTTTTTTTTCAAAACTCTAAAATAACTTTTAAAGTCGTGACAATAGTAAAGGAATGATAAAAACATATTTTCAAACTTAACCATTCTCTATAAAAAATGGAAAAATAGATAGCAGGAAGCATGGGTGTAGTTCCATATTGATACATGGATTGTGATTTAACATTAAAATTGTGATCCTTATTAGAGTAAATGAACTTAAAGGTCTTACAACATTGTGTCAATGGAGACTTAGCAAGACATTTTGCAGAGAACTTTAAGAACTAAAATTTGAATAAAGTTAAATTACTGTGCTACATTCAAAGAATTCAAATATGCCATCAAATAGAAAAAAATGTTGGTCTTTAGTGGCTAAAAATCTCATTAAAACGAGACTTTATTCAAAAGCTATACCGAAAATACTCTACCGCATTTAAATGAAATACTATATTGTAGGAGACCCCAATCTTTACATTTGGGTCCATACTAGAGTAATGTAAAATGTCAAAATATACACCACAATGTGAGGAAAGCATAATGTTGAAAGAGATCGGGTCTCCTAAAAACACAATTAGAGTAACCCCCTGATTTTTTGTGTTATTTGATGTAAAACAAGATTGTTTATCAACTTACCAATTCTGAGGCTTGAATTAATTCGTTAACAGTATCAATTAGATGATTGTTTCTAGCCATGAATTTCCACTTTCATCAGTAGAAATTCAAAATAAAATTTAAAAAGCCAGCTCAAATTTGTTCCAGTCTGATTGGCCTTTTCTTCAGATTCAACAGATTATTTTGGCCCAGAGAAGCCATATTTATTACTTCTAAGGGGTTAAAATACATCTAAATCCCCCCAAAACATTGTATAATTGTTTTCGACTTATTGCGTTCAATTCTGACAGTTGGTTGTTCTGTCGGTTGTACTGTAGATTTCCTCAATATATTGGTGATATTATGCTTATGATTTGGTCTCAAGATATATCTAAGGTATATATGATGTTTTATGAGCAATTTTATTGCGACATTACTTATTGTCCAGAATAGAAATCTGGACGATTTGATCTCTTGAAACTTCATAACAGTTATCTATTATCAATATTATGTTTATTACTCTTTATTTAATATGGACAATTACTTAGAATTTTCTTCGAAATTTTCAGATACTGGATATAATGCAAACTTTGCAGCAATGCTTAAAGTCATTTACAATTTTAACTAACATAATATCTAAATGAATCATCATGATCTCAATATTAATTTTTGAGACTACTTGCTAGTTTGTGGAAATAAAATTACACATATTTTTGTTTTAAATATTAAACTTCCAAGAGTTACAATTCACGAATATGCTCATCTGTACTTTACTTCACAAAATATGATGTGAAAATGTCCAATGCCGCTCGTGTTTAGTTTACACCACGCCTCTATATGGAGCTAGAGTAACGCTGGACGTGGCCTGTGTAGTAAGATCCATATCAGGCCAACTAGCTCTGTCGGGCTGAAAATAGACAGTTAGTTTCATGATAACCATATACTTTGATCTCCACAATTCCATCAAGTGGAACAAATCTGTTGATATGCTCCTGCTTTCTGATACAGAACGTTTAAGGGTAAATGAGGATCTGTGACATATGACAAATATCTCAAGTTATTTTTATTTGTTTGTGTACTTTTCGCCGTTTTCCATTGTTGGTGTGACCTTATCTTTAGAATTGTTTTGATCTCGTTTTATCATGGGATAACGTATCATGGGATATTATTGGTGTTTCGTTTATAAAATGATACATTTTCTGCACATGCGTTCTCAACATCTTAATACAAGTTCTTACCAAGGCATCTGCAATGGAGTAAAGAACAATGTCCCGAGTGGCAGTCTCATCCAAGGACTTGGCTGCAATAACTAAAATCGAAAGAACGGTAGGGTACTGTTCTTGGATGGGGTGCTTTACATATTCTGAGATGAACGATACCATGTTGACTCTGTTATACAAACCCTTGTACGTCTCAACTTCGAGAATCAAGAAATCAAGGTACCTGAAACATATATAATATAATAAAATAAATTTATAAAGTTAATTGCAACATCTAAATTCCTCCTGATGATAGTTTATTTTGGTGTGCCTACAAATCAATATATTTGTATTGCTGTCTGGAAATCAATTGTTCAAAAATGCCAGAGACATATAAAAATTGCGTCTCTGATTACAGAGAGTTTTCCGATTCGACAAAGTTGATCCATGGCAAAGTTGATCCAAAATTTAAATGATTAATTGTAACACGAACGGCCTGTTCCTGAAACAAGATGGGCATGTCTTGTGATGTTGACTCTATATTCTTATAACAAAAACTTACAAGTTCTGATTAGAAATGATGTTATATTGGTCGATATTGTCAGTTGTAAATACGGGAACACTCTGTAGATCTGCATCCTGGCTTGCTGAACTAGACGAGCGGAGAGCTTCTAAGTATGCTGTGTTCTCCAGGAATGTCTGCAAATATACAAGGTGAGACAAAAATTAGATAGTCACGTGTATTCCATTTAGAATAGCATAGACATTGTATGAACGCCATATCGGAAATTCTCACGTTAAGGTCCCATGCCAATGAGATATCTGCGTATGTACATAACTACATATAAATATATCATGATAAACCATGACATCTCATTTCTTCTCAGCAATGAGATGCCATGATATAATGAGCTTGATTTGGCGATCCAGGAGAGCCCAAAATTGAGAATTTTTGATATCTTTCATCCCAGCTCATATTTCATATTTGGGGTCGTAAAACTTGTGTACCTGTCCCTGTTCTAATATCGGCTGTTTAATACAATGCCTTTGTGTAATGTATTAACATTAGGTAAATGATTACATGATAACTAAACTATCACACTTATTGACATTTATAACTCTTCCCATTTGATGTGCTCAGATCACAGAATATGCCTCATCATATAAGAACATGTTTCAGGTGAAACAGAAAAATGCAATGAGTATCAGAAATTCAGAATGGCCATCCTTCATTCAAAGGACTTCATTTATTACAATTCAAAAAATGGAAATAAGTGAAATACCCTTGGACCAAGGATGCAGAATGGCCTATTTGACAATTGCAAACAGAGGTCCTGGCATGGCTATTTTGAATCGAGTGGCCATATTGGAAGTTCATTTTAAAAGAATTAATGCCCAAAAGGCAATTCAGATTATTTAATATGAATAAAAGATGAGAATAGGTATTTGATTTCTCGCTCAAGAGAACAACAAAGGAATGAGAGAAATGATATACTGACGGACAGACGGATGCTTTCCTATAACCCTCCCCAACTTCGTCCGGTGGATAACAAAATATAATATTTCCCATTGCAATTCCATAATCAGCACCTACAATTTCATTATCACCATACCGTTTTAACGTTTTCAAATTCCGCCTCGCTCTCAGTTTGAATGGTTTCTTGCTCCTCTATAAGTTCATCGAGTTTAGCCTTGTTAGCATTGTAGTCATTGATAATGTTTTTCAGATCAGCTGAGACTTCTTCAAGTTTTTTCCGGAAATCGTTAGCATTCTTGATGTCCAATCCTATTCCTAAACCTAAAAAGAGGTTTAAGTAAAAACTTCGTATACTTTATGAATGCATGTTTGTTATAAATGACCAATCCTTCAGAAGTAGAAAATACTACATGAATAATTTGAATATAATAGCACAACTTCGGAGTTTCTCGCGAATAGGGCCATGGACGTCTATTTGAAAGAGGGGTGTATGAAAAGGTTTTTATCCCTCTTAGTAAAAGCCCATGGGCGTTCATTTGAAAGACTTCTTAATAAACACCTAGTGTGTGTGAAATTGCTAAATACGATAAAAAGCTCAATCTCTGAGGATCAACTAGAAACGAAGACAGGCTGCCTTCGTATCAAAATGGATGTTTTCTCATTCATAAGAATTCTCATTTTTGCCATTTACCCACTTCTGTCCTTTGGATTTAGTCTCCATTTCTCGAACATATAAGTAAAGAATGGGTTCCGGTTTCAATAGATGTACGCGTCAACATTAAAATCGATAATATCCCTCTAAATAAACGCCCATTGGCTTGGAAAAGCTATTTTTCTCTCTTATTAACACCCATCCCTCTTTGGAAAAACGTTTCCTCTCAATAAAGGCCCATGTGCGTTTATTAAAATTCCTTAACGTAAGAAAGGATCTTGTAACATTTCAACGTTAGACAGCAGCTTGGAACAGGCGATGATTTCATTGAACATAACTGCACACTAACCTGACATATAGATAGATATACTAACCTGACATCATACTTTACTCACCTGACATGAAGGCACTGATGCCATAAAGTGAAGCTGTCATGGCTTTTGTAAACCTTGGGTTGTTAGCCATGAATAAAGCCATCCCATCAACCCTTTGTCTCAACCCAGTGGCAGTCATTATAGACATCCTAGGTGCCTGTACTCTCACAGCTTTCGGATTACTAGAAGTAAATTTAAGTGGTTAAAGATCTGAGAGTTTCATTAGCTTACTTTAAAGTTTTTTTATTAGTGCCACCGTACCACCCTTGTTTCACTGTTGTACGAGACAAAGAATCTAGAGCATGTCATATAAAATCTCAAACTTTTCAGGAGGTAATGCATGAATTTTTATTAATTTTATCCACTAAAATGAAATGTCCTCATAACTTGAGGATGTCTTATTTTTCAAGAGAATGCCCTTGGTAGTGAACCATAGTCAATAGACCTGATCTTACATGACTTACGTGGCATATACGGTCTTGTAGTAGCTATACAATTGATACCCATAATAGAGTCCTGTTCCTGATAAAGACGATATCCTAACCACTCCATCCCTGATCTTTTTATATCTGGCTGCTTCTTCAATATCCGCAATGTGAGTTTCTATAACGGCTAACTGCTCATCGATGTTATCTTTATTCTCATCAATGGCAGTCGAGTCAAGCGTGGGTAAATCCACGTTTGAGATATACTGGAGAATCTACAGCATTATAAATTCAATTCAATTCAATTCAATTTATTGGTAAAAACAAATATGATTTACATAATAAAACATAGTAGGTGACGTCATTTTCAGACGTTTATACCCACACATACGAGAACAAAATAAGTGGTACAAAAATCTAATCTAAGAATTAAAATGTAAGTCGAACAGTGATAAAAAATGTTCGTATCAAATGACACTACTTTAATTTTTAAAGGTGAATGGAAGAATCGCTGATATCTCAAATGGGAATCGATCATATTAATTATAAGACAAACAGTCATATTCTAAGTCTGATACTCAACACACACAAAATCCATATTTCTAACAGTTTTCATCAACTTGACATTCTTTACAGTGGCGTCCTCATGAATAGCAATACCAGATTTGGCAAGTTTCTTCCTGTTTTTGATCATAGTTTGTCTGGAGTCATTGGTGTTGAATTTTACAATCAGTGCCCTCTTTCGACCAGGTACTTTTAGTCCAATTCTATGTGCAACATCAATATCATTATTGGAAATATTTGCTTCTATCCGCTGGGAAACTTCAAGAACTAATGCCTTGCAATCTTCATGTTCTGTTTCCTCTACTCCAGTTATCTTAATGTTACTTTTGCGTGAATATTGTTCATTCTTGTTTGCTTCTGCTTCAAGTTCTGCCAGATGTTTATTTAAACCAATAATTTCATCGTTGGCTTGTATCAGATCAGATTCAAAGGAATCATTGATGTCTTTTAGTTGTCGTATAGATTCTTCAGTCTCAGACAGTCTTTGATTGTACCCTGCCATGGAGCTATTGATTGATTCTGGAATTAATTTATTTAGTGAGGTGCTGATTTGAGACTCTATACCTCTTATAATGTCACTTATATTTGTACTGGAGATTTCAGATGTACATTCATTGTCTGTATTAATCTGTTGTTCTCTATTTACATGGTATTGTTGCTGTGGTAGTAACAGATCTGCTTTATATGCTGTTGAGATCGGAAATGTACTCATGGGTTGAGATACGGTATTGTCCAAACAAGGTTGATGTGGAGATTCTGAGACAATTGAATGGAAACTTGCAGACATATTTTCCATGGATGGTACTGTGAATGTCATATTGGCTGATGAGGCTGTTGATGATATCACACTAGTTGTAATGACTGATAAAAAGGTGGAAGACATTACAGGTAGACAGGGTTGAGACAGTCCTTGATCTGCTTGTGTTGTTATTATTATTATGTGTTGCATACTGGGTAATTTGTGTTTGTATAAGCTGTGACATGATGTTAGGTTCAGTTGATCGCACTCAAAACAATAATCCTATTTCAGTGAGGTCAGTCAGGCAGAGACATGGCATATAAATAGTAAACTGGTAAATCCGATAAGTAGCTGATTAGTGTTACTAGTGTTGATACATGTGCTCTGTTTTGACCTATGACCTATGTCATTTTAAAGTCCAACACATAAAATGTGTTTTTTCTTCTCCAAATATCTTCTAATTCACAAGAAATATTCTGATGATTCACATCTATCTGTGATCCTTATCTATTCATGAATTCTGTAGTGTCCATATATTTGTCCAAATAATCCTAAATATCCTTTAATTTCACATAATAACAGGAGCAAAATACAACTGTTCAGAACGCATTAATCAAGAGAATACAATTATTGATATTGTGGGCATTAAAATTATCCGGGAAAATTCTGCAGATTGGTCATTTTCAATTAATTAATATAATTTAACAGATAACATACCTCAAGGATATCATAAGAGTATTTTTCAATATTTTCCAGGTTGCCAATGATTCGTTCATTCTTCACACTGGCTTGGTAGATAATGTTATAGAGATCAACATTGGATTCGTAAAGCGCCTTCAGATTATTCGCATCAGCCGAGAGCTCTTCCGTTAAGGCCGTGGCTTCAGCCTCCAATTGAGGGATGTCATCCTGAAAATGTAGTAAGGATTCAAACACCGTACGCAATGCTTAGTAAAATATATCACATGACATTTTAAGCAATTTCTTGATGAATTGTAATTTGTCAGTCTCCATTTGGATTTTGTTACTATCACCATGGGCTTTATTATAGGTATACGCAGCTACCGATATTGGACCGGTCCGGTGCATAAATCATGGCCTATGTGGTACAACGGTTATTTTTAATTTGGATAATCCACAAGCTTAATATCTACTTTTCATGTCATTTTCCCTGATTATGACCGAGAAATTTTATAGACTGAACGAAAGGTAGTCGATCAGTTTCGGTATGTCAGAGTGAACTTGAGTGGACTTTTAAAATGCTTTTTATTAAAAAGTAAACATGGAAATGTTCAATAATACATATTTTAACACTGGATGGATGGTACCCCAAAGCCATCGTTCCATGCCAAACGCCATGTTCCCCAACCCAAATTTTGAAATTTTGAGGCATATTTTCTTCAAGATTTGGCCTGGAATTTTAAAATAAGGCTTTACAAGGCCCAGTAATGACCAAAAAGGCCTTTAATTGCCCAAATTTTTAGTACGATATGGTAAGACAGTGTTAAGCAATAAAATAAATCTACACTCCCTACCATAGGTTTGGTAACTTGTAAAAAACCCTCTATGTTTGTTTTACTATTTTCATCACGTGCAACGAAAAACTGATAATGGCAATGTATAATGAATGTAGTCAAGTTACATCGACTCCAGGATTATTAGTTTTTTCTTTGCAGGTTATGAAAATAAAAATTCAAACATAGTGACCCTGAGGCCTCAACAGGTAAACCTATGGGGGGAAGGTTTGCCAAACTGATGGAGGGGAGCATAAAGAGGGGAGTGCATAACTTATGTGCATGTGTACATACATACATACCTGGAGCTCACATATTGATGGGTAGTAGATACAACCTTCAGTATACCATGACGCGATTGAAAGACTTCCTGCTGACAGACTTCCAACGGCAAACGCAACCTTACCCAACGCTGCCCAACTAGCTGGAAAAAACAAAAATCCATTGGATTTAAAGATCTCCGTAAAGCAGACATTATACTCTATTTTGTACCAGAAAATAACATGTGCAGGTATAGCAATTTTTCCCAAAATGTTATATTCCAGTTGTACCTAAGCCCTGTTTTACACTGGCTAGTATTTTCTCCCATTGGAAATACACAGGGGATCAAAAAGACCGGTTAGTGTAAACGGGGCTTTACAGGTACACAGTCATCATGTTCCATTCTCTTTCGGTTTTGCACTTGAGTACATCAATGTATTTATAGATTATTTATGAAAATATTATTTCTGAACATACGGGACCTTATGCATGTTATGTAAATGTAAACGACTGTTTATGAAAAACATACCCTGGACTTCCTGGACGTTGTGATGCAGGGACACACACAGTAGAATCAGTGCTAGACTACAAGTCAGGTGTGGAAGTCTCATCTTGATCCACTAGAGCTTCCCGCTTGCACGATGTTGTTTTGAGGCCTGCAATATCTGAGCGTGGTGGGAAAATACTTTTGGCTTGTTCCCTGGTATGTTTGCAATGATCTCTGAATGACTGTGTCCTTAAATAATAATAGCCTTTGATTGCATAATAATAGCTTACATGTGTGAAGCTTGATTGGTTACATTCGTAAGCTTTCTACCGAGCCAAGCCCCTCATTATACTACCTTCTTGTGTACCAAGCCCCGATGATAGTGCACGTTCATCGATATATGACAGTTCAGCCGTAAATCCCCCATCAGACACAAGTACCTTTTTTGGTGGGGAATTACAATCTGTGACTCACAATTGCAATCCATTCTTGGAACAATCTCAACTGGACCACATACAAACAAACAATAGTATCGAAATCTAACAAGTTGTTGGGATTCCTCCAGGGGACCTCAACCAGTACCCAGAGAACATCAAAGCCCAATATACAAGTCAGATGTTACACAGTTGCCAACATTGTGTATATGTATATAGTAATGGATAAAATTGGGTATCATAAACGCATTTTGTTAGCTCTCACTCTCTTGGTAGATTTTTCCTAGGATGAAGACAAGTCTTCATCTTAGATTTTTCCAAGTTAAAAGGAGACCCAATATGATAGCCTGGAAAAACAGAGAACAGAAGAAAGCATCAGTTAGCAAAAAAACAACATAGCAGCTAAACACTAAATACATAAAAAAACTCACCAAACAAATATTATCAAGAAGAAAAGCTACCCTCTTGTATTGTATTCACACCTCCCTCTCTTATTCTAAATTATGAAATATAAAACGACATTTAATTATATTAAACGGCGCCAGCTCAATCGTCTGCTATATTGTAAAGTTTCAAAGTATGCATATCATATGTTATAAGTATAAGTATTAAAAAATAAAATAAAACTGATATACTGTATGCATTAAGTATTATTTTTAGAGTTGCATTTGACTGACATAATATACAAGCCAATATTTATACAGAAATAATTAAGTCAACTGTATTGGGGTTTAACACACGGTATGACGATAAAGTGAGGGTCTTGGATATCACTCGTGCAATGTTCTGCTTAGTGCATTGAGAACTATTTCATTGCATAATATCTACACGCCCACCACATATGTACTTTTTCAAACCTGGCAAATTCAAAAATTCCTCATTTAAGACTCTAACTGTAGAAATTAAAACAAAACGTACATTACATTATCACGCGGTACTAACTCAACGGGGCGTATCGAAACCAAAACGCCCCGCAAAACCGTTAATTTGAATTTCAAATCTACCCTTTCGTTGGAAAATCAATGATTGTGAATCTCACAGTACACCGTTTTTCTTCAGACTACCTTTCACTCGAGACATTGCTTTTGTGTAGAGTCACACGTTTTAGCGGCGTTTTGGTCCCCAGATGTGAGAAGATGCAAATCTTCAGAGATTTTAACCAAAAGCCTCGATATATCGCCAGTTCTATTACTATTCTCCCATATATTTTGCACAAGGACTCCCATTACAACCCTCCATCTCTGCATCAACATATTTGTTACATTAAACGCACCAATTTCCAAAAGTCCTACGCATCAGTTCGAAATTGATCAAAACGGTTCTCGATTAACGGTTTTGCGGGGCGTTTTGGTTTCGATACGCCCCGGTGAGTTAGTACCGCGTGAATGAACTATTCAAAACTTCAGACCATTTAAAAATGTATGTAATCATAAGATGCGGATGTCTTTTACAATGCACATACTGACTTAGAATATCAACAACCAACTCAATACACTAGGGGCCTTTTTAAACATTTTATTACTATTCCTTGGCGTCTGGTCTTTTTAAACATTTTATAACTATTTCTTTTCGAGCAACCCCCCCCCCCCCCCCGGCCAAAAAATCTTTCAAAATCATGCAGTTTTCACCATTCTGAGCACTTTTTAAATGATTTTAGCCATTTTTGGACCAAAATTGTCACAAGTGAACCCACCCTGAAATTTTTCAAAAAGTGAACACCCCCTTTGGCAAATCCTGGCTACGGGCCTGACTGTCAAGTACTATTACATGAAAAGTCATGAAAGCCGTGCATTTATTTTAACCATATAGAACCAAAGCACAGCTATTAGGTTTGAATTTGCTGAATGTTTAGGAATAAAAATAATTTACAGAAAGACAAAATTGATTTAATTTTTCTTTATTTCCTCATTCTTGAATATGCTTCTCATATGAAGACCATACATTTTGTGTACAAAGTGTAAGCTCACCACCCTGCCACAGTTAAACAAAAATAGCAGTTGGTAGACCAACAATTTTCTCATATCACTGTCAATGTTTTACGAGATATTGGTTGAACTATTAAAAGAACATGGCACACTTTAAATTCAAAATAACACTGAATATGTACATTGATTACACCACCACCACTTTATACATGTATTTATTCACATGAAAACTAAGACCATGAAATAACACCATGTTTTTAGGGTAATAGAGTGTAATCTAAAGACCATAATATCCGTGTTTTGGATAATAGAGGTAAATCTTAAGACCATGAAACAACATCTGCAGTATGTTATTGAATAATAGAGGGATAAACAATTGCTTCATATACCAGGAAATTGTTAAACTTGTTTATTGCACTGAGCTTTGATGAATGCTCCTTCCGAGTATTATAATCCGTTTCTATTGTTGTTTAGAACAGGCTCTTGCAAGACACCCACAACATACTGCACATGTGTAGAGTTAACCAAAATTTTCCAAAAGGCCTTAGTTAAGCTTCAATGTTCTGTTAAAGAACCCCTATTCTTACTTTTGAAAATGAATTCTATCAATACTCTCCGATCTTACATGATAGTTCTGTATCCATCCCCATGCAATTGTGTGTATCCCCAGGCCAATGTTAAGTCAATACACCCTTGCTGAAATCCTCGTGGAGAACTCAAGTTGATAGAGTCTCAACAAGTAGATTCTTGTGAGATAGTATTGCTAGAATCATTTTCAATAGAAAGATTATGGATTCCGAAACAGGACATTGGGCTTGCTTTTCAGAACTTTTTGTTGGCTCTAACGTGCCTACATAAACTTTACATAATGAATATTACATAAGTTCATTCAATGTAATTAGCTGATGTGTGATTATAATAGAGGCAGTTGATGCAACTCTAATGAGCTATATAGTGTCATTATCAGAATTTACCAATATAAGCTATTTATAAGCAAATTACACATTAAATGGTAGGTCCAGGCACTCATGATTCCATGATAATAATAATAACAATGTTTCTAATTTCAATGAGTAAACCTTCTAAACATTAAAATACATGATAAACATGAGTTTCTCTCATTCTCTCACCAACAAAGGTTAACATTAAGAACACAAATTGCACTAATAAATATAATTATACAGGGTGTCCACACTTTCATGAGACTTGCTGAGGGATATAGAGAATTTTGAAAGACATTGTTTTTTTACATACACCATGTACAAATTTTAGTTATTCCAAAACCAAATTTTAATTTACGCAGTCTATTCATATCCTCTATCCCCCTCAAAAAGTTCATGAATTCTGTTGAACCTCATTCTATAACATGTATGTACATAAATAATTGTCTGCACTCCACTAAATTTTCCTACATTACAGTGTATATGTACATTAAAATGGACTGATCTTCATCAAAAATCGATCTTTTGAAGTACAGAACGGTATATGAAAACTTTGTTAGGTGATATACACTGCAGTGTACCATTGGGGCATAACTGCACTTAGCAATACATGTAAAAATATGATGACAACAATAGCTCTTCTATTTTCTAAATAAACTGTAAATCACATGCAAATACAATAAATATTGTCATAAATACAATACCATTTTACAGCCTCATACAATTTTGAGATTCATACATAACATAGGGATTGCAGGATGTAGTGAAATGATAACACTGATATGAATAAACCAAAATTAATTTTAAGCAATTATATTGTCCACTGTAGTTAGCTGTATGGCAAATAAGCTATTTTATAGGCTTTTGTGAAAATTTGAAACAATTTTCTAAAATTGGCAAATTGGCAGAATTAACAATTCATTCCACTAAAGGCAAACATTTCAAATTTGGGCATTTTCTGAAAATTTTGGCATTTAAACATATATTCAGTTGGAAATATTTGCATCTCTCCTGATGAAAGCTAGCTATGAGAAAAGGTTGTCATGGAAACCATAATGTTATATACAGGATACCCATAAAGTCTCTACACAGATTTTATGGGCACCCTGTATAAATCATCAAATTTTAGATATACACATATATGTGTAAAATATAACATCACATCACAAAAACATGTAAATTTCCTTCAAAAACTGTACATTGGAAGACAGAACATCTTTTAGAAGTGCATCACCAAAAGACTAATAAAAATAAAACATCTCCATATAATACACAAATATCCTAAAATGGATATACAGTACACAAGCATGTTAAAATATTGTTCAATAGATTTATGATGCAAAATACACATATAACAGCATGTACTTATGAGTCAGATCTTTTCTTGCAAATACACGATATAGTTTCAAGCATTTTAGGTGCTTGAATTTGTAAACTACTATGAACAAACCACAATTATGAATTAATTCTGTTACAGTTTTAAAATATGAATAACTTGAAAATGCTGATTTTCCATATCAAATACCAAATGTGTATAAAAAGCAGTTTTCACACAAACCACTCGACTTATCTATCCATGGCTTATATTTACATGTACAGGGCGTTCAATAAGTATTGCTAATTTTGCTATAACTTTTGTTCTGTTTGCTTTTTCTTCATGAAACTTTCACAACATAAGGTACATATATCTGACTTTATCCTATGAACATTTCAAGACAATTCAATCAGTATTAACAACAAAGTTATGGTTACTAAGGTAACCAGTATCATGGATATGCGGGGCAAATTTCTATACTGAAAATTTAAATCACCTGACTGAGGATGTTTCACAAAAATGTTTGTTTCAAATATCAAAGACCCAAGCATACAAACGTTCTGCCTTCACTACTTGAATTACATATAAAGTATACATATTTCTATAGGTAGATATTTTATTTATAAAATAAAATAAATAGCTAAATATATATTTTTGCTATATGGTGATACTGGGATTAACATAAATTACTAGCAAGTACATTCAACCCAGGATGATAGAAGGGAAACAAAGAGAAATAAAAACCGAGAACAACTACCATTATACTTACAAGCCCAAAATAATTGTATTCTATGCATAATAGTGGTTACACCTATGTTGTAACATCGTATAACTGTGGAAATGAAATCTACATTCATACAAAATAGATAGGCCTTACCCTACAATCATTTGTCTAGGTACTGAGTTGATTAAAAGAGGGCAGTGTCTGTGGTCTAGAGAAGAGACTGGGTTGATTGCAATTTGATTGCAAACTCATTTAAATATGTATATTCCCTGCCGTGTATCCAGGTGGCCGATTTGCTCATTCGTTTATTGACGGTTACTTTATGAAAAGTAATAGGTTCTGTAGCCAACAGCTGAAAGTTGCATACGCGAAAACAAGCTTAATAACTGACCACACTGCTACAAGTATCTTTGAAGTTGACATGATTATTTTCTCTTGAATAGGTTTACAAATAAAATAAAACACCATATATAGTGTTATTATGCATTAGCTGACAAACTGTCATTTCCACTGATATAAGATGTTATACCCAGAGGCATCTATTGTTAAAAGTACAATGTTTCTGGTACTGAGTTGACATCAAATTATGTCCAGCATCATTATGCAAAATAACAACAAACAAATTATCACATAGTTAGATGTTCAACAACCCTCTAGCATTGCTATACAGTTTGAAGAACTAGTCTCAAAAATATAAATCACAGTGAACATCTGAGATGATCTCTAAAAGACATAGAGGTGAGTATCTGGACAAGATTATATTGCACTGGCTTCCTCAACACACATTTTAAGACATGGTGCATTTTGATTTCATTTTGAGTGTTATTCATGCAATCTCAACAAGCTCTCTCTACTATATGTCCTGTATTCAGTTCAACTCTAGAGTTATATCATAGATCGCATGCAGGGTGGTACTATACAATACACTGTTGTAACACAGTTTGATATATCCTTATCTTTATTGTGAAGATTATGACATAAGAAGCAGCTGACTTGCACTGTATCCAAGTAATGAACAGTTTAATATATCCTAATCTATATTGTGAAGATTATGATATAAGAAGCTGCTGACTTATGATTCAATACAAGGTAGTAATTTACAATTAACACTACAATGTATCTGTTGTAGCACTGTATCGAAGTAACGAACAGTTTTATATATCCTAATCTATATTGCGAAGATTATGATATAAGAAGCTGCTGACTTATGATTCAATACAAGGTAGTAATTCACAATTAACATTACACTGTATCTGTTGTTGCACTGTATCCATGTAATGAACAGTTTAATATATCCTAATCTATATTTTGAAGATTATGATATAAGAAGCTGCTGACTTATGATTCAATACAAGGTAGTAATTTACAATTAACATTACAATGTACTGTTGTTGCATTGTATCCAAGTAATGAACAGTTTAATATATCCTAATCTATATTGATAAGATTATGATATTAGAAGCTGCTGACTTATGATTCAATACAAGGTAGTAATTTACAATTAACATTACAATGTATCTGTTGTTGCACTGTATCCAAGTAGTGAACAGTTTAATATATCCTAATCTATATTGCCAAGATTATGATATAAGAAGTGCTGACGTATGATTCAATACAAGGTAGTAATTTACAATTAACATTACAATGTATCTATTGTTGCACTGTATCCATGTAGTGAACAGTTTAATATATCCTAATCTATATTGTGAAGATTATGATATAAGAAGTGCTGACGTATGATTCAATACAAGGTAGTAATTTACAATTAACATTACAATGTATCTGTTGTAGCACTGTATCCAAATAATGTTTGATATATCAAAATCCATATTGCAAAGATTATGACATAAGAAACTAATAATAATGGCTTAAAGTTAAGTGCAAGGTAGAAATTTAACGTTACTATGTACTGTAACACAGTTATAGCACTGTATCCATGAGCGGTTTTGTGTTTCCTCATTATGAAGATGCTGACTTATGATTCAATACAAGGTAGTAATTTACAATTAACATTACAATGTATCTGTTGTTGCACTGTATCCAAGTAATGAACAGTGAAATATATCCTAATCTATGTTGCGAAGATTATGATATAAGAAGCTGCTGACTTATGATTCAATACAAGGTAGTAATTTACAATTAACATTACAATGTATCTGTTGTAGCACTGTATCCAAATAATGTTTGATATATCAAAATACATATTGCAAAGATTATGACATAAGAAACTAATAATAATGGCTTAAAGTTAAGTTCAAGGTACATGTAGTAATTTAACATTACAATGTACTGTAACACAGTTAATGCACTGTATCCATGAGCGGTTTTGTGTTTCCTCATTATGAAGATGTATTACAAATATAAAGTTATGCCTTTGCAGTCTCCTCTTTCAAATCAGGATATAGTGAAGGGGCTACATTTGTTCCATTTTCTGCTGATCCTTTGGTCGCATCATCAATAGTTTTAAGTGGTATATCAGCACCATCTGGTGCTCTGTCTAACATATTACGGGCCAGTTTATCTCCTTGTCTTGCTGGTCCCCAGTCTTTAGATGGTTTACACAGATCTTTCACTTTCTGAAACCATATGGAAACATTACAATATTAGAAATTTTGGTATCAAAGTACTGTACTAATCACTCTATACATTGAATTATCAAAGTTGCTGTTTCAATAGTTCCTGGGATGAATCAGAAAGATCTTGACCAACCTTTGCTTCTACAATCAAAACAAATACATCATGTATACACATTCTACAATCTTTTATTACACAATTAATACAAATATAATGTACACACATCATCAAATTTCATCACATGTGTCCTGTGTCGTTCGTGCATTGCCCATAAATTTGAATAGAAAATCTAGTATGCAGGATTTGAATTTAAATGCATCTTAACAATCTTGTTATGATCTGTTACAATCTTACCTGTAAAGTTGCTGAAAATGAGCATATAATCACTGGTTCAGATTGATGGGAGTTTTTGTTTGACCAAAAATTATTAATGGATTGGTCTACTCAATAGGTTCATGGGCGTAGCGCTATTTTTATGAGTAGTATGCCACAACAGGAAAACAAGTTGAACAAAGTGAAAAACTAGCATTCGGGGGGGGGGGGGGTCTAGGGGGGAAATTCAAAAAAATATTGAAGTTTTGTTGTATTTAGAGTGTATTTGCAACCATCTGGTACGCCTGTGTGTACCAGGCATATCGGTATATTGCGTGCTACGCCTATGGTAAACCTGAACCAATCAGAATGAAACATCTTTTACAAAAAATGCAACCCATAGAACCAATTACATGTACATGGAAATTGAACTCCAAAACCTATTTACTATGGGGTGTAGCTGTAAGGAACATATCAATATAACAATTTACAATAAAAGACAAAATGTATAATTACCCACAAAACTGATGCCCCCACCCCACCAAGATGTAGGCTAAATGAAGGAAAATTGATTTAGAAGTCAATGTTTTTTTAATCATAAATGGACACATGATATGTTCCTTAGGGCTATTCAATTTAACAACATAAAGTAGATATTAATTACAACATGCATGTAAATAAAACCCATATCCACACTAAGCCATATCCAGAGGTTCACCTATATTCACCAAATAGTTTACATATCAAGTAAACAATATCTACAAATGGGGTTCACCAAATGAAATCCTTCAAATAATATACACCAAAGCTTATAAACCAGGTATATATACAGTAACATAAACTCAGATTGAGCTTACCACAGTTACATAACACAGCTCTATAGATGGTGACACACTACCATTTTTTGTCATCCACGACTTGTACATCGGAGGTGAATGTTTTTAAAGGAATGCTTGATTCATTGATTGCATGGTCGCCATTGGCAACACCATCTGCATTGTTACGAGAGGTTTTATGTTCATGTAAGGCAGGACCCCAGTCCTCATGTGGTTGGCAAAGGTCCTTTATCCTCTGTAAGATATGATTTGTAGTACAGTTATCCTATGAGCCTTATATTGTTGTGTGTTAGTATCAAAATTATTAGTCTATGACTGAGCCTATACACCATTTTGATTAAAAATTCAGAGATGCAACATCACTATAGAATTTCAAACATTTGTGTTGATAAATACAGCAATTTCAAAAATGCTTGCACATTGATTAATATATAATATTATGTACTAGCAATTCAGAAATTTGGAACTCGAACTCTAATAAGCATGGTGTGTGCATTTTGAAAAATAATATTTGATATCTAAAGAAAAGAAGTATTGTATCAAAGTACAATGTATGCACATTCAAAGTACGGTACATGTATTAAATCAATTGTGTATGATGTACGTATATTCAATAATTTATACTTCCATGCTTTTCATCCAACTAACCACATTTTTACTTCACTCAATAACAAATTCTTTCAAATGCATGCAATCATTTCACATGACATTGATATTTGATCTGACCTTTTTGCATTGGCACTTGTAGTGTTGCTAAAACCATACTCCATGTGGTGATAATACTAGATAATGAAAGCATGTTTGAAGCATGCTGATCAGAAAATTGTGCAGTGTTTGAAAGTAAAATAATGTTGTATTTACACTAAAGATAGGTTACATAAATGGCCATCAAGAAAGCCCATGGTTGAGTGGTAGTGTTTTGGATCAAACGATTTAGATAGATTTGCATAAGCATAATCAAATCTGGCTTCTTATCAATATAGTCAAGCTCGTAAATCATTTTTTATTTCAGTATTTGTCAAATACAAGTAGTTGATACATTCAAAGTTGTGTTAAAAAATATATATGTATGATGTTGTGTGATTGTCTTGAATATACACATTAACAGTACATTTCAGTGACCTCCCTAGGATTTTTCCATGTGGGCGCAATTTGTTGTTCAAGTGTACAGTGCATCTATAATAAGTTTACTAATATACCATAAATCTAAAAAAATTCTTAGATTTGAATAAGTATCACTATGAAGTGACTGTGCCCATGACTGCAGTTATGGAAACAAAATGAAAGCACACAGAATAGATGGTTAGTGATTCAGATGAAAATGCTATAAAAAAGAACAAGTACCTTTGTACAATGTATAAAAGGGTTATGTACTGGGAGGTTTAGGATAAGGGTTTATCCTGAGAGATATACAAATTTTCTGAAAGATAAACCCTTTATCCAAAACCAACAGCACTTAATAGATGTATCCCATACCTACCGAGGCTCTAAGTACATTATACCTTTTAAGGTTTCCAAATTTTAATATTGTTCTTTAAATGTTACAGATTATTTCTTTCATGATTTTAGAAATCAGTTTCACGAATGTCCTAGAAGTCAGTGATAGCGGGATAGTTATCTCAAACTCATTAAAAAGTGAAAATTTTCATGATTTTAGAAATCAGTTTCACAAATGTCCTATAAGTCAGTGATAGTGGGATAAATATCTAAAAATCCATTCCCCTCACTTGAAACACTATATATTCCCGCATGTTATGTACTTAGAACCTCAGTCGTTATGCGATACATGTACATTATATCATTAAAGTGTAAAGGATATGTCTTATTTCTTCCTTACCTGCCATATTGTCAAAGTTTTGTCTGGGTGTAGGCATACTTTGATTATAGCTACTAGTGGTATAGGTATGACTGAAGTGAATGCCAACATCCAACCCATCACATCTGCCCAGGGTGGGAACCAATAATCTGCATAATTTGTCTGCTTGAAGTCAATCCAAGTAAAGATTAAGATAGCCTATAATTATAAAACATTCATGTTTGTACTTTGTAGTGTAGTTTATAGAGCAGTGTAATATAGTAAATATTATAGGTACAATTGATAACTGCAAGATTAAGATAGCCTGTAATGATAAAACATTCATGTTTGTACTTTGCAGTGTAGCTTAAAGAGCAGAGTGTAGTGTAGTGAATTATAGTTACAATTGAAAACTGCAAGATTGAGATACATGTAGCCTGAAATGATGTATGTTGTGATGTATTGTATTGTGTATTCTAATGAAGTGTAATGTATTCTACTTGAAGAACAACTGGAGAATAATTTCAAATCTGGAGTGATAAATAATATTTGTGTATTGTATTGTAGTCTTGTATTGTGTAGTGTACTTTAGGTACAACTGCAGATCTGAAGAGCCTGGAATGGAAAAAGTTTGAGCATGTGTATTGAGTGTAGTGTAGTGTAGTGTAGTGCACAGTTCCATAATTTGTTTCACTACTAAAGGCAATGTTCACCCTTTTTTCCAATGTTTATCTTGCTATTAGAAAACAATAAATACTGAAACATGATTTCTCAGAAATTGGTGAAGTTGTAATTGTAGTTCAACTTACCACAATTAGGAAAGGTGTAATATATTTCCACATTATCTTCCAAAATATGGTTAGTTTGAATCCCAACATGTGCTCCATATCTTTGTAGTATCGATCAATACCTATGAAGAATGGAAAATATAGATTTAATAATCATTTAAGACATATTCTAGGATACATCTTGGGAGAGATTACATCGGGGAGAAAAATTTGTGGAAGAACTATTTTAAGAATATGTAGAGGCATGGTTTTGAAGACAGTTACTTAATTTTGTGTTATCATTATAAGAATAAGAAATGCTACATGTATGTCACATTTTGTCACAATTCACTTTTATACAAGGAACATTGCAATATTCAACATGGCACTAATATGCAAAATATCATAACTTGCCACTTGCTACAGACGCTGACTGACGGACGCAGTCCATAAAAAAGTTGGGAACTTTAACAGTATGTCACTACTTCTATTGGTGACATAATAGGTGAGGTAGTTTTCCAAATGTTTTCTATATTACTTACCATATACCCATGACAAGACAAGGCACTCTGTCATACCAATGATAAGCAAGGAATACGAAGCTGTGAATTTATCCATCAGTTGCACAATGTACATCCCACCCTACAATATAAAATTATATCTTAAGCATGTACACATGTTGTCTCAATAAGTCAAAGGATGTGCTGTATATTATCACTGGATATCTTAAATTTAGCTTTAACTGAAACTTGGTTGAAATACATGTAGCTTCTGAAATGTAGAATTTGATCATATTGGTAGTTTTGCCTATTAATATTATCATAATCCTAATTATGACCCTTTACAACACTTCATCTAAAAAATATAAATGAACAAAGCAATACTCGACTTACCCGAGTTGTGCAGGTGAGTCCCATAAGGAATGATATGATACATATAACAATGAGTAACAATAAAGGGCGCAATTTGCCACGTCGGAATATGTGCGGGAACACATCCAGCATTGTGGTCTGTACAGTCTGGGTGAGTCCAATCTGAAGTTACAAATATAGGTGTACTTAATGTAAGCCTAAAAAACATTATATCCTCTTTACTCATATACTTATTTAAACCATTTTTATCAAGGTTTCCTGAAGTACTGTAAAACCTGTGTCGACATCGCACTGATGTGTAGTAAACACCTCAAAAATGCTCAGCTCCATTTCTACATGTATCTACCCTTCTTTTGCTTAAATAAAGGTTTTCATGGTAAAATTTCTCTAGGTAAACTAGGTATGTACCTGTGTTCCAACTCCAAGACTGAGGATCATGAGGAAGAAGAGGATTGCCCACAGTGGGGAGATTGGTAACCTAGCAACAACTTCAGGGTAAGCAACAAATGCAAGCCCTGCACCTGTAACATAAACAACACATCAAGTTAGTTTGATTCTTATAAAAATGCCATGAAGAATTTAAAACTTGGTTAAATACCAATGTGTTTAATTAGCAAGAGTCAATTTTCCGTATAAACTATTATATGACAAATGATAGCCATTGTCTGTAAGTTTTAACAAAGAGGGGGAAGTTTTAGATTACCCTCCCCCCCAAAAAAAGATGACCCTACTCCTTAAGCCCTTATAAACATGTTTATGTGGAATTGTCAGTACAAAAGTCTCTGCAAGAGAGAAGCACTGAGCTGCAATAATCCAAGACCCCAGACAGGTAATCATAAATTACCACCAAAAGGAACAATTTCCCAGTCAGCTACCATGGTAACCTGCCTCGATTTAGGTAATAGCTTACCTTGACGCACCACATCCCCTACATCCTCTTTCAGTACATGGGCCATGTAGCCAATCACAGCAAAGATAACAAAGCCTCCAAATATACTGGTGAGACAATCCCCAATTGCTACAAATACTGCATCTCTAGAAATAGAACATTAGAATGATATTAGAAGTATATGTATCATTTATCAAATGCCTATACAGGAATTCAAATAAGTCCAGTCCCATTCCACAGCGATGTATCCTGGGGTTAATTGGTTTCTCATGATCTTTCATTTGGATTTGTAAAAATACAATCAGTGTTTTACCAATGCAGTCAAGAATTACAATGTACCCCTGTGTGGGGGACTGCTGGGGGGAGACTGCAGTGGAATATGGAACTTCTGTGGAGGGAGATGGGGATGGAGGGAGGGGGCTGCTTTGGAGGGGGACTGAACATATAACACAACAAATACCCAATATTACACTTTACTTTTTATACATATATTGTGACATTTTTATAAAAAAATATAACTTCAGATAGGAGAAACTTGTTATATACATGTAACTAGCTAAATGTAACTAGCCAATGTTACTAACCTGAGACAGTTATTATGGAACTTGTTATAACTAGCTAATGTGATGAGACCTCCCCAACAGGCAGACAGAGAGAAGAATACCTGCACTGCAGCATCTCCCCACACCTGTAATGAACAATTTCAATTTTCAATTTATTTATTAAACCATCGCCATGTATCACTGGGAATTAGGCACAATGATACAATTCAATAACATATTTTTACAATAACTTATTTACAACTGCTTCCCATCCTCACATAAAAATTTGCGTAATTTAAATAAAACGTCATCAAAGTGTACACAGAGTCAGTTACTTAAGGAGGATTGGCTCCCAGGGTTCGAACTTGGTATTCTGCCATATATGGAGAAGTCATGATTAAACAACTTGAATTCAAACGACTGCCATTTTTTCACTTGAAAATTTTAAATTACAAGTTTTGGTAAAAAAACGACATTCTGACATTTTCATTGTTGGAAAATATCAAGTTGCGTCCCTGGGAGCCAATCCTCGCAACAACTCAAACATATATACTTCCATATATGGTAAGTACATTGCCAATAGACCAAATGTTGACCAAATGTATCATAGTCTTCTTCAATATTCGAGTTAGAATGCTAAAATTGAATGTTTTTGAAGCTCATGGCTATCTCTTTTTTAAACACACACAATGACTTTTACAGTATGACTTCAATGATAATTTTATCTATTTAATGGGGCAATCAAATGAAAGTTAAGAGGGTCTATCAAATACACCAGTCCTGAGATCTATAATGTGAGGGATTAAAAGGTTTACCATTGTGAGGCCATGAGACATACTCCACATAGTGATGTGGAAAGACAGCTAGTCAATCAATGGCAAAACAAGCAAACAAACACACAAGCTGGTTCTTTCATGAATTGAAGTCATGAAAAAAAATTAATATTTATTCATGCGCATAATGCAATGTTTAATGAAGTTATATTGACTTTTGTATTCAGCTATATCTACAACTGTGTACAGCTACAAGCTGTTATCAGGAGGAAATCAATTTATTATTAATTTAATCAAAACAAATTATAGGGGTTAGATTTCCTCCTACTCCTTTTTTTAACAAGTAAAACTTGCATACCCTTTCTTCATTAAATCTGCAGTGGACACTTTTATTCAGTTCCAAAATAGTTCACTATTACTCATATATTACATGAAATTGCCAAGCCAAGACTGATAATGATCGCTTTTAGAAAAATTGAAATTTTTGCAGAAATAAAGGAAAATTCCATCTGTGCTCAATGGAAATGGAATTCAGGAGTGCACTTTACACAAATTCCACTGGAATTAAAACATACCTGTCATTTCCTGATTTAAACAGGGGGAATTCCAAAAAAAGTGAAGTGACTATTGAATAAATGACAGGTGACGGGACAGATATGACGGCATATCAAAATCAGATACCAAAATACAGTATTTTTTAATGATATTTTATGTAATGCTTTATTTTGAAAAATTTCCCGATTGTCTCGAATCCAGATTCATTTTGGGTTGACAGGTATGCTGAAGTGATACACAACAAAATAACCAAAAAAAAAAAAATATCCTAATCATCATTTAACACTGACCTTAGCACTGGCCAATCTATGCCACTGTGGTGTTATATAGAAGAGGATCCCATCTACTGAACCAGGTAATGTTACACCTTTCACCAGCAAGATCAACAATACGATATATGGGAACAAACTTGTGAACCACACCACCTGAAAACAAGCATGTTCATGTTAGTTCTATGTAAATTCATCTCTTCCCTTCCAGTTATAATGGAATTTGAAAATATTGATATGTAATTCACTCCATTTGGAAATAACATTTTTCACTCACAAAATCTGACTTATAAATCAACACTTCAATAATGAAATCTGATTACCCTGATTAAGTAAACTTCATTTTCAACTCCTGTCAAGAAAATAGATACCATCCCTAATGATTTTATTTACAAGAATTGAGATACAATTTACTGTACTGTATGACTTCCTTTATGTACTTAGGGAAATTGAAAATTGTGAAGTGCAATTAAAATTCTGTAGTGCCATAAATTGTATTCAATCTACCAACTAAAAAGTTTTAATAGACACAATGAACTTTCAAAACTTTGTGCAAACAAGTATGAAAGAACAACTATTTTTAATATTTGCATTTTGTCAAAGGCCACATATCATATTGTCTACAATAAGCGCCAAGAGCATTTAGAAAATTGAAAATAAATCTTTCAGACCATTCTAATAAGCACCCGTATAGATATTATTAGAGAGTGGACACTGATTACAGAGAAAGGCCTGTAGCCAGGATGGGGGGGGGGGTTCTTTCAAAATCATGCAGTTTTTCATCATTTTGAGCACTTCTCAAGTGATTTTGGCCATATTTGGGCCAAAATTGTCAAATGTGAACCCCCCCCTGGAAATTTTTGAAAACTGACCCCCCCCCCTTGGCAAATCCTGGCTACGGGCCTGCAGAGAATATAGTATTTGTGTTTTACCAGACACCACATTACTTTACCAAATATCCAGAACCACTTACTTTTCCCTGAGATTGTATTCCTTTTGCTAGACAGACAACAACCACCATCCATGAGAAAAGAAGACACAGGACAAGCTGCCATCTTGGAGCCCCCATGTTATGGAGACCATCTGAGATGTCTAACACATAATTACTGAAAGTGGATGCAAGGATATATAAGGGACCCCCTGAAGAATCTTTGCAATGGGTTTGAACTATATATAAGCATAAATGTGCATCTAATAATAATCTAACTTAAGCTACCACTACACCTACAAAATTCAATTTAAAAGGTTGAAATGATATAAGACATTTGCTGAACATAAATGTTATTATTTCATGACATATACAGTGTTGATTCAACATTTCAAAGTATTCCTCAATATTATTCAATGATTATATCAATATTAGTGGAGTTACACCATTGATATTTACAAAAGAATCTGTCAAAAGAGGAAAATTAAAGAGCAGGGAATATTAAAAACAATTCCTTCCTTTGTCCATGCAAAAAGAAGCAATTCTCAAAAATCAGAAATACAAAGAAATACTTTTGTTTAATTAAAGTCATACTGATCTCTTTTAGGCTTTTTTTGGAATAACACATGAAATATCCCACATAAGCTTACTGATAATATTCATCGCTAGCACCACGTCTTGCCTCCAGTGCATTGGTCATGTTAGCAGTGAGATTCTTCAGTATAGCATAGGCACTTTCCCCTACATCTTCTACATATAGGCAGGTCTGGTTGCCCATGTCCCATGTACCATTGTGGTTAGTGCAGTTTTTGGAATCAAATAGATTCAATGCCCCACAAACTGAAAAAAAAGATAACAATATATTTGGAAGGGTTAAATGACAGTATACTGATATTTATCCAATGGATACTAAAAATATATGGGGATAACAACACAAGATAATCTTGGTATGCACATCGTATCCGATCCATATGACGTGATATCCAATCGTATCCGACAGATACTATTTAGTTTGAAAATACAATTTAAAAAAAAATTGAAACCAAAATTTTGAAGTGAAGTGATAACTACATGTACTTGTCTGTTTGACAATAAAGTTCCAAGGTTATGTGCTCAGTAAAAATGAGTTACATTTTTTCATGCGATTTTATAAAAATAAGGTCACAGAAAAGAAAAATGAAAAAATAGAAAAGAATTAGAAAACAACACTTTTAGGTCTAATTATTTGAAGTCCATATAAAAATAGCGACCATCGGATAAATATGATATCCTATGATTTTCTCTGCTATCATTTTTATCCACTCTTGGATATCGCCGATCTCCACTCATTCGCTGCGCTCACTCGTGGAGATGAGCGATATCCACTCATAGATAAAAATGGTATCCCTCAAAAATCATAGGATATCCTCTATATATATGACAGTTTACTGATATATATGACAGTATACTGATATAGATACATGTATATATGCTCTGTGTGTTATCATGCTTTTTTAAATCGACCCAGGGGATCGAATGATGATCAAATAAACAAAGCTTTACTTTCTTATGTCTACATTTAGTGCTTTTAGGTCAAGTTATTTCAACTGTTAAAAAAGTGCCCCTTTAACACAGGCTGGTATCGAAAGATTTGTCCGCTGTGACGGAGCATGCTATATTTCATAAAAACACTAAGAATGCTTCACGATTTATTTTTTAACTCATATGTTTCGTTATATCAAAGATAATTACTTACTCCATGCAATGGATATATCATTTGCGTGTAACCTTCACTTCTGTTTGAAGTCCAATAACGCTAGGAGTAAAATCTATTGAAAACGGCGCCAGAGTATCAAACTCTAAAATGTATCATTTCTTTTTTAACTTTTTAATGGCATGATATAGTGACACGATAATATTAACATATGTTTTCAACATAACTCTGAATGTAATAATGAGATATTAATGCATTGGGTCTTTTTAATATTTTTTGTAAAAATAATATTAATATTTTTTGTCCGCTGTGACGGAGCATTTTCACAGTTTACATTTGCAACTGCTCCGTCACAGCGGACAAAAAAATTAAATATTATTTTTTATAAAAGAATTAAAAAGACCAAATACATCAACATCTCATTTATACCTTCATAGTTATGCTGAAACCATGTGTAAATATTATCGTGTCACTATATCGTGCCATTAGAAAGTTAAACGAGAAATGGTACATTTTGAAGTATGATACTCCGGCGCCATTTTCAATAGCTTTTCTTCCCAGCGTAATTGGACTTCAAACAGAAGTGAAAGTTACCCGCAAATGATATATCCATTGCATGGAGTAAGTAATTTTGTATGGTATAACGAAACATATGAGTTAAAAAATAAATCGTGAAGTATTCTTAGTGTTTTTATGAAAAATAGAATGCTCCGTCACAGCGGACAAATATTTCGATACCAGCCTGTGTTTAAAAGAGATGTAAAGCGCAAAATGGGGTACAAATCAAAATCGTTCTATTAGTTGGTTTAGATTTAGAAATCTACAAATTTTCTTTTCAATAATACTTTAGTTATAGGGGTGCCACATCGCTGCACCCAAATCTTTTGAAGCTTTCTGATGTTTACTTATACAATAATCCTGTGGATAGTTCACGTCTCCTTGAAAGTTACAGGAAGGCTACTCACTCCATAACTATTATCAAACATTATAGATAGATGTATTACAAGAGGGTGTACCTACCAGGACTTGCCCACGGTGATTCACACTGTGACCAAGGAACTTCTTTGGCAAATGATGCAAACAAATAAAAGAATGTCCAGGCTATAATCATATTGTAGTAGACACCTGCTATCAGAGACACCAGGAACATGCACCAGCCTGTACCTGCAATCACAATGAGTATATACATGTACATACAAGTAAAGTAACACCTGTGTAGGTTGAACACCTTTAGTGGATAAAAATAGTGCTCCACTCGGGAGCTGTTCAACTTTAAGAGATTCACTTTACATAATGTTGAATGTAGTTCAGCATAATGTTGAACTTTCAACATGTACCACTTACAACTCTAGAGGGTTTTACTTTACAGGTCTTACTGTATACAGCATTGGGTGATATACAATGGCTTAAAACAATACTTTATTGAAACAAGGATCAATCAGCAATCACCTGATACATTAATTGATTTTCGCAATAGTGGGGGTTATATGTACTGAAGAATGTATTGACTAGAGACCACACCTCCAGTCTAATATAGGTCTGTTGATTGATCCTAACAAACAAAGTATAAAAATAACCTGAATAAGGAGAGAGAATGAATAAAGCAGACATAGGGGAGAGTAATGAAATATATTTGTAGATAACGTACCTTCAAATAATGGAGCACAATGTTTCCATATAGATACAACACCTAGACTCCCGTACTGTCCTATAGAATTCTCTATAAACACCATGGGGATTCCAGCTAGTACCATCATAAATATATAAGGGATGAGAAAGGCACCTGAAATAAATAAAATAAACAAACTAATTTTTAAATATCTGGTTAGCTAGTAAATATATAAAGAAGGTGGCGCTTACAAAACAAAAGTACATATATCTGTTCACAAATCACAATGTATTGTGCTATAATTAATTATTACCTCCTCCATTTGCATAACAAAGATAAGGGAACCTCCATATATTTCCGAGACCAACTGCAAAACTTAAACAAGAGAACAGGAAGTCAAGTTTTCCCGACCAGTTTCCACGATTCTCCGCCTCTTCATCTTTCTTCTCAGCTTCTGTTTTCTCCGTTTTCTCGGGATCTCCTGGCTCAGCGCCATTTGGAACCTTGTCATCCTGAAAATACATGAAATAGATAATTAGGTTAATGCATTATGCTTATACTTTATCTTTTTTCGAGATAGAAACAGAAATGTCCATCCTATTCCCTAAATACACTATTCGAGTATATTCCACCACGTTACGTATTTGAAATCCCATGAGATATATGTACATATACTTTTATGTTATATAAATACTTCAGAAGATTATTCTCATAGAACCATCTCCCTCAAGGGATACTAATACTTTCTCATAGAACCATCTCCCCAGGAGATACTTTCTCATAATACCATCTCCCTCAGGAAATACTTTCTCATAGAACCATCTCCCTCAGGAAATACTTTCTCATAATACCATCTCCCTCAGGAGATATTTTCTCATAGAACCATCTCCCTCAGGAAATACTTTCTCATAATACCATCTCCCTCAGGAGATATTTTCTCATAGAACCATCTCTCTCAGGAGATATTTTCTCATAATACCATCTCCCTCAGGAGATACTTTCTCATAGAACCATCTCTCTCAGGAGATATTTTCTCATAATACCATCTCTCTCAGGAGATACTTTCTCATAATACCATCTCCCCAGGAGATGCTTTCTCATAGAACCATCTCCCCAGGAGATGCTTTCTGTACTACTGGCTCTTATAATTTCATGAAACAGTTTGACCGTATATCATACTATCTTCTTCAGGAGACACTTTTAATTCTAGCATTTCAAAGATATTTGCTCTAAGACACCAACACAATTCAACTCTGGTGTTTATAACATCGAATACTTCATTAAATTGAAATAAGATATTTATCCAGGGGTGTCAATAGAATATCTGACAAGTGGCATTAAACAAGTGAAAGCAACAGGAAAATTATTGGAAATTAACCTCAACATGCAAACATGCTGCTCATGAAATCAACATTTATCTATACCTGAAAATACTTGTGTTATGTCCCTGATCATTATTAGACTTATTACTGTATCACTTTGATTTACATTCCACGATACACCTCAGGCCCGTAGCCAGGGGGGGGGGGGCTCGCAAGGTTCGGACGAACCCCCCCCCCCCCCCGGCCAAAAATTCTTTCAAAATCATGCAGTTTTTCACCATTTTGAGTTCTTCTCAAGTGATTTTAGCCATATTTGGGCCAAAATTGTCAAATGTGAACCCCCCCTGGAAATTTTTGAAAAATGACCCCCCCCCCTTGGCAATTCCTGGCTACCGGCCTGCACCTGTATGACTTACCTGATCGTATTGTAAAGCTGCTAGATATATACGAGGCATTCTGAATGTCACAATTTCAAACAAAAATATATCCTATGTCTCTGTTTAATATTCGATGACTTCAAAATGAATTTTACTTTTTATATCAAACTTTATTGACCATCTCTGCTTATTCAGCAAGATTTTGTTCTAGACCATAGGTAATATTACAACTCTGCCAACAGAAAATGTCAGATAACCATGACTTGCAATTTTGGGTGAATATCACAGAAGTTCTAAGCCCTTGGAAAAATGATCACATTTAGGTCTTTTGTCAGTAAATAATCTGCCAATACATTTGTACTATTAAGATGAGAAAATGGACTTGAGTCATGCATGGATACATGCCAGAACAATAACATTTCTTTATGTATTGCATTATTTTAAAATCAGAAAATAATCTCAAGATACTATATTTAACCTCTTGAATTCCAGGCTCTAAAATAAGTAGAAACCAGAGAATTTTTCATTTTTGCCACCTTTTGACATTTTACTTCATACTTATACAACTTACGATGCTCAACTTAGTAAAATTAGATGACAGAGATCATTTCTACATATTTTAAAACAATTCTCGTGTAAATAGGGTGAAAATTGTTCAAATGAGATCAATTTTAGTGAACAATTTTGTGATGGATTTTCTCGTCACTCTGGGTTTCAAGGTCATTTCTGAGGTGATGAGAAATCTCGTCGCTCCAGGTAATCCAGATTGATATATATTTATAATACCTCCAATAGTTTTGACTTCCATTTACATAATGTGTTAACCTCTAGATTTGACTTCTCAAGCTTACCAAAAGTGCACAATGAGTTGGCAAAAATGGTATGAACTTTCACATGAAATCAATAGAAATTGATTAAGTAGAACTATATACAAGAGGTCATTGTTGGTTTAGTATATCAAATAAAGAAACAATTGTTTTTGTACTGTTTTGTTTACATAGGTTATTAGGGTGTTCTAAAGACTACATACAGACTACTATATACAATAAAATAAATGTATATATTATACTGTTTATGTACACACAACAAATTGAGTAAATGGCAAACAAACTGTAAGTAACTTCATTGCATAAGAGTTTAACCCTTTCTGATACTTTGATTCTGTTTCTTTAAAAGACAGCTTCAACTACATTACTAAGCCCTGAAACTCAAGGTAAAGGGTTTTATTAATATGGTAAAAGTATGATTTTCCCACATTTCCAAACTAATGTAAAATGTGAAATTGATAGTAAATGTGATAAGATTGAAGAGATGTTAGTATTAATGTGACAATATTGATGAGATTGTTAATGTGACGATATCAATGAGATTGATAATGTGACGATATCAATGAGATTGTTAATATGATGAGATCAATAAGATTGTTAATGTGACAATATTGATGAGATTGTTTACATCAAATTACTACAGAGAATCAACCAACAATAAAACAAAACAATATACAGGAATACATGTATTCCCCTCTCTCGTGAAAACCTGCTTCCAGTAGACACCCTTACTCTACACATACTCTATTTATTTCTTTACAAATTACCCTCTTTGGAGAGAACACCTACCAATACTATACTGACAGTTATTCTCAGCAAAAAGTGTTCAATAAACACAGGTTTTATATATTGTAATTAAAACTTATAATACCCAATATACAATGAATAATATTTACTCTTAAAATCCACTGACAAAAGTATCACGTAAGTGCGCTTCAGTAATAAACCAGACTCTATCATAGTTCTAGCATTTAGGATTGCTAATATTGAAGGCAAGAAGTTCATAAAAATATATATATATACAAGGGCCGATCAAGAAGTTTCAAGCAAACTAACTATCCTGTCTCATGTTAAAGTTTGAGCTTCCAACTCCTCTTATCATAAAATTGAAAGCACACAGTAAGAAACTTTTTGATCGGCCCTTGTATATATCTATAATATGTAACCTTTAAACATTGCTTTGCTTCATACTTGGCACTTGTTACCTGAAACCTACGATTGAAGTAACTATTAGGACAATATACTTTAAGTAAAAAAGGATGTGTTACAGCATCTGGTATACTGGGGTAAAGTCAAAAATGGTTTAATATTTAATATCCTTTGCATTCGTTTGACTTCACTTCTTAAAAGAGAAGTTTAACTGCACGCAGGGTAAATATTTAAAAGTTAATCTCAAAAAGTGATTGATCTTATCACTGATGAGAGTAATTCAACTGTCTGATACTTTTTCAAACAATTTGGGTCAAATTCATATACATTAATATAAATTATAAAAAGCTTCAAAGTTTCATTCGTGAGAAAGAAATGTTAACAATAACATTCACATTGATTTTTGAGGTCGTTCAAAGTTCATTTTTACTTCTCTTACCCTTTGCATTAGTTCCACATAAAAGAGAGCTTCATCTTCTTCACTGTAGTTAATGACTAGACTGTAAATGCAGGGTATACTTCTCTTAATAATTAAAATGAAGTCAAAGTGCAGGAAAAATACATGCTGCAATATTTCTCAAGAATGCACATTGCATGAAAACAATTGATGGGACATTAAAGGTGAAAAACAATATTTAAAGAAATAATCAGAAAATAAACAAGACAATTGCATCATGAGAAATCATGGCCTTCTATTAGCTTCACAATAATATGAATTTACGGGTGGCCTTAGAAGCCTACTGCTTCCTTGGTGCCTTTCCACCAGTAGATTTACTTGCTGTCTGCTTTGTACTAGCATATTTCTGGTTGAAGACAGAAAGATGTGATGAGTATCAGAATGGGACAATTGAGTCTTATTTTGTATGTATCAAAGGGTTCTCCATTGGATTTTTTCTCAAGTAATAAAATTATCATTTTCACAATTCAGACCAAAATTGATCAAAATATGCCTATTTGTCAAAATATTTCTCATTGTCAAGTGGGTGCAAATGGACCTTCAGGTGGGTGCAAGCCTATTTACAAAATCTCAGGTAGGTGTTGCGCCCACTTGCTTTAATGTTGGGGAGATCACTGTGTCATAACAGGGAATTTAATGAAACCCAATATTTTAACATATAATATCATCCACAAGATTAAAATCATGGATGTTTTGAAAAAATCTATTCCTCTCAACATTTTGATGTTGTAGAATTGATCATTTTAAAATTATGTCAAATTTTTCAAGATATTTAAAGAGAGAATCAGAGATAGCGAGCAGGCTAAACACAAAATTGTTTCAATTTTAGAATATTTTTGGCTCATGTCATTCCTTGTCATGTCTATTTTATAAAAATCACAAAAGTGCATTCTTTATTCAAGGAAAAACACAAGATTTTTACAATAATGTATTATTTTTCTATAAGAATGGTTACCATTCTTATTATTTGGGAGAATTTAAACATTTTTCACCCATTTTTGCACTTTGAATCATTAATAACTTCTCCAATTTATAACATATTATGAATCTTTTGGGAGATATTGTATTTGATATTGTAAGGAATAGATTGGTAGGTCAATTATGCACTTTGCTTGTAATTTTGTCACCCCCTATAGAGCTGATTCTGCCTTTAAGATGGAACAAACAACCCATTGTAAATTTAGAATTTTTACTTTTAAAAAACATCAATATTCTAAAGCAGTTAAATGTACATAAAGTTGTAGATTAAGGCTCAAGTACTTATTGTGACAGGACTAGAACATAATTGCCCTTAAAGGGTTACCTGAGCATATTTTAATGAGGTTCCCCAGAGGAGGACTTTGAACATTTACAGAGAAAAATCTTAATTCATCACATAAAATTAATTTCTGAATAATATGATGTTGCAGGGAATAATTGAGAGCAGGTGAAATGTATGGTATTGCTCTCGTTTATTGTTTTTTTATGATCATATTGAAATACTGTTTACTGAACAAAAAAGAATATTGAATGAAATTCATTTGAAAAAGAAAATTAAGCAAATCAATATTTCCACATGTAGTTTAATTATTAAAACATTGATTTAACAAATTCCAATATGTCCAGTTTGTTTAAAATAGATGAAGACTTTTAACAACGTTTGCTTGTTTGTTTGTTTGGTTAAATTTTAATGAAGCATTGGTTTTAGAAAAGGAATATCAACCTTGATTATGGTCCTCTGGCCATAGGCTTTGAACATAAAAAATCCTTGGTAAAACCAGAACAATGACGTCTGAACAATAAATCTTGTTACTGAACCGATTTCATCATCATCATTAATATGTTTATTTGCAAAAGAAGATCTCCAAATCTGGTCGCCATGCCACCACAATTTTATTTATGGGCTCCTTGGACCATTCTCCATAGGTCAATGGCTCTGTCATCTGATACCATGGGCTTTCAACTAGAATTGAAAGCCCATGCTGATACTTATCATTTTTTAAAGAGTTATTCCTTTTATCAATGACCATGTGAATTTCTACATATTAACCCTAGACCCCAATCCAAGTCATGCACCTTATAGCAAAACTAGAATCATCTTGTAGTCATTTGGCAGTATGGCAGTGTGAAGAGAGTTAACATACTACATGAGAGGAAAAGGGTTAAGAGCCATGCTGCTGCTGCTGTTGCTACATGTAGGTTAGGATGCCAGTTTCTCCTACATGTTGCTGATGCAACCGCATCAGGTCTGTCTCGATCAATAATATCAATACATAAAGTAAACTAATGTTGCTGATGCAATACCACTAGTTATAATAAGTACCATCAGTTGTTACAGAGGAAACTTTCCTCATCTTTTTATCTTCATTGCACAAATATCGAATTTCACACCTACTGGCCTGGGTATTAATAAAGGCAACATTGACTGTCCGTTGGATTTCAACTGATAATGCTAAACTAAAACGTTTTAAATAAAACTAAATGTATAATATACTCCATCTCTGTCTATCAAGGTAGAACAAACTCTACCAGAAAAAAGACTATATTGATAAAGGACAAGCTCATATCAAGTCAGTTAATCTGAACATACATGTATGGTACCTTCCATACATATATCTCAGTTAAACATAGTTTTTAATCAAATAGCTACGTGTAATATATTTAATCACCCTTTAAATACATAAAATAATTAATATGATCAATTTTACTCGGAATAATCAAAATCAATTCACAAATATGACCACGTGTATCATAATATTTCCATATAACTTTGGTAAGATATTCAGTAGCACTGCTCCTTTCTGAGATTTGATGATAAGTTTGCAGTGCACTTGGAAAATGGATTTGCAACCACTCAAAAATGAGAAAATCAGGAAAATGGTATCTATTGACTACCTTTGGTCCATTCACTTATAAATCGTAGAATACTCCTAACAATTCTGATAGAGCACCTGTAAAGTGAAGATGAAACCATGCCCTCTTTTAGAAATACAAAAGGGCAGCCATAAATATTAATAGAAAAATTTAATGGGGCAGTATGTAAATTTTAATTCATGACTTTGTGATTTATTTTGTATGAGAGTATTCAAGGGATACTGAAGGTGCCTTTGGCCTGTTATAGGTTTTTATAGTGATTTTGAATATATTTCATGTGACAAAAAATGGAAACTATCAAATAACAATATCTCCCATTGGCAAATACAATGTATAGAGAATTCTTTGTAATTTCTTCTATGAGAAAATATTTTGTAAAATATCAATAAAATATTTGATAAAGTATATAAAACTGGGAGTACAATATGTATAATAATATAAAAAAAGTTGTTTTTAACTTTTTTTGAACTTTTACGCTGTCTGCGTTTTGAAGATCATACGTCCTTTTTAAGTTCTTAAGACTAAGGTTACCTATAATCACTTGTTCTATATTTTTAGGGCATGTGAGTAGTGTCAATAGAAAGTTTCACTTTGAAATAGGTACAAGCCGAGGTGAGTACCCCTTCCCCCCACCCCTAATACAAACCTCGCCACAATGTAATGTGTATGGTGAAGTAGATAGGAGGGGGGTATGGGGTACAGTCTTGAAGTAAGACTATCTGAAAGGATGCAATCTCTTGTGGCTGTGCATGAGACTGTGTGGCTAAATTATTTGATGGATTTTCTCTCAAATTGACAAGTATTCCCACACTCACTCTTTTCAATAACATGCTCATCATTGCTTGGGAACATATTTCATTTATTTTAGTGGGCTTTATGAACAATTAGAACAATTAATTGACCTTTCCACCTGTCAAATGAAAGAGATGATGAATCTAAAGATAAAATAAGCAAAACTTAGCTTTTGAACATGTATATCAATAGCTGACAATAAAACAATATCACGTATCACATATGACATTAAGATGATTGAGCAGTTTAAAGTAAAGTCCTTAATTTAATGAAAACTTTTTTATCACTAAAAGGCTAAAGGCTGAGGTATTTAGTTGAAAACTATAACCGTAAAGAAAAAAGTCATAGTACTCCAACATTAACTATTGTCCAACTCTACAACTATAGAATGTGGGTTGCGGATGGTGTGACTTTTAAGATGAAAAATAATTATTAAAATTGTGAAGATTTTTGCACACTTTCATTCAAGCTTTCAACTGATGAATGCACATCTTGGATAAAATGAACTCATACTTATTTAAGTATAAAATTTGTTAAGAAATAATAATATATAACATTTGGTCAAACAATGCCATAAGGATATTTTACCAAACCAGTATTGACAGTTTGCCTATCTGCTTGAATTGTTTTGGCTTACTCTACTGATTGAGCCGTTATCAAACTAAAAATAAAATTTCTAATAACCATTACAGACATTTCATATATTCATTTAAATACATATTATACTTATTGTTTAATGTTTCAGTGAAGAAATTTTTTTCTAAACTTACATAAGTGTCTCTAGGCATTACCCCCATAAATGTGGGGTTATTTGGAGGTTTTTTGATATTTAGGACATTTGTTTCAAAAAACCTCAAAATAACCCCACATTTATGGGGGTACTAGGCATCAATGGAGCCAGCCCTAACACAAATACTTGCACCTGTATCAAGATACAAAGTCATGTTGTTAACCTAGACATGGTTTTCTCTAATTATAGCTTACACTTCAGTTATCTTATTCTTACATGAGGTAAAATATAGCCAGAACACAGACACGCTGTATATATATTCCAAAGAGCACACCAGTATGACTATCACTAATATTGATAATCATATTACCACACTGTTCTCCACAGGATATTGGTGGGTGCAAAATTCTCATTTTCACAATTCAGAGCAAAATTGGTCAAAATATGCTCATTTCTCATGATTTTTTCTCATTTTCAAGTGGGTGCAAACAGGATGGATTTTCAGATTTGGTGCTGCGCCCACTTGCTTTAATGCTGGGGAGTTCATTGCTACCATACATATTTCTGTAAGCCTTTATATGTTATATTTCTATATCTGTAAAACGAGTGATTGACAAAATGACTTACTGATTTGGTTCAGGAAAACTTTTTGGGTGAAGATTTTTTTCAATCTGGGGACTACGTTGATCTATTAATATAACAATAGTTATTGGAATCAATAAAAAAAGTACATTATCTGGGCATGTAAAAATCAGCTGTTTTCTGAAATCTAGGCATACTTTTTTGAGAAAGATGATGTTAAACATACATTGTATATAACCATGCTTAGCCTTAGTACAACAATTTTTCAGTTGATTTTCCCTTATATGTATTATCACATTACTTTTAAATACTGACACCTTACTGACCTTAGTCTTAAAGTCAATTAAATGACATTGGACAAAGTCATATGTAGTATTTACATGAATTTTATAAAGTAATTAAAATTCATCTTGTACTCCCTGCATTGTTTTAACTTAACTTATTAAAAGAGCTTCATCTTCATCTTGGTTTAGAACTAAAACTGACTGAGGGTCTTCATATTACATTTACAATTCAGGCCCGTAGCCAGGGGGAGGGGGGGGGGGTTGAGGGGTTTGAGCAAACCCCCTGGCCAAAAATTCTTTCAAAACCATGCAGTTTTTCATCATTCTGAACACTTTTTAAGTGATTAAGGTCATTTTTGAACCAAAATTGTCAAAAGTGAACCCCCTTGGAATTTTTCAAAAAGTAACCCCCTTTGGCAAATCCTGGCTACGGGCCTGCAATTAATGATAAAGAAGAAGGGAGACTCTAAAAAAGATAAGATCCAAAAATCCCACAAGGGTCCTTTCTTGACAACCTGTGTATACTTTGAAGGTTTATGCTTGTCTTTTCAAAGTGGAGGAACACTTGGAAATATATCTCCATTCAAATTCACAGGTCAAAGTGACATTTGAAGATTGGGTGAATAAAAGTATCAGTATAAAAAACTTTGTATGGATTCAGTGTGCATTTTATTTGAGATGTACATGTATTTTTCAAGGTTTGATTGTGTTTAGGGAAATCATAACAATCCATTATCCTCTTCAATTGAAAACAGAATTAATTATTCAAGTTGATGTATTCTTTATAACACCCCCCAATTCTAAAAATCAACTTGTAACCCCCCCCCCCCCCATTCTGGTTTACACAATGCTATATTCATATGTTAGTGGCACAGTTGATTAAATTTTCTTGGACAATGTTCATTGGTATTGCAACTTTGTTGAAAAATCACAAAACATTGCAACATTGTTTACAAATTATGATTGACACATTGTGTACAAACACTGAGACATTGTTCCAGTTGAATTATTTCCAAAATTGCTGCCAAAAAAGCATGGACCTATAAAAGTGTGATCAAGAGATCAATGGCAGAATATTATTGAAAAGCAAGCTTACCAAATAATACGTTTTCTCAACCATTTCGGGTCACAGACAGTTCACTTTAGAAGCCACGTCCACGTGTCGAGTAATATTTCTGACGTTTGAGTGGATTCTCCACAAGAAAATGCGCTTCAGGCTCTATTAGTTAGCAGCCGATATTCCTTTGAGAGGTACTGATGAGGAAAATTTTAGCAAAGTGCAATTTGCTTTCACTTGACTTTTAGTATTTCTGTGTGATGTCCATATGCCGCAAATAGTAGTATATATTTGCAAGTGAATGAATGAGTGGTATTATGTTGATTCAAACTTGGCACTCTGTGAAGGAGATCAGGTCTCTTCCAATTGATAAACTAATACTGTACGCCTATTATATTCACACGTTTTTCACAATATTTAGAAAGTGTTTATTTTCATGTTCTCAAATGTTTACGAAACGATGTGTACTGACTTGAAGAAATATCTACATCCCTTCTATAAATAATTTAACTTATTTAATCAATATACAATTACCAATCTGTGCTTATTGTAAATCCGGAACACAATAATTATTGATTTACAGTACTATGTCTACATCTTCTAACGAGACTCAACTAACTCTATTTTTAGAATTTGATTATTTGATTGATTTGACTAAATATGGAACAAGACATTATTTCAACTTGTATGTGTGATTTGAATGGAAGAGAGGTATATGTCCAGCTATAAAAAGACTTTATTAGATGGGATATATGTGATACATCCAAAGAATCAGGAGAAATTGACCCCACTTGTGTGTAAGTGCAAAAAACTTTCCTAAGAACTTTGAACATGAAAAATGATTACATTTGGAACAAAATAAATGACAGGTGGATTTTCTATCACCATTTCCAGACCATGGTGATTTGAGACTTCATACTTTCCAGGAATGTCTAGAGACACACAGAGCTGTCAAGTGTCCCGCGAATGGCGGGATTATCCCGCGAATTCGATCAAAATTAGGCTAATTCGCGTGTCCCGCAATGTCCCGCGAAGTCCCGCAAATGTGGCTTTCGACCTCCGCGAATTTCCGAAATTGTTGCAATCCCCTATATGGTGATTATCTTATCTTATATAAGAAGCTAAGTTTTTGCACTTTTGAGGAGTAAAGTTTACTTAATTTTAAGTACCTAGCATGCTGTTGTTTGGTATCAAAATAAAGAGGAAGGGTTCAACTTTCATTTTAATTACGACAATAGGGATGTAGGTCACAAATAGTTCCAACGTTGGCCTTTTTACTATCCGTGTGGTCTTCATCTTAGAACTGTGCAAATGTTAGCAAACGCGAGTTACAATAAATGGACGCTGATATCTAGAAAGGGTTTGTAGAAAAAACCGGGTACCGGGTAGTAAATCCTCCATGCTGGGTTCAAACTTGGTACCCGGTACCCGGTCAAAAACGGGTACCCAAAAATAAAAAATACGAATATACGAGTATAACATAATTAGATTATCAGAAAACGTGTAAGATTTGTTTTGAATTTACAAAAATGTATGTAACATCCTTCAAAATTGAGCTAGAAGCTTCAAATAAAAAGCATATTTTAAGGCTCTTTTCTTCCTCTATCGTCATGACCATATTTTCATTGGTTATGTTCACGTACCAACATACGAACTCATTGAAAATAGAGTAAAATTGATTTGTCTTGTTATTCAAATCGTCTTACAATGTCATTGGCGTAGCCAGGAGAGGGTGTGATGGTGCGATCGCACCCGGTTTTTCGACCGGGTACCAAGTTTGTCTACGTAAATTTTATTTATATTATTAATTGCATTACATTTACATGTACATATTTATATTTACATTTACATGTACATAAATAAGAATGAAGGAATAAAAAAAAAAAAAAAAAGTTTGAACCCAGCATGGAGGATTTACTACCCGGTACCCGGTTTTTTCTACAAACCCTATCTAGAAAAGTAACCTCATTCCCTATAATTTGATGTAGATTAATCGAACCCCTATATCATGGGCTTTCAATTGAAAGCCCATGCCTACAGTATGGTAGTAGTTGGTCACGACGCCAGAAGCAGAGAAGTGCAAAGTATTGTTCCAAATTTTTGAATTTCGTGTTAGATTATGATACTCACACCTCAAGCATGGTTTTTGTTTTTGATAAATTACAATAAAGTTTAATAATATTTCTATGCGTATTTTGTGAAATTATGTTGACGTTTATTTAAGTTACAATGTAACGGTGCATTATATTTGATTAATCAGTATCTGAAAGTTTGATTCAAGTACTTATACACGCTTTTACATTAGTCCAAATCACGCAAATCCCTTGAATGTCCCGGGACATCCTGCAAATTTAGGTGGATGTCCCGCGAAATCCCGCAAATTTAGGGCACTTTTTCTAGAAAATCTGTCCCTCTATGAAGTTTTTGCTGGTAAACCTGTTAACTGTCCCGCAATTAGGGTGTTTGTCCCTCGAATGGTCCCGCGAAATCACGCGAATTTGATAAATAAAATTGGCCTATAAGCGCAATCACGCAAATCCCTTAAATGTCCCGCGAATTTAGTAGATGTCCCGCAAAATCCCGCGAATTTTGGGCACTGGGTCTAAAAAATCTGTCCCGCGAGAAAATCTTTGGGGGTTGACAGTACTGGACACATCAGTGGCGGATCCAGGAACCAATAGGGGGGGGCCCAAATTTGAGGTCCGAGAAAAAACCTCCGCGCTTGCCTGGAAAAAAATTTGCCTGGGCCCAAATTTTTGAAAATTTGAGGCCCATTTTCTTCAAAATTTGGCCTAAATTAAAAAAAATAAGGCCTTAGAAGGCCCAATAAGACCAAAAGGCCCACTTTTTGGGGCCTTAAGGCCTTTTTTGGCCTAAAATTTTTTGGGCCCAACTTTTTTTTTCTGGGCCAACCTTAGGGGCCAACCTCCACCATAGCACATCCCTTAAGTTTTGTATATTTTACATTTTGTATACCCTCATCCACTGATGTATGACCTCTTGAAAATTCTCTTATTTTTAACATGGGAAATCCTCACTTCAGCAAATCCATGTGGCATTATCTTTGTTCCAAACTGTATATGGTATTTACCACATTATACTGTACTTACCAGTATGTGATAGATGCTCTGATGCCCTAGGTTACACAGCCAATCTCTCTAACAGTACAGTATCAGAAGCATGCATAGCCAGCAAATTTCAACACGGGTGCAATTTTTTGGGTTTGGATTACCCGGTATGGATTGCTGGGGGTACAGCTGTTTACCCCCAGAAACTTTTTAAATGTTACAATAAACATGTATAAAGTGCATTCATAGAATTTTAAACTATGATTTGTTAAAGTTTTTTTTAAATTGCTTTTTTCTTTAATTGTATGAGGTGGGGGTGCAATCGGACCTCCTGGCTACACCCATGCGTATGGTAATGTTTTGGCCATAGTACTGTATGGTTCCTCAAAATGTGGTACCATACAGTACTGCACTGGCGAATCTGGGGATGGGCCTTTTTGGTCATAAATGGGCCTTCTAAGGCCTTATTTTTTTAATTTTGGGCAAAAATTTGAAGAAAATGGGCCTCAAAATTTCAAAAAATATTAAGACTATAGCCCACATATGTTAAAATTTGGGATTGAAAATTATTTGTTTACATAGGAAGCGCCATTCAAAATGGCCGACTGGGTAAATTAATTTGCATATTTGTTACTTCCCCTAGCTTTATTTCCATTTGACAATATGCTGTGTTACTTTTTAAAGCATTTAATTGTACCTTACTACTTAATTGAATTGTTATAATGCTTATTTTTGGGAAGTGAAGTTTCCTAAAATTGATAATAGTTTGCAGGAAATTTCCTGTTTTTTCCCACAGGAGGGACATAATGATCAATAGACTGAATTCTCAGGATATTCAGTCTGTTGGATATAGACTAAGTTTGCCCCCCCCCCTTGTTGGTTCCCAGATCCGCCCCTGGTACTGTATGGAAGACTAAAACAGTTCCATACAGTTCCTTAAACACTGCGGCATTTCATCTGTATGTTACCCCAGGATGGTACCATAGGGCATGATCTTTAGTTGAAAGTCAATACATAGGGCACCATACTTTTAGTGTACTGTGCATTGTCCAAATTAGGGGGCTTCAGCCATATTAATTTTTTGAATGTTCCATGTCAGAGAAGCATCAAAATATAAGAGGCTCCACATTTTATAAGCCAAACCATCGGCAATCCAAAATATTTGATGATCACCAGATTAAACTTTTGCTGCTTAAGTGGCTGGAAATTCAAATATTTGAAAATTAAAATACCAATAACTTTTTTCAAAAGTCAACTTTTTTCAGAGTATTTCAAATAATACTATGCATGTCATGATAGATTATATTTAAAAAGTTAGACAATATTTTAAAACTTTGGCCAGGGCCTTTAAAAAACACTGTTAAAGTGGCAGCAAAGAATATATGGAAAGTTATTTTATTAATAATTTTTATTTCAGCCATGAAGGAGTCTTGTTGGAATATGTTATAGCTGTAGAAAAGACTACTACAAGTAATATAGGAGACCAGGCAGAAAGTTTACGTCATAAATTAATACTGAATTACGCTGATAGAGGCAATGATCCACACCTGTATCATCTTCAACACTCATTAAAGGTGCTTACTTCTGCATCTGAAGGACAAATCAATCAGCTGTATACATATTTAAATCAGTACTTAATAAAAGGTAGGCTTTAAGCATATATTCCAAGCTTAAAATTGTTAGTGTTTTCACAATATGCACTTGTGATAATAAAAGATACAATACAATACAAAAAAAATAATGAAATCTCATAATTTAATTTTTTTATTATTAAGGTTATTAAAGGACCATTTCAAAGTTAATGTTAGAATGGAATTACATGAACAATGAAACCTGTATATCCAAACACCCCTTTTATGTGAACACCTCTCAAATTGAACACCTTTTCTTGGTGCAAAATTTGTTATCTCCCATTAACTCACAAGTTTATAAAACCTTGAAATGTGAACAATGAAACCTGTATATCCAAGCACTCCTGTTATGTGAACACTTCTCAATTTGAACACTTTTTCTTGGTTTATAAAATCTTGAAATGTGAACACCTACTAATATGAACACTTTTGCCAGTCCCAGGAGCCTTCAGATTAAACAAAAGGTTTTGGTTTGTATACTTATTGTTAGGGAAGGGGGTCTTTGATGTATAAAAGGAGGTTTTTGATCAAGGCCAAAAAGGATAAAATCGTATATTTTAATTCAATGTAATTTGTAATTGGAGTACTATTCAGTGTTTCATTTTCAGAAAAGTCAAAGTTTGTTTCAGATGAAAACCGCCCACATAATCTACTGGTTCTCATCAATCCCAAAGGTGGCCAATGTTTGGGTGAAGAGAAGTATAAAACTCTAGTAGAACCAATATTTAACATGGCTCACATATCAACTGATGTTAGGGGTAAGTGGTTTCTCTTTTTAAATTATTACCACTTTAAAATTTTACTTTAATCACCTATTGCCACTTTAACATTCTGATACTCATAGCATCTTTCTGTCTCACCTGAAACATCATCTCAGGGCTGAGAAGAAATGAGATGTCATGGTTTATCATGATGCCACGTTTACTTTTGTTACCTATTCTTTAAAGGTCTTCCCAAGGGTTTGTGGGTTGAGATAATTTATTGCATGTTTTTCTAAATGTTGTCATTCACAGTGTATGGTTGCTGGAATGCTTGATTAATCCTTAACTGTGTTCGGCAGTCAGTGTTTGGTGTATGGTTACTGGAATGCTTGGTTAATCCTTAACTGTGTTCGGCAGTCGGTGTTTGGTATCTGTAACAAATGGCAGGTGGTGACATTTTGCATATTAATGCCTTCTTAACGACTTGAATTCATATTGATCGGTACTTATTATTATTATGAGCTTTATTATACTTGTATCCCACATTTGGGCAAAGTGTACAGCTTAAACAGAAAAAATGAACTAATTATCTATATATTATATTAACTAATCAAAGGGTGCTTGATCAGGTGGATTGTGCTTTGAATCATGTTGTGTCTGTTTCTAGTCTTAGAATATGGGGGACACGCTGGTGAGATTCTGCAGTCATATGACCTCTCAAGTATAGATGGGTGAGACCGTTTTTTGGTAAACCTGTAGTTGTACAGACGCACAGCCAACTTTTGTCAAGTTTTTCTTTCTTTATCATTCGTCTTGAATGAAATATCATCTTGAATATCTTGAAGAAATATAGAATGACCATACATGTACTATTATATGCTCTGATTGCATGGCCAGAATGTGATATGCACTTGCACTGTAGCATGGTTTTTAAATTGCTTAAAACCTTTTTTTAGTCACTAATCCATTTTTTATATTGATACTATGGGTTGGCATAAGAACAGGCCCAGCAAAAATTGATTAACTTATTTAATATCTGTCCAATTATCATTTTTCCAAAGAAAAAATAAGAAACTCAAATTTGTACCATCATTCATAAGTTTTTGGTGTAATTCTGTTAATTGCTTATATGTTGCAGCAGTAGAATCACAATATTATTGTAGTATATTGGTGATATATATGTTTTGATATTAGTACTGCCATCAACCCCAAGCCCCAATCATTTCAGTTATGCATTTTGTCAGATAATTCATGTTAACAGGCAAATATTATTGTAGGTTAGTGACAGTTAGTGGCGATGGGACATTTTTTGAGATTGTCAACGCTATCCAAAAACGGGCAATGCTGGAAGCAAATCTGGATGAAAATGACCCAGAATGCCGTGTTCCACCATCAAATCTACGCCTAGGAGCAATCGGTGCAGGTGAGGCGATTTAATAGTCCTATGTCCAGTCTCTTGACTCCATTCCTTCATATCCATAATGCCTTATTAATCATTAAATATCAACAAAATATATTTTTGATTTAATTATCAGGATTCATCTAATATTCATTTCTCCAAGAACCAGAGAAGGGGTAGCCTCATCCCTGATCACAGGGTTCCAGAATATCCTCTTTCTCCCAAAAATTCTTGACACTAACTAAGGAGGCTGCGGTAACCTGTGCTTCATGCAAAACAAATCCTTTACATTTTTGTCAAACATATTCATTTATTTTGTACAAACTGTTTGAAAAGAACATTCTGATACTTGTAGCACCTTTAGCACTTAATGCATTGCAGATACTGTCTTAAAGGACAGAGATGGAGAAAGGATTCCCTCCCATGATTTGAAAATAATATTTTGCTACTTTCTGATTTGATAAACAATTTTTTTTTTTTAGGAACAGGGAATGGGGTTGCTGTGATAAGTACAGGAGTACTCAATACTGACAATGGAGTCACATCAAATGCAATATACATATCATTAGGTACTGTATGTTAATACCAAGGTACTGTAAATCAGTACACATATTATTGTTAGGTAACTGAAGTCAGTAATGCACAGTAAATAGAAACTATTAAACACATATTGATGGAAATAATTTACTAACTCTTCATATTCTTGTAATTTCTAAAGGATCATGACATATTGTTAATTTGTTACAGTTTTCAACTTTTTATTGTGACCAGAGTTAGACAATACAGGCAATCAGGCTGTGTAACAATTGTTACACTTTTGTAACAATATACAGTAACTGAGAAACATATTTTCTAATTGACTTTGAGCAATATCTGCAATATTGAGGAACTGTTTCATTTTTGACAAGTTCAGATTTTGGGCAATATTGGTCACCATGGCAACACATTAAGATTTTACACTATGAAGATAAAGCTTCACTCAGTAATTCTTTGTACAACCAGGTATTGATATTTTAACATCATTTAAATATGCTATCATCATTGTAGGCGTTAGTTCTTTATCAATGGATACAAATCACATCTTCTGCAACAAAAAACTTGTGTGCCGTCAACTTCTCATGTCTGGGTATGGGTTCTATGGGGATGTCTTCTACGACAGTGAGCAGGCTCGCTGGGCTGGAACCAAGCGATATATATATGCTGGTATGATTGGGGTTATTTAAACTTCTTGTACATCACAATTTTTTAACAGTACAGAAAAAAAGAGTTTTGATGTAGTATTTACAGAGTAGGCCAAAAGAACTTTCATATTTGTGTGTGAAAAGGGAGATAAAAATGAGTCAATTAATCTATTGTGGATCAGAAATATTAGCAAAGTATCCGAAAGATCATTAAAAAGCAGGTTTTATCATTTTGGGCTAAATCTAGTATCACTATTAAATGAAGGAAGTAAAGCCCATTGACCTTCAAACCCTTGTCACAGACTGCTTTCCAATGATAGAAAAAGTCTGGCAAATTGGAATACTTAAAGTGAGCGCCAAAGTTTAAAACTGCGCAGGCGCACCGCTCTCGCTAAACTATATAAAGAGATTACCGGGTACATGATTCAGAGGTAAGCCAGGAAGGCGAGCGATCTTCGTCTCGTGATGATTTCCCATATAATCGTAACCAGGGAAGTTTCACCATTGAAATTGAAAATTACTATTAGATATACTTTGTAGATGTTATTTATGAAGCTGTTTAGTGTTTGCATCAATCAAATGGCTCATTTTGAACATATAAAAAGTATTTGTGTTTTGTTTCCCAGGGAATTGTATTGTATGTAGTACACACATAAATAGTGTACAGCATACAGTACTTGAATAGCCTGGTTTACATAATATTGAAGGGCATGCTGATTACATGCACACGAGTACATGAATGAAGGCCTAATATTGATATACGTAGCTTGCATACCCAAATAAAAAATAAACTCTTCTAATCCCCTAATGTAAACACGGCGGTATACGTAGCCCGATTTATCGGGGACTTTAAGCAGATAGCTAATGAATTGCAATTTTAGGTACAGCAAATTAGCATGTATTTTGATTTTCAGTTCTGAAGAACTTAATAAGACATCGTACACACGAAACAGAGATTTCATACCTACCGCATGATTCTCCAGAGGGCGGGGGTAGGTCTCCTGTATAGTCTTGCTTCAAGACTGTTCACTCCCCCCCCCCATTTACATGTACTTCACCTTGTGTTGTGTTGGGAAGGTGACAGTCTTGAGGCAAGACTATCTCATGTACAGATAACATTGCTATTAATCTATTTTATCTATATTACTAATTGAGGAATGAAATAAACTAGATGTCATAGAATCAAGTACTTTGAAGAGAGAATATAGCCTAATCATTATAAATTAACTTTCAAGCCTGTATGTAGCACTAGTTCAGCTTGGAGATGTAAAACACTTTTCTTAAAGCGTCGATTACTTTAAATAATGATCTTCTACATTAGTTTCACAGAAAAGGATTTTACTGTGTGTTATATATTTAAAAAATATTGTACTAATTCTATTTCAGATTGGGTTACAATTCAAGGAAGGTACAAGGGAATTCTGCAGTTCAACTTTATTTTTAATCCTGGTAATGGGCGAGAAGAGTTTGAATCATCACTACAGAATGGCTTCATGTATATCTACTGTCTAAAGGAATGTTCTAGATGGCAGCACTTACTCCGCTGGAAGAGATGGATTGACTCTATTAGATTTAAGCAAGGATATGTAAGTTTTCCTTAATATCAGTTTTTTCAATATCTTTCTTCAAACGAAATATTGATCTTGTGTCATCAAGCTTTTAAATGCTTATCTGTTCAACTTGAAATGTTTACAGATACAAAAGCAGATCAGTACCAAGATCTGATTCTGGGCTTGAGTGGTCAATGTTCATTTTTTTCAAAGTTTCAGATATTGTCATTTATTTTATTCAAAATTATGGATTGTTGGTACAGCTATATAATGCAGTTGTTGTCCAAGTAGCATCTACAGGCATCTACAATGTTACATTGCAGACTTTGCATGAGCTCTATGAAGACCTATACATTGCCAAAGCTTTCGGGATAAAAGCAATGGTACTTTGGCAGGAGGGCATTATAACTTAATAGCATTCGTAAAATTGACACGTAAGATTGTATTGTACATTGCAGACTTTGCATGAGCCCTATGAAGACCTATACATTGCCAAAGCTTTCAGAATAAAAGCAATAGGACCAGATGCTTCCCTACCAATCAACAGCAGAGCCAGCTTTGATGGGGAATTTCACCAACTGGAGAAATCTGAATTCGAAGTTCGGTATGTCGGTTATTCAAGGCAACATACGAGCATGTATTGTACAGACTGGAGTGTTTTGAATATTTAATACTGATGCTGGCGAGTTTTGATTTCCTGAATTTTGAGAAAACACGATTTCGCGTCTATTAAATTTCGCGAATTTCACTAAGTACACCTACTGAATTTGTTCAAACCAGGAATGATAAAGGATGGTATACTGGATGGGGGATGATATCTTGGATATCAACTTTTGAAATATCATTTTTATCGAAGAGCTTTATACTTGTAAATATAAGTAATAATATAGTATATATAAAACTAGGTAAAGAATAATTTAGAATTGAATTTTAATGACATTGATCATTTTTCCCTCATGATAGCCCAATATGACTTTCCTCAATAATATATTGAACATTTCAAATCTCCGAAAAAGTCATTCAGCTGCAGTTACTGTGAATCCTATTTTTTCTTTGTTTCTTCAGGGTCCAAAGGAGAAGTGTGAAACTGTTTGGAGTTTTACACAAAGACCCTCCAAAAGATGGCACTCCTGTATGATTGACAGGTGTATGGGAAACATATGCATCAGTACAAATATGGAAGATATGAGTGTGCTGATACAAACACTGTAGATACATTTAATTTGGTTTCTGTTTTAATTTGACAGATTGGCGTATTGAAAATTTCAGATCCCATTTTAGAAAATCCCCTAAGGAATTTGCAATTTGCAATTATTTCACTTGTGTAAGTATTCCTATTTGGATGTCAGTGCCATATCAAGACTAACTGCAAGTAGAACAGATGAATCTGAAATGCCTATATCCAGGTCAATGATAAAACTTGAGCTCACTCCCGTCTCCGCCAAATTAAATAGCCGCCAATTTTTGAAATTGAGCAAATCCGCCAAATTAAGTAGTGTCAAATTAAGTGTGTCTACAGTATTGGAGACCTATTAGACACAAGTGTGGACAATCATGGAAATTGGATGCATGTATGAGGTTGATACAACTATTGGAGACTTGTGCAAATATTTTGATACAAATATGAGAGACATTAGTGCAGATACACATAAAGCAGACATTAATATGATGAATTGTTCATAGAAATAATATACATAAGTGCCAAAATGAACATATGCTACTTTCAAGCAGGTTGGTAAATGTGGTTCTACAAATATGGACTTCTTACAACCATTCATTGTTTTGAAAAATTATGTATGTATTACATATATATTTAGGGACCAGTGTATGGAAATGATTAAAAATGAACTATTCCCTGAAGATGGAATGAACAAGAAACATGGCTTAATCACTATTTCTATATTTTTCAAAAAAATTTAATTATATTTTATGTAGGCTTAATCACTATTTCTATATTTTTCAAATTATTTTAATTATATTTTATGTAGACTTAGTTTTACTCACTTTCCATACATATACACAATTGTTCATGTATATATTAATATATTTTATATACATGTTGTAACTTGTATATTGAACTATTACATATGGATTAAATAAAATGTTACATTTTTATATGTACATGTACTTTCTTTTGAATATATACCAATGGCAGGTCCGTAGCCAGCTTTCACTCAGGGGGTGCGATTGCCAAATTGTTTTAAGATTTTCAGTCAGGTGCGGGTCTCGTGGGATAAGCAAGGCAAAATATTTTTAAAGATTTGTTTTGAAGTTTACGAAAATTGATGCAACTTCCTTCAAAATTGTGTCAGAAGCTTCAAATAAAAAGCATTTTAAAGCTCTGTTCTTTTATCTAATCACACACATTAAAAAGGGATAAAAGGGCCAATATTTTATGTTTCATTAGTTCATATATTAGTCTGAATTTTGTATTTTAAAATGCCCAGAATGCTTCAATTGCATTCTCATCTTAATAATTTCTTGGAGGAGCTCTTGTTGTACACTCACAAAATACCCACGCGGCGTCAATGGAATTGTTATTCCACAATGCATTGAGTCTTGGGCTTAAATTATTTTCACACAGTTTTAAGTATTCTCTACCATTTCAATTAAAAGGTACGAAATCACTAACATATTTTCTATGAAACTTATTGCAAGGGTCAAGTTGGTAAACCATCAATTTCAATGTGTGAGTCAAGTTATCACCTTAACAACCACATTTGGAGTGACCTTGGATGCATTGGCTGGATATATAATGCACTGCAGTAATATGAAATACTGTGTTCAGACTCAGGAATCGGACACACCTTACCTAGCTATGTGTGAATGAAATTTTAATGATGCAAATTACTTGAAATATCTTGTACTGATTGGCTGGAATTTGCCATATTACCATACCTTGCTTTGAGTGAATGATACATTATTCAACTTTAGCGAAAAGATTCTCTCTTGCGCCATCTATAAAATAATGAATGCAATTTGAAGACTTTAACAACTATCAGAATAGATGGCACTCCTTTTATAGAATCCTGGGATAGCAAAATAAAAATGGTGGGCAATTTGAGGTCAAATATCTAACTGCTTACAAATCACAATATCTAATTATAATTAAGGATCTGCTTATGAATCATGATCAACATATAGAAAATTAGATAGCAGCTTTAGAACTACAGTAAGTAAAACTCGTGTTTGTTTCTTATTATCGATGCTTTTTGGAATTTCAAAACTTGTAAACAACTGAACTTACTTTTTTTTCACTCAGAAGATTTTGATTCAATCAATTTAATTTTTCATGTGATATTGGTGTTCTGATCGGTCAGGCTTCTCAGTTCTATATAGCCTATGTGACTGTACATGACCTTTCTAGAAATTACCTTATCTAGTGTAATGTGCACCTGGAAAATCCTGGAAAATCCTGGAAAATAACTTGTTTTATGATGTTTTTGACAATGAATGTGAGTGTTACTCCACTGGCTGTCATCTGTCAACATTCATGAACTCGGGTGAAAGCGATCATTATAAGACACATAGATGCTGGAAAGATTCTTTTGTAGTCGGACTAATTGACGCTCGATAAATATTCCTCAAGATGATTCTTGTTCCGGGATCATATGCACAAAATGTTACTTCCTGCGAAAGCTATGTGGATTTTGATATAATAGCTTTCCCACGACGCACTTTGGCAGTTGAATAATAGTGACCCTTGAAACACGAATTAAGTTGATCAGCGGCTTACCTTTGGTCTCTAACTGTGTCTTCCATCAGTATCATCAATCCATTCAAGTATTGAAGCGCTGAAATACTTCTTTTTCGATCAAGACTTGTAAATTGTTCATCGAGTGAATGTTTTTTCGACCCATTTCCAATATGGTGGTTTGCTAGGAGTGAGATACGCAATGAACGAAATGAATTTTGAGAATGAGTTAGGTTCGGACAACCTCCGGATATTTACGAAAATGTCCGAGCAGAAAACGCCATTGGAATTTGGCAGAAAAAACATTCACTCGACTAACAATTACAAGTCTTGATCGAAAAGGAAGTACTTCAGCGCTCTAATACTTGCACGGAAGGATGATAATGATGTGCGACATAGTTAGAGAACAAAATTAAACCGCTGAGCGACTTAATTTGTGTTTCAAAGGTCACTATTATTCAGCTGTCCATTTCCCCGTTCGAGAGCCATAGTTTCTAAATCTAACATGACTCTCGAAGTGAGTAAACAAAATCAACTTTGGATGGATGATTTGATAATCTTACATTCAGTCTCTTTATTTCGTCAGAATCCACTAAGTAATTGAAGATAATTCTATTTCTAAGAGAAATAAAATTTTCTTTAGAAGTCTCCTTCCCGGAAGTTGATTTCTGATCGAAATAGTACGAGGCATGTGATAGGACAAATAGTTATCCAATACTCGATTTCTGAGCCTTAATCAGTACTAGTCCTACGATTGGCCGCAAGCTGAAGACCTGATTTAAACCATTTTCTATTGGTCAAGTGTGATCACTAGATCATTATTTAAGAATGTGCATGTGGAAGAAACTGAACCAAAAAATGGAACCTCGCGCAGATTGCCCCTAAAGCAAGATATTTCTGAGCCATCAAAATCTCAGTTTTTTGAGGGGGATGCATTTTTTGAAAACCAGGACGTCCTATCGGTATTCGGTGTTTGCATGGGCTTTCCCTTGAACATTTAGATATGAATGTCTCAGCCATCTTTATAGTTGTACAGACCAACAGGAGCAGAGTGAAAGAAAATGCGTCTCAGACTCTCAGCTACAAAACATGGATTTGAATTTTTTATATTTAGTCTAGGAGTTTCATTAGAATTTCTCACAACAGGCTAAATAACTGAAAACAACAGCCAAAATTAATGGAAATCATGAATTTAATATGGAAAAGTTGAAAAATCCCTAAAAACAACAGGCGATTTTGTGAAAACAACCGGTGAAAATTGCCTGTTGCCTGCTGCTAATGAAACCCGTGTTTAGAATGATGTGCAAGGAAGGTGTATCAGAGTGTTGAATGATTCTTATTCAAATGAAAGATTAAGTTTATTTATTGTGATGACATATTGTTATAGTCTCAAACTTTTTGTGGCTGTGGTTGGTGTTTGTCTGTTGAGTTCAGCATTAGGGTGTCTGTAACAAATGGTAGGTCAGGCGTGTAATCACATCCCTTGGCTACGCTTATATAGGTGGTGACATTTTGCATGTTATGCCTTGTTGTTATTCTGCTTCTTGGTTGTAACAAGTGTTTTATTGCAAAAGTATCTACATTCTGATGCTCATCCTGCTTTGTAAGTAACAAGATTGATAAAGGAGATAACCATTGGTTTATCTATATTGACCACTAATTTAATATATTACGAACTTCATGTTTTATATATCCCTATTCAATGTCATACTAAGCCATTGACTATTGGATTAGCTTGACATGTTTTGTATCCTTGGAAAAAGTGTCTCAGCATTTGGTCAAACGTAGACTGGTATCAAAGAAAATTTTTTTTTTACGTCTTGTTTATCATTTGAAATAGCTAAATGGTTAATTGCAATGAATAAAGAGTAAATGGAAATACAACGACTTTGAGGATGATTTATTTATACTAAGGTTATATTACTTAGAACATAAAACAGAATGCAGTTAATGGCCAAATCAGTATATTATTTTGCCAGACATTCTTCTTTTTAGCATAATTTTTCTCATACTAATCATCACATTTCTGCTATTACACTTTCATAGCGTGATTTGATGCCATTTTATTTTGGAAACTTACCAGACTTTCATGTTGTTGTGTATTACATAATAAGGTTATTTGTTGGCACAGTGAAACTTGCCTGAAATGAACTCTTCTTAAAACAAGACAAGGTTCACATTAAGAGTTGATCTCTCAGAGGTTATGGTGATATGAAAGTCACTGAGATATTCAAGAATGGTGAGGTGTTCTCAAAGAGTGATGTTCACTGAATGATGAGGTGTTCTCTAAGAGTGGTATTCACTGAATGGTGAGGTATTTTCTGAAAGTGGTGTTTACTGAATGGTGAGGTGTTCTCTAAGAGTAGTGTTTACTGATTGTGTTTCTATGTAGCAGGATTATACATCAACACCTGTCAAAATACACTAAAACATTTAGTAAACAAAAGAAAAAACATACATGCAAAAATCCCTGTTTTAAGAATTAGATAAGAGATTTCTCTTCAACCCTTATATATGTTAAAACCCCTTCTGTATTGCCTAACAGCTTTAAGATCTGATTAACCCTGACAACATTAGTGTTCAAGAAGACAAGGTTTGCTGTATCTTTGTCAAGTAGACTTCTGCTTAGAACTGGATTCTGCTGTCAGATACTTGAATATACCAACAATACATGAATAACTCAGTGAGTCTTATGGATTTGTAATCTGTGACTATTTTCACCATGGCTCTGGGCTGTTTTACGTAATCACTTTATAGTCGGTCATATTCAGTTTATTATCCCGAGGATAGGATTGGATACTACCAAAGATGAAGTCTATTTTGAGATGCAAAATCAAACTTTTGCCAGGAAAAGACACTTGGTTGATTAGGATGAGGTACTGTTTTGTTAAATTACCTTCATTACAATGAAAGATATGTAAGTGGTATTATAATTCATATGTACTAGATGCTTTATTGTATAATCTGTAAAATGAAGCCTTCTGATCGATCAGTTCTTGTGCTGTACCAATCTGTATTGCTGAGATTGTCCCCATTGATCATCTCCGTCGCAATACAGAAAATATTGGTACGGAGGGGACATTCTCAGTAGCAATACAGAGGATTTTTCGAGCAGAATATATCCTGTATTGCACTTCAAATCATTCAATAACTTATATTGTAGCTCACATGTTTTGACATTTTGTCTTATTGATGATGCAAGATTGTGGCTTTAAACTTATTTAAAGTACATCAGACATTTTAAATTTAACAAATGTTTTATTTCAAATTGCATCTATTCAATGTCTTGACACATTTAGATGGAATTACAAATGAAAGATAGCACGTTAATTATCTATTAGGTATGCCCTAAATAGCAGTAGATTATGCTGCATTACTCTGCTTCAAGAATAGTTTTAAAATAAACATATAGAATTGCCTTTAGAAAGTTTTTATTGATTTGTCTTCAGTAAAACATGTCTTAGTATCATTATTATTAATAAGCATAAGAAACAATATTTCAAAGTAGCCTCAATTGAGGTAGTAAGGAATGTTATAAACATGGAATATATTTCATTTTGTTTCCCTAGCCATTGTACCCTGCCTACCTAAAGTAAACTGTAGATAAGGAAATAGATATGAGGTTATATGGAGTATTTTACCCTTTAAAGATTATTTTATTAAATAAGTACATGATATCATCTGATAAAGAATGATATCATTTTAATGGATGAATTGGCGAGTCATGAATGTTGATATTTCATTGCAATGAGGTGATGAATATGATATGATAACAAGAAAAATTAATAAGTTGCTGTATATTTGGTAAATGAATTACATGTATCCTAATGTTGCGTCTGGTATTCCAATCAGTGATCTGTTGGTTGAAATTTATCACAACTTACCTTATGCCTACATCCTGATTAGATAAGTTGATGTGATCTCAACTTCATATAGAACGAGGTCGCTGTGACCATTGTTAGATTTTTATGTTTATGGCGGAAACATGAAATGTACTTTCAGAGAATAAAATCTGTTGGTTGGATTTAGTGATTCAGGGGTCAGTTTCCCAAAAATATCTAAAATTGCAATACTACTAGATGCAAGAAGAAATAATCTTGATTTACACCAGTAATTATTATATCACTGTCATATTCCCCACTCTCTCATTGGTCTACACTCTACTTGTGACATAAAAATAAGAAGACATATTCAAATGCCAAGCCTGTGACATCTGTCCGGTTATTCATTACCTTTAATAATATTACCATACCTGCATCCTGAGAATTTCAGAGACTTCATCTTCAATATTTTCTAGAAACAGACCCCGGTATGGCCTGAACCATATCATATTGACTTCTACTGGAGAAACCACTCAGCCAGGTCAATAACACTGGGAGTATTCATGAATTAAATATTTTTCATTGAGGTGAATGATATGTTGTTTCTGTCAGTGATAAATTATTGTGATTAAAGTATGTTAATGTATATTAACAATTTTTGTAAAGGGGATGCGTATTGAAATGTGTTAAAATTAAAAACCACATATCCCATGTTATTTTCCCAAAGGGAAAACTCGTGGTATCCATTGTTTGCAGTGTATCAAGTTCAGTATATCAATGGTTTGTTGTATCAGTAGTTCAGTGTATCAATGGTTTGTTGTATCAGTAGTTCAGTGCATCAATGGTTTGTTGTATCAGTAGTTCAGTGCATCAATGGTTTGTTGTATCAGTAGTTCAGTGTATCAATGGTTTGTTGTATCAGTAGTTCAGTGTATCAATGGTTTGTTGTATCAGTAGTTCAGTGCATCAATGGTTTGTTGTATCAGTAGTTCAGTGCATCAATGGTTTGTTGTATCAGTAGTTCAGTGCATCAATGGTTTGTATCAGTAGTTCAGTGTATCAATGGTTTATTATATCAGTAGTTCCGTGCATCAATGGTTTGTATCAGTAGTTCTGTGCATCAATGGTTTGTTGTATCAGTAGTTCCTTGCATCAATGGTTTGTTGTATCATTAGTTCAGTGTATCAATGGTTTGTTGTATCAGTAGTTCAATGTATCAGTGGTTTGTTGTATCAGTAGTTCAGTGTGTCAATTGTTTGTTGTATCAGCAGTTTAGTGTATCAATGGTTTGTTGTATCAGTAGTTCAGTGTATCAATTGTTTGTTGTATCAGCAGTTTAGTGTATCAATGGTTTGTTGTATCAGTAGTTCAGTGTATCAATTGTTTGTTGTATCAGCAGTTTAGTGTATCAATGGTTTGTTGTATCAGTAGTTCAGTGTATCAATGGTTTGTTGTATCAGTAGTTCAATGTATCAATTGTTTGTTGTATCAGCAGTTTAGTGTATCAATGGTTTGTTGTATCAGTAGTTCAGTGTATCAATGGTTTGTTGTATCAGCAGTTCAGTGTATCAATGGTTTGTTGTATCAGTAGTTTAGTGTATCAATGGTTTGTTGTATCAGTAGTTCAGTGTATCAATGGTTTGTTGTATCAGTAGTTCAGTGTATCAATTGTTTGTTGTATCAGCAGTTTAGTGTATCAATGGTTTGTTGTATCAGTAGTTCAGTGTATCAATGGTTTGTTGTATCAGTAGTTCAGTGTATCAATTGTTTGTTGTATCAGCAGTTTAGTGTATCAATGGTTTGTTGTATCAGTTGTTCAGTGTATCAATGGTTTGTTGTATCAGTAGTTCAGTGTATCAATGGTTTGTTGTATCAGTAGTTTAGTGTATCAATGGTTTGTTGTATCAGCAGTTCAGTGTATCAATGGTTTGTTGTATCAGTAGATCAGTGCATCAATGGTTTGTTGTATCAGTAGTTCAGTGTATCAATGGTTTGTTGTATCAGTAGTTCAGTGTGTCAATTGTTTGTTGTATCAGTAGTTCAGTGTATCAATGGTTTGTTGTATCAGTAGTTCAGTGTATCAATGGTTTGTTGTATCAGTAGATCAGTGCATCAATGGTTTGTTGTATCAGTAGTTTAGTGTATCAATGGTTTGTTGTATCAGCAGTTCAGTGTATCAATGGTTTGTTGTATCAGTAGATCAGTGCATCAATGGTTTGTTGTATCAGTAGTTCAGTGCATCAATGGTTTGTATCAGTAGTTCAGTGTATCAATGGTTTATTATATCAGTAGTTCAGTGTATTAATGGTTTGTTGTATCAGTAGTTCTGTGCATCAATTGTTTGTTGTATCAGCAGTTTAGTGTATCAATGGTTTGTTGTATCAGTTGTTCAGTGTATCAATTGTTTGTTGTATCAGTAGTTCAGTGTATCAATTGTTTGTTGTATCAGCAGTTTAGTGTATCAATGGTTTGTTGTATCAGTTGTTCAGTGTATCAATGGTTTGTTGTATCAGTAGTTCAGTGTATCAATTGTTTGTTGTATCAGCAGTTTAGTGTATCAATGGTTTGTTGTATCAGTTGTTCAGTGTATCAATGGTTTGTTGTATCAGCAGTTCAGTGTATCAATGGTTTGTTGTATCAGTAGTTCAGTGTGTCAATTGTTTGTTGTATCAGTAGTTCAGTGTATCAACGGTTTGTTGTATCAGTAGTTCAGTGTGTCAATTGTTTGTTGTATCAGTAGTTCAGTGTATCAATGGTTTGTTGTATCAGTAGATCAGTATATCAATGGTTTGTTGTATCAGTAGATCAGTGCATCAATGGTTTGTTGTATCAGTAGTTCAGTGTATCAATGGTTTGTTGTATCAGTAGTTCAGTGCATCAATGGTTTGTTGTATCAGTAGATCAGTGCATCAATGGTTTGTATCAGTAGTTCAGTGTATCAATGGTTTATTATATCAGTAGTTCTGTGCATTAATGGTTTGTTGTATCAGTAGTTCAATGTATTAATGGTTTGTTGTATCAGCAGTTCAGTGTATCAATTGTTTGTTGTATCAGCAGTTTAGTGTATCAATGGTTTGTATCAGTAGTTCTGTGCATCAATGGTTTGTTGTATCAGTAGTTCAGCTACAGTTCAGTGTATCAATGGTTTGTTGTATCAGTAGTTCAGTGTGTCAATTGTTTGTTGAATCAGCAGTTCAGCTACAGTTCAGTGTATCAATGGTTTGTTGTATCAGTAGTTCAGTGTGTCAATTGTTTGCTGTATCAGTAGTTCAGTGTACTAATGGTTTGTTGAATCAGTAGTTCAGTGTATCAATGGTTTGTTGTATCAGTAGTTCAATGTATCAGTGGTTTGTTGTATCAACAGTTCAATATGTCAGTTGGCTAATGTTTGATAGTTTAGTTGATCTGTGTATCAATGTTTCAGTGTGGAAATAGTCGTAATATATGAATGCTTCAGTGAATCAATATTGCATTGGTTCAATGTTCCAGTAATCAAATAACCAATGGTACAATGATTCAGGTTCAATGTGTAAATGGTTCAATGTACCAATGGCTGGATAACTGATATAAGTGATGCAATGTATCAATGTCTAAAGTGGTGCAAAATCATTACATGGCAGGATGATTCAATGTTTTTCATTAGATGTTAGAATTATAAGTAAAACAGTATTTATCAGCCATTTATTACCATTATGATCAATTGGATTGTTTTCTCTGGCAACTTGAAAATCAGTTTCAGAATCTCAGTTTCCTTAATATGAATCATGCACGGATAAAAAAAAACAATGTCAGCATCCAATATGTGACAGTGTATGATTCAAACACTGTTTATCATGTGCTTTATATATAGTAACCACACCTACTTTGTTCTTAGGTTAGGCTCCTACAAATTAAATCGTCTGTTTAACGATGTCTGCTTGCCATCCCTTCTCAGTTTTTATGATTTGCTTTTTAGAATTGTAACAATTTCTTTCATTCATTTGCAATCCATAAATCAACAAAAAAAGTTTGGCTTCTTGTTCCTTTTATCAAAACATATCTCAGCTAAAGATGCAGTTTAACCTTTTGAGGCCTTACTAGACCGTTCAGATAGATGGTTCAAGAAGGGTGGGTGGATTGGTATATCTGTCTTGACTTGACGCACTGATTCAATCATAGGAGATCGCAATTTAAAGCAGTTTAACAATTCCATTTGTTAATTTTTATATGGATAGATGTTTGCTCAGTTCTTCAGTCATCACGTTGATTTCTTCAAGATTTTATGCGGTAATCAAAAATTTAACAAATTGATGAACTTACAGAGTAGTTTTATTTTATGATTGCCTTACAGTATCATATTCTTGACATATTTTGTAGGTTTTAGTTCGTTAGTGCAGTATATGAGTTTATCAATCTTGCATTTAGTATTTGGACACCCATATAGTTCTTGCAGAGGTGAGGATTGTTCAGAGTTGCTCTGTAACAAAATGTCATACTTTTGTAATTAAAGTGCATCGTTATGTTTTTCAGAAGAATTATGAGATGACAACAATGTAGAATCAAGGAACGAAGGAACAATGAGATATGGATGCGAAACTGAGTGCGTTTATCGCTGAAACTGGTGCAGATCCTGGACTCGCTAGAGATTTACTTGAAGGTATAATATTATATATTACATTATTTTGATATATATTTGTGACAAGAGGGTTTTGTTTTCTAATTTCAGATTGTACAGGGTGTCTATTATACTTTGTACAGACTTCGTACTAAAATGTTTAAGATTTTTAGCCATTTTATTCTGTTTACAAGAATTTTCAAACTTGAAAGGCTTTGGAAGGTTAGGAGAGTGTACAGAGTCTTACTACAAGTTCAGTATGTGACCTTGACCTAATGGGACCTTGACATGACCTTGACATGAAATGTTCTCAGTAATGTTCAACATCTCCTGAGCATTAAATTAACAGGATGGAGGATCCAGTTGAAAATCTGAAAATTTCATTCCCCTTTTGAAAATCTCCTTCTACCCTGCCAAAAGTGTGAGATGTTGAGGTATTTTGACCAAAAACATAGAATGAGGATCAGAAGAAGTGAGTAGCTCCCATAATACTATCATATTCTATCGTATTCAGGGATTCCCCTTGGCCATCCTTATGGTCATGCAAGCCTATCTATCACATGATATTCAAAATGGCGGACAACCATCAGTTGGATTCCTATATGGTCATGTAAGCCTTATATGGATCTATCACATGATATTCAAAATGGCGGACAACGGTCATTTGGATTCCTATATGAACATGCCTTATATGGATCTAGCACATGGGTACCACGTGATCGAATATGAAGGCTGAACTTTGGGAGATCTCCCCCCCTGAATGAGGATTTATCACACAGTGGAGAAAATATCCTTGTATATCAGTAGTAGACTGATGATGTATATAGTTGTGTAATACACATTATTCATAGCTCAGACTTCCCAGCAAGACAAGATAACTACAAAGCTTGTGAATAAAATATGTTTTCCCCAATATCTAAATCACAGGAAGCATAAATCTTTGATGTCCTGATTAATAGAAGCTTTGCTAGGATTTCGTTGGATTATTAAGAGATCAAAAAAAACATTAACTCTAACTTGTATTCACTTTCCCCTGTGTAATGGTTACCATGTTAATCTCAAGCTTCATTGCTAATAAAGGGAATAAATGGAAAATACATGTGTGTGTGTGTAATACATTGCTTCAAGTCATGTTTTAGGCACGTTCATTAAATTGTGTAAGTAGGGTTGCCATTGTAACAGTTTAATCATGATATGGAATTATTTCTCAATAAATGCAGCAAAATCTAAATGAGAAGAAAACACTAAGCTGGAGGTGTTCATATTTATTGGAGATTCTGATGGTACAGAGTGATCTCAAAATGGAGCTGAAGTGTTCATATTCGGATCTGATCATATACACAAGCTTAACTGTATGTATACTTGAGAACTCTTTCTTGCCTTGTAGAAATTGTTTTTAATCTGCATACCTTGAGCTGCGCTTGCCAATTAATCAAGTTTCATTGTCACTTATTTCTCTTTGATGTTTCCCTTACGTTCACATGAATATAGAAGGTAAAGGGAATGACTTGTCATGTCTAGCTTTTGTATTTTTATATACCCTTTGCCAGAAAGGTCCATCTGTACTCTTGCAATAGGAGGTGATTCTTTGAACTAGTCTACGTCGAGTTGAATATGATGTCAGGGGACTATAGAATTATAATTCTGGCTGTCTCATTCATATAACATCCAAACTCCCCAAGTTTAAGGCCAATTTTAGATTTGAGCATCGAAAAACTGAAAACATCCTTTATTAGTAAGAGTGTAAGGTGACTATCCAGTGAGGATTCAGGGTTTGCATAAACATGTCCTCAAAGCAAAAGTATCATTTCAATAACACTTCTTGATGCATAAAAATGCAAATAAGTTAATACTTAATGAGAACAAACTAAATTTGAATTTCGCCTGAGCTGTGAGCTTGCATATACATCATGTATTTTGCTCAAGGCTTTTTATTAACTAACTTCATTAAGGTGTATAAAAAGTACTTGAGCATTATTTTACTTCAATGTAAGTTATTTTATGATAGTTTAGTTTTACTTATGTGACGGCTGTTCCCTGAGGTTTATCTGTGTTGCAACCATTTAGTTTATCATTCAGAAAAACTAAGAGTATATTCACCCTTCATTATGCAAAATGCTTTCTAAATCATAATTTGGTTAAATAACATAATTAAAGTTAAATACATAATTTTGGAAAGTGTAACACAATGTTTTTAAGGACAACTTTCTCACAATGTAATGTACAAGAGCTGATAAGCCAATACTCTTACCTTCAAAAATTTATTCATTTCACCATCCTTCTTGTGGTGGGAGGTGCTTTCTAAGGAGAGGATAAGATTTCAATAACCTTCAGTTCAACCAGTTTATTCTATGCAATATGAAATACCTTGAAGAATTGAGATGCTTACTAGAAAAAGAGAAAAATAGAGCACTCCCCATTGTGACTCTTTCACATAAGCCCTTAGCACCGGATTTCAATCTGTGTTTTCATTAACCAATTCATTAAGTATTTCTTGATTTCTGTCTCAGTCTCTTAATTCTTTATACTTTTAGGAAAACAATGGAATATACAGGAGGCATTGAGAGCCTATGGGTCAATAAAAAAGACAACCCTTTCACCAGCTAGTTATGCCAATCTTCGTACAACCCAGAATGCACCTGGAAGCCAACAGACTGTTCCAGGTCAGAGGTCAACTGTTCAAGGTCAAAGGTCACCTGGACTACCAAGAACTCAATATACAGGGGCTCACTCTAAAACTCCCACTGGTGCCCCTTCTAGGATAAACCACAGTTACAACACTGTAAGTTCCACAAATGGTGCTACTACAAAATATGTGGAAGGAGTAGTTGTAAGACATCCAATACCAACAAAACTAGCTTCAAATCAAGGTGCCTCAGTAACTAACACAGGAATACCCAGAGGAGCCCCCAGTGCTGGTGGAGGACCTCCTAAGACTGAAGGAGGGGAAGAGGCTTCAAATGGTGGAGGAGGAGTTATCCCAGGTTCCCCCTCTAGACCCAGTCTGCAACGCAACTCAGCAGTAGACGATGACGAATATAGAGGTGAGAGTCAGACATTCTTGGTCAGTATTTCCTCCCTTGATATACTGTACAAAATATATGATCCCATGTTTTTATTGTATTACTTAAAAATTAAACATAGGAAATGGTAAATATAGATGTTTGACTAAATAACTAAAATTGATATTGAAACCTAATCAGCTACCAGCTTATCACAAGTCACAGTTTCCTGAATATTTGAGACTTCTTGTCAGAAAATAGTTTATAATATGAATCTATAAGGATGATTCTCTCTTACATCAAAGTCTGTTCAAATTGAATATTACTTACTGTATGACTTATGTCAAGGGAATTGAACTTTAAATATTTTGCCACGAGTGGTTTATGTAAGTTACCATGCTATGTAATCAATACCTAATATGATCCAAATGAATCTGACTTTATGACCTGGCTTATAGTGCAATTAATCAACCCAAACAGACAATTTAGTTAATCTAGTTCAAGAATCTCATTTTATTACCCTTTCTATGTTATTCTTACTTCAGCTATGCTATTCAGTAGAGCTCCCACTATTTCTCTGTTCGGTTCAGGTTCAGGTTTTTTTCTGTTCAGTTTCTGTTCAGGTTTTCAGTTCTTATCGCACTTTAATGAAAAGATATCTCAAACTTCATCTTGCAAAATTTCTTTCTTTCATGCGAACCTCTCTCATGTATCAGAACAACTTTGCACAACCTGCATATCATCTTTTCCACGATCTGGACAGTATTCATTGCTGGAAAGCCAAAATGGCCCCAAAACTGAGCTTTATAGAATTGAAAAGCATCGATATGTTGAGTTCTTTTTTGTTTGATGCCATTCATTCATTCTTTTCAAAAAATTTTGGTGAGTTCATGTTCGAATCGTAATATAGACCTCAGGGCAGGTGTAATATCGACAAATACATCCCTTAGCCCCAAAAGCTTTTGAACCCCTCACTCCCTTCGATCGGTCATTCGTGGTACAGAAAACGTTTGTGCCAAGCCCTGCGGTGTGTATTCATTGATATAACACCTTGCCTTTGGTCTATATTTCTTAATCAAACAGATATTTACAAAACTACATGACAACATTTCATATTTTTACAATTCATATATTTATATTTTGAAGTTCATTATAAATACGCTCATTTAGTTCAATACACAGCAACAAGAAAATATTTATTGTTTTCTGACAGGGTTGTCTCAACTATGAAGTATTTTGACAGGGCACGCAACATACTAAATATACGTATTGATTAAATGGCACAAGGAAAACATCTTCATGAAAAAATGCTTTTAAACTGGTTTAAACTTTTCATAATTAAAGGTATGAACGAATATCACATTAGACAATAGAATATCTAAATTTGCTCTGCAAAAATACAGTTTCGCAAGGGTCACAACTAAGGTTGAAAACATGATTGTTCAATTTTACAAATTAAGTTCATTGCCAAAAGTGAAAAGTGATTGCCTTTGGCAGTCAGACAGCTGTGAGTTAGGAACCATGATAGTTTGTTAATTCAGTGTTTACCTAAGCTAAGCACTCACAAATTCAGCCACTTGCTACATTGGCTAACAGATTAACAGCTATTTTACTATTCATATTATTGAAATAAATGAGTTGGACATAGAAATAGTGGTTAATCCGCCAGCCAACAGCGGGCAGTTGAATTCGCAGATGCTACCTAAGCTTATATTCGCAAATGCAACTTCGGCTGTCAATTACCTATACCAGATTAACTTATGATTTTATGACCAACTTATTTCAATGGAATAGTGGAAGGTTCTATAATATTTAAATGAGTTGCCCATATAATAGTAGGTTAATCCGGTAGCTGAAAGTTGCATTCCGTAGCTGAAAGTTGCATTCGTGAATATAAGCTAAGTTAGATATTGCATATATAATATTGAATAGTAGAACTAAGTAGTAGTGCAGACAGGACAGGTTCAGCAATAAGCCTTAGTTAGCCATGATTGCTTATGGCCAGACATTGTTATATAAGAGAAATTGGTGATTGTCCATACCAGACTTTGGTGAAAATTGATTCTATCACATTTAATTTAGTTATCTTTCACTAATTTACTCTCATCTACGATTCCTTGGCTATTCAGTAAGCTTGAGGTTTCTTCAGTACACCTAACTCGCTTCAACAATAGGAGCACTCATTTTAGTCAGTATGTATTTGGTGTGCAGTCCATATATACAAATGAAGCACAATCAATATTATTGATACATATCCAGGTTTCTATCTATTCAGAATTGTTATTCGTTTCTGTTTAAAATTAAATATAAAGTTATTTGATTGCTTTAAGATGATAATAGTCATCTGATCCAGTCAGATTAAACATATCTGTAAGTTAGATGTTGTCATAAATATCAGTTTGGGTTTGCCTAATTTGCCGCCCCCACCTAACAAGATTTCTACTTATGCACAAATCAGTTTACAAATAAATCAAAGACCGTACACCTATGAAGATCAAACAGAATACTTTTCAAAGAAAAAATAGTTGATTATTCAGTTTTTTTTTCTGAACTTCAATATATCATCTTTGCTGATTCGAGTGCTAGTGAATCTCCTTTGTAAGATAATATGGTAAAACTTCTGTGAAACTGGATTAGAATTGACATGTTTTTCTCCACTATTAATCTTTTAAATATAGTGATATAATTTGTTATGTAGGAACAGTGAGTGCATAGTAAGTTGTTAAAAGAGCAGTGGATCAACATCCTGGTTCTTTGCACTCTTGCTCTTGTGATCAGTCTCTTGTGGATGGCAAACCATTTGAAATTTTCTTTAAATTTTGTCTGTGAGTTTTGTCCATTGTTAAACTTTGGAATAAGCTCACTTTCTAAGTAATTAATTTCTAAAATTGACATACCTAACTCAAAGCTGCAATAATATTCATAGTAGCCAGGACAGAACAGTGGAACAAGTCATTCCTCTCATTTTCTTGATAACTTTCAATTTTCAATGATTTTTCATGACATTTTCATCGGATAAACTTTAAAGCATCCCTAACTTATATTAGATTTCGTTTAATTCAAAATCAATTTTCATTATAATTATAGGTTTTCAAAAATGATGGCCAAATGTAAAAAAGTTATCAGGAAAAAATAGAGGTATAGTTTGCTCTATCCCGGTTACTATTATTACAGGGGTTTCAATTGCAGCAGGCAACAGGCGATTTCCACGGGTTGATTTCTCAAAATCGCCTGTTGTTTTTAGGGGTTTTCAACTTTTCCATGTGGAATTTATGATTTCCATTAATTTTGCCTGTTGTTTTCATTTATTTAGCCTGTTGTTAGAAATTCTAGTGAAACCCCCTGTAAATTAGTCCTGGACATTGAATGATGGATAAAAAAACAATTCCGTTGTTGTTAACCTTTTGAAGGAATGAAGAGAACTTTCTTTATTGCATTACTCAGAAATAATTAATTGATATTTGATTTTTTTATCTGCAGATAAAAAACTAAAGAGAGGACTTTCTAAAGCATTGGAGAACCAACAGATTATAAGCAATGCACGTAGACAGGTTCTCGGTGATATCAAGGAGTCTTCAAATGATCATGTGCAGTACTTTATGGAGACTCCTGAATACACTTTTGTGCTTCCTGATCTGACGGTGCATTCTGAAGATTTCCGAGCGTTCCTAGAGAAGGACCTCATCGAGACATGTACTCTTGTGTCCTTGGAACAGTCAGGTATGTGTCAGTGTAGGATAAATAGAGATTATCCTATATGAGGTTCAGGATATTGGGATTATCCCGAGGCCAATATAATATATCTGCCCGAGGGCCGTAGGTCCCGAGGGTAGATATATTATATTGGCCAAGGGATAATCCAAATATCCTGAACCGACTATAGGATGATCTGTTTATCCCATACCAATCACATTGTTCAATTTGCCAAAGTTCAGAAACTTTGCAACCAACCGTGGAATATTCTTAAATATTCATGTCCAGTTTTGTATTCCTGTTTCTTTCCAATTCAAATCGTTGATTATTAACGCCGGTGTGAAAGAAATGATGGTCCCCCAGGGATTATGGTCCCCTTTCTTAACGGCCCTTACTGGCCCTGATTGCGTATAAGATAATGAGGGAAAGTGTTGTATTTAGGTCACCATATAAATCGATGGAGAGTAGGACCATAATTTGATAGGACCTCCTACCCTTTTACACCGGTACACTGCTCCTTCCCTTCTTTAAAGCATCAAACAGGTAGAGATTGTCTGCGTTTTTCTCCATTGTCGTTTACAGTATGCGAACGTTACAAAATAGAACCAATACGGGAACAGCGATTATGACGTAGCGGGCAGATATAGTATATCTGCCCGCTCGGAGCGGGACGTAAAGCTATATCTGCCCGCTGATGAAAATATAAGTTTTTACAAACCGGCTTTATGTACCCGTAACACCTCCAAGTATGGGATAAATTGCTTTATCTTAGGTAATAGTTTATCCCATACATAGTAAGGTTACAATATAAAGTTATATCTGCTAGCAAGGTGGGATATAAAAGAAGTCATTACTACAGGTTTTGAATTTCTCATTTACACAAACTTAAAGTTCAAGTTAAAATCAAGTTATTTGTAAGAAAATTTAATAAATTCCACATTACCCAAATATTGTATGCTATTCAAACAACATTGAATAATGTATTCAGTATTTGTGAGTTAGCAACTTTTTAGTTTGATTTCTTTTATAATGTCAACATCCTCCCCCTCAATTCAGCCTACATTAATATGAATATGATAAGGATTTACTGTATAAATATAATATGATTGCTATTAAAAAGTCTAGGAGCTGCTCCGCTTACAGATTTATTAGTCAGTTGAACTTCTCTTTAGTATAATTAAGATATCTTGTTGTTTCTTCACTCCCACACACAGCAGCTTACGACAAGGGTTGTTGTAGTGCAGAAGTAACATATTATCCAGGAATGTTTATTTGTTTGGTGTTTGTTAGGCTTGGATAACAACAACTTTTCTGAATATTTTCATCTTCTGACCATAATTGAATTTATCTGAATGGAAATTGCTAGGTAATTAATAACTGTTTCTACCACAGCATTTCATTAATCTATTTTGGGGATATGGGAGTCCTATCTATTTTGCTTTGGATTTTTCAAAAGTACATGTACCTACTCTCTCTTTTACTGAAAAAGTAGAATTGTGGTTAAACGTTATTAATCAGATCGGCTTTAAAAACAAGAAACAATCCTGGTATTAAAACCTAAGAGATAAATGTACACAATAACGTAAATGCATGGCACCCCCCCTCTTCTTTTTCACCGGGGGGGAGGGGGGGGGGTGTTGTCATACATAAAGGAATCTCCAATTACACAAAGTCAGATTCATATCTGTTTATAATCAAGGATGACTTATATCATTGTGTTTAAGATCAAGATCAGATTAATATTGATTCTGCATTTTCGATATTTAACAGATTAAAGTGACAGTTCATTAACGCCTATTGCATATATTGGGGTGTTAAAGTTGTTATTTCCACATTGAAGTAGAGCTTTGTACATTGACATTGAGGAATTGATGGATTCTGGCCTTGATGTTCAATCATCCAATAAATCAACTGCCTTAACATTGGTATGATTCTGAAGCCTGTCTATTTGCTATTCAGGTTTCAAGGATATTGAATTGTTAATCCATCAGTCCTTTTGGCCAGATAATATGATAAGAGTGATCATATCCTGTCTAGAGTTTTAAAGGTTGATGCATGTAGGTCACTTACTTAAGAAATATTTTTTTAAAACCCATCAAAACCTTTCTGGAGCAATGGTCTGATCCAGATCAAGTATTGCATAAGTAAAGCATGCCACACTTTCTTTGCAAGGGCTGACACTAATCCTGGGTCAAACTAAAAAGTACATCATTATTTTATCTAATCATATTGGCTGTTACAAGGAGCATTGATATTAATGAAGGCCAGTTGTTAGACCCACTATCATCTTCGATGATTGATTTTCTTGACTTCTGGTTATGGCTTTCTGTTATTGAATTAAAAAACCTTACCATTCTTACTTGCCAATATAAATCTAAGTCTTATCTTCTGGTATTTAATAAACCAATAACTAGGCTTGCCCTGTTATTTCACATACCATATTCTCTGTAATTAGAACCCATGCTGCTTTGAAATTGGAAATACATCCTTCAGATCATTCTAATAAGAACCCATATATGAAAGAACTAAAATATCTCTGGGAGATTTATGTATGGCAACTTTTCTTGCCAAGAATGCCTTATTTGCAACATCAAAACGAAGTAACAGCATTTTTTGGGCGCTAATTACTGAGAATACGGTATGTAATGTGCAGTAATCTATAACAGGTTCAAAGAATGTTTCATTGCCAGTCTCATTCCCATGGTGCTATGAGGTCATGATTTAATGGTAGATTAATTAATCCTCATGGGGTAATATGAAATGGTTGATTTTTCTGGTGTTTTTGATTAGATATATTGAACTAGCTAGTAATTAAAGCATAATGGAACCTAGATATGTGTTACTGTGAACTTGTTACCAACAGCTCATCAGTCAAGGAAACCCAAAATCATTTCACCTGATCTGACAAAGTTGATCTATGAGCTCTAACACCTCAAAAACTTTAAAATGTTTACAGTAGAAATCGCTTACTGACAAAAGACACGAAAAAAATCTAAGACTGATGTTCAAAATTGTAAGAAAGGAAGTGCCCTATTATGTCCATAGTCTTTTTGACCAACATCGCAACCAAGCAACTAGAATTTTAAGACACTCTTTACCCTTTTCCTGCCCAAGAAATATTTCAATGAGACTCTCCAAAGCACCAGTTTTAAAACTTATAAATGATTGGAACCAGCTAAGCCAGACTTTTCGTGAAATTCAAACCATTTCTAGATTCAAAAGCTCTATTAAACAGATATTTATCCCTATTTCAAACTTCATACCAACTACAAAACTAAATTTAAGTAGAACCAACGAAAAACTGCTAAATAGGCTTCGAGTTGATTTTGCCCTTAAAGACCATTTCTTTACTCATAATTTTACTGGAATAACTGACAACAAATGCCTCTGTGGCTCTACTGAAGACACAAAGCATTTCATTCTAACCTGCCCTCGCCATACCCATGAACGTAATAAAATGATGACTGCACTTCGTGAACAAAATTTATTGTTTGATACTCAACTTATTTCTAGTAAGACAGAACAGGTCAAATACTTAATTTATGAAAATGAACTCACTATTGATTCTCAGAAAATCCTGATAGATATAGTGATGCAATTTGTACAGGCCTGTTATAAGTTTCCATCAAATTGATGTTATTCTCATTTGTATCTTGTGACAACCCCCCCCCCCCCTCCCTCCCAACCTTTCACATTACCAATAAACCATCTATGATTACTATAATTAATCCTCTATTGTAATTTAAACTACCTAGAATGCCTATGGCGATTGGTAGTAGATATTTTGTGTATTTTTTGATTATGAAGGAAATAAATAATATGTTAAAAAAAAAAAAAGTTGATCTATGTTCAAGAGAAATCTTCAAAATGTCCTCCAAATTCAAAATGACTTCCATTTTTGACATTTGCTTTTTAAATACTGTTTGATTGTTTATACATACAGTAAAACCTGTGTATATTGAACATTTTTTGCAGAGAAAAAATATTTACTTTTTGTATGTGTTCATAACAGAGATTTAATTTATACAGTAATCAATAGAGTATGTGTAGAGGAAGGGTGTTCACTAGTGACAGATTTTCACTGGATTGATATTCAAGTATGTAATCAATGTGTTTGCTGGTATAATTCTATGAGGTCAATTCTTGTCATTTTCAGATTAAGATAAAATATTTTTCTATCAATCACATGTTATAATGGTACCAGAAAATAGCCCTTTCTTCAATTTGAAATCCAGTCATGAAAAAGTGAGAACCTTTTAAGCCCAAAGCTGTGATCAATAAATAATCATTTCTGTAGAATAAGAAAGAAAAAGGGTCTCCCAGGATCATGTTTAAAGAAGGATCAATATCATTTTCATCTTAGTTCATTTGGGAACTTTATCCATATCTTGACTTATTTAATTGAATGTCTAAATTGGTTTGAGATGGTGTAAAGGGGATTTATTTGAGAAAAGCACACTTCAATACAGTAAACAGAAACTTAACAGATAATCTTGCATGAAGGGCCTCTCCTTCCAAACTTTGAATTTCTCTATCCAGTATGTTTATAATGGCATGGGGGGGGGCTTACAAGGATTTGATTCAGTACGTACTAAAGCATCCAAATGCATATTAAAAAATTACATATAAACAATGTGACATTATTCCCTGTCAGTATTGTGACTATCAAAATAACTTTAATTGTTACATCCTATTCTGGTTAGACACCATTACCCAGTTGATGGATATTAGTTATACATGTAACATGTAAATATCCGGTAACTACTGGCCTATTAGACTGCATTTCCATCTCATATCAAACTCATTTGATCAGGCTTTTAGATTTCATTTTCTTCTAAAAATTGCAAAGGACACCTCTGAGTGAAAATAATAGTCCGAAACATTTAGAAGTTAAGAAAGAAGGTTTGACCGGGAGTTTTGGGATAAACTTGCTGAACAGATAACTTATTTGTAAGGGGCTAATGGAAATATAATCTCATCCTGTTAAAATGCATAATATGTTTTACATGTATTTCATAATTGTGACTATTTGTGTTTTAGGTCGCCTGAACTGGTGGGCTGAAGCAGGTGCCTGTCAACGTTTGTTGCCCCTGGCAACTACAGGTGACGGCAACTGCTTGTTACATGCAGCTTCCCTAGGTATGTCCATTATCTTCTTTACATTATTATTAATTTCATTATTACTATATCTTGTTTTCATTATTTATGATGACACTTTGACACTTACATTTAGCTTTACATAGATTGCACTGTAAAAAATTAAGATTTAATTAGCACGGTTGTACATACTGTATCTGTCAAAGATCTGCAAATTAACAGAAATGATAATTATTATACAATATTGTTATAATTCCATAAATAATTATGCACATATTTTCGATTCATTTTCTGTCTAATTATGTCACCACCAAAAGTGGTGACATATTGTTATGGTCTCCGTTTCTTTGCGACGGCGGTTGGTTGTTGGCGTCCTACGGTTGGCGTCCGGCGGTTGGTGGTTGGAGGTTGGCGTCCGGCGTCTGTAACAATTTCTTACAACTTCCTATAACTTAACAAATACTGTTTAGACTGACTTCAATTTTTTCTAAATCATCTACATGTTCTCAGAAGTTCAAATCTGACTTTAGATTTGACATTTGACCTTCAATGACCTTCTCAAGGTCAAAAAGGTCTTTTTTCATCTTGCTTCACATTGACTAAATTTTTTTTCAAAATCATCTACATGTTCTCAGAAATTCAAATCTGACTTTAGATTTGACATTTGACCTTCAAATCTGACTTTAGATTTGACATTTGACCTTCAATGACCTTCTCAAGGTCAAAAAAGCTCAAAAAGGTCTGTTTTCAACTTGCTTCAAATTGACTTAATATTTTTTTCAAAATCATCTACGTGTTCTCAGAAATTCAAATCTGACTTAAGATTTGACATTTGAACTTCAATGACCTTCTCAAGGTCAAGAAAGCTCAAAAAGGTCTGTTTTCAACTTGCTTCAAATTGACTAAAAAAAATTTTCAAAGTCATCTACGTGTTCTCATGAATTCAAATCTGACTTTAGATTTGACTTAAGATTTGACATTTGACCTATAATGACCTTCTCAAAGTCAAAAAAGGTCAAAAAGGTCTTTTTTCAACTTGCTTCAAATTGACTAAATCTTTTTTTCAAAATCATCTACATGTTCTCAGAAATTCAAATCTGACATTAGATTTGACATTTGACCTTCAATGACCTTCTCAAGGTCAAAAAAGGTCAAAAAGGTCTGTTTTCAACTTGCTTCAAATTGACTAAATTTTTTTTTCAAAATCATCTACGTGTTCTCAGAAATTCAAATCTGACTTAAAATTTGACTTAAGATTTGACATTTGACCTTCAATGACCTTCTCAAGGTCAAAAAAGGTCAAAAAGGTCTGTTTTCAACTTGCTTCAAATTGACTAAAAAAAATTTTTCAAAATCATCTACGTGTTCTCAGAAATTCAAATCTGACTTTAGATTTGACTTAAGATTTGACATTTGACCTTCAATGACCTTCTCAAAGTCAAAAAAGGTCAAAAAGGTCTTTTTTCAACTTGCTTCAAATTGACTAATTTTTTTTTTCAAAATCATCTACATGTTCTCAGAAATTCAAATCTGACTTTAGATTTGACATTTGACCTTTAATGACCTTCTCAAGGTCAAAAAAGGTCAAAAAGGTCTGTTTTCAACTTGCTTCAAATTGACTAAAAAAAATTTTCAAAATCATCTCTGGTTCTCAGAAATTCAAATCTGACTTTAGATTTGACTTAAGATTTGACATTTGACCTTCAATGACCTTCTCAAAGTCAAAAAAGGTCAAAAAGGTCTTTTTTCAACTTGCTTCAAATTGACTAAATATTTTTTTCAAAATCATCTACATGTTCTCAGAAATTCAAATCTGACTTTAGATTTGACATTTGACCTTCAATGACCTTCTCAATGTCAAAAAAGGTCAAAAAGGTATTTTTTCATCTTGCTTCAAATTGACTAAATTTTTTTTCAAAATCATCTACATGTTCTCAGAAATTCAAATATGACTTTAGATTTGACTTTAGATTTGACATTTGACCTTCAATGACCTTCTCAAGGTCAAAAAAGGTCAAAAAGGTCTTTTTTCAACTTGCTTCAAATTGACTAATCTTTTTTTTTCAAAATCATCTACATGTTCTCAGAAATTCAAATCTGACTAAATTTTTTTTTCAAAATCATCTACATGTTCTCAGAAATTCAAATCTGACATTAGATTTGACATTTGACCTTCAATGACCTTCTCAAGGTCAAAAAAGGTCAAAAAGGTCTGTTTTCAACTTGCTTCAAATTGACTAAATTTTTTTTTCAAAATCATCTACGTGTTCTCAGAAATTCAAATCTGACTTAAAATTTGACTTAAGATTTGACATTTGACCTTCAATGACCTTCTCAAGGTCAAAAAAGGTCAAAAAGGTCTGTTTTCAACTTGCTTCAAATTGACTAAATTTTTTTTCAAAATCATCTACATGTTCTCAGAAATTCAAATCTGACTTGAGATTTGAGATTTGACATTTGACCTTCAATGACCTTCTCAATGTCAAAAAAGGTCAAAAAGGTATTTTTTCATCTTGCTTCTAATTGACTAAATTTTTTTCAAAATCATCTACATGTTCTCAGAAATTCAAATATGACTTTAGATTTGACTTTAGATTTGACATTTGACCTTCAATGACCTTCTCAAGGTCAAAAAAGGTCAAAAAGGTCTTTTTTCAACTTGCTTCAAATTGACTAATCTTTTTTTTCAAAATCATCTACATGTTCTCAGAAATTCAAATCTGACTTTAGATTTGACATTTGACCTTCAATGACCTTCTCAAGGTCAAAAAGGTCTGTTTTCAACTTGCTTCAAATTGACCAAATTTTTTTTTCAAAATCATCTACATCTTTTCAGAAGTTCAAATTTGACTTTACAAGTTCTCAGAAATTCAAATCTGACTTAAGTTTGAACTCATAATATTGTGAGCAACTAGGTGGTGACATTTTGTCATGTTAATGCCTTGTTATTTTTATATAATCTACATACATGTACACTGTATTTTGAAGATAGACAAGAAATAACAAAAAGATATATCTTGCCTTCAAAAGTAACATCTCATTGAATGTCTACATTATTTGTCCGAAATCATAAGAAATAATTTTCATTTTTCAGGAATGTGGGGTTTCCATGATCGTTTGCTTACATTGCGAAAGACTCTGCTTGTGACGATGACTAATAGCGATACAAAAAGTGCCTTTAGACGCCGGTGGAGATGGCATACTGAGCAGTCAAATAAACAGGTATATTGTTGTTTTATCTATTTTCCAGTTAATGTCAATAAATGTGAATATCAATAAGTTTATTGTTGTAACTCCGTAAAAATATTTTAACAGTTTGTATGGTTTGTTCAGCTGGGCAGATTTGACAGTTCATTTTGCGCTTAGTCCTCTTTTTTCAAATCATATAAGCAGTGTGAGGGAACCAGGGTAACTTATAACTTATAGGTGGAAGTAACCTCGGTAATCTTCATTCATACTCAAAGGAGGATTGGCAGCCTGACTGCAACATCAATATTCTCTAACAAAGCTAGCGTCAGTCCTGGAGTAATATTTCTCAGTTCAAAATTTGAATTGCAAATTTTGGTCTTATTACCAAACAAAAAATTCAAAACACACATGAAATGATCAAGATCATTAGTTTAAATATTTCAAATTTTGATTGTGAATTTACAGCCAGGTAAATATCGACAATAATGACGCCAGCTTTGTTGGAGAATATCTTTAATACTCCCTGCAGTTGGAGAAATATACAGGCATGATCGGCAATATTGCATTACTTGGAGATTAAAGAATATCGAGTTGGAACCCTGGCTTTCAATCCTCCATGTTCATACTCATATCTGTCCTGCTAAATCATTCATTTTCACCATCTATATGACATGAAGTTTTGTTTTAACATCCTTTATGCAGATACTTTACCATTTATTTCTCCCAGTCACATCAGCAGGATTGGTCAGCACAATTGTTTCACTTTTTTAAACAACAATGTTTGACATAACATGGATGAATTGAATTGTTATGAGAAAAACTATTGTGAAATACTGTAAAACGGGTAATTTTGACACCGGAAAATTTTAGCGATTTTTTTCAATTTTAGGGGGTTTTAGTGCGGGAAATTTTAGCGAAATGAAGATTAATCTTTAAAAAATCAAATTAGCGAAATGCATTAGAAATTTTATCATTTATGGCAGAAGAATGAATAACGGACATGACAGAGGAATTATCAAAATGTAAGACTTCTAACGCACATGGTATTGGTCCAAACTGGATGGATGGCTATTTATCCTTCAGATATTGAAAGAAACATACGATTTAAAAATATTTACCTTTTTCAAATTACAAACCTGGAAGTCGAGCATTGAACGAAAAGCTCCTTAAATACTAGTATTCATGTAGTTTCCCGGGAATTTTCAAATTTTAGCGCCCGGTTTAATTTAACCCCGGTTTATTTTAGCGAATTGAATTTTTAGCGAAACTATAGCGATCGCTAACAATCGCTAACAATTACCCCTCGCTAACAATACCCGTTTTACAGTAGTATTTTCCATCCATTTGAAATATTTATCACCTAAGGATTTAAGCCCTGGACTCACTGTTTGTGAACATTATTTTATGAACTGCTGTCATGTAAAAATACTGTGTTCAGATTGGCTGGAATCGGACACACCTTGCCTAGCCATGTGTGAATAATCATCTCATTTCATGTCATGTTTTGAAATCCAAATAATTTTATCGGAATTAAGGAAGGAATTGTTGTGACAATGGCTATAATGTGTTGATGTATGCTTGTGTTGATTGCAGTCAGAACTGGTTCTGTCCGAGGAAGAGTGGGACACTGAGTGGCAGAGTCTGTTGAACCTTGCATCTACCAGCCCCAAGACACATACAGGCAAAAGAGGGAGCTGTTGTGACAGCCCAGCAACTCACGGGTAATTTAAAATTATTTTATCAAAGAGCTCAATTTCTAAGTTTGACCCCAAATTCCCGAAGACCTAACACATTGTCACTAAAAATACCCAAACTGCATCCATAACCATGACAAATAACAAAAAATAGAAGTCATATTGTTTGATGCACGCTAAAACATATTTATAACCGCACCCCTGAGAGTATAGATGGTACTTTTGAAGTAAGCCATTTGAGAGAAAAACTAATTTTACTTATTTAAAAGTTCATTTTGGTCTCAAAATCTTGTCTACACATTTCATTGGTCATAATGATATCAAACTATACAATCATTGTAATATTGCCAAACAGTAGTATATTATAACATTTCTACATGTTAGGTTCAAGGATCCAATATTCTTCACCCTTTGTTTTCTCCATATTAATCCTTGGTAGATAAACTTTCCAAATTATGTACTTGAACAGGTAAGTTCTCATTTGATACTTTTGAAATATTTTAGAATTATCAGGAATCAGAATCATAACAAATGAAGTCAGAGGAATGATATCATTTAATTTTGAATAAACACATAAAATGTTGTTCTTCATCTTTATTACAAGTTGTACATTTCCTTATTTAGAGCTTTATGAAAACCTCAACAATAGCTCCAAGTCCCAATATGTAACTGGTGTGAACTTGATCTTTATCTTGCTTTAAGATACAGTACTATATTTTACTATTCAAAGGCGGTTTTATTTTTTAGTATATCATCACCTGATGTTAGGCATTGGTCATTGGTGTCAGCATATGTAACAAATTGCTACACTTTTGTAACCATTTATAACAACAGCAGCCTAACATAAAAACATTTTAAGTACAGTATCACATCATTTTCAGAAGTCCCCAGATAATTTTGAACTGTTCTGTAAAACCAATATTATCTCATAACATAACAGTCCACGTTCCAGTTACTCCGAATCCTGTAGTGAACTGTACTGCGTTCACAGAATGCGGAGATGGATCATCCCACTGCAGGAATGTGTCTGTACCATACACATGGCCCTTGCCCACCTCTATATAACCATCTGCCCAACTAATCTAAAATTAAAAATTGGATATATGACAACTTAGTGTTTAGGTGTTATTATTGAAAACTCTAAGCCTGCACAGTAACTTAAACTACCACAATGACATATGTACAAGGACAATGACTTTTAATGAGGTGTTCACTTGTGTATTGTAGGTACAGGAAAACACTTGGTGAAGCTTGGCTTACAAATTTGACATCTATGACCTTCGTATTACCCTATGATCGATTTTCAAAAATATTGTTGAGAACAGTGATTTGATTGAATTAATTTCTTACCCAAAATGAAGTTGTGGCATCACAGAAAACAATTTGTTCATTATGAGAAACCTTCAGGCTCCCCTGCCTTTCATCTCTTATAGCCGAAGTCTTTGTGGTAGAATCCCAACCTTGGAGCAATATCTCATAGGTGTCAACATCAAGGTTTCCTGCAGTCTTTGAAAGTTGGACATGTCCATCATGGCACGCTTGTACATCAAATGTGAAAAAGTCTTTGCCAGTAACGTCTATTGGTGTATGTGTGAAGTAATAGTCGTTCGGGGTAATAATTGGTACTGTAATGTAAATTTGATATGGTTATGATATAATATATACGGGATATATATCTTTATCATTTTAAGTTATCTACATGAATTAGTGCTGGTAATGATGGCAGCAAGTTGATGTAAATGTTATCATATTCTATCGGAGTGATTTCAATTTTAAATCCTTTCTTCCTATAATAACTATTAACACCAGTGTTTGGGTCTAAGAGATCATAACTTTATTTCTTTAAACACACACATATTAACAAATAAAACTCACAACACATGACATTATGTCAACACAGTATGATCCCTATTTATAAAGCAGAAAACATCAATTAACTTGTGGAACTACTGATGCAACTACACATTTATGTATAATATGACAAAAGGGTGGGAGGGGGGGGGCCTGAATTTTTTACTTCCTGTACAAAAGTTGCTACTGGTTAGGAATATTCATATTGTGTTTTAGCACAATCAGGCACCTGGCACAACCCACCCATCCATCCATATTTAATCTCAATTCTTCACAGAATATCATTTAAATCCTTTCTTCCTATAATAACTATTAACACCAGTGTTTGGGTCTAAGAGATCATAACTTTATTTCTTTAAACACACACATATTAACAAATAAAACTCCAACTACCCAAACACTGAAAAAAAAGAAAAGAAAGGAAGAAAGTGGTAGATGTAAATTAAGTATTAGGATGCCGAACCTATACCCTACGATGTCAAATTATAAAACAGACAGTTTTGCTTTAGCACTGAATTGCTTACAATATTTCAGTTGAACATTAGATGGTATTTCATCAAGGTAACCTAAATAAGCCATACTCTTCCAATCCCCCATACCTTTAATTATTTCTCCAGGTATTCCACATGACATTGCAAAAACAGCGGAGCCCCTTCGAAAGCTATGAGTTCCAAACTTAGAACTGTCTTTACCAAAGCTCTTAAGAGAACTCTTGAATTTCTTTGCAAAACACTGGCCTGTGAAAGGCTTACCTGATTGGGGGTTTACAAATAATGGATCTGACATGCATTTAACTGGTGTTTTTGCCATTGCAATTGACAATGCACTAACAGGACATAATTTGTGAGGATACGTGTTTACCAAATGCACTACTCTTGACTTCTCTTTGTATTGATTATTCTTGGCCCATTTTACTGACAATTGTATGTTACCTTGATTGTCAATTTTAACTGAGTTCCTACAAAATTGTTTTTCATTGTTAAACCCACCTACAGTATCAGGCATCAAATTTGATTTTCTGAACATTCCATAAAACAACACGAGGCAAATAGCCCAAAAAACACAATCAAGGGTATCACATAGATCTAATGTATCTTTCATTTGTGACAATAAAGTGGGGGTAACTGGTTCTTTTTTATGAACTTCAGCACCAAGTTGCCTTTTTATCCCCATCAATGTTGATTTAACTAGCCAACTATCTTTATAAGGGTGCTCAAATCCACATTCCAAGTGAATAAGTCTCACAATATTGAGATATTGTGGTATGCTCGTGTATTTCAAACGTCTTGCTAAATAAGCAGCATATTCAGCAACAGTCTCTTCTGTTACTGGGACAGGTTGTAATCCAAGTTCATTACAGAAACGCAAATACGAATTACGTTGAGAAGAGTATGTTTTCTTTGTATTGTCAGAGAAAGCTTGTAGTCTATACTTTGCTACCTCTTGCTGTAATTCTTCTTTGAAAGCCAGTGACATACCTGTGGTAATAGAGACAATACAGTTTTCACTGACATATGTTTATGCAACACATGAAACAATACATAGTTGCCATGGAACCAATTAGACAGCAAACTGCTTAGATGAGATAATTGGCCATATGTATGGAGTCTTGAAATCGTATCAGCCATAATATTCACTTTAGTTCCAATAGATTTCACAGAGAATGTAAAATTATTCCTGGCACTTGCCCAAAATGTATTTCTAAGCAGTTGCATTATATAATCATTATGATTACACCTCCCTTTATTGACAATGCCCCTGGCCACTGAACTGTCAGAGTAGATATTGACATGGCAATCTTTCCATAATGTGCCCCATCGATTCACTGCTGCACATATAGCTATAATTTCCTTGTAATTTATATGTAGATGTTTAGCACTTTTCCAATCTAACTCAAAACATATATATTCCCAATCGCCTTGAGAAAATATCCCAGCACCATCACTGCTGGCATCCACAAATACACTGATTACTTCCTTTGTATTATAATACACTGTACCATCGCATATATCCAACATGGCACACCACCACTGGACATCTTTTTTGAATGCCTGAGATAACAACACTTTATCTCTACTACCTTTCATCTTCCTGAGATTATCCAATATACGTCGCAGAAAAAATTTGCCTCCACGAACCGCATGTGTTGCATAACTTAAGGACCCTACCAACGATTGTAGTTGACGTTTTGATGCACGTTTTTTATTACGAAATAACTCCAACTTGTCACGTAACTTATTTCGTTTTGCCTGGCCTAATGAGACCGTACAGTCCACAGTATTGATTTCCACACCTAAGAAGGTAACCATCTGACTTGGTCCACATACTTTAGACCAGTTTATCTGGAACCCAAGTGTCCTCAATAGATTAATCAATACATTTAAACACTTTTGACAGTCTGCTGCTGTCTCCTGTACAATGAGAAAGTCATCGAGATACGCTACAATCCCAGAATAGCCTTTCCTATTCATGATACGTTTCACTGCTTGTGATATACGTGTAAAAATTGAACATCCTTGATTAGACCCAAAAGGCAATCTGCTATCAAAGATATTAGTCACAGTTTCATCACCTTGAAATTTCCATTGCAGGCCTGTCATACAATAGTCAATACAAGATATAGGAACACTACGATAGGCATTTTTCAAGTCAATTTTTGCGATGAAGTAATTAGGTTTGGCTAAACGTTTTGCTTTATCCAATGTTTCATATTTCACAGAATTACTTTCTGAATAGTCATTCATAGCACAGCCTACAGGTCTACTACCATCATGTATAAGTCGAACATCCACTCCACTTGATTTTGGAATCGCCGCAAGTGGACTAACAATTTTTGGAACAGTTTTGGCAATGATATAACATCCATGTTTTATTTGGGTTTTCAATTCCTTTTCAACTAATGTCCTATGTTCAAATGCTGACTTGTGGTTTTGCATATATACAGATTTTACTTTCACTTCATTATCAATGTCTGTGATTCTAAATCCACTTTTAATACCATTCATTATATAATCATAATCACAATCATTCTTCATTAAACGTTCCCATTCCTCATGCTTAGAGGATATTGAATAGTAATTACCAAGGAAATCAGTATTACATGGGTCTATCAAACCAAATGGAGACTGTTTATTCTGCGACTGTCTGTCCTATTCATCTTTTGTACTTGAAGACTCGGTCTTCGGATGATCTTTCCCATGATGTTCACTTTTATTACAGGTTTTGCATTTATGCGCAAACTTGCAGGCGTCCCCATATGAACAAGTCCCTTTATTGTTCCATTGATCACAGTACAGTACCCTATTAGATGACCATGTTGAAGTTTTCTTTTTTCCAATGGCATTTGGTTTGTTAAAATCGTTTTTAGGGGGCCTCCTTTCTAAATGTACCTCTGATAGATGGGGAGTATCCGTTCCCCATCTAAACATGTATACATTTTGTTTTTTCCTATAGTCATCGTCATATTTTAACACTGATGGCCATGTATACCTACACGCTAAGTTACCGATCTTTGCAGTATATGCTACATAATCCAAAACATCAATACTGCTCGACAAGAGATGTTTACGCATGAGTTCCGCTTGTATTGAAGCATTAGCAGAAACCCATTGTGCTGGGGTCACATTTTCAATTTTTAATTTCGCTGTTTTACGTTTGAATGTATATTCTCCAAAATCAATATCTGTGTCCTCCTCATGTTCTAGGCCAGGGACATAGTCAACTATTTTGAGATATGAATTATTACCTTTATCTCCTTTCCTAAAGAGGTAAACTTGAGGATCCATGTAATCGGCCTGATGGCGTTCTGCAGCTGTAGCTGGTTTGTTGCCAAGTAAGTCTTCGAGAAATTTTAATCCAACCGTAGCCTCTGTTGATTTTCCTGGCTGAACTTTCGAAATGTCTTCAAGGAGGGGGCCAGTGCCAGCCTCACGTTGTAACTGTTTTACCCCAGCTAGTAGGGATCGTATTTCACCTTTTTTCAATGCAACACCGTCCAAATCCTCACTACTCATGTTGATAAGTGAAGAAATGTTGTCAAATCCTTCTGACAAGAGCCACTTTTGAGAGTCTTCTGTTATTTCAGAGAATTTAATCCACTTATCAAACTCAAATTTTTCCATGATGAGCTTAATTTTACTAACTATTACTAACAAAGATCAGCTTATTTGCAAATAAAGAGAAAACTACTGAGTAATTCCATATCACATGGCCTGAATTTTTTACTTCCTGTACAAAAGTTGCTACTGGTTAGGAATATTCATATTGTGTTTTAGCACAATCAGGCACCTGGCACAACCCACCCATCCATCCATATTTAATCTCAATTCTTCACAGAATATCATTTTATTTTGACATGATATCCTATGAATATCACAGTAATTATGGAATTACAAATAAAACATCAAAATATGCTAAATCAATGCATTATTATTATTCATTAATATCAACATAATTATTATGATATTATAATATAATTGCTCGCCATTTTGAAAAAATAGGTATTATACCAGGTTGGTTGCATGTTTCTCCAGAGATCCAATGCACACAATCACATATGAAATCAAAGGGAGATGTTCCAGTCACTGTGCACGTACCACCATTCTCACATGGACTCTGGACACATGCATCTGTAAACATTGGCATTTGAAAAAAAATATTTAAAATTAATGGATTAATACATGTACATTGTATACAAAATCTAAGTTGTTGAGTTTTTTGAGGTTTTTTATCCGAAGAGATAATTTGGTCAAGAATTGTCAATTATGAAGTGTGAGTTCCAAGATCGTAGAATTTTGTCAAAGTTGCATATTGGTCTTGTTATTCATGGTATTTTTCTTTGCCTGCATTACCATTCATGGTAAGGTAAAAATATGATATTGCATGTACACAAATTCAATGAATTGAAACAGCATCTGATCTATGCACAGTTCTCTCCTCATTCAATGCTTTTTGGACAGGATGTACAAAATGTATGTTAGTAATTTAGAATTTCACACAATAGTAACTACTTTGTTTCTATCATTAATTTAGCCTAACCTTAACCAAATTACCTTAGGATTTCCACTGATAAGTTTGTTTGTCTCGGTTTGTAGAATTTTGTTCTGTTTTGAATTAGTTCTTGATATTTCTGTTCTTAGTTGACACAATATTGATCTCAAGGTTTGTATTATGGCATTTGTTATCACCATATTAGTCAATATATGGCACAGTTAGATTGATTTTTATTTTTCATGTATTGATTTTCAATTTTCTAATGAAAAAATCATGGTGCTGAATATCTAAAATTAAAGGCTGAATGTTTTTAAAAGGGTAGTCAATATCACTTACCACACAAAGGGGCTTCTCCCTCTGAAACCTGAAACAATAATTCTAATGATTAATTAGCGATTCCTTCTGCTGGCAAAAATCTGTCAGTGAGTGTAATATATGTGTCTCGTTGCAAATAAGGCATTATTGGCAGGAAAAATTTCCATGCATGAAATTTTCGGGAATTTTTTACTTTTCTATTTGGGTGCTTTTTATAATGGTCTGAAGGATGTATTTTCAATTTTCTAAATGCCCGGGCGCTAATTGCAGAGAATATAGTAAGTATTAACATGGAAGAATGTTTTTATCACACCCTAAGGTGCTATATTGTAATCAGTTTGCCGGGCGGTTGGGCGGGCGGGCGGTTGGACGGGCGGGCGGTTGGACGGGCGGGCGTCTCGAATAATCTTGTCTATAGGTTTCCAGCCAAACCGTTTGAGGGATTCATTTGAAATTCTCAGGGATGTTTCTACCTATGAAAGTTTAGAACTGATTAGTTTTTCGGCATTCTGGGTAAATGTTAAGGCAGCCATTTTGGATTTTCCATCCTAAAATCTTGTCTGTCAAGGCTTGTCTACAGGTTTCCAGCCAAACCGTTTGAGGGATTCATTTGGAATTCTCAGGGATGTTTCTACCTATGAAAGTTTAGAACTGATTAGTTTTTCGGCATTCTGGGTAAATGTTAAGGTGGCCATTTTGGATTTTCCATCCTAAAATCTTGTCTGTCAAGGCTAATGTCTATAGGTTTCCAGCCAAACCGTTTGAGGGATTCATTTGGAATTCTCAGGGATGTTTCTGCCTATGAAAGTTTAGAACTGATTAGTTTTTCGGCATTCTGGGTAAATGTTAAGGCGGCCATTTTGGATTTTCCGTCCTAAAATCTTGTCTTTCAATTGGCTTGTCTACAGGTTTCCAGCCAAACCGTTTGAGGGATTCATTTGAAATTCTCAGGGATGTTTCTACCTATGAAAGTTTAGAACTGATTAGTTTTTCGACATTCTGGATAAATGTTAAGACGGCCATTTCTGTTCAAGGGTGCGATATTGTTCACCGTGTGTATTTTTTGTGGTTCACATCATTCTGAGTTACATTCCATCAACATAAAAACCAATTACAATCGGTAAAATTGATTATCTGTGGATGTGAAAGCTCCCAAGTAATTTTCGCACCGATCCATATTCTTCAATTGTGAGCTTTTTATCATTTGGCTGTAGTTATAAATGATTTCCAAAAACCATTACAGCTGTTAGCTTCCTGTTTTCAATGATACCTTTTGGAGAGATGTCTCTATGTTGTTGGACATTTTTTTGAAAATAATTCTTAGCTGATTAGGTTTGGGGCAGACTTTTTGAATGTTTTAAGAAATGACTGGATGTATTATTTAATTTAGGCCTAATTGGATTTTATTCAAATTGTATTGGTTAATACCTTATTGGCATAGCAAAGCTGCATTTAAAATGGCAGCATTTTTTGTTAAAAGATGTTCTTTAATTTAAATACGATACGAGTTATGTTATTTTGTCCAAATTTTATAGGATTTTGTCTTATTGGAACAGGACCTCTGCTCGAGAGGGATTTTCAATATGGCCACTGAATTCAAAACTCAAAGTCTATCCACTTGAGATTTTTGTGCAGTTTTGTAGGTATGGGGCTCTCCCCAAGAGGGTGTCATGTCACATAAAAGGTGTAGATTTTGCCAAAAGGAGCAACAATACTATTTGTTACAACAAATAATTTTCCATGAGTGCCATTGATACAATGCTAAGATTCTTTGAAACCTTCGTTTATTTGTTTGACAATCAAAATTTTCATGGTTAATCACAACAAGTACATTGACACCTGATCATCCCATAGAATGTCATTTGAGTTTTAGACAGATTCAGCCATCACTGTTTGATAAATCATGAAATTAAGTGATTATTGCAAGCTTTTAACATTGAAGTGAATTGCTGTCTGGCCCAAGCAAAATGAAGAATGACAAGGATGACATCAGTTATTTCAGCTTTAAGCTGTTAGCTTTCAGCTACTTTGTAGACTATAGAAACTATACTATTATTTGAGAATTGTTCAAAAATACTACTTCAGACCAAAAACATTCTTACCTGCTTGTAATAGGTCATATCAGTGTTAGGAACTAATGCAGAATTATTTCCTTCAGCAATACACGGCACCAGATCACATTGTGCCATCCCTGTTTTACCAAGCTCAAAATTGAATGAATAACAATCATCTTTTTTCTCACATAAGAGGCTACATTTAAGAGCACTTTTGACAGATCTATTCTCTAGTGTATACCCATCTAAAGACTGGCCGTCAACTCCTTTCTTGAATAAAGTATTAGATGTTGACGATAGTGAAACACCAATCAAGACCAAAAAATATATAATGTACTTTTTCACTCGTCCCATTGTGATAGGTTCCTTTTTCACTACTCCATGAGCTACTGCTTATTATAAAAAACCTTAAGATTTCTCCTGTATAAATGTTTTCTCATTATTGGGGCAGTGTATTTTGTATGGTTATAGATTACCCAATAACATTCTTTTATTTTTTGCATTTCCTCATCATCGATTACATGTTAATTGAAAATAGGAATGTTTTGATACTACTGAATTAAAGGAGCCATTGTAAGTCTAAACCATATGACATATTTAGTGATGAAGACCTGGCAATGTATGAAGCAGCTGACTGAGTCTAATCAGTAGTAATAAGATTGTAGCTATGAGAAACTTAGGCATTAACATGCAAAAAATCGCCACAATTTGTTACAGATTCCAACCCCCAACGCAAATCGTCAACCACCGCCACAAAATGACGGAGACCATAACAATGTGGCGACATAAAAATGAGAAAAAATGTACAGTGATTTGTTGTAAACAGGTGCTTTAAGTCATGATTCAAAAAGTTAAGACAAACTTAGTTAGGTGAGGCTTGTGAGAGCCTTTAACATTTGGAATAATCAATGGAATAATCAAAACACATTGAATGAAATCTCTATTGATGAATAGACATTCAATACAAAATCTAAGTATGAAGTTGTATTGCTGGGACCTCCATTGTGTTTTTTTCAATTATGTAACAGAATCTATGATTCTTTTAATTTGTCAGATACTTGCTTGATTTGAATGGCTATTATTGTTAACTTTTACTGTATACAGTAAAATCTGTCTAATTTGAATGCCTCTGGGATCAGACAAAAGTGTTCGGATTAGCAGGTGTTCACATTTCAAGGTTTATGACTTCATGCAATTACTTTGCAATATCATATATTAGTTTGAGTTTTCATACACAGAAGTTAAAATTGTTGTTGTCTATCTTCTTTACAACCAAATAGTCCATTCTCCACTTGCTCCAAATCCTGAAGTGAACTGTACTGCATTCACAGGATGTGAAAATGGATCATACCACTTCAGGAAGGTTTCTCTACCATACACATGGCCCTTGCCTACCTCTATGTAACCACCTGCCCAGCTGATCTAAAATTGAAAATATTGAAATTCGACAAATATTATATGATGTCAAGCAAGGTTTTTCTGACTCAGTAAGTTTAAAATTAACATTGACTTTTACTGGAACATTGATTTAGAGAAAAAGCTTTGATCAGGGACAGACTTACATAATACATTTTTGTGATCTGACGATTATCATTATTAGATGGATTAAAAAAAAGCATTTGAATTTGAATGGAATTGTTTCTCACCCAAAATGCTAATGTGGCATCACAGTATACAACTTGTCCATTATGGTACACTTTGAGTTTCCCTTGCCTTTTATCTGTTATGGCTGAAGTCTTTGGGCCATTATTCCAACCTTGGAGCAATATCTCATACACTGTAGGTGTCCTTATCAATGTTTCCTGCTGTCTTTGAAAGCTGGATATGTCCATCGTGGCACGTTCTTACATCAAATGTAAAGAAGTTAGTGCCAGTGACGTCTATTGGCTTGTGCTTGAAGTCATACTTGTTAGGGGCCGTCCAGATAGTTTTTACTCCTTCATTCAAACAGTTGCCTAGTGCCAGGTGTACCACACATAGTACAATGATGCATACACACAGCATAATTACCTTTAAATATTATTAAATTCAAATCAGAGTGCAAATCTAGGATGATCAATTTATATTTAGAAAAATAGGTTACTAATATAAAATCAAAACCCATATACACTAACAATAAGGAAATGAACATTTTGTCTAATTTTAATGTTCCTTTGAGGTATGTGATTTTGCAATGGCATTTTAAAAAGGCAAAAATGGAAAATACATAAATACTACCATGTCTTGGTCTTTCTGAATTTATACATTGGATATACAATTTTTGAGACAATAAACCCCAACTCTGGAGAGGTACTAACAGATTGATTGCTGATTGTATTTGCTTGTACTATCATGGTACTCCTGATGTCTTCATAGTCTGAATGTTTATATGTTTAATGCATATGTCATAAGTGCTTTCATCCATGGGTGCTTTAAAGTGAGTGTGAATCTATATAGAGTGCACGGGTGTCTGTACTCGGGGACTATAAATGGGCTCAACCAAAGTTTGGCTCAGATAGGTGTCAGAGGACGGTCGAAACACATGCTTTACAATAATCCATATGCTTGCAAGTCTAACTATGTAACATATTTTATATTGCAAGTACGTATTCAAGATGTTACTCATAAGGCATATTTTCATGTATTGAGTTTTGAGTATATATTTTGGATAAATATTGAAAATGTATACTGCATTATTTATCAGACCAACACCACAGGCTGGTATCGAAACATTTGTCTGCTTTGACGGAGCATGTTATTTTTCATAAAAAAACACTAAGAAAACCACATAATTTGTTTTTAACTCATATGTTTCGTTAAACCAAAGAAAATTACTATTCCATGCAATGGATACATCATTTGCGGGTAACTTTCACTTCTGTTTGAAGTCCAATAACGCTGGGAGGAAAAGCTATTGAAAATGGTGCCGGAAACAATAGTCTATAGAAACGATTGCAACATATGTTTATTTTCTATAAAATATGTGATAATCAGGGTTTTGTGTCAAATAAATGCCCTTTCAAATTAGTACATTTCCTTATTTATGTACTTTTTACCCATTTATAGAGAATGATGAAACTTTATGCAGTGCTTTAGTCGTACATTTTTTCTCAAGAGGGGTTTACCGCCACCTGTCCTTTGAAAAAAATTAAAAATGTGTTAAAATGCATTAATTTATTTGCGAATAATTGATGCTTCTACCGTATCTGTATTTTTACCATTGTCAACATTTAAAGTTGTAAAAAACACTTAGATTCCATCAAATAACGTCCTTGAAAAAAATTTCCTGGGGAAGCATACCCCCCGACCCCCGCGATACGTGCATGGCCTTCGGCCGCGCAATCAGGCATCCCTGAGTGTGCGTACCAACTCAAAATATAGCCCTACGCCCATGTTTACAAAGTGTAGATTGAAATGTGATATTTTGAATATTTCAGATTTAATTATGGTAATATTTTTATTTCTTTCATAAAACTAATATTAGCGAACCCCCATCGTCGTTATTAAATTCAGAGGGCCATTGAAATTGATATTTACTCTAATCAAAATGAAATCTTACATAGTAGAGATACATGTAATGCATGATTGTACTTGAAAATGTAGTAAACAGCTAGTTCCATCTCTAAACATTCCTGGTGACAGAAAGCTCAATTTTCCTAGATGACATTAATGGGGGATTTAAAACATGAAATATTGGGCGGTTCGCTAATATTTGTTTTATAAAAGAAATAAAAATAGAACCATAATTAAATCTTAAATACTCAATAGATTACAATTCAATCTACACTATGAAAAAGAAATCAAAATTGTTGGTGACATTGATAACGTCCAAATAAGGCGACAAACTCATTCTCCAAACCGAGAATGGTTCTTTATAGGTACATATATCAGTTAATGATATTTTATATGGAAAATATTAATCGCTATAACCAGAAAACGATCAACCATATTCAAACATAAGAGATCCGGTTGTGTAGTTGAACAAACGTTTAGGGTATGATATGAATATTTTATTATTTTTTTATGATTTTTTATTTGAAAAACAAAGGATGTATTCTTCGAAAATCCACCCATAAATTGAGCTGCAAGACCACATCACAATATATATGTCATGTGGTTAAACAGGGTATACATGTAATTAAATGCATAGGAATATATGCAGAACGCTTAATGATATTCATTTATATGGAAAATATTAATCGCTATAATCAGAAAAATGAAAATGCATACAAAATGTTATTGCCATACTCAAATGATCTTACAAAAGAATGCAGAGGTGACATCTACGTGTAAAAGAGATTAAGATGATTGGAACTAGGCCTAAAAATTACTTTACATTAAAGTGTGTATTTTTTATCGCACTTTGCTATATTGTCGTCGTCTTGTGCTGTTGGGCGGGCGTGCGGGCGGGCGGGACATAAACCAAATCTTGTCATCAAATTTCCAGGATAACTGCATACCTGTTCAACTTGAAATTTTTACAGATGCAAGAGCAGACTAGTACCAAAATCTGATTAGGTTAAGGGCATGCTGGGTAAACTATGTGGCGGCCATTTTGAATTTTTCAACAAATCTTGTCATCAAAATTCCAGGAAAACCACTTATCAGTTCAACTTGAAATTTTTACAGATGCAAGAGCAGACTATTGCCAAGATCTGATTAGGTTTTGGGTATGCTGGCTGAATTACATGGTGGCCATTTTGAATTTTTCAATTTGGCGGCCATTTTGAATTTTTCAACTTGCTCCAAATTGACCCAATTTTTTTCAAAAACATCTACAAGTTCTCAGAAGTTCAAATCTGACCTTAGATTTCAGATTTGAACTTTCATTCACCTTCAGTGACCTTGAAAAGGTCAAAAAAGTTGATTTTCTAAATTGATATTTTGGATTTAAATTTAGGTCAGCTTAATTACAAAACACCTACTGAGGTCTGAAAAAGTTAAATTTTCAACGTCGAAGGTCAAGGTCATTAAACTAGGTCACAAATGATGTTATCCAAGTTTCTCAAAGTTTGAGACTACAAATCAATTCTTGTCATCAAAATTCCAAGAAAACCGCTAACCTGTTCAACTTGAAATTTTTACACAAGCAATAGCAGACTAGTTCCAAGATCTGATTAGGTTAAGGGCATGCTGGGTAAACTACGTGGCAGCCATTTTGAATTTTTCAACAAATCTTGTCATCAAATTTCCAGGAAAACCACTTATCCGTTCAACTTGAAATTTTTACACATGCAAGAGCAGACTATTGCCAAGATCTGATTAGGTTTTGGGTATGCTGGCTGAATTACATGGTGGCCATTTTGAATTTTTCAATTTGGCGGCCATTTTGAATTTTTCAACTTGCTCCAAATTGACCAAATTTTGTTTTTAAAAACATCTACAAGTTCTCAGAAGTTCAAATCTGACCTTAGATTTCAGATTTGACCTTTCGTTGACCTTCAGTCCCCTTGAAAAGGTCAAAAATTTGATTTTCTAAATTGATATTTTGGATTTAAATTTAGGTCAGCTTAATTACAAAAGACCTACTGAGGTCTGAAAAAGTGAAATTTTCAAGGTCGAAGGTCATCAAATTAGGTAACAAACAATGTTATCTAAATTTTCCCAAAGTTCAAGACTACAAATAAATTCTTGTCATCAAAATTGCAGGAAAACCGCTGACCTTGTCAACTTGAAATGTTTACAGATGCAAGAGCAGACTAGTGCCAAGGTCTGATTAGGTTTTGGCCATGCTGGGTAAATTGCATGGTGGCCAGTTTGCTCTTCAAAGTGCGATATTTATCACTGTGTGTCTTGTTTGTATTAAAATCTTAACATCATTCTGCTTCATATTCAGGCATAAAAAATGGGGGTCACTGACTTTGTTTTTTACTTAAACATAGAAAACATTTTGGTACTCCATGTTAGGGTGTAGGCGAGTAGGCATGGGCGTAGCGCCTATTACGCAAAATACGCACAGGCGTACCAAATGAATTTGAAAACAATTAAAAATGTGTTAAAATGCATAAATTTATTTGCAAATTTATTGATGCTTTAACCTATCGTATCTGTATGTTTACCATTATCAACATTTAAAGTTGATAAAAACGCTTAGATTCCATCAAATAACATCCTTGAAAAATATGCTCCCCCGGACCCCCCGCGATGTGCGGCCTTCGGCCACACAATCAGGCATCCCCGAGTGTGTGTAACAACTCAAAATATAGCCCTACGCCCATGGTAGGGGATTTAGAGGATGGAATATCTCAAAATCTGAACGATCAGTTTTTTAAAATTTTGCACACATGTTAGTTTATTAAGCATAATTGATCTTAAGAAAATAAAAATTATACGTCACTGACTACGTTTTTTAATAAAGGTCCTCGAATGAATATTTTTGCGATGGTTTTACATTTTCATTCAACTTATGGAGTGATTAATATTCATAAACTTCCTATTATTTACTCTAAAAAGAATCTTCTTGTGTGTCAGACTTTCAGACCAGAAGTACAAAGGGCAACATAAAAATATATAAACTTATTTTTGCCAATAACCTAATCATACTCATATAAATTATTATGCAAAATAATGATACATTTGTTGTAAAACTATTCAAATCTAATTTCTTCAATAAATCGTCCTTTTTCCTAGAACACATGTTGATATATAGCTATCAGCTGTACTGTATTTGTAATGTCGATAACAGAAAATTAACACTATTTGAACAGACACCAACAACATACATTTTTATTCTAAATTCCTTTGCTTTGCATTTCATAACCATTAAACAAAAACATTTTCAGCTCATGAATTTATTATAATTTCAGAACAACTATTTGGTACAGATCTATCTCTCTTTATCTAATATCCTCTGTAAAGCCAGTAATGTTCACTATTAAACATAGACTGTCCATGTTCCATTTGCTCCAAATCCTGAAGTGAACTGCACTGCATTCACAGGATGTGGTGATGGGTCCTTCCACTGCAGGAAGGTATCTCTACCATACACATGGCCCCTGCCCACCTCTATGTAACCACCTGACCAGCTAATCTAAAATTTAAAAAGTTGAAATTTTATGAATATTTTTTGATGGCAAATAAGATATATTCTGACTCACTTACTTTTAAACTGTACATTTTTACTGTAACTTTTATTAACCAAAATTACAATTTTTCTGATCTAAATACTATCATTATATAGATTTACAAAGAGCTTTTGAATTTGAATGGAATTGTTTCTCACCCAAAATGCTAATGTGGCATCACAGTATACAACTTGCCCAATATGGTACACTTTGAGTTTCCCTTGCCTTTTATCTCTTATGGCTGAAGTCTTTGGGTCATTATTCCAACCTTGGAGAAGTATCTCATAGGTGTCCTTATCAAGGTTTCGTGCAGTCTTTGAAAGCTGGATATGTCCATCATGGCATGTTTTTACATTAAATGTGATGAAGCTTTTGCCACTGACATCTATTGGTGTGTGCTTGAAGTGATAGTCATTTGGGGTTGAGATTATTTTTAATGGGGCTTCGTACATGTATGTCCATGTTCCACCTGCTCCAAATCCAGAAGTGAACTGTACTGCGTTCACAGGATGTGGTGATGGATCCTTCCACTGCAGGAAGGTATCTCTACCATACACATGGCCCTTGCCTACCTCTATGTAACCACCTGACCAGCTTATCTAAAATTAAAAAAAATTATTAGATAATGAAGTTGTGCAAATCTCTTATCTTTCTGTATATAATGAAACTGAAAGTTTATCTTCGAGCTTGTGGATGGCATTTCAACCAAGTGACAAGACCAAGAGAGTCCATGGTTCAGTTACAAGCTGACTTTTATTACGTCCCCACCACATAGTGTGGGGCCATATTGTCCGCCTAGGTGCTTCTGTCTGTCTGTCCGAGAGTTTTGAGTTCTCACAATAAATTATTTAGTAGGTTTAAAAATAATTACTGGTGTCCTTTACAGAGAAACTCATGTCCCAGTTCACAATAGGTATACAATAATTTTGTTTAAAAAATTGAAAAACAAAAATATATGTCTGCATTTTTATTGTCGGTAAGTCTTCTTCTTGTTTTCAGGCAAATCATTTTAGGGATCAATTTTCAGGGATGATTCTTAGTATTGTAAACTTTAACTGATTATGTTTTGGTGTTCTGGGTATATGTTAAGGCGGCCATTTTGAATTTTCCATCCTAAAATCATGTCTAAAGTGTTGTCTACGCGTTTTCAGGCTGATTGTTTCACAGATCAATTAAATTTTTCAGGAATGGTTCATAGTATGCAAATCTCGAATCTAATTTTGGATTTTCCATACTATCTTGTCTGTAATGTCTTGTCTACGCACTTTCAAGCTAATCGTTTCATCAAATTTTGAGGGATGATTTTTAGTATGAAATTCTGGAACTGATTAGGTTTGGGCATTCTAGGTAAATGTTAAGGTGGCCATTTTGGATTTTCCGTCCTAAAATGTTATGTCATGTGATAGATCCATATAAGGCTTGAAAGATGTATGGAAAGCTAAGGGGAATCCCCGATCCAAATACCAAAGAATTATGGGAGCCACTCACTTCTTCTGTTATGTAACTCTAGAAGTGATAAGTTTGTATGCCTGGTAAATATTCTACAGCCATTTTTCTTTCTTGTTTCCATCAATCTCAGTTAGTCTGATTCATCATTAATCACAGATTTGTCAAAGATAATCATTTTCTTACCCAAAATGAAGTTGTGGCATCACAGTACACAACTTGTCCATTATGGTACACTTCTAGTTTTCCCTGTCTGCTATCTCTTATGGCTGAAGTCTTTCTGACAGTGTTCCAACCTTGGAGAAGTATCTCATAGGTGTTCTTATCAATGTTTCCTGCTGTCTTTGAAAGCTGGATATGCCCATCATGGCATGTTTTTACGTCAAATGTGAAGAAGGTTTTGCCACTGACATCTATTGGAGTGTGCTTGAAGTCATAGTTGTTTGGAGTCAAAATTGTTTTTATCTCTGGTTCTGATGTTCCTTTGATTATAATACAAATGTATGAAAACTATATATATATTCTTTTATTGACTCCTATATATGTGAGTCTCTCCGACACATGGGTCACTGTACAGTTATTTACATGTGTTTTATATACAAAAAGTCATAAGCAAAATATAAAAATCATTACAACATGATTCTAATGTAGCGTTGATATCAGACTGAAAACACCTTTTCAAATAGGCTTAACAAACATGATTGCTACAAAATGTACATTCTATGATACAAACTAAATTTACAAACATTTACAAACTATGATGCCTTGGGGGACTTGGGGTGTTCGGTACTAGATCAGGGGGGAAATTTCCAAAAGATCACCTTTCATATTGGTATGTTCGATAACCAATTTTATAAAAAATGCCTCATTTGCCATTGAAATGGATCTCTCAATGTTTGCTTGTGTTCTATGAGTATTCTCTGAAAGTTTTGATCGTGTAACTTCAATAATATTACCGTAGTTTTGAAATGATAATGTTGAACTGATGTTAAACTGAAAAAACGTCATTTGAACGATTTCAAATTTTACTTTGTGCATGCGCTGCACTGAGAAAGAATGTGCTCATGATCGTTCACGTGATCACATCCTGCAATTTGATTGGAGATCTAAAACGGGGAATCCCCAAATACGATAGAATATGAAAGAATTATGCGGGAGCCACTCACTTACTGGTACTAGATATTATATATTCCTACATCAAGGCATATGCAAATGAGATACAATTCACATCTTGTGGGCATAATATTGTATGGTGCGGTTTTAAAAAACTGCATAATATTGATCTGTGTGCAGCTTGAAAATGACAGGGGTTGCCTATCAGATATCATTGGAAAAAATGTTAAAGCTGTAATAAATTTTAAGAATTTTACTTCATTTAAAAATCTCTATAAAATTAGGGAACTTCTAAACATCCCAAGGTATCATAGATTTCAAATTTTACACAAAAACTCAATATTAAGCATTTAGGTACTAGTAACTAAAATCAGGAATAACCATTACATTAGCCTGGTCCATAATCGGTAGCTGCATCTACCATTGTTTAGTAGTTAGTAAAGCGCTAGGATGACATACCTTGCTCACCTATCTTTACAATTTCATCTAGTATTGCTTGTTTTGTAGCGAGGATTTCAGCTTTTAGTTCTTTTTCCAGTTTAGTTATTTGTTCTGATGTGCAAGTCTTCATCTTCTGTTTCCCTGATGACATATGTACAGCACATAATACCAAAATGTATATGTGCATGACGGTCACCTGTAAAATCAAATCAAAGTACAGAATCACTAGTAGCAATTGCTTTTTATCGCACTTTGAAAAAGTGCTATATTGTCGTCGTCTTGTGCTGTTGGGCGGGCGGCACATAAACAATCTTGTCATCAAATTTCCAGGATAACTGCTTACCTGTTCAACTTGAAATTTTTACAGATGCAAGAGCAGACTAGTACCAAGATCTGATTAGGTTAAGGGCATGCTGAGTAAACTACGTGGCGGCCATTTTGAATTTTTCAACAAATCTTGTCATCAAAATTCCAGGAAAACCACTTATCCGTTCAACTTGAAATTTTTACAGATGCAAGAGCAGACTATTGCCAAGATCTGATCAGGTTTTGGGTATGCTGGCTGAATTACATGGTGGCCATTTTGAATTTTTCAATTTGGTGGCCATTTTGAATTTTTCAACTTGCTCCAAATTGACCCAATTTTTTTTTTAAAAACATCTACAAGTTCTCAGAAGTTCAAATCTGACCTTAGATTTCAGATTTGACCTTTCATTCACCTTCAGTGACCTTGAAAAGGTCAAACAAAAAGTTGATTTTCTAAATTGATATTTTGGATTTAAATTTAGGTCAGCTTTATTACAAAACACCTACTGAGGTCTGAAAAAGTTAAATTTTCAAGGTCGAAGGTCAAGGTCATTTAACTAGGTCACAAATGATGTTATCCAAGTTTCTCAAAGCTTGAGACTACAAATCAATTCTTGTCATCAAAATTCAAAGAAAACCGCTAACCTGTTCAACTTGAAATTTTTACACATGCAATAGCAGACTAGTGTTAAGATCTGATTAGGTTAAGGGCATGCTGGGTAAACTATGTGGCGGCCATTTTGAATTTTTCAACAAATCTTGTCATCGAAATTCCAGGAAAACCACTTATCCGTTCAACTTGAAATTTTTACAGATGCAAGAGCAGACTATTGCCAAGATCTGATTAGGTTTTGGGTATGCTGGCTGAATTACATGGTGGCCATTTTGAATGTTTCAATTTGGTGGCCATTTTGAATTTTTCAACTTGCTCCAAATTGACCAATTTTTTTTTTAAAAAACATCTACAACACTGGTGATCCACTCGATTACGCTGGTTACCAAAACGATTCGTTTTGGTAACAAAATGTCGGAACATCCGGAAGGTACGATTTTTCTCGTTTCCTTATTTTACACGTTGTAGGCAGAATTCCCACGACATTTTTTAACACAAACGTGTATCAGTATCATATGTTTAAGAAAGTGTACATATTTGCGAACAAATAGTCCAGAAGACAACAGAATCGTCGATTTACTTCCTCACTTAAGTTACATAAACGGTTTGGGTTAAAAGTGCAGATCTTAACTGTTTTTCGAAAAACCGTTTATGTAACTTAGGTGAGGAATTAAATCGACGATTCTGTTGTCCTCTGAGCTATTTTTTCGCAAACGTGTACATTTTCTAAAACATATGATACTGATGCACGTTGTGAGAAAAAACGTCGTGGGGATTCTGCCTACAACGCGTGAAATAAGGAAAAAAGAAAAATCGTGCCTTCGACGTTCCGACATTTTGTTACCAAAACGGTTCGTTTTGGTAACCAGCGTAATCGAGTGGATCACCAGTGTACAAGTTCTCAGAAGTTCAAATCTGACCTTAGATTTCTTTGACCTTCAGTGACCTTGAAAAGGTCAAAAATTTGATTTTCTAAATTGATATTTTGGATTTAAATTTAGGTCAGCTTAATTACAAAAGACCTACTGAGGTCTGAAAAAGTGAAATTTTCAAGGTCGAAGGTCATCAAATTAGGTCACAAACAATGTTATCTAAATTTTCCCAAAGTTCAAGACTACAAATAAATTCTTGTCATCAAAATTGCAGGAAAACCGCTAATCTTGTCAACTTGAAATGTTTACAGATACAAGAGCAGACTAGTGCCAAGGTCTGATTAGGTTTTGGCCATGCTGGGTAAATTGCATGGTGGCCTGAGTTTGCTCTTCAAAGTGCGATATTTATCACTGTGTGTCTTGTTGGTATATTTTTAAAATAAGTTGAAGAATTTTTACCTTAAAGCAGCTGTTGTTTCTTGGAGTCATTTTCCACATTGTCAGTAATCAGTAGTTAACTCTCAACTGCAATATTCATTATTATTTTCATGTGGTTATGTAGTATGGAAGTAGTCATTCAACCTCATCACCCCTTGTAGGACATTTGAATATTCTAAGCTGAGTAAACTTACCAATATGATTGTGGTTAAAACTAATGTTAAGTCTGAATGTTTTAAAGTATTTTTCCAACCAAGTTAGGATAAGCACCAGTTATTATCGAGAACTTTTAATTAATTTTTATTCACAGGGCTCCATGAAATTATATTTTTATATTCTATCTTAAAGTCATAAATGCACCAGCTATTATTATAATGCACCATGTTAAGATCATCCAAAGTTACACTGTTCCTGAAAAATTTCAAACAAGGAATAAAGCTGAGAAAAAGAACATGGATTTTTCTCTAAAAAAAAGCAATGGTTGTGTAAAAGCATAAAAAGTTGATTGTGTCCTTGAGGGTGTTAGTCATGTTAACTATTGTTACCAGATGACATTTTGTAAATAATTTGAAAAAGCATGAAAAAGACAAAATGAATTTTTATTTACAATGGAGAAAATGTGAGACATTTTCTGTATATATGACTAAGGGGCAGTAAAAACATGAAGGCATTTTAGATTAGACAGGTTTTACTTCATTATAGATGAAATATATTTATAAATCAGTATTGCTGTCAGAAGGATTTGTTCTGATATTCTTCGCAGTTGTAATTCATACCTTATTTTTGCTGTGTATGGGTATTGAGTAGAGTATGGATACTCTTCTAAATTCTGTTAAAAAGTAGGTTCTGGTGTTTTTATGATTTCCTTTTGTGTTCTTGCAGTGCAATGCAGAGATCAGATGAGGAGGTTTACTATTATGAGAGTCTAGAGGAGTTCCATGTGTTTGTCCTTGCACACGTCTTGAGACGTCCCACAATTGTTGTAGCAGATACTGTGTTGAAAGACTCCAGAGGGGAGGACCTGGCCCCAATACCATTTGGTGGAATTTACCTTCCTCTGGAATGTGACCCTAAGGATTGCCATAGGTATGTTTAGAATTGATTGAGCATTCATGTCGCATTAGGGCCCAGGGGGATTACCACAATCCAAAGATAGGCCTAGACAATAGTTAAAGAAAATTTTCACAATATCAGTTAAAAATGGTCTGAATTAGATTTTGTAAAATGTTAGTAAAATGCAGTTGCTTCGCCTGCCTGATGAATCCGGGACCTATTGTGTTAAGAGGTACACATACTACTGCTGAGCTACACGGAGATCCCTGCATTGAATACACACATTGGTCATATTGAGAATAACATATGGTCCCTATTTCAGATCACCACTGGTCCTGACATATGATGCTTCCCACTTCTCTGCCCTGGTTCCAATGGAAGCAGATATTAACACAGATGAGGCACAGAAACTACCAGGTATGGAAAACTATATATTTTTCTCAATTAAAACCATTCTGTGGAATAATCTTTTCATACGATGGAAGTACCTGTGTACATGAACATAATGGGGTCATTGGATTAAGGCATTTTGAGGCTGTGTATTAGATAATAAAGACAATATAAGTAAAGGGTCTGGACACAAATATCAATGTTAATTTTTTAACTAATTTAACGAAAGGATCAGACTACCATGTTTATTAATTTTTATGGGATACCCCTTCCCTTGATGAAAGTTTCCCTAAATGTTTGACTCCTTATGTTCAGTAAACTGAATTTCTTATAGGACAAAGCAGGTTTTCAACTCACCTTAGAATCTCAGTCTTGTGCATATTTACCTTAAAATGATAGAAGCTGATATCAAATATTAACTTTACCCTTATATTACTTCTAAACTACAGATTAATAGTAAGATTTCACATTTCTTCCAGTGGCCATTCCTCTCATAGATCCAGAGTTCAGGATCCTACCCATTCACTATGCAGTTGACCCCGGGGCAGATGTCCAATGGGGTAAAGATGATAATGACATCGGGAAAACACGAAAGCTCAGCCTCAATGAAGAGAGCAAACTAACTCTATTGAGTAAATACCTAGATGTTGTTCAGGAGCCATTTGCTATAATGCCACAACTGAAAACTGTCGGAAGTAAAGATGGGCTCCAGATTATTCAGAATGATTTACTTAGCATGGGAAGTCAGGACTCTGATGAAAGTGCTAGTACTAGCAGTGGGGAGAGCAATGGGAGGGACAAAGAGAAATCTAAGGTTACAAAACAAATGAACAGTGTAGCTAAACACTTTGGTAGCATTGGAAAAAATATGGGCAAAAAACTGAAGAAGAATTTCGGGAATATCGGCAAGGCTATGAAACAAATGAATGTTGAAGGTAATTCTGGTGGAAAGTTTACACGTAAATCATCATTTGGATCTGGTGTAACCCAAAGTACGAAAAACACAATAACATTAGAGATGCTAAATCAGAAAGATTCAATCCTCTGTGCTAAACTGTCCTGCAAACGAACAGCCTTCCATGAGGAAATGATTAAAAATTACATGCAGTCTGCCAATGAGAGGTTCGAAATTGAACGAGAAATGCGTCTGAAACGTGCGGAGGAAATTCGCCAGAAAGCAATAGATAGAAATTCTACAGAAGTAAGCAATAACCAGTTACCGACAAAGTGTATGAACAGTGGTTGTGAGTTATATGGTACAGCAGCAACTAGTTACCTGTGTACAGGATGCTATGCTAAACAGAAAGAAGAGGCCATCAACATAGAACGTGGCCCTGAGCAATTCAGTTATATGCCTAAACAACATAATGATCCAAAACTTCGCAAAAACTTAGATGATGGTGTTGTCATAGCATCTGGAAAATCAAAATTTTACACACCAGCTAACCAACCTGATCCTCCTCCATATAGGTCAAACAATGCCCAGCCTCAGAGGCAGGCTTTAATCTCCCCTGACCCGGATTATGAACCATCGTATAGACACCCAAATCAAAGGGCCTTTACTGAAAATAGAACATCTGAACCAGGATATCAAACAAGGAAGATTGTTCCTTCTGAAGATCGGTATTCCTACGATGACTTGAGAAGTGAGGCGTCACGTCCTCCTAGACCCCCTGTACAGCAGGGAACTCACAGGCCAAATAACACATTTAATCCTCCTCCCCAATATAGACAACCACACAACTCCAATGTTGAAACTTATGACAATGTTCCAGAAACATATGACAACTTAAGCACACTGAATAGCAATGTGAAGCGAGGCTCACCTACGGGACAACGAGCGTTCAAAATCCAAGAGCTCAATACAGGATATAATAAATTTGATAATGAGATGAATAAGGCTCTAAAGGATCAGTCCAAGGTGTCAATTGCTGTATCTGGTGATAGCAACCCAACTAATAAAGATTATCGAGATGTGAATAGGTATCGAGAAAAGCGTGTGTGTAGCACGAAAGGTTGTGATTTGTTCGGGTCAGAGGAATTGGATTATCTTTGTCCTAATTGTTACCAAGAGAGAAAGAGGGGGATAGCTTATAGAGGACGCAAAACAACAAATTTGTAGCACATGACCTACTCTTATTTACTCAGTTCTTGTAAGCCAACAATTAAACATGGGCTATCACCCTTGTTTGGTCTCATACAAGAACCTCATGCATGGCTGTTTTCCATTTGTCTTAAAATTATCACATACATATTCATATCTCTAGATAAGTATGTTCTCTTATGATACCCGATATTTCAATTTCTCTCATTTGTTAAAGTACATTATACGCTGATTTGAGTTGCCATAGAATTTCTCAAAACAATGTAAATAAATGAAAATTACAATCAAAATTAATGGAAATCATAAATCTAACATGAGAAAGTCCCTAATAACTACAGTTGGTTTTGTGAAAACAACCAGTGAAAATCGCCTGTTGCCTGCTGCTTATGAAACTGTATAACAGTTTTTGTAAACAGTCACAGACCCAACTATTGCATTAAAAGTCCAAACAAGCAAGTATAATGTGAAATGTACAACAGCATCAATACCACCTGAATATGTGTTCTTTATGGTGTCATAACTACACCATGACTGTAGATAAATTAATGTAGAACATTTTAGTTTAATTGGTTGATTTGTGAGAAAAAAACATTAAACTCAATAAAGTTGAACAATGGAGACATTTTATCTTTTGGCAATGAATCTAGTATGGTGAGGTGTATGGTGCTGTTTTGAGAAATCATTTTTCTCACTTTCTCACTTACTAAATGTTTGATGGGATTTGCTTCACATTGACAATGCCCTTATCTAGTTCGCCCTAGGGCTGTGACATAGAATATTTCTTGACTGAAGAAAAATGAAACATGTATCCCATGGGCTATCATGTATTTTCTTGAGTATGAAAGTGGATTTAAGAACATCATTCAGTTTTTATTGCATCCCTTCACATACATTCGAAAATCTAAAGTCAAAAACAATAAATAAGGTAAATGAAATATATTCTATTATTTATTTATTCAAATATAAAGAGTGAAAACATATAATTGTCGAATTATGACAGTCAATAATTGGTTCCAAGATCCTTTTATACCACAAGGCACAAATATATAGCATTGTATTTACAACATTATCCCGGTGTTGGTTCTTTGCTTTAGTTAACTTGTAGTTTTCATCACAAAATCAGATTGAAAGAAAAGCATTTTAATTGGATAAACGTTTTATTGAGCTTAGTGGTTATTATCTTGCATGGTTTAAAAAGTGTCTTCTATCAATACCCAAATTACCATAGTAACCATATTTTCTTCCAATCAGGTATCTTGCAACTTGCTGATAGAGAACATGTTAATAGATATTTTGTTTATACATGTACTGTATATAATATGTTATGGGTATTTATATACGAATACACAATGTGTATTAATAATGTATATATAAAAATATTAATATTCTTTGTACATTCGATTTTAATATGCTATTTATAATAAAAGTCATAGGAATGCATACATTGATAATTCTGTTATATTTGACCATGATTTATTCAATTGACGATAAAAGCAATACAATGATATGGAATCCCATGCTTTTGGTCAAAATCATCCCTCTTGATAAAACCCATACATGGTCCCTGCCTGTGAATGTCTCCTTGTGAAGAATAAAGAAGATTATGGTTACCTTTTACTTTAGAAGTCAACATAAATTAAACCATACCCTGTGTATTTGTCTCTTAAACATTTAAAATATCCATATGTACTGAATAGCAAACGACAAACATTTTATCAATACCGTATTATATCTATTAAACGCACAATGCGCTTAGCAAATTCCTGTGGGGGAGAGGTTTCAAGCAGCTAAATCCCCGGGAATTCTAAAAAATTATGATGGTGGGCGATAATGGGTGAAAATTTACTTCTATACCTTAAATCGATCAAATATAGTAGATATGTGCGTTTATTAGAGAGAATATGCTATATGTTATGTTTTTACCTTGAATTGTGAGCTCCTAGCCGACAAATTTAGTATATAAATACACTATTGTGTGTTATTTACACGGACACCTGAAGAAATTTCTTACGTTGCATGATGGGAAATCGTGACGTCATGAATCATGATGCATTATTTTAACAAACTGTGAAAATACTCTATTATCGCCCACAATGTTTTTTTTATTAGAGCTTCGTCAGATCTCAATATTATCTGGACAGGACTTTCTAACCTGGGACAAAAAGTCGGGTGTGCGTTTATTAGAGAGTGTGCGTTTAATAGAGATAATACGGTACTTTGAGGTGTTATCTCTTCATCCTTACTCTAGAGTGTCCATTACTATCCATCCATTCAGATGTTTCAATGTAAATCAGCCACCTTTCGATAAAGATGTCTCTCACAATCTCAGGACAGAACTTTTTACATTCTGTTTTAAAACTGTATTGCATGCAAAGTATGACATTATATCTAACCAATATACTCATTGGTAACAATACACTGTAAATACAGTAAAACTTGTCAAAGTGGAACACATTTGGTACCCCTAAAAGTGGTCCACTTGGGATGTGTTCTACTTGAGGTTCATTTAACAGTAAGCCAGCTGATCTTGGGACTCTGTAAAGTGTTCCACTAACAGAGGTGTTTCACTTCTACAGGTGTTCCACTTTACAGGTTTCACTGTATCAGAAAATTGAATTTCTACCATGTTGGCTTAAATTAATATTGCAGCAAATTCTGTTGTGTACTGTACAAGTTTTTATAAATGCAGTACTTGAATTTCTTTTATTGCACTACAAATTTATCGTATTTTATTTTTATCCTATTTTATCGTATCATATTTTACTCAACTTTTGAATGTTCATTTACAATATGTTTCAACACATTCATGCTTATGTTGGCCCCACACATCACAGCCACAACTGTTTTTCCCTCAAACATCTTCTTATTGGTCATAAGTGCCCCAACTGCACAGCCAGCAGCCCCCTCTATCAGCTGAAAATAAACATCTTCTTTATTCCTGCATTATATAGTATTCTTGGCAGATTATAGCTAAATGAAGTCTAGAAAGGCCATGATTAAAGCAGAGTCTGATATGAAGGAGTGAAAAAGTTGTGAACAATAAACAGACCAACCAATGTGTTCCTTATCCAGAGTACTTATCATTATTCAATGTTTGAAGCCCCCCTTAAAATTATTAACCAAACTCTTAAAAAATCTGAAGAGTAAGTAAGTCACAATATTTATCCAGTTCTGGTCCAAGTGCCTTGGAAGGAAGATGTAGCATCTTTGTGAATGTAATTTTTCCACAATAATTTATTGGAACTTCTTATCTATTTAATATATTAAAAAATGATATAAACCTTGTGATGTTTCTCTAGAATGGTGTATATTCCTCTTGATATATCCTCTTCTGCTACCATTATCCAATCATCCACTAAGTCTCTACAGAAGGGGAATGTCACCTGGAACACAATAACATGAAACCTTGTATTCATGAGTTCAACTGACGGCTGTTGGCTGATGGATTAATCTACCATTTTATGATCAACTAGTTTAGATATGAATCGTAAATCTAGTAAAAAAGTAGGATATCCGGTAGCTGACATCCAAAAGTTCCATTCACAAAACAAGCTTACACTATTCAATAGTTTGATTTAACTTCTTGAAGAGAGAGCTCCATTTACATTGTTTTAAGAGGTAGTCCTTTATAATAGTGATCTAGACTTTGAACCCAATCAGATTTGATTAATCAAAATTCAGCTCCCAAATCAGTTTAGTAAAAAGCAGTTCGCAATTTTAATTCATGTTCAAAAGTCTATGTTGTTGGTATATATATTATGGCCATTTTTTGGTGAGCAATAAAAAAAGTAAATTTCGTGAAAATCTTGAAATTTCTTGTAAAAACGACATGCTCCACCCAATAACGCAGATGCGAGTAAGTAGTTACCAGTTTCGCCACCAGGTGGCTCGTTCGGGTCAGATAACATGGCGGGCATAGTAGAAAGTTCCCTTTAACTTAAATTACATCTGTTTTAGTGGTTCAATTTTTATATAACCCTTATGTATCTAATTGTTATGCAAATTAAAATATGTCCAGTAAAAGAAAATGTTATCTGTCCAATACAAGAAAAGATATTTCACTTTTTGTGATTTTGTAACATGGGGTCTATGAGGAATCAACCCGAGCTAGAAGTCACATTTTCAAAAAAAATTAAATTTTCAAAGTTGATAAACAATTTTCGAAACCATTTTTCTAGATGCACTTTTACATGGAGATTTCAAATATGACATCACTTTGACTGAATTTTGAATATTGAATGACGTAAATCGAGATTATTTCTATTCGCATCTAGTCTATTGATCAAATTAGTTGATGTGTCCGATGATTATGAAAAGGGGCGAGGCAATGAATAAATGTTAAAATAACTCCATTTCTGTGATATGACTATTGAAAAAAAATTCTTTACCATAATAGTGGTAGATGTACATTATGGTTGCTATAGTAGCCATATAGTAACAACAATATGATATTATTCAAAATATCACAATACAACAAAATGTGATTGATTTGGATTGTACTACTGTACTATACATTGTCATGGATAAAGCCATTATGTCACAAGGTTGGTTGTTATAGTAACAAGATAATGATTATGTTTTGTGGTATTTATACTGAATCTATTTAATTAATCATATTTATCTGAACCAACGACAGGTTTAAGAGAGATTTTATTTCTAAATGAGCAACTCACAGAATCCTCCTCTATTCCTCCTGCTGTTCCATCAGACAATGTCTCCAATGATTCCTCATAGATGATCTTCCCAGCTTTAACACTCTCATACATCACCTTAGAGTTGGCTGGTTGCACACCAACTATCTGTAAATACAGAACACATGATAAGGAACGGGCCAGGTAAGATATAGCAAGCATTTTCAAAGAGCTATAACTTAAGTCCTAAAGACTCTGTGATCACAAAAACAAATGGGTCTGTTAGGTCCATGTATGTGTTATCTTCAATATCAAGCATTTTCAAAGAGCTATAACTTTAGTCCTAAAGACTCTGTGACCACAAAAACAAATGGGTCTGTTAGGTCCATGTATGTGTTATCTTCAATATCAAGCATTTTCAAAGAGCTATAACTTTAGTCCTAAAGACTCCGTGACCACAAAAACAAATGGGTCTGTTAGGTCCATGTACATGTTATCTTCAATATCATGAGACATTTGACTGATAATAAAGTCGATTGGTGTGTGTTCATACCAATCATTAAGATCAAGTGAAGCTACTGCTTTGAGGGCCTAAGTGCTAGAACATACACATTTTAATGGAGATGGACAACAGCATATCAGTGAATAACAAAGTATAACGTTACAAGGTAATTACAATGCAAATGCCTATGAAACTTCTGTCAAATCACAGACAAGACTGCCAGAAATTCCTTAAAATGGCCATTCATGAAAAAAGTGAATATTGGGAGTTTTATTGCTCTGAAGGACATTAAAGTTCCCTGTCAAAGGTGAACGAGTTTTTATAAAACACATTCCAAAATATTCTGGACACCCAGTCAATTATATGTCCAAGGGTTTTTACCATATTCCAAAAATAAATATCCCAAATTCAGATAATTGGACGTATGGTGCAAAAGCATGTATAAATAAAAAACAGTTTACCATTTCATAAAACTCACATATTTTATCAAAATTGAGAGAATTGTTTAATTAGAAGGTTCATTTTTTGTAACATCCTGTATATACATACAATTCATGTAAATATCAATTCAGAATCATTGCAATTAAAAGATATTCAAATTTGGTAATTACAGATGATTAATATTTAACATATTAATTGAGAAAACAGTATACATGCACACTGTTTGCTGACCCTTTTAGTTGCCTGGTAACAAGAAACAAATAATGAAACAGGAGAAACAGCAACTCCAAGAAGTAGAAAATGCCACCAAACAAGGTATATGTCAAGACTAACAATACAAGGCATTGACATGCAAAATGGCCACCAAAAGGTGATGCCACCACAACTGAAGAAATCATTCATTGCCATAATCATGACAACTTGATCCCAACAGATAATAAAAATGTCATCATTATGCTAAACCATTATCACCCCGGCAGACAAACATGCAAAGAATCGATTGGATTAAAGGGAAATAAGGCTTCTCTATAACCAAAAAAAACTTCATTCAGCAGGATATTGATTGAAAAGCTCTTTAATTGAGGCATTTAGATATGGATGTTTGTCCCAAAATGTCATTATCAATCAAATAAACAGTCTAAACATTCTGATTTGATTTCTACAAAAGAGAAATGGAAACGCATCATTTTTACAAATAATAGGATCAGTTTTCAGAACTCTAATGAGAACAGTTTGACTCCTAGTATATTACTAGTTTAGTATGCAACTATTGAGGACATAAATATCTATATGACCAATGTACATGTACAATTTATAAAGCTTATTTAGATATTTGTTTTTAAAGGAGTGTATTATAAATAACAAATTTGTCATAATACAGTTTCACAATGGCACTAAATACTAGCAATAGTACAGACTCAGAATTTAATAGTGATAACAATATTTCTTCATCGGAAATTATAATCCGAGTTGTATTTTTCATATGGATATGTGGAGGAAATGGCTTGGTTATAGCTGCATATTCAAGATACAAGATATTACAATCTGTCACAAATTATTGGATTCTAAATTTAGCAGTTGCAGATTTTTTTATGGGATTACAACTAATTGTTGAGCTTTTGGAAGTTGTACTTGAGAATACTATTTCAAGCCAGGACAAGTATTTCCTCATTTGTGCATTTCTAACAGTATTCTACAACATTGCAATATTGCTGTCACTACTATCCCTGCTTGGTGTAACAATTGACAGATACATTGCTATATTTTGGCCACTGAGGTATCAAGACCTTATGACATACAATAGAGCCAGAATTGCTGCTTGTTCAATGTGGGGTATAGTCATTGGATACAGCTGTATTTCTATAATAGAACTGCGCATAAGGCTTGTTCCATCATCGAAGACAACACCAATTTGCACGCCAGAATATCTAGCTTATTTGTATGCACCAGCATTTTACTTAATTGCATTAACTATGATCATTCTCTACATACATATCTTCACTGTAGTTCATAAACAATCCAAGATGATCACTCCCCATGAAGACACTAGCACCAGAAATGAAGGTACTAACACTAAAAAGATTTCAAAGAATAACTTGGTTATCATGAAAACTGCTGTTATAGTATTAGGAATATTTTTATTTTGTTGGATACCAGCGATTACTCTCAATGGGTTGGTTTTGTTGAGCATAATCGCTGAGAATAATTTCGTATTTCTGAGTATATTTAATTATGCTCGGCTTCTTAGCGCAAGTAACTCTGGAGTCAATCCTCTTATATACAGTTTTAGACATAAACAATTTAGAAGAGCATTCTGTAAATTGCTTCACATTAAAACTGAAAATATTGAGGAATAGATTAACAATCTGTGGCTTAAAGAGAACTGCTTTAATACAGGGTGACCCCCAAAAGTGCAACCCTCTAATCTTGAAGTATCTCAATTTGGTGGATCATGGTGAAATAATTGGTGTAAAAAACATACATTCAAAAATTAAATGATGGTGTAAATTCTAATTATGAATGTATTATCAAAATTCTAAATATTGAAATACTGTCCATTGTATATGTATGTATAGATGTATTTTTTAAACTAAATGGAATATGATAAAACTATAATTGATTGTTAACTTTTGCTTCTGTAATAACTTGAAATTAAACTTATTTGAAAAAAGTTTTTTTCATTTTGACTTCATTGCTGCCCATAAAAATGTAAATGTTGCCTCGAAACTACATAGGCTCTCTTGCTCTGGTGTCAGATAATTGATTTTTACCAACAACTAAAACTGCCCACAAAGTTCTACCTATGTGTTCCAGATTCTCCAAGGGCATTTGTTTTCATAACATTCCTTGTGATATCTATTATATCACAATTATTGTCTCATTTTATAAGACCAAACAAAATTTAACAGTAGCACTTAGTTTTAATATTTAACTGCTTAATTAAAGCATTAAACATTTTCATGACATGTTTAAAGTTTTGTAAACAAATATATACTATTAAGTGTTAATTTGTGTCATATTATGTAATGTAAAAATATTATGTGATACTTCTTATATGAAATTAAGAATAAAACAGCTTAAAGCTTAAACATCTCACCACAACTTTCAAAGGGAAAGACCAAAAGCAAACTGTAAGTCTACCAGTCAAAAGAAAAACAAAACACATAATCCCAAACCCATGTGAAAAGAAACAATGTCTAAAACCCCTTCCCCCACTATTCAAGAACCTAAACCACAATCCAAGAAAGGAATATATACCAAGGGACATTTCATTCATACTGAAGTCATCACAAGTTCAAGGAAAAATTGGAAATTGATAGTCATATTCATAACGATCAAAAATAGTTGTACATACAAGTACTCATACAAGATAGAGCATTCAGTCTCAAATGATGTGGGATAGCAAAAATCCAGTTTCAAAGTCCATAGGCATTTTAAGGGGCCAGCATTCATTCGCAAAGCCATTTCAACAATCCATAAAACACTAAAACTCACTATAATGGTCACCAGGAATTAAAAATGGTCTAATAAATACTAAATTGACCCAAACTTTACATCTTGGCCTAAACAGAAATCAGGAGACTTTATGAGACTTCAAATCTCATTTATGTTTCCGTATATCAATGTGGTTCATGCCTCTTTTAGTAACTTTGTATTTGATCATTAAAGACTTCCAACAAATTATATGCAGTAGCACGGTTGACATTGTCATTGCATAATGTGCTGGTTCATTTTTTCTGAGAATAAGCATCTTTTCAGTTAAAAATATATTGTGTGAAAATCTTGAAATTTCTTTAAAAATTCCAACCAACAGTGAATATTTTAGAATATCTACATCCAGTATGCAAATGGCAATTATGACGTAGCAGGCAAATATATAATATATCGCTGATGAAACCTGCTTTATGTACCAGTAACACGTCCAAGTATGGGATAAATATTGTGGGAATTTTGAGGAAACTCCCACTGTGTTTTATTAGCATTATTGGTTGCAGCGGTGGGATCTGGTGCAGTTGAAGGAGAGACCCCATTATGGATAGCAGAGAGGCAGAGAAGGTTGTGGGTGAGCCAGAAACCCTGAAGCGAAGAAGACAGAAGTTCCTCGAAAAGAGAGATGGGGGAGATCCAGTGAAGATTAGCAGAAGAAGAGAGAAGCTCCTAGAAAAGATAGATGGAGGAGAAACTGCAAAGATTAGCAGGAGATTAACTGAGAGTCTGATAGGACAACTGGAGATTAGGAAGAGCCAAGTGATAATGAGTGAAGAGTTTCAACAGGGACAGTTAGAGATCATGCAGGAAATGCAGGATGGGTTCAGACAAATTGGAGCACAACTTGGAGCTTCATGGAGAGTCTTAAAGAGAATGTCAGAAATTTTCAATCTGACATAGATAAACTTTCAGAATGGTCCCTTAAATGGAAGTCAATTTTTAAACCCTCAAAAAGTGTAGAAATTATTTTTAAGGGATCAAGAAGGAAATACCTTCAACACCCACCTGTCTTTTTAAGTAATGAAAAAATTAACAGATCAAGTGACCACAAACACTTAGGAATAATATTAGATGAACACTTATCTTTTAGGCCTCATATACTAGAAACTATTGATAAATGTAACACAATGTTAAATCCTTTGAAAGCTCTAAAAAACAAAATAAGATCAAAACATTTAGAAAAAATGTATCTGTCATTTATACTCCCCAAAATGGAATATGGAAGTATTTTATTTGA